ATTAATGTTCAGAAGTATGCCCAAAAATAAGTAAGACCGAAAAACTAATAAGGGAGAGACATACAAAATAAAACAACAAAATAAAAAATTGTTTTGAAGTATATTACACTCTAACAATATTTAAAAAATAGAAAATTTTTATTAAAATTCCCCAACCTTCCAAAGACTCTTTCTGTATTTGTGCAACACCACCAGCACGTCCTTCCTCAAAATCGCGTTTCATACGACTCATTTCTTCAGCCTTTTCCCGTCGCAAGGCTTCAATTTCTTCACGCATCTTTTCGTCTTTTACTGATTTTTTCTCGTCTGTTTTTAATGCTTCTTTCTGAAAATTTGAGGAAAATAAAGAGAGAACTTTAAAAATATTTATTTTTGAACTAGTCAACAAAAATATTCTTCGAGTGAAGGAGACTAGAAAATTCAGCAAACTATCCGTAAAGGCAAAAATTTCCCCAAAAAATTTTTGCGGACAAAACTTGCGGACAAAAAATTTGCGGATATTTTCCATAAAAGTTTATTTTATTGAGTCATACTAACTAGTGCAAACATATATTATTAGTTCACACGTTAATAAAAAAAATAATTTTTAAAGAGAAAAAATATGCGAGAGAAAAGACATTTTTCTTCTGATTAATAAAGAGGAATGACTGCTTCTTAAATATAAAAAAAATAAAAATAAATAGAACAAAAATAATTTTTTTTAAATTTTTGTGCTATTTATAAATTAATAAAATAAAGAGAAGGGAGAAGTGACTTCCTTTTTAATTTAGTCAAAAAGAAAAATTTAAAAAAAAAGAAAAATATTTAAAGGAGAAGAATTTGTAGGGGGTGGTAAATGCAATAAATCCTTTCTATTTTCTTTGTATTGGGAGAAAATAAAGTGACGGGGAATTAAATGAGAAATATAAATCGAGTTGATCGTTAATAAATGAGTGTCTTTCTCTTTGTTGGTAAATATTTCCGGAATTAATAAATATTTAAATTATCAAAATTAAAAAGAAATTTTTAAAGTTTTGAAACGAAAGTTGACATTTTGAAAAATCAAAAAAAAATTCGACACATTGAAAAATTGTCGAATTTCGAAATGTCAACTTTTCGAAATGTCAAAAAGACGAAATAAACACCTCAAATTTACTAAAAAATGAGGGAATTTAACGGTTATTTAAAAAATAAAAAGAGAGTGAGAGGGTTAGTAACCAACTAAAGAGAAAATTGAACATTAAAAAGTGAGGAAAGGAGGACAAGTTAATCTACGAATAAATATATATTTATTGTGTCCGGTTGTCACTTTAATGGACACTACTCTATAAACAGATGGGCGGTGAATTGAGAAGAAAAAATTAAAAAAAGAAAATATATTTTTGGGTGTATTTAACTGGAATGTGTGTAACTAACACAACGAATTGAGTGACAATATCGAGTAAAGTTTATATATTTATTTAGTTATTGAGAGGAAAATATGTTGAAGGTTATAAATTTGAGAGTAAAAAAGACTCAACAAAAAGCATATTTTTAAAAATCTCCCCCAAAGTGTACTGTGGTGTAGTTGGAAAATCGTTACTTTTTTAAAGAGTAAAGGTCAAAGGTTCGAACCCCACTGGCTACCAATAATTTTATTTTTGACAGAATTTCACTCCAAAATTTTTCTTGATCTTACTAAATTAATTTAAACTTACAATTTGTTTTAAATCGCCCGTTCTGCCTTCAATTGCAATTTTGGGAGGAGGTTTTTTACTGTTTTCGTCGTCAGAGTCTGAACTGACTGCATATGGGTCTTCATCTACGTCTGCCATTATTTAGAGTATTTTTGCTGAAAATAAAAAATAATTTTCAACTCAATATAGGATTTACATATTTCTCAGTTTTACAATCAAAAATTTAAAAAATGTAAAGCCGTTTAAAAAAAGAATTTTATGGGACATGTTCTAAACGAGATAAAAAACTTTTATTTCCATAAAAGGAGTTAAGGAAATTATTTTCTCATATAGAAAGTTGTCCCCGTTTATGGAAGAAATAGAGGTGGAGGGGGCTATGGGAAAATCATCGAAAAAAGTTTTTTCAAAGGTTTCAGATTCTCTGATTTTCGGAGACGAATAGCAACCTCTGTTTCTATTTATCCCAATCTCCCATATATCCCACATTCCTACATATCTCAAGAGAAAAGCAAGAAAGGAGCGGAAAGAGGAGATTAATCAAGTCCCTCAAACTCTCAAAACTTAGGTCAATATTGGAATAGGACAGGAATTTCAGTTAGGGCAGGATAAGGACTTCTGTTGACAAGAAGAGCATTTCTGTTGTACATCTCCTATTCTCCCCCAATATAAAAATATTTTTACTTTTATCTAAAAGTTGAAAAAAATAGGTAAAAAGCTTGAATGAATGGATATATTTCCGGAAAGACACAAAGCTTTTTATTTTCACTCAAAGAGTTCCTCTTTTTCTAGGATGTTTGTGTGTATATCAAGAAAGTAATCAACCCTCCCCCCCCCCCCCCCCAAGCCAGGCGAACGATCGTCACAAGCGCCTGATCACTAAAAAGTAAAAAGAATAGGGACAAGAAAAGGATTTCTTTGAGGAGATATGTTTAGGCGACAGAGGTCCAAGCCGATATATTTTCTTGAAGAGGACAGGAAAAATAAAATCGGTTGAGGTAAAGCGAGAGGAGAAGAACAGTGCCAACAAAAATAAAAAAAGGGAGACAAATGCTTCTTTTCTTTTATGATTTTTTCTTTGATTTTTTACGTGTTTGTGCATTGCTTTAATCAGAAAAAACTAAAAAACAATTTTTATTTTTGATCATGAAAAAAAGGGAATCAATCTATTATAGAGATTATGTGGGCGGGGAAAGTCTTAAAAACAAAACAAAAAATATTTAAAAAAATTTTCGAGTTGACACAAGGGATATTTAAGGAATTTTTCGATTTTTGATCACCCCCTACTTTACCTAACTCAAAATCTTAAAAACTATTCTCTCGGGACTGTCCCCAAGGAAGGAGAGGAAATGAGAGAGATTAGGATGCGAGAAAATCAGTCACAAGATATACTTAAGGAATTTTTCATGTTTGATCACCCTTTACCTTTCCTAGCTCGAAATCTTAAGAACTATTCCCTTGGAAATCTCTCTAAGGAAGGAGAGGAAAGGAGATATAAGGATGAGACAAAATCACAAGCTAGGAAACGAAGAATGAGAGAAAACCAGTATGTGGAAAAAAATTTTGAAAAATCAAAAAATCCCAAAAAACCTAGCTCGAAATCTTAACAACTATTCCTTGAAGACACCCCTAAGAAAGGAGAAGAAAGGAGATATAAGGATGAGAGAAACCAACAGGTTAGGAAACGGAGGATGGAGAAAACCACCGGAAACAGGCTGAGGAAATCTACGGATGGGAAAGAATTTTTAGAAAAATCAGAAAAGTCCCAAAGAATACCCCCTCATTTTTTCGATCTTTCTACTTAATTCTAACTTAGAAAATCAAAAAGTTTCAGGGAAAAGAAGGAGGCTCTCTTCAATAAGTTAAAAAGGTTCATATCAAAGCTACTAAAATTATATAATATCTCCCATCGAAAAAAAGTCTGTCAGGTTTTTTTAAATATTTTCTTGAGAGAGTATAAAGTAGTTCGGAAGCTAAAAGAACACACATTAAAAAAATTTTTTTGGCCAGTAAAAGGACAGGAAATGAGAAAGCAATATTTAAAGGAGGAGAATATTGCTTGATCGATCTCTCACTCTTTTTCCCCTTTCCCTCTCCTTTTGTCTTTTTTCCCAAATCACTATCAAAAATAATAAAATATATTTTACTTTTGCTTTACGAAAAAAATGTTGAAAAAAAAAATAAAAACATTTTTTAATTTAATTTTGGCTTTTATTGTTTGGGCTTTTTTCTAGAAAAAAAGGCCAAAACAATTTAAGAAGTTTACCCGTAATTTTAACATTTTTTGAAAGTTAAGTTTGAAAGAATTTTTAAAATTATTTTGGTGAAAAATTTTTTCTGTGCAAAAAAAATTTTTTTTGAGCAGGAAAAGTAAAGGAGAAAAAAAGAGAGAGGTTCTGGGTATGTTTGGAATATTCTCTGATTTCCAGTTTTTTTCGATATCCTTTCGAATTGTTTTCTTAAAATTATCCCTTTAATGCCCACAAACATTTGCGGACGAGTCAAGAAATGTTGGAAAATTAAAAATAGTGTCCCATTTAGTTATTATCAGAAAATCGTCAAACAGACAAAATAAAAAATAAAAATCTAAAATAAAGAATCAATGACCTTTGAATTTTGAATAATTATTTTAATAATTTTTTAATATTCTTGCGTTACCAGACAGTCCCTAAACAGAAAAAAATCCCAAAAAAAAATTTTTTTCGGACAGTAAGGGTAGAGTTCCCTTCCACCCCCCCCCTTAATTTTCCAAAAATTCATTTAATAAAAATTTATCAAATTAAAAAAAATAAAAACAAACTTTACTTCAAAAAAGGCTGTCAAGTAATCCTTCTTCTTCTCTTCAAGAATCTTCAGAAGTATCCATCTTTTGTGGTTCATCTTGTCTTTCTGTTTGTCCCTCTTTGTGTGCTTCACTTGTTGTTCCGCTTGTGGTTGTGCTTTCTTTTGGTTTTTGAACACGAGACTTGAAAAAAGAAAAAAAATTTTTAAATTTTTAAAATTAAAAAAAGAAAACCATGTTTGCATCCATTTCTTCAATATCCGTTTGTTTAAGTTTTAATGAACTCAGAGGACGTCGAATCATTTTTTAATTGAAAAAATTTCTTTTTTTTTTATTTTGTCTAAAATAAAAAAAGAATTTAATAAAATGGGGGAATGGAAGTATTTTCCAAGAAAAATTTAGGTCTAAAATAATAAAAAATTAATAATTAATTTCTCATAGCCTCCAAGGTAATAATCAAATTACGAATTTAAAAATTAAATTTTGAGCTTCGGATAACAGCTACGAATTTTTTGAAATTAAAATGTGGTTAGCTGATTAAGAAAAAAATTTTTCGTGACAGCAGAAACCAATGTTAGTAAATATTTAAAACAAAATATTCCAAAAAACCAGGGTAGGCATTTTAGGGAAATCCTAAAATATTGCAAGTTTCTTCGATTCCAGATATCCGAAACCGCAAACACATTTGCCAGAAAGCAATCTAACATAAAGAGAATTTCTTTAAAAAAAAGTTCCCTAAACAATTTCTCAAATAATTAATTGATAAAATCAACTTAGAAAAAAATAAACAAATAATTTTTAATTTTTTATTGAAATGTCACAAAATCAAAATAGAAGCGAGGAAATTATGTTTTTAATATTTGGGTTGATACAATGTTTATGTTGTGTTAAATAAATTTTAATTTTGAAGAAAATTAAAAAAAATTTTTTGAAAATATCAAAAAAATTTTACGGGCCTCGAAAAAATTAAAAAAAAAAATCAAAAATTTTCAAAGGCCTCGAAAAAAATTTCAAAAAATTTTTTTCCAATTTTTCTTCAAAATTTCACACACAAAAAAGGTGAAAATCTAAGCAGTGTGTCAAAAAAAACAAAAATTAATGCAAGTTTATATATAGGTGAGATACCAAAAAAAGAACATAAAAGGCCGGGAACGTTTTTTGTAGAAGATTATTGTTGAATTTTGGTGTTCTTGTACAAGAAAAAATAAAATGAAGAGAGAGATTCCGCCAACTCAGTCAAATAAAGATTCCATTAAAGTCACTAAAAAATTAAAAAATTAATTTTTTAATCTTATTTAAAGCTTACAGGCGATTTAGAAGGAGAGGTGTTGTTCTTGGCTAGAAAATTAAAAAAAAATAAATTTGAAAAGCAGTTATTTTCAGACTTAAAGACGACCAGATTCACTGTTTTGTGTAAGACAAGAATGGGCCGGGTTGAGAAAAGTCAAGTCGGGTTTTGAAATTCTTCAAGAGTCGTGTTTCAGTTTAAAAAAAAGTCCGGGTTTCGAGTAACTCAGCCCATGCCTGGTGGTTGAAAATGGTGGTTGAGGGTAAAATATAAATTAATTTAAACAATTCTCATCTAAATTTAAGTAAAGGAATTCCAAATAAAAAAGATTTTTTAAACGCGTTTTTCCCATCGTGTGAAAAATTCCCAAGTCCCTCCAAGTTTAATGACAAGAATACTTTCCGCAAGCGTTTTTGGTAGACAAAAAATATTTCAGGTCTTTCTTATAAAAATAAATACCTGCGTCATCCCCACTGCTCTCCTCTGAAGCTGCATTCTTCTTCGCCGGACGTCCACGTTTTCCAGCACCAGCTTTCTTCGTCACTCCACCTTTAGCCACAGACTTCGCCACCGGCTTCTTTGGCGGTGATTTCTTGAATAAAATTTTTAAAAAATTCTTTCAAAAATCAAAACAAACCTTCACAACAACAGCACCCTTTGGACGCCCACGTCCCTTTTTGGCAACAACAGGGGATTTAGCTGGAGAAGACGGCTTGACTGGAGAAAGAGGTTTGACTGGAGACTTGGCTTCACCATTTGGAGCACTCTTGAAAAATTAAATTTGAAAAAATAAAAATAAAAAATTACAATTGGAGATTTAGGCTTCGGCGGCGATTTGTCTGTAGTTGGAACAGATGCAGCTGCAGCAGCTTTTGCTTTCGCTGGACGGCCACGTCTCTTTGGAGCTTGCGAATTCATTTTTTAAATAAATATAGCAAATAGAATCGAAAGAGAATATCTGAAATTTTAAAAATGAAATTTTTGGTTAAGAGGAATAATGATTGAGAGACATATCGGGATTGAGGAGAGAAGAATAACCTCTTACGCTTACGTTGATTCTAAAATAAAAACCCTTTCTTCAAGAATAAAAGTACTATCAAAAACCCACTGGACATAGGTCCCGAAATGACTAGAGTAACCGTTCATAGATTGAAAGATCCCGATATGTCTGCATGCCATAAAAATATCCGTCCGTATTACTTAATAAAAGGTTACACGGACGGCCTCAACTTGAAAATAAAATTCTTAGAAAGCCCCCAAAAAATAAAAAAGGATAGTAAACATTTCTATTTAAAAATCCAATCCCTCTACAAAATAGTTAACACAAAAGATTAAAAAAATATTCAAAATAAACAAAAAATTCCTATAAAATTACTAAAAATTGTCACATGACTTTGTTCAAAAATTGGAAAAAATAGAAGCTTAAATAAATCGATAAACATAAAAAACAAGGAATATTAAAGGCGCGAGCCAAGGAATCTTCACTGTGCAAAATTTCTTTCGAAAAAATAATAAATACATCGCAGAGCCTATAAAATTGTCCAAATAAAAACCAGTAAAAAAGAATTAAAAAGAAAAAAGCGCTTGGCTTGGATTTTAAAAATACAGAACGCCAAAATAAATATTTTTAAAAGTCGCGGAAAATTAAAACGTCTGACACTAGAGTCTCGCTGGTTTTCCAACTTTTCTCGTGTCTTTTCGAACATTTTACCTTTACCTCAAGTAACCAAAAATGTCTACTGAAAAACGGGACTTTTCTGCTTTACTTAATACAAAATGTGAACGAAAAATGAAGAGGAAAGCGGCCAAACAGTTAAAATCAACTTGTAAGAAAGGCCAATCTCAACAACAAATCAATGTATTTTTTAATTAAAAATAATTTTTTTCTCAATTTCTTCAAATTTTCAGGTAGATTCGATAGTTGCAAAACAATTAGAGGATACCAAACGAAAGAAAAAACTTGAAAAACGAAGAAGGCTTAGAAATAAAAAGAGAAAGGAAAAAATTGAATTGGAAAGAAAAAAGAGGATTGAAGGGAAAAATGAAGAAAATTTTGATGAGACGGATGAGGAAGAAGGAGGGGAAGATGAAAATTGTACTATTGAACAGTTTAGAGAAGAGGTTTATTTTTGAATATTTTTTTAAATTAAAAAAAAAATTTTTTAAGGCCGAAAAAGTTCGTTCAGAAAGGTTAAAGGATGATTTGGATGAAGACGACCGCGAAATCCGTCGACTTGAAAGGCTTCTTAAGAAGAGTAAGAGAAGAAAGAAGGGGAAAACAGAAGTTGAGATGAGTGAAGATGAATTGGAGAAGATATTTTTGGGAAATGCTTCGAGTGGTGAAGAAGAATAACGGAAAAATATTTTTGGTTTTGTTTTGTTTTTAATTTAAAAATTGCAAAATAAAAAAATAATAAAGATATTGAACAATATTAATTTTCCCTTGAGAAGTTCCACAATTTAAAAGTTCGATCATAACAACTTGAGGCAATCCAATTTTCATCAGGTGATATATCAACACAAGTAACCTAAAAAATTGGAAAAAAATATTGAAGGGAGAAATTTTAAACTAAATCTGATTGTGAGATTTGCGGATAAAACTTGCGGACTTTAAACATAAAAATAAACCTTCATATTATGCGAATCAAATATCCTCAAAGGTTGCCATCCTGAACATGTCCATAATTTCATTGTATTGTCATACGAGCCAGTAACTAAATATTCTCCAGAAGGATCTATTCTGACACGCGAAACTAAATTGTTGTGAGCAGACATTGTATAAATTTGACGACGCATTCGGACATCCCAAATTTTACAAGTATTATCAGCACTTCCAGTAACCATTAGGAACCTTTAAAAAAATTTTTAAGAGAAAATGAAAATAAGTTTCCGTTGGATTAGCAAAACGTCCGCAAATTCATTCAGAAATTCGGTCCAAACAGTTAAATTTTAATAATTAAATTTCGACACCCAGGGTACAACAAATTGTTAATCTTGTGCTCGTCGACACACACACGAGCTTGGACAATACCCAGGCAAACCATGGATACAACAGTACTAACAACTAGATCCAGTTTCATGAAATTTTACGGATAAAATTTGCGAATGGCTTGTCAAAATAAAAAAATTTTTTTCGTAAAACAAACCCATTTTGATGCCAACTAACAGTGTAAATACCCTTCTGATGACCTTCTAGGAACATTATACAACGACCCGTTCTTAAATCTTAAAAATAAAATTTATTTAGTTTTTTAAATTAAAAAAACCCCAAACACGTCCATAACAATCAAGACCTCTAAAAATAAAAAAAAAAAGAAAAATCAATTTAAAAAATAAAAATACCCTGTAAGTAACAAAGAACCATCGACATGAAAATCCAAATCAAACAAAGATTTGCTATGTCCTTCTTGATAAATAAGTTCTTGTAAAGTTTCCAAATCAAATAAACGCCAAGAAGAGTCAAAACTGAAAAAGGGAAAAATTTTTAAAAATTAAAAAAATTTTTAAAAAACCAAGCTGTGCACAAATGCCTTCCATTTTGGTGAAATGCTAATCTAGGTACTCTATCCTCGTGCCTTTCTAATTTTGCCACAGGTTTTTCTCCATCTACCAAATTCCAAAATAAAACATTTCCTGAATGATCACAAGATGCAGCGTTTAATAAAAGAGGATCTTGACTTTTGTAAGCGCCGGGGTGAAAACGCTGAAAAAAAATTTTTTTGCGGACATTTAAAAGCATTCAAATTGTTCATTAAAAATAAAAAAATAAAATTATTTTACCGCTGCTCCAACTTGACAAGGGTGCCCTTGAAGTTTAAGTTCTTCTACACAATCGGGAATTGACCAAATTGATACTTGACCGGACCAGTTTGAGGTAATTATGTGTTTAGAATCAGGAGAAAATTCAGCGAATGAAGTTGGTCTAATGCCGGAAACCTTTAAAAAATTAAAGGAATTAAATAATTTTAACGATTCTCAAGGATTTTAAAGTAAAAATTCTATTTAATTTGCTTAAAAATCGGGCGTTTGGGAGCTCACTGAATTTAAAAAAAAATTTTAATTCAGAAAAGACCAAGTTGTGCAACATTAACAACAACACATCTCCGCAACATTAATTTTACTTAGATATCTCACTCACTGGTTTTGGGAGCTCACTGAATATGTCAATGAGCCCGGAACCAGAGGGTCGGAGCCAGAACAAAAACTCCCAATAACCAGCACTGCTTGAAATATATAAGTCGGAGACCAATATAGATAAGAAATACAAAAGAAATGAAGTTCCTATGTATTCCCATCATAGAGATCTCGAAATCCGAAAATCAACGGAAAACCGGGGTAGACGTCTTTAAAAAATATTTTCGACCCCTTACAGGTGAAATAAATATTTTATTTTAGGCTTATCTGAAAGCCCTTTAAATTTGCTACAAGATAGCATTAATTTTATTTTCAGAAAAAAATTCGTCTATAAGAAACTATGAGTTTAATTTATAGGTTAAATTTCAATCAATTTTTGGGGGCGTTTGAGTGATTTATATGACTTGAAAATTTATCACTTTGGCTCTCGGCGATGAATTTTTTCTATATAATGAAATAAAAACTATCTTGTAGCAAATTTAAAGGGCTTTCAGATAAGCCTAAAATAAAATTTTTATTTCACCTGTAAGGGGTCGAAAATATTTTTTAAAGACGTCTACCCCGGTTTTCCGTTGATTTTCGGATTTCGAGATCTCTATGATGGGAATACATAGGAACTTCATTTCTTTTGTATTTCTTATCTATATTGGTAGATATGTTCAGAAAAATTTTTTGTAGAGATATTCCATGCGTTAAAAAAATTTTTTTAAAGGGGGGTTATAATTATTAACACTGATTTTTTGGAAAAACGTCCAAAAAAAAGTCTGAGATCAGAAATTTTTAAAGATATTTTGTAAATATTATTTAATATACATTACAACACTACTACAGAAATTTCAGAACAATCCGACATCGGGAAGGTAAGAAACTCAAAAAATTCAAGGGGGGTTATAATTTCTTAACACACTGTAAGTCGGAGATTCCTCTCGGTAATATGGCTTACGGAAATTGCAAAGATAACCTTGAGTGAGTGTTAAAGCAAACAAAGTTTTTTTGTTAAAATTTCCACCCATAAAATATATTTAAAAACAAACTTGAGTGCCATAAATTTGAAGTGTTTGAATACGTCTATGTGTTGCTTGTTTAATTAAAGCTCTTTCTTGTTGTGAAAGCATTGCTTGCACTCTCGCTCTTTCCAATCTTTGTTTCTAAAATTAAAAAATTTTCTCTCTTAAAAATTTTTAAAAATTCAAACCGCTCTTTCCAAACTAAAATCAGCTATTTCAACCCTAGCATCTCGAAGAGCAGCAGGTCCTCGATGATACCAAGTACTTTGATCGTCTTGAATATCAGCCCTTTCTTTTTCGTCCAAATGAAGAATTGCATGAATTTCATCTTCTGACATTCGAGAAAGTAATGAACGAAGACGTTCTCTTCTATCCAAAATATCTTCACCAAAAATACATATTGGCTCATTACATCTCCGCAACATTAATTTTACTTGGATATCATCTGTTGGTAAAGTTAGACTTCTTGCCTTAAATTGTTTTTAAAAAAAGTTTAAAAATTGAAACTTTCAAAATAAATTTTTTAAATCAACATGTAATAGTAGGGATGGTCACAAACCCCGATACCCCAACCAACGATTTTTAAAAGTAATGGGATGGGTGGATAAAGTAAAAAAGCTAAAAGTTTCGGCCGATGGATCGAGGACCACCTGTAATAATAAAATCCAGACCTGCTCATAGATACGGATATGGACAGATATCAAGATGCCTGCTAATATCCGCCGTAAATATACGAATCCCAAAATCAGTTATATCACAACACTAATGTAAGACCGGCCGAGTACAACTTATCTTGTAAGCATGTTTACTCAATTCCACCTATTAAGACCTAGTAAATTTAATCACAGAAAAACTACGCAAATGATCGGAAATAACAACACACCCCAAAAAGTTCATATAGCCCAAAATAATCTAAATTTAAAAAACCTTTCTCCTTCGATCGAAATCAGCCAAAATTTCCTTCTGTATTGGATTATCTATAGCAGAAAGATCAACAATCCCTTCAATTGTAGCCATTTTTATGTAATTCCTTAAAGATTAATTAATCGCTTGTATTATAATGAAAATAGATAAAAAAGTAAATATGTATTAGAAAAAATACAATTTATTAAATAAAAACCATCTAACGAAACAATTTATATAATTAAAAGTAAAATAATAATTGAAAAAAAGCAAAAAATATTTTTTGGTAATATTCAAACAATAACTCTCTGACGTAAAATATTTTTCTGATTTCGAAACCTAAACGAAACGAAATGGAAAAGGGCACAAGCTAGCGAAACGAAATTTTGACCATTCCTAGCCCTGTCATTTCCCTTTAAAAATAGATTACTTAACTTATAGCCTAACTTCATTTACTTCTTCCTTAAAGAAATTTACTCCTTGGCATGAGACGAAATCAGACGATTTGTCTGAAATATAAAAATAAATACAAAACAAAATACATGCTTAATGTCTGGTAACACATTCTTTGTCTGAATCTTAATAGGCGAAGGACTTGGAACTTCTTTTTGGAAGTTTTCGGCTGAAGAAACGAAGTCAAACGCTTCAAGACTTCAAGAAACGGATATCTCCCAACCTTGGAACCGGAGACGAAATTTGAAAAAAGTCAGAACAAATCCCCAATACCAAACATAGGTAGTATAATATTGTTTGTTCTCAACTTTAGCTGAATAAGAACGAAGCAGATATGTTGCGAAACATTCGTATTCTGAAAGACGATATTAAGCTGTTGGAGCCTATACATCCAAAACAAAATAAAAAATCGACAAGTCCGTTTAAAGCCCAAACCAAAAATGTTTTGCCGCCGGTTCAAAAAGTATTTTGTTTTACATTTTTATATACCTATTTATTTTTATATATTTTAGGCAACTCAACAACTGGTTGGTGCTTGTGCGGAGAAGGTATTGTTTTATATTAAATAGTGTTTTTTCAGCTTAGAGCGGATTCTGCGTCAGTTGGAAAGAATATCGTTTAAATGCAGTTGCATGTTAAACTTCAAAAAATCCACCGTAAGATTAAGGCTAATACCCTTTCTCCTGATCATTTTTGCCATACATTTTTAGTATGGTTCTAGCGGATTTATTCCAATTTATAGAAATAAATGCCCAATTTTTTGAAGTTTTTTAACATGCAACTGCATTTAAACGATATTCTTTCCAACTGACGCAGAATCCGCTCTAAGCTGAAAAAACACTATTTAATATAAAACAATACCTTCTCCGCACAAGCACCAACCAGTTGTTGAGTTGCCTAAAATATATAAAAATGTAAAACAAAATACTTTTTGAACCGGCGGCAAAACATTTTTGGTTTGGGCTTTAAACGGACTTGTCGATTTTTTATTTTGTTTTGGATGTATAGGCTCCAACAGCTTAATATCGTCTTTCAGAATACGAATGTTTCGCAACATATCTGCTTCGTTCTTATTCAGCTAAAGTTGAGAACAAACAATATTATACTACCTATGTTTGGTATTGGGGATTTGTTCTGACTTTTTTCAAATTTCGTCTCCGGTTCCAAGGTTGGGAGATATCCGTTTCTTGAAAACTTGAAGCGTTTGACTTCGTTTCTTCAGCCGAAAACTTCCAAAAAGAAGTTCCAAGTCCTTCGCCTATTAAGATTCAGACAAAGAATGTGTTACCAGACATTAAGCATGTATTTTGTTTTGTATTTATTTTTATATTTCAGACAAATCGTCTGATTTAGTCTCATGCCAAGGAGTAAATTTCTTTAAGGAAGAAGTAAATGAAGTTAGGGTTGTACCCAGCCCCTGTGAAACGATGAATTTGACATTTATTTGAGAATTCCCCGCCCACCCCCCCCTCCCACAAGGGAATAATCCTAGTGATAACAGTGTGACCTCTTTACCTAGATTTGGAAAAGAACCCACTCTCATGAAAGTAAACTAAATATTACCAATAAAACACTCCAAAAATTATTATCATAAAATCAAAAATAAATAAACCAATCTCTTTTCTTCAATAAAATTCAGGAGCATTTCTTTCAATCGTCAATTGTTGCTGCAAATCCACCAATTTCTTCTTTAAAGCTTGAATTCCACTCAAAATAATATTTTCTGCCTTCAAAGCACCAGCACTTTCCACACTAATCCAAAACTTCCTTGGTTTGTCCATTGGGCGATAAGGAGCCTCTCGTTGATCTTCTTCATTTAATAATTCACTAAATTCGCTTTTTGGCCATTCCTCAGGTTTTGCTAAGACTGTGTGACGAAGAGCATTGTCTGGATCATATTCAAATGCAACGGATGAACAAGGATTCCATTTGGCATGTTCTTTTCCAAATCCCTTTTTGGCAAAACAACGCATTGAAATGGCTTGTCCTAAAAATTTTTGTTAAAGTTAAAATTCGGGTTTTGATTATTAAATAAACCTTTTCGAAGCTTAACAATCAAGATTTCATCAGAAATTCCATCCATCTCAAGAGTATCACGATTTGCATGAGAACCACAAGCCGGAACAACCTTTAATTAAAATTATTCATGTTTAAAAAATAATAATTTTCATGTTCGATTTTTCCTAAAATTTTCATTGTTTACTTTAAATGTAAACATAACCCTACGATCCGTATGCCTGCGAACTTTTTGCGGACAAATTCAATTTTCAAAGAAAATACCTATATGAACGGATTATCCCAATGCAAGCGTAATTACCCAAGCAAGCATAATTTCTTCAAAAACGTCTCCTCTTCAATGACAATGGCACAGGGAGGGAAATAGAAAAATTTGACCACAAAAAAGTCCGTAAAACATTTGTAAGGACAACAAATAACCCAAAATTAATTTCGTCCCTCAATTTATCCCTAACAGATAAACCTAAAGAAAAATAAATTTTCAACAAACCTCAATGTTATTCGACTCTAAATCATCCGAAGTAACAGCTCTAGTCGTATCCTCATCACAGCGAACATTCAATTCAAATTGGACAGAACAATTGGAACAAAACTCGGAACAAGTACAATCCTATTAATTTTATAAATTAAAAAACCCAACCAAACAAACTCTTGTATAATGCATTCTGTCAACAATTCCATCAGAAGTTAAAGGAATCATTCCCATTCGATTAGCAATAAATTCATCATGAAGAACAGAAGTATTTTGTTCTATTTGAACCCAATCAATTGCTACATAAAAGAAAATTTTTAAAATAAAAGAAAATAAAAAATATACCCATTATAGGTACTTCAGCCAAGAAAACACGACGTAGAGAATTTGCTACACTCAAATCAGTATCTTCCAGACAGAAGCGAACCAATTCATTGCTTAATTGTAAAATAGTCACTTGAGGTTGATTTGCATAAGGCATTCTTTAAAGGCCTTCTTTAAAATAAAAAATAGGTCAAAAATTTAAAAAGAAAAAAAAGATAGTAAATGTATTTTAAAACATTTTTAAACAGAACAAATTTAAATTTAATGAATTAATCTCATTTTATACTCTCACTTTTTTGTCATAAAATAATAAAATTTAAAAATGAATATTTACAAAAATATAAATATATCATACATATTGCGCGCAATGTTCGATAGACTCGTAGCATTATTAAAGGTATATTTTTTAAGAATGACAAAGAGATTTGAACTTTTATATTCCAAAAAAAATATTTTTTAGTTATCCTTATTCTTAACCTTTTATAATCTTTTCAAATCCTTTTTAAATCTAGGCCATACCCAGCGCTGGTTTTTAGTTCCGGGGATAGGGCTTAAGGAAGATTTGATGGAAGCCAGAGGACTGAGAATTTTAAATTAAAAAGTCAAAATCATCGAGAGGTGAGCCAGAAAAATGCGCTTATACCTCAACCCCACAGAAAATTTTAAAAATTATGCTACAAGCCTTTAAAATTTTTTTTACAAAATATCTTCCCTCATGTAGTAATCTTCAATTTTTGTTCATCACAAATTCTATCCAATGAACAACGAATATTTAATGCTGTCAGTCTTGATTTTGGACTAGCACTCCAACTTTCAGTCATTATCCTTACCAATTCATTTAATGATTCACAATTTTTCCAACTTGGATCGATTGTTGGCCTTTTTCCCTGAATGTGTACACACTCAAGCATATGCTCTAATAATGGTTCTCTTGGGACATATTCTTGATATGGAATTTCGTATGGAAGAGCAAAAATGTCTGCAGTTTTAATTTCTGTTCGTCTACAAGCCTCCCACATTATGAGAGAAAATGCATAAACATCCATTTGTAAATAAGAAGTGAATGAGTCACGGATGTAATTGTTGGCAAGAAATTCAGGCGCGAGATAACGCTAAATAAAAGAAATGAAAAGAAATAGAATATAAATTTTTTTCGAAAAATCAAAACCCAAAAGTTAGAAAAAACTCCCCTAAAATTTTGTAAAATTTATAAATTTACCCACCACTGTGCCTCCTCGATCCTGTTGAGGAATATCAATTAAACCATTTCCATATCTTATAGCCATTCCCAAATCAGCTATACAACAAGTCCAATCATTTTTGATTAATATATTTCTTGATTTTATGTCTCTATGTGCAATTCCAGGCTTATCTTTAACAAAAAATTTTTTAATTTTAGAAAAATAAAAAAAAAATATTTACGGCATTGATTATTCACTCCAGGCAATTCAGAATGTAAATAAGCTAATCCATGAGCTATTGAACGCATAAATTGAATATTCATTTCTAATGTAATTTTGTTTTGTTCAAGAAAATCATAAAGAGATCCATTTGGTAAATATTCTGTGACTAGCCAAAGTTGGGTAGATGAACCAGCATCTTAAAAAAGGAAAAAATATTTTTTTCTGAATGGCAAAATTCAAAAGATAAAAAATTCTTATAGAGGGAATAGCTAAAAAATATTTTTTTCTGAATGGCAAAATTCAAAAGATAAAAAATTCTTATAGAGGGAATAGCTAAAAAATATTTTTTTCTGAATGGCAAAATTCAAAAGATAAAAAATTCTTATAGAGGGAATAGCTAAAAAATATTTTTTTCTGAATGGCAAAATTCAAAAGATAAAAAATTCTTATAGAGGGAATAGCTAAAAAATATTTTTTTCTGAATGGCAAAATTCAAAAGATAAAAAATTCTTATAGAGGGAATAGCTAAAAAATATTTTTTTCTGAATGGCAAAATTCAAAAGATAAAAAATTCTTATAGAGGGAATAGCTAAAAAATATTTTTTTCTGAATGGCAAAATTCAAAAGATAAAAAATTCCTAAATTTTCTATAGAAAAAAATTTTCCCAAAGATAAAAAATCCCTATAGAGGGAATAGAAAGAAAAACAATACCACTTATTTTTTTAATTAACCATTTATCGAATATTTTTCTTCTAGGAATTACTGCTCTGTTTATTTTGAAAACATCCTAAGATAATCTTTACTCACCAAAAATAAATTTAAGACCAGGTGAGTATCGAACTCACGTCCATAATCCTTCAAAAACCAACTTAACCATAACACTTATCGGATTTAAAAATCTCCTAAACATCCTTTCCCCCCAAAAAATATCAAAAAACCTTTTGTATCACTTCCAATCCATCGAAGAAGATTTGAATGTCTCAACATATTATGCTTGTAAATATCAGTTTCTCTTTGCCAAGAAGGCTCATCTCTCGATAAAAAAATTTTTACAGCAACTTTTTCAGCTCTCCATTCCCCCATATAAACTTCTCCAAAACGTCCACGTCCAATACAATCTTTCAAAATTATTTGCCAAGCAATTGTTCTTTGAACTAAAATTGGCATTCCAGCACCAGAACCAGTTGATATTGGATTTTGTTTTCTTTCCAAATCCCCAATTAATTTTTTCAAAACTTTTCTTTTTTCACCAGTATCAGTTGTTATAAATTGATCATATTCTTCATCATCTTCTTCATTTACCCTATAAACTTCTTCCATTGGTAAATTGTTGTTATTTCTTGTAGAACGCAAACGACGATTGCTATAAAAATTTATTTATAAAGGGAAAGTTGATTTTTGCGGACTGAGGACAAAATCGAAGCCTACTGAAATTAGAACTATCTTTGTGTCATAGCCAGGATAAACCCTGGGTTATTACTTATTTTTTTAATTCATGTTAGTGGGTATCAGAGGTGGGTCTGAATTCTAATTTTCGACATTTTTCCTTCCGATTTCCAAAAAACAATTTTTATTTCCGTTTCCGACTTTTGAGCCAGTCCCGATTTCTGGCTCTTCTGATTTCCGACCTCTGACTGTTTCAACCCACCTCTGGTGGTCGAATGTCATCCATATAATTGAAAAAAATTTTAAGGAAGTGATTAAAATATATTATTAATTGGATCGACAGCTCTTGGAAACCAAACCAATCGAGAACCGAACCGCAAAATCCTCAGTTCTTTTTCATTTCAAATTACCAATAAAATTAAAAAAACCAACTAAAAATTCCTCAAGCGAGTAACCAAATTATCAAAAGACTTCTTTATTCTTTTCTTAATTCTAGCACCAAAATTAATTCCAACACAAAGTCCAAATCCAGAAAAGAGGACAGAAACAGCAAAAAGCAAAAGAAAATACAAATATGAAGTATTTGAATTGTCGTTATCATTTGTAATTTCAGGAAAACCTTGTCCAGTTGTTTCGATGGAAAACTTAAAAAAACGAATATAAAGTTTTGAAAATTTCTATGGTTGCGTCTCACTGACATGAGTGAGTTTTTGGAATTAAAAAAGTTTTAAAAAATAGTTAAAATGTCTAAAAATTTTATTAACCCTAATATTTTAATTTAAATTCGTTTAGATTTTTTAAATGCTTCATCACTGAAAAAATACAAAGAATTTGAAAAACGAATTTCCCTTATTTGTTTTCCTTATTGAATTTCCCTTATCGCAGTTTTAAAAGCATGCTCACAAAAAACTGTCTCTGATTTTTTTTTTCAGATTTTAAAGCCTGCGGCTTTAAAATATTTTCCCTTATTAATTGAAAAACAATGTCTCCCAGAAAACAAATTTTCCAAAAAAATTTATATTGAAATATTTTCAAAAAACATTAAAAAACCTTTTTATCATTGCAAAAAGAGCCATCTCTACAACATTTAACTATTTGTATAAGTTGTGATGTATTAACACTTTGACAGACAAAAGGACGTTCTTTAGGTACTAACTGGTCGGCGTGCATACAACTAAAGATTTAAAAATAATTTCAAAAAAATTTTTTAAAAAACATACGAAAGCACAACTTCTTTAATTTTTTTATCTTTTCCCAGATGGACCATTCTTCTGCATTGTCCTCCAGTATGTGCTCTACATATTCCTTCATATTTAGATCCAGCAATATCAGTAATTTCCCTACTACAACCATCGTGATTACATCTACATAATAATTCACTATTTTTCATTGGGGGATGTACAAATTGCTGAAAATTGAAAAAATTTTGTTTGACAAATTTTAATAAGAGTAAGAGCAAGGCATTTCAAGGTTAAGCCCCGGACAGGCATCGATCCTACGTCCTCAGTCAGTTAATTCTAGGCGTTTTCGCTCACCACGTACAGAGCGGTCTAGCGACTTTACATGGTAACCAGCTCTCTACTTCCTTACATTAATTAATTTAAAGCTGACCAGGTTAACTTACCTATAAAACCCTCCAAAATAAATTTAAAAAAACCTTATGTTCTGAAAACTTTTTTCTAATTTCAGCTTCTATTTTTTTATTGACATTTGGCTCAACATCTGAAGACAGCATAGAAGGCAAAAGTAGAATAATTAGAATTTTGAATTTGTAAAAATAATCCATTTTGATAAATTTAAAAATCTGAAAATTAAAATCAGATTTAACAAAAACTTTAACTAACAAGTTGACTGTCTATCGTCTCTTATAATTTAGTTATATTTCACTCTCAAGGTTAGATTTCCTGTCTAGACGCTGTAAAAGATTTTTATTGGCACTTTCATAATTCTAAAAATAATTAATATAAATTATTTAAAAATATTGATAAAATTCAAATAATTTTGAAAAAATGCAAAGAAAATTTTTTAAAATAATTTATTAAAAAAAAATAATACTCTAATAAATTAAATAATGAGGCAAAAAATTCAAATAATGAAATAAAAAGCAATAATAAACATCGGGAATTTAAAGAAAAGGCAAAGCAGTTCACCTAACAATAAGGAATACATGAATAGAGATCGAAATTAAAAAAAAACTTTTGACCTTGATTCTTGATTTTGGTTGAGGACCTTGACCAGATTTCTAACCTTGAATTACGGAAAAATCGAGAAAATCAAAAAATGCCTTGAGCTTAACTCTGAATCCAGTAAAAAACAAGGTCTAGATCCACAGAAAACAAGGTCTAGATTTAGATTACTTCTTTGTTGGTGACGGTGTCTTCTTAACCTTGTCTTCCAAAGTTCCGGAAGGTTCAAACTACGGAGAAGGTAGTTCCAACTATGGGGAACAACATCCCCCATTTTTGAATAAATTTTAGACATCCAAGTTGTCATTCATTATACCTACCCTGTGGTTGGAATACCTCCCACGTTGTTAGAATACCTTCCACGCCACTGCAACATTGTCAGGACAATACTCTGTCCAGACAAAACTCGGTCATCCCAAACACCCCAAATCTATTAAAAATCTAGTTTAATTTAAACATACCCCGTCGAATTGAGTCTTCAAGAGCTTGATCTCCGCAGCCTGAAAAATAAATAAATTTAAAAGCTAAATAATACATTTCCAGCCACTGATGATGGCACATTGTCATACACTTTGTCTTGCTTCTCCATTTAGGTTTTTAAATTCTAAAAAATCAAAAAAACTTCAGTCGGCTCGTATAAGCCGATTTTAGATGGGCACTTTAGCTTATAGCGTTGTTGGGAATTAATGCGAAAGTACCGCTCATCTACTTTACAAAACTATTTATAGTTGGACACCGAAAATGGTCGGCTCAATCGTCGTGTTGATAAGATCGAGGCGAAGGTAAACCGCTATCACCCTGATTTTCCAGGGAAGAACAAAACTTCGCCTGGCAAAGCTTCGCCGAAAAATAAATAAGAAGTGAAGGAAGAATTTAAATACAACAATGACGTAAAGAAAAAAAATTATTTAATTACATCGAATAAATTGTCATTGTTTTTGTATTTTTAGGTTTCTTATTTAACTCTAGTTTAGATATTCCCCCTTCTAATATTTTGAGAACTTTAATTTAGATTTAAGGAGCCTTTCCTTTAAAATTCCCATTTCTCAATTCAAGTTCACATTTTAAGAAGTATGTTGAAATTACGTCGATTTTCTTATCTTAATCTAGAAGCTTAAAGCTTTTTTAGTAAACCTAAAAATACAAAAACAATGACAATTTATTCGATGTAATTAAATAATTTTTTTTCTTTACGTCATTGTTGTATTTAAATTCTTCCTTCACTTCTTATTTCTTTTTCGGCGAAGCTTTTTTAGGCGAAGTTTTGTTCTTCCCTGGAAAATCAGGGTGATAGCGGTTTACCTTCGCCTCGATCTTATCAACACGACGATTGAGCCGACCATTTTCGGTGTCCAACTATAAATAGTTTTGTAAAGTAGATGAGCGGTACTTTCGCATTAATTCCCAACAACGCTATAAGCTAAAGTCTCCATTTAGGTGCCCATCTAAACTCTAAAGTGCCCATCTAAAATCGGCTTATACGAGCCGACTGAAGTTTTTTTGATTTTTTAGAATTTAAAAACCTAAATGGAGAAGCAAGACAAAGTGTATGACAATGTGCCATCATCAGTGGCGGAAAATGTATTATTTAGCTTTTAAATTTATTTATTTTTCAGGCGGCGGAGATCAAGCTGTTGAAGACTCAATTCGACGGGGTATGTTTAAATTAAATTAGAATTTAAATAGATTTGGGGTTAATAGATTTGGGGGGTTTGGGATGACCGAGTTTTGTCTGGACCGAGTATTGTCCTGACAATGTTGTAGTGGCGTGTATTCTTGACTTTGACTCAAGGAAAAATCAAGGAAACTGAAAAATGGCCATATTTTGACTGTATCCAGATCCAGGCCGATCACTAAACAAAATTTAATGGCAAACACGAGGTTTCAAATAATTTAGAGGGGATCCCCTCTTAAAAATCTCAACCCAAAAAAGATGAACTGCTCTCCTCTAAAAACATCAAACATTTGGGGCATGCCTACTAAGTAAATCAATCATTAAAATTAATAAATAAAAAAATAAAATAACCCGAAAAACAATTGTAACTTTTTCAATAAAATCTTTTGTTTTATCCCCAGCTATATAAATTATGCGGAAAGTGCGAAGAATGTGGCCACTTGGAAATCCTGTGCAACTGAAAAATTGTTTAAAAATTAAAAAATATGTAAAATAGGGTTGTTCACGATCGAAAACCGAAAATTTTGCAAATGGATGTATTTTTTAAAATTTATTTATAACTAAAATCCAATTTGAAAACTGACTTTAAATTTTGGATTAACCGAAAACCGAGGTATCAGTCAATAACCGGTGGTGAACAACTCCGAAGTAAGTTAAAGAAAAGATAGCATTTGGAACACCAAATCGTTCTAATAAGTTAGATATCATGGGTGTGCCGAAACGGATTTTAAAAAGCGAAACGCGAAATTCGAGTCCAAAAACGCGAAAACCCGCGAAATGCAAAACTGGCACACCCCTGTTAGGTATGTCAGAGGATACTACACCTTTCCATTTTTAAAAAAATAAAGGGAGGGGTAGAAGGTCCAAATGTTCCATCGACGACTATCCATTTTAAAATAAAAATTAAATATTAAAAACCAACGAGTAATATCCACCATCTTTAGCCATAATGTTATGAATAATTAATTCGCCATGAGATGTTAGCTGCACACGTTTTGTTTCGTTGGTAGCAAAAATGTGGCTGTTGTTTAATTCTTCCAAATTTTTGCGCCAAATTAAAGAATGTCCATCTTGGTTGGAACAATCAAGTAAAAGTATTTGACTTTCTGTTGCCTAAAAAAATTAATTTTTAAATTTATCAATGTCAGAAAGACAATTAGTAGATTATTTTATAAAGAAAAAAGCGAGGGAAATTTGTTTGAATAAAGAGGAAAGTATTCTTAAGATTAAAGAAGTCCGATAAAATTTGTTTAAAAATGGAACATCTATTGTGATTCGAATTATGTAGTGGTGCTTCTACAGCATAGAAGCCAGTTTTGTATAAAAATGGCAGAATAGTTGGACCATACTAGCCCGGCTAGTCAATGATCTTCTTCGTCTTTTAAAAGAAACAGAAGGTAAAAAACCTTTTTCGAAAAATCTGATAACATCGCGCTAATTACACAACCCCGCCCTTCGAATAGACCCCCTATCCTTCCCCCCTATTCTTCAATTTAAAAATTTAAAAAATTCATACAAAAATTGTTCGTCGAATAATTGGCGGTGCCAAAGGAGGCAATCTTTCATCTGTAGTAAATTCTCCAGGTTCAAGTACATCAACAACTTCAATTTTTCCCTCTTCTTCTAAAGTTACATTTCTAGCCACCTTGTTATTTATTCCCGAGTCTTTACAAGAAATCTAAAAAAATTAATTTTAAAAATTATTTTAAAACTTAAAAAATACTCTGCATTCTGTATATTCTTCAACAATTGTCAGATCCAAATTTTTTATTGCATTAAAAACTTTTGAAGGAACTAAAGAACTCAAACATGGAAGTTCACCAAACAAAATAAAAACATCTAGTTCTTTTTTGGTATAATTAGAAAAATCAGGAACTTGAGTAATTGGTTTCCTCTGAAATAAAATTTAAGTTTAAAAAATTATCCACAAAATAGTAAACATGAGGAAAGCAGCGTGGGAAGAATGAAAGGGTAAAGGGATTGTCCCTCGAAACCAGAGGTGGGTCGGAATTGCGATTTCCGACGTTTTTTCCCTCCGTTTTCCGAAAAAAAGTTGATTTCCAATTACTTTTGAGCCAGTTCCTTTTCCGGCTCTTCTAATTTCCGACACATCTGACTGTTCCGACCCACCTCTGCCCGAAACCCGATACCCAAAATAGACTTTTCGACTCAAACCACAATCCGAAATTTTAATCACCGCCAAACTTTTTCTCAAATCGTGACATCCTTGGTACAGACATTACCCAAAAAACAGTTCAAACACAGTATTTTTGAGGAAGATGAATTATAACGGAGACTGCAATCAAATCCTTATGTGACCGCCCAGGAATGAGAACCCTGCATTCCTCAGGATATAACAAAAAATAACCCTTATATAACATTGCACAGTACGTCTAGTTTCTCCAAAACGAGTACTTCCACATTTATTGCATTGACTCCATTCTGTTGCGCGACCATAAACCTCCAAAAGCTTGCTTAAATCGACAGAAAGAGAAAATTTTTTAAATTTTCGTTGAGCTTCAGATTCTTCTAGAGGAGGTGATTGATCACAATTCCACAATATAGCGGATTTATTTGCACAAGAAAATTCAGAGTTTTCAACATGAACCTTAAATTTAAGAGAATTTTTGGGATCAACCCTGGAGGCCGACTCCCTAGTGGTCAAATTACCCCGAAGGCCAACTCCAAATATTTGGGCAGACAAGGAAGTTTTAGGCGGATTAAGAAGGATTTGCAAAAAGGGACAGAAGACAAAAATTCTCTCGTGTAACTGTCAGATAAGGTAAAAGGCAGCAGGCCAATGTGTTCTTGACCTTGAGTCCCCTTTATCTAGGGCAAATATTTAGAGTCGACCTCCAGAGTCAGATGACCTCTATAAAGTTGACCTCTAGGGCTGGAGCCAACTTTTTTTAAATTTGTTTTTAAATATTAAATTTATACCATTCTAATCTTCATTGTTGGAATAACATCAACAAATTGAATTTGGGCAATGTCCAAGTAGGTGTTTTTTGGTTTTCTAGTTGTTTTGGTTTTAGTTGAAGTTGCTCTGATTTTTGGCTTTTTTGTTATTTTGCTTTTTAAGTTTTTTGTTGTTTTGACTTTTGGTTTTGTCTTAGCAGCTCTTTTGACTTTTGGTTTAATAGTTGCTTTGACTGCAGGCTTTTTTGTCTTCACAGGTTTTTTTGTCTTTGGAGTTTTTGTAGTTTTAATTTGTTTGATTTTTGATGTCTTTTTTGTCGTTGTAATCGTTGTAGCCTTTCCCTTCTCTTCATGAACCTTCTTCTTTCGTTCGCCAACACAACGATACCATCCTGAATGATCTTCTGCAGTTAATTTCCGAAGTTCCAATTCATAATGGTCACCCAAAAACATATTTCGAAGTTGTCCTTTCTTGGCCTCCTTATCCTTGTCTTTGGCAAAAATTCTACAAAAATTGATATTCTATTGGAATTTAATTAAAAACCTGTCAATAAAATCCATTACTTCCTCTTGTAAGCCTCTCCCTTTGTCGTCAAACGTTTCAGATGCTTTTTTCCATATTCGAGTTCTATTGAATTCAACACTTTTTTGCCAGTAATATTTAGCCAATTCATCGATAACTGTTGGTCTTCTTTTGTGTTTTCGCGCTTGAGCTATTTTCTAAATTTGAAGGTGTCTTAAGGGAGGAATTAAAATAAAACAACCTCCTTAATGAATTTAAGCACAGACTGTATTCTGCGACCAATAGCCTAAAAACAAATTTTTTCAAATTTCCTAAAACAAATAAACCGAAGGACTTGGTTTCCATTTATCTTCTAATTCATCAGCATCGTCTGGATGAAGACTAGAAAGATAAAAAGTGAATACTACCTATCTAACAATAAGAAACAAACCATTCAAAACAACGCAGCCAAAGTGAGCTATTCTTAACTGCAACAACAGCACGCAAAGGTTGTACTCCAAAACGTTCCAGCTCATCCTTTTGTCTATTCATACATCGTTCATTAAATTTGTAACGATCACTTTTGCGCTACAAAAATTTTAAGAGGTTTTATTAAAGTATTTATCTCTTCTTTCACCTGCATAACCCATTGAGGTGAATTTGTAAAAGTAACAACAATAATGACGTTTAACAATAGATTTAGAATAATAAAAGAAAAACTTTTGAAATTCATTCCTAAAATTATTCACAATAAATGTTATCAATGTATCATAGCTTAAACTGATAAAAATTTGTAGTACCAAAAAGTTGCTGCTTTTATAGTAAATATTTTGGCGTTGTGATTTTACGCGTAAATTTTTTCAATTTAAAATTTTTAGTATAAAAGCTTAATTTGTTTTTCGTTCCTTGTTTGTTCGTAGTTATTCACTCCCTAAATTTTTCTTACTCTCTTCTAGATTTTAGTATTTATCATGAATACAATTGTCGAAACTGCTGTCAAAATTGTTGGGTAATCTCAAATTTGTTTATAAATCTTATCCTTTTTTTCAAGTCCTGTCAAGGTTCAACTGGACGATTTTGTGGATCGCCTTTGCTACAAGGCTACTTCTACGCTTCTGTTTGTTTTTGCTTTGCTGACAACCATCGACACTTTTGGGAAACCAATTAATTGTATGGTACCGGCGGAGTTTACAGGTTTTGAACCTCTTGTAATTGATGAACTTCACTGACCTTCCCATAAATAATTTTAGAGATTTGGTCCAATTTTGTTCATCAATACTGCTTTGTCACTGGCACCTATGTCAAAAACTATGATGCTGACGGCGTGATGGAGAAGGTCTTTGTGGGCTATTATCAATGGGTGCCCTTTGTGCTCGTCCTTCAAGCAGTTGCTATGTACTTGCCTTATCTGTTTTGGGATTTCTGCCAGGGTTGGTCTACTGGTTTGTACTTTTCCTTCTATTCTATTTCTTCTAAAATGCTTATTTTTTTAGATGTCGACTTCTCGCATATCAATTCGCTCTGTGCAAAGGCGCGTACAGATGAAGCAGCTAACCGCACAGTACATTTGGACAAGGCGGCAAAGCAAATCTATCAGGTTCCTCTTAATATATGTTGTCTTCTGATCATTAAAAAATTTTTATAGGTTGCCAAACATCGCGGTTTTCATGGTATTGGATTTGGTGCAGTATACTTCTACATGGTCTTCAAACTTGTGAATATTGTGATGATCGTTAGCCAAATTACTTTCCTAGCTGGGTTTTGTGGAAAGGGCAATCTTTTTTGGGGAATTAAGGTCTGAAAATATTTTTTAAATTGGATTAGTTTCTTTAAATTCAGTTTGCGGAAGAAATGGTTGCAGGCAATTCTCTCTACTGGGACAAATTTGGTTATTTCCCTCGTGTTGCTTATTGCTCTTTTGGCCGTGATTTTCTTGGAAGTAGTTCTGGAAATTTGGTGCAGGAGGCGAGATGCACACTTGGCTTCAACGTCATCAATGAGAAGGTTGGGAAAAAATTTTTTTTATTGATTCAATTTTTAAGATTTTCCTGATACTCTTTTTCTGGTTCATCTTTCTCTTCGTGCTGACTTTGCTCAATGCTTATTCATTCCTTTATGGAATTTTTTGCTGCAAGCGAATCCAAACGGTGAGCAACTATCTGAGGTTGGTTGATCGTTGTGATGAGCTTTTTGGCGTGATTGCTGTCCCTACTACTAGTACTGCCGTTTCTAATGCTAACAAGAATAAGAGTCTCAACACTGGTTAGTTTTTTATTCGAAACAATTTTTTCAAACGTTGGGACAAAATGTCCATTTTTTAATATAAATGACACATTTGTGAAAAATAAAATTTTCAGATCGCAAAACGGTTACCGATTTTGTGAACCGTGTACTTGGATATGATGGTGTATTGCTTCTCCAATTTATCAAAGCAAATAATGGAGAGCTTGTAGCTGTTGAAGTTTGTTCGCGTCTTTTCCAGATCGACGCTCGTAATAAGAAATAGTAGAAGTGTTTGGATAAAAAAAGAAAATTGGAGAAAATATTCTAGGTTATTTTTTGTTTCGATCTTCCCCTTTGATCTCCCCTTTCCTTAAAATATAATTTGTTTTTTAAATGTAATTTTACTTAATTGTTCTGTGTTCCCTTTTTCTTTTTCCCTCCTATAGGTATATTAAATTGTTGTAATATTATGGTTCTGTAATTGGTTGTTAATAAAAATATTTGTGGTTATTTTCTTGTATTTTAAAAATTTTTTAACTTAAATTTTGAATACCTTTTTTACCATCCGAAAAATTATTTAGGAAATCTCTTCAGGAAAATCTTTCTTGAAATGTCCTACAAAAGACGATCAAGGGTATTATTTAATTCTGAATTATCAAAAATAATTATTCTCTCCTTTTAGGATTACACTCCTGAGGAAGAAAGGCGCCATCGTAATTCTTCTACAGAGACTTATGGGTTTATTTTTAAAATTAGTTTTTATTTTATTTTTTAAATTTAAGTGAGGAGGGTATTATTCGATCTCCGCCTCGTCATTATCATAACTCGCCTAGTCAATCTCGTAGATATCGAAGCCGCAGGTATTTTCACATTAAAACTAATAAAGACAAAAATTCAGTCGTTCTCATGACCGCCAATACTCGCGTTCGTCCAACTACGGTGGACGCTTTCGCCATAATGATGGACGTGATAATCCTTCAGTTTCCAGTTGTCTTGGAGTATTTGGAATGACTAAGGTTTTTTTTGAATTTTAAAGAGGACTTGAGACTTACTTTTTCCATTCAGAATACAACAGAAGCTGATCTCCGACGTATTTTTGAATATTTTGGGCCAGTGGAAAGTATGCAAATTGTTTATGATAGAGTCTATGGGGATTCGAAGGGATTTGGTTTTATCTATTTTCGGCGAACTAGAGATGCAACAGAGGTTTGGAAAAATTTTTTCAAAAAAATTTTCTAATAAATATTTAAGGCGAGAGAGCACATGTCTGATGTTAAAATAAATGGAGTTCGTGTTAGGGTGGATTATTCGTTGACTAGTTATGCTCTTGGACCTAAGTAAGTTTCTTTGTTAAATAATTTGGGTGGGGGCTTACTCGAAGAATTCCAAATCACGGAACAGACAGGTCATGGAACGACCAACTCACTGAATGACCAAAGTACGGAATATTTTAAAAATCAAAATATTTTTAAAAATCAGATTTTTTAAAATATTCAATGTTTTGGTCATTCCGTGATTTGTCGTTACGTGATTTAGCCCGACATGTATAATTTTTGCTTTATCATTTGAGTAACTTTTTAATTTTATTTTTAAAAAGTATTTTGAAATAAGCAAAAATTAACTAATTTTTAAAACATTTTTTTGGATTTCATCACAATTTTTTTCGGCGGATGACTGTTCTATTTAAATAAAAAAAATAATTCACAAAAATGAGAGTATTTGAGAAATATTTAAACATTAGTAAACTTTATTTTTCGCTTGCTGTCTATTTCAAAATTTTTTTGCGATGAAATATCTCTATTTTGTAATTAATTTTTTTAAATATTTCAAAATACTTTTTAAAGCATTTTTGGTCATTTTAGTCATTATAAATTTACTCCGATTTATTTTTCTTCTTTTTATTTTTCCCCTTTCAGTCGTCATTCCAATAACTTTTCTAGAAGCGGTTCTTACTATAATCGCGGTTCTTCTTATTATAATAATGGCCGTTCGCGATATCATGATTAATTTCTAAATATGGAGGAAATTAAAAGGATAGAAAAATATATTTACTTTAAATGCTCACGTTGATCTCCCAAAAAATTATTTCTTGCCTTTTTTGCTGTCTATTTATTGTAAAAGGTTGTTGCTTCTAATTAGTGGGAGGGTTGTCTTTTTATTTGTTCCTTTCAAAGCGGGGGAGCCTTTCTAAAAAAATTTTTTTGAAACCGATTCTTCTATAAAAATTATGCTGGACCAAACCCTCTAAAAAAAAAATTTTTTTTTTCTTAAATCTAAAAGACCTATTTATAGAAAATTTTTATTTCCTCCCTCCCTTTAGGAAAATTTTTTAACTTCAAACTAGACCAGACTGGGAGGGTCATATGAAAATCGATATCTCGAAAAATCTCGATTCTCGATAGGCTAGATTTTTGTTCGAGATCTCGTCTCGGTCCGATCTCTGATTAAAATAGGTAAACTCTATTTATAGAAACTTTTTTTATCTCCCCGTCCTTTCAAAGAAATTTTCTTTCATTTTCTAAAACCAAAAAGTTTAATTTTATAAAAGACTGCATTTTTCCTTTCTTCTTGTCTTCGTGGAGACAACAACCTTTATTTTACCTGTCTATTGATTTATTCAAAAAAATTAAAAAAAGATTTTCTATTTAGTTTTTTCTCATTTTTTTAATTAAATGGATTTATTCTCCATTAAAAAAATTTTTTTAATTTAAAAAAAAAAATTTTCAAAAATTTTTTAAGCAAAAAAAGAGGCGTTTAAACGCTCCTCTAAACTAAAAAAATAAAAAACTCGTCAATCTTCATATGTCTGAGAATCTAAAAAAATATAATAAACAACAAATTGTCGAAATATTTGATTGTCAACCACTTAAAAGAAAACGAAAAAGTCGCCGTCAATTTTCTAGAGGAAATTTTATTGAAAGTTTTTCTATATTTTGATAAATAATGGGAAAGAAGAGAAATACAAATAAAGTTACTTTGGCTGTGCCGTTAAGTGTGGCGGCGATTGGAGGAGGGAAAGGTTTTTTTTTAGAATTTTTAGAAATTAAAAAAAATTTTTTTTGAAGGTGGTGGATCGATTGGAGGTCCTGATCCGAGTGACACGAGTGATTTGGAATCTGTTTATTCTGCGTCGGTGGTTGGAGAGGGAGCTGATTCAGGTTTGATTTTTTAATTTTCTCTATTTGGGGTTGTTTTCTTTACGTGGAAGGAATGTGATGGGACGTGTTAAAAAATCTGGTCTTTTAATAGAGGAACCATGAAAAAATTTTTTCGAATCCGAGAAATCTTCCTTGTCCGAGAAATTTTTCATGGAAATTTTTTCCATAAAGGAAGAAATCTGGTTTTTTGGCCTTCATCTCTTGTATTAAGTTAATTTGAGTAGTAATCATGATTAATAAATCATAATTAGCCATGCAAATTCCGGACTGGAAATTTTAATATTTTCTCAAAGTTTTTTTAAAAAGATTTTTGAAATTTTCGTCCTTATTTTTCCTTCTTTTTAATATTCACTTTAAATCATTTTTCCTCTTATTCTCTTTCAATACTTATTTAATCCTTTTAAGATAACGAAAACGACTTTGCTAGTCTTGTTGACTCTTTTGGTGATTTGGTAGAAAATGCACAAGACAAAAGGTATTTTCAAAAAAATTTCTAAAAATTAAAAATAAAATTTTAAAGAATAGAAACACGCCTTCGAGCAATTGACAGTCTTTTACTCGTCTTAAACAAAAATTGTATTCCTGAAAGTGTCGAAAAATGGCGTGGAACACTTGCAGAAATTATTCTTGTTAATTTAAAAAGAACTTTTGAGGAAGCTACGCGTGTTTGTTCTTTGGCTGCTTTGCTGAGTTTACAATTGGGTGTGGGAATTGAAGAGGATATTTGCGAGATTGTTAATTTAATGCGTCAAATTTGTTCGGATGTAAGTGCTTCTGAAGTTGTTCGTTCTTCTTGTGCTCAGGCTATTGGACTTTGTGTTTATTTGAGTGTTGAGGTTATTTTTTATATTTTGGGAAATATTATTAGAATGATAGACTTGATCTAGAGAACGGATTTATTTTTGAAAAATCGGTCTAAACAACCTGATAACATTTAGATACAATTCAAAACTATTTAAATTTTTTAAAATAAGACCTGAGCCTAGAGTTCAAGGAATCAAGAAACGTCTAGGAAATTCAGAAAACACCAGGGTCTGGCTCCTGGTATAGGAAGGCACCAGCTCGAACTCCACATGAGCTTTACATGGGCCACCCTAATCTTAGCCTCTGCTTAGCCTATCCCCTAGTTTACTTTAACCTTTTATTCTTTTCCTAAATTTATTTTTTAAATATTTTTCAGAGTCACAACGATCGTTTGGAATCAATGCAAACACTTAAAAGTATCTGGTCAGCAATGAAACCTGCGGGTGTTGGTGGTACTTCTCTTTTTTCTTCTGCTTTAGCTTCTTGGTCTTTACTTTTAGAACGGGTTTTTTAATTCAAAATTATTTCCAAAAAATTTGTTTAAAGTTTGATTCTGATTTTATTTCAACCCAAATTGGAGAAATGCAACCGAGAATTTGTTCTTTTCTGGAGTCTACAACAGTTGAGGCTCGTATTTCAGCTGGAGAAGCATTGATGATTTTACATGAGATTGGTGTTGAAAATATTGATGATAGATTTCAATTTAGGTTTTTAATTTTATTTTTTTATTCTTAAAAATTTATATTTTTCTCCAACGGTTCCAAGGTCCTGTTTTATGGGAAATGTTCCGTTAAATTTTCATTTGCATAAAAAGCAATCCCAACCTTTAGATTAAGCAAAGATTTAGGAGATTGTAATCAACGGGCAATCTTTCCATGGTGCTTCTTTATTTTCTTTACGTTAGCAAGACTTGCCATTTTGGAGAGGTTAACCTATGTCTTATCAAGTTTTGAAAAATTTAGAGGCGAATTCGAGTCGTCTAGTTTCAATGTTATTTCTGGACGTAAGCCGCAAAGCGCCTTTTTATGCGAACCTGAGCCGTTCGGGATGAAAAGCAACACAATCTCTTGATTAGGCAAAGAAATTCGAAAATTTTGTAAAATTCTAACGTGTTGTACGTCCCTTATTTTGAAACTAGAACACTTATTTAAGACCCAACTCTTTGAAAAATTCCAAGTCTTAAAAATTTTTTTCCTTATTTTAACAGCAACCAAAATTATTTGAAACAAATTCTCGGCAACTTAGCAGCAGATTCTTCAAAAAACCGAGCAAAAAGAGACAAAAAACTTCAAAAACTAACTTTTCGACATATTAATGATGTTATTTGTAATGAAAAACTTGAACAATTATCTATCCGTTTTAATAAACGGGAAACTTTGGATATACAAAAATGTCATCAAAAATTATTGTATGATTTACTTTGTCAATTATTGAAGGTTTTTTGTTTAAATAATTTTTTTTTAATTTTTTAAATAATTTCTAGAGCGATTTAAATGGACATTTAACCAAAAATTTAGTATTGAGGGAACTTTTTGATCTTGGACCTGTTGTGTCGATTGAAGAACCTGTGAAAATGAGCAAGTCGCAAAAGATTGAACGGGTTTGTGATTTTATTTTTTTTAATTGTGTGGCGGGGGGGATCATAGGTGATTGGAAAGGCCCCTTTTGAGGTCTTTCTTGAAATTTTTTTTTGTTTTCTTTAATAGATTTGTCAACTTGTCCATGCTCTTTCACGTCCTCTGAAAATTAGACACACTAGTTATTGTCTTCAGGTTCTGTGAAGGCCTTGGTCTTCCCAAAAAAATCCTGGAATTTCTTAAGTATTTTTTAGTTAATTAAAAAACTCTAGTAGTTCCAACATTCGTTAACTCGATCAAATTATCCCACTATAGTGCCTAACCTCGGGCGAATTGTAGGAAAAAATTCACAAGAAAATGCCCCCACAATTTAAAAAATTAAATAATTTCCCCTCTATTTTTTAGCTAGTTCAATTTGGTGAACAAAAGAAACAAATGAATATTAACAGATCAAAAGGTAGAGCAAAAAAGAATGATCACAAACACGCATTAATTGAATATGAAGATTGAAAACTAATTTTGATTTACTAGTAAGAATTACTCTTCCTCTTTTAACGAAAAAAAAATTTCTCCAGACTTTTTCCCGACGCCTTTCCCCCATTGCTTTTTTCTTCTTTTTTTCCTCTTTTTGAGGTCTTTCTTGAAAAAATTTTTTTGTTTCTTTAGTGCTTCTACCCCCCAAATACTTTCTTATATTCTTTTGATATTTTTGTTTAATAAAATGAATTTTTTGTCAACAAAATTAATTTAAAAATCATTATTATTAAAATTATTTTTACAACTACAACCATTTGTTGTTAGACAATCACTGGTTTTTGTTGTGTTGTTGAAATTGAATTCTATTTCAGTTTTTGTTGATCTGGAGAGTTCTGTTTCCATATCTAACTTGGCCAGCCATTTTGACTTCTAAAAACATTTTTGATTATTTCGATTGGTATTTTGATTCTTTCACTGGCGTTTTGTCAACTACTCCTTATGGACATTTTGCCAAGTATCCCATCAGTTAGGCATTTTGTCGAGTACCCGTCAAGTAGGCATTTTGTAGGTTCCCGCCTCGAAGACATTTTGTCATTTATCCTTCCTATAGGCATTATGTCCAATCACCCCTCTATAGGCATTTTGTCGAGTACCTTCCTTATTGACATTATGTCTAATCCCCTTGATAGGCGTTTTGTCGATTACCTCCCTTATAGGCATTTTGTCTGCCAACCTCCTTATTGATAGATATTTCGTAAAATATCACCCATATTATTTCAAATAAACTAACCCTAGCAATTCCAACAGTTGGGTCATCATTGTTTAGTCCATATAGGAGCAAACAAGCTTTACAATATTTTTGACTTGTTATATACCCACACTTTACACATTTTGATAATATTTGTTCAGCCACATTAGCTCTTAATTTAAATTGTTCCCCAGACCGGACAATATCCAAAATCGCCCTAGGCCTTATCCTTTCCAATTCTTTAATAAATGAGCGTGCATTCATTCGATAAGCATTTGGAGAGTAAATACATTCTGTGCAGAAATAGTTTAATTTGTTAAAGTGAGCATACATTACAATGTCCTGAAAAATATGTATTTAAAAATTTCTTGTAAATGCAAAAGAATTATTTTAAATCTCCTCCAATCCCCATTTCGTCCCAATGAATTTTTTTTCGTCCCCACGATTTGTCCCACTGTTCAAAAACCCAGATTTGCCCCATAGGGAAAAAACGCATAATTCGTCACATAGGGAAAAACTCCCCAACTCGTCCCACAAGCCAAAAACGACTAATTCGTCCCACAGGGCAAAATCCCTCAATTCGTCCCACTGAACAAAAATACACGATTCGTCCCAAACCTAATTCGGCCCAAAGTCAAAATTTCTCAATTCGTCCCACTGAACAAAAATACACGATTCGTCCCACAGGATAAACTCCCTCAATTAGCCCCACTGAACAAAATTCCCCAATTCGTCCCACCACAAATTCGTCTCCCAGGGCAAAACCCTCTATCCGTCCCACTAATATAATAATTGGTAAAAAAAAGCTCTATAAACCCTCCACACCCAAATCCTCCTTTTACCTTCTCAAAAGAATATTTCAACGGTTTAACTCTAGGCAATAATTCATCATCATCTTCTCCATCATTTTTCAAATTAGAAGTAATTCCCCCTCTCTGTAACCTCCCCAAATCTCCTCTCAAAATATTCATTAAAATCGTTTCAGCCCCATCATCAGCATTATGTCCAGTCGCCAATTTTAAAACTTTCATAATTAAAGCTGCTCTGTCCAAAGCTTGTCTTCGAAAAACTCCACAAAAAGTACAGTTATTTTTTCTTCCAATTTTTGAAACAATTTCATCCATTGTCCAACCATAAAGTTGTTTATAACTAATTATTTTTAGGGGTAATGACAAATTTATTTCTGTTTTTAAAACTTCTTTTATTGAATCGTCTCGATAACCTGTGGAAATTTAAGATACTTGTGAGTTATATCATATAGTTATATCATAGTTATATCATCTTGCGGACTCATTCATATTTACAAGATGTTCCCCTGTGACCTTAATCAATGAGAGAAGTCCGTCCGCAAAAAATGTCCGCAATAACTGGTATGAGATAGCTCACAAGTACCAAATTTAATTTTTTATTTTCCTAAAAAATATTTTTTAACAAGAGCCCCATCATCAGCATTATGTCCAGTCGCCAATTTCTACTTAAAATAGGCAGAAAAAGTATTTCACCCTGTCCATTGGTTTTTGTGGCTTAGTTGGTTAATGCAATGACTATAAAATTACAAGAAATGGGAGAGAGGTTCGAATCCTTCCGGTGGATTTTGTGTTCCTTTTTATTTTCTATATAACTTTAACCTCGTTGTCTAAAAACGAGGTTAAAGTTATACCAAGGACGGGTTCGAGGAGGATTTTTTGCTTGAAAACGAGAAATTGTTGTTTAAAATTTCTAAAAAAAATTTTAAAAATTTTTCGGAAGCTTTTAACCCCCTTTTTGATGCCCAAAGGCGTATAAGGAGAATCAGTGGAGTAGAAGAAATAAGGGACATAACCTTCAAAACCCCTCTAAAAATAAAGAAACCTTCAATTCCTTCATCTACACACAAAAGTACAAGCTCTAATCCATAAGAATACTTTTTATTTAATTTATTTAATACTTCAGCCAAAACTGTTGAATCTTTTCCTCCAGATACTCCAATTCCTATTCTCTCTCCAAAATTAAATATTTTTGTTTCCATAATGGTTTTGTGGACATCCTAAAATTGGAAATTTTAATTTTTATATTTAAATGTCCAACGAATGCCTACAAAAATTCGAATCAATTTTTAGATACCCTTAAAATTAGATACCAAAGGACGGGTTGAGAAAGAACGAGGATCGGGTTGAGTTTCGGGTAAAAAAAAAGAAAAAAGACTGGGACCCATACTTGCCCTCAACTAGTGTTTCACCGGAACCGAAATTTTGACCGGAACGAATCAAATTGTAGTTCCGGATCCCGGAACCGAAACCTCCGGTGAAACTCTACCCTCGACCACCGGTTAAAACATTCTACACAGATACGCCCCAAATTAATTTACGTACATATTTTAAAATTTGGATGGACCATTAGGTGTGGGGGCTACTTATTGTTAGGCAAAATCTCCCCAATCTAGAGTACATTCCATTATAAATGGACGACCCTTACAACCCCAAAAAGTCATCTAAAAACGAGATTCAACTTGTCCGAATAAATATTTTTGACTAAAATTTTTTGGCATTTTTTCTCAATTTTTGACAAAAATTCTCTTAAAAAGACACAATTAAAAAAAAATAAAAACCTCTTCAAACCACCGGTTAAAACATTCCACACATCTGACTAGCCCATCTTTTGAAGTTTTTATTTTTGCTGGATTTTTAGTGCAGTCTTGACAAATAACCATTTTATTTTTCAAAAATTAAATTTTCTAAAAAATTTTCATTTTTATTAAAAAAGATAATTTTTAAAATATTAAAATAAAAAATTTTTTTATAAAAATATAAAAATAAATTTTTAAATTTTATTTATTTACAAATTAAATAAAAATTTTTTGGCAATAAAAAATTTTGAGAAAATTTTTTTTTAATTTAAAAATGACAAGTTATCTATTTATAAAGGCCATTTTAATTTTCTCTTCTTTTTTTTTTGGCATGAAAGTAGCTAAAATAAAATAGAGATTAAATTTCCCTCAAAGAATTTTTTATTAATAAAAAATTCTTTCAAAAAATTCAAAAGAATAGCCAAAAATAGGCATTGAGAACAAGGATGGTTCGGTCTTCAAAAATTCCTTCGGATCAGATTTTTGGGTCAAAAAAGGTCCGGATTGCCGGGTAGCACTACCCAAACTTGATTGAGAAGAGTTGAGTATTTTTTCAAATTTTTCTTAGTCTTTCATTTTTTCCCCGACATTCAGTCAAAATCCTACAAAAATTATTTTTTACTTAAACAACGAAAAATTTCCAAAAAATTCATAAAAATATCAACTCTTCCCTTATAGGGAACCCAAAAATTAATTCAAAAAATATTAAAAAAAAACCTTTTCTTTCCTTTTTTCAATCATAATAACGACTTTTGAGTGCTCTATATTTCCTCAATTGATATAAACTTTCCAATTCTTTAACCACATAATCCCCTCTTTTAATTAAATCTTTTATCTTCTCCTCATCTTCAATTTCTTTATTTCGAATAAATGCATTTTTTAATCTTTGATGGAACCAGAGAGAGCCTTTTGGGTATTCCTTTCCCATAAAATAAAGCTTTAAAAATTAAAAACAGTCGGGCCTCGTTAAAAATAACCCCTTGTAGGGTTGGAAAATAATAGCACCTTATAATGGGGTGTCAATTAAATAGAGGGTATTTGTTCACAAATTCTCTCGCCTCCAAAACCCCTTTTAAAATAACCCCTGGGTCTGAAAGAAACCGTAATACCTTATAACGGGATTATCTTAAATAGAAGTGTGGACCTTATAATGGGTTGATCTTAAACAGAGGGTATTGTTTAGAGTATAATGAGGTCGGACTGCATTAAAAAAATTATTTTAAAAAAATTAAAACAAACCGTGCGATAAAGTTGAATCACTTGATTACGTAATTGTCTTTGTTGTGACATTTCTTGAAAGAAAATTTAAATTTAAAAAATCAGTAATTGGATTTGCTTATTTATTAACTAAAAATTCGGAATTTAATTTAAAATTTATTCATTTCTAGCTGTGCGCTAAAATATTTTTATAACGTGGAAAAACGCCAATATTTAATTTTGGCGTTTTCGCAAGTTAAGAAAACATTTTGGCGCACACCCAAAGTTAAAATTAGTTAAAAATTTAATTAAATAAAAATCAAACAAATCCAAGTTTTTTTTTAAATTATTTTTAATAATAATTAAAAGATAATAAAAATGTTTTAAAAAACATCATTAAAAATCGAAAAAAATTAAAAATAAAAAAATTTATTCAATTAAAAAAAATTATTATTTTTTAAAATTTAATTCTTTAACAAATTCACGTATTTTATTAAATTGGTGAGTAAAATCTGGATATAAGAATGGTCTGTGATCATTTCTGTGGTCATCATTGCTGTAGGTGTTTGCGTGATAAGCTAAAATTAAAAAAAGGATTTTTTTAGAAAATTTTTAAAAATTTTGGGAAAAATTTTTTTTTGAAAATTCGAAAATTTTTAGAAAAATTTTTTTTCAAATTTTGTTTTTAAACGAACAAACAAACTTTTTATGCCGAATATATATTTATAGATTTAACCAAACTTATTCCAATTATGAAAAATTCAAAAAAAACTAATAAATGTCGTTCTTCATATTTTGGAGAATTTCATTCCGAGCTGTTAAACTTCTCATAGGGAAAGAATTTTTTGACACTACTATAACATCCCTTTCTTTTTATTGATTGATTATCGCCCCGCCCCTGAAGAGACGGGCAGAGAAAATAAGGATGACGTAACACGGACCTTTTGCCACATGACCATTTGCCACATGACAAATTGCCACGCGACAACTTGCCACGCGACAAATTGCCACGCGACAATTTGCCACGCGACAAATTGCCACGCGACAAATTGCTACGCGACAAATTGCCACGCGACAAATTGCCACGCGACAAAATGTCCAAAAGCCAAAACGCCCACAAATCAAAAGGCCATTATTAAAAACGAAATTAATAAAATTAATGTCCCGGTGGCCGGGTCGATCCTGTGCCCTCCTGCCTATAGGCGGGCACACTACCGACCCGGCCACCGGGTAGTTGAATAAATATAAATTATAATTTAACTTAAGCTGATTACCCACCACCCACAGACAGAGAAAAGGTAGAGCAGAGACAACAAACAAACAAAAAACTCTACTCTCCTTTCTGTTGTAAAATCTTTTCTCTTTTCTGCTAAAAAATTTTCTCTCGCTTCTGCTGTAAATCTTTTCTTTCTCTGCTGTAGAGTTAGAGCAGAGACAACAAACATACAAAACTCTTCTCTCCTTTCTGCTACTATAAGCCACTACTTTTGCTTTTCTTTTTCCGTCAACTTTTTGCTCGTGTGTCCATCAATCGATCCTTCTTGTGACTTTTTTGTCCTATTTCCAACAGCTTTTTGCTTGTGTGCCCATCAACCGCTCCTTCCCATAAATTTACACCTCAAAAGGTAGCTTCGGGGCGCTTTGGTGTTAACAGGTCGGATTTTTCATGCTATGAATTTAATCGTGATATATAGGGCAAAATCCGACGAAAAAATGGCTCAGCAAGCAAAGCTGGGCGACGGAGGTTTTGTTTTTCTTTGTAAAATCATAGTGTTTTTTTCAAATTTCAGGTGAAATTCCTGGTTACAAAGTAAAGAGAGAAATTGCCGCTACAAGAAAATCAACTCAAGGAGGTTTGATCAGTTTTTCAGTTTATAATTTATAACGGGAAAACCTTAATGTAAACTATCGGGTACTATTGAACCTGACAGACCCCATTTTTCTCTCCCAAGTGTTTTCCTATATATTTATAGAATAGTCAAGTTTCCTATCATCCCAATTTTCTTTTTCTTCAGCCAAAGGGGAATGAAAATTAATTCCTTTTGATTGTTTGTAGGCAAAATATAGAAAGGCAATTGAAATGAGAGGAAGAAGTCTGACCATTCTGTGGATATATAGGAAAAAATTTGGGAGGATAAAATGGGGTCTGGCAGGTTCAATATTACCAAACTATCTTTTAAGGTGGACTCGTCTCTTTTCATCGTGGCATTTACACTATTGAACATCTCACACAAGTATAAATTTTGATTTATACATAGAAATGTTCGATATTTTTTAGTTAATTTATGATTTAAAATGTGCAAATCCCAGAGCTCGAGTTAGTGTCAAATTGGTTTCAGAGGCTGGCGTTGGTATTGTTTCTGCAGGGGTGGTTAAGGGAGGTGCAGATCACGTTACTATTTCTGGACATGATGGTGGTACAGGAGCAAGCAGTTGGACGGGAATGTGAGTATTTTAATAAATCGTGTTTAATTTGACTCAATTATTCTAGAAAGCATGCTGGTCTTCCTTGGGAACTTGGTATGTTTACCTTAATTGATCCAACACATTTTATCGTCAATCTTTAATTACTAAATAATTATAGGTGTTTTTGAAACTCATCAAGTTTTGACAATGAATGATTTACGCTCCCGCATTGTACTTCAAGCTGATGGACAAATAAGAACTGGTTATTTAATATTTAACTTTTTTTAAAATCTTTGTGTCCTATCAGGTCGTGATGTGATGGTTGCAGCTTTGCTAGGTGCAGATGAATACGGCATGTCTACAGCACCTTTGATCGTTCTTGGATGTACAATGATGCGAAAATGCCATTTAAATACATGTCCAGTTGGAATAGCTACTCAGGATCCCGTTCTACGAGCAAAATTTGATGGAAAGCCAGAACATGTCGTTAATTATATGTTTATGGTAGCCGAAGATGTTCGTTATTTTCTTTCGAAATTGGTATTGCGAGAAGTGAGTGAATCTGTTGGAAGAGTTGATTTACTTTATGCGAATCCACATCCGATGAACAACAAAGCAACCCTTCTAGAGTTTGCTCAAATTTTGCATAAAGTTTCCTTGCAATTCCCGCAGATCAATATAAAAGGTGGATCGATAAAACAGGTTTTTATTAATTGAGTACTGATTGATTACTTTTCATTTATCTATTTTAGCTGCATGAATGTAATGATTTGGAAACTGATATAATAGAAAAGGAACAATTAATTAAATTCTTTGATAACTCTTCAAAGGTTAAACAAATCAAAGAAAGAATAATAGGAAATACAAACCGCTGTTTTGGTGATCGACTTACATATGAGGTATCTGAATAATTAATAAAATGTATAAATATTTTTTTACAGATTTCTATTCGTTATGGAGAAGAAAGGTTGCCTGAGGGGCATTTATTGGCACTTAATCTGGAAGGAGCTGTTGGGCAAAGTTTTTGTGCTTTTTTGGCAAAAGGTGTCACTGTCAGATTGGAGGGTTATGTTGGGAAGGTTGTGAATTATTTATTTTTCTATTATTTTTATTTCTTAAATTAGTGCCTTTCTGGAGGTGAAATAATAAATCGGCCATACAAAAACCCTACGTATGCTTCTGAAGAAACTACAATAAATGGAAATGTGGCTCTCTATGGCTCAACATCCGGTTTAAAAATTTTCTCAATTTCTAAGTGTTAAATTTTTTATAGGAACAGCATTCTTTCGAGGAATTGCTGGGGAACGTTTTGCAGTTTGTAATTCTAATGCTACTTCTGCCATTGAGGGTGTGGGTGAGCAAGGTTGTGAATGCATGACTGGGGCACGTGTTATTATTGTTAATGGAATTGGGAAGAACTTTGCTGTTCCTTTGAGTGGTGGATTGGCATTTGTTCACAACAGGTGAACATTTGTTAAATTATCGTTACTGGGTTATACTTGCTAAAAATAAAATATGAGTTTAGGCTTTGGCTCCCTATTTTAAGTTTAATAATTATAAAACAGAAAAATTTATAGCAGTCCAAACCAAATCAAACCATCGCAACAAAGATTAACAACAAATGGAAAGAAGACATATGAGGCAAATAATGGAAATAAAAAACTGGATGTAAATTTATAGATTATTATATAAATATTATTGTATACTCTTAATTAGCTGAATTTTGTTTAAATCTCGAATGTCGAATATCGACTAGTTTGAGGTTTCAAAACTCTGTAGAAAATACAAATGTGATCGCATTCGAAAGAGTTCGACGAGCCTAGTCGAATGACACCTAAATTAATCAATTTTGTTAATTGATAAGAACTAAAGACTTAATTTTTTAAGACTTAAAAATTTTTTTCTTTCCTTTTTGAAAGGGAACAAAACAAAAAAAAGGAATTTTGTAGATAAAATCTTTTAGCCATTTAAACAAAAAAATTTTTTTCCAATCAAAACAAATATTTTAATCAACTAAATTCATTAAACAATTTTCATCATTATTTATTTTTATTTAAAAATTTTTTAATTATATTAAATTGCTTAATCTAATTAATTTAAAATTAATATTTTTAATATTTCAGAAAATTATGCCACGAACAAGCTCTAATTCAACAAACCGCAAGCGCCCAACCAGTGAACAGAGTCCGGGACCTCCTCGACGTCAGCTTAGAATTATCACTTCACCAACACCTCCACCAGTAGAAACATTACAACAACAAATACAAGATTCAGCAAATACAACACTAAACACAAATCCGGAATCTCAGGTAGATTTGAGAAATTTTCTAAAAATGTAAAAATATTTATTTTTTAAATTTTTTTCGGGAAATCTAGCCAGATTTTTTGCAGTGTTTTTGTCTTACTATTTCAGATTAAGCATTTCCTAAAACTGACACTAATATTTATTCTTTGTGTGCAATTTTTAATTTACATATTTAGACTCAGGCAAGTGCACAGATGTGGTCTTTGCATCCAACACCACAAAATCAAGTAAATTTGATATAATTTAAAAAAAAATCTCAAAAAAACTTTAAATTACCATGGTTACTATAAAAATTTTAAATTTCTTTTTGAAAATTTAATTATGAAAAAATTTTAAAATTAAAATAAATTTTAATAATAAAGGTTGAGGGAATGACTACAACAATTGCAGCACCAATGCCCTTAGCTGCAGCGCCAGCTCAGGTATTTTAATATTTTAAAATCCCAAAGAAAAATTTGTATATCTTTTATTTTTAACTAATTAAAAAAAATACTACATTTAAAAAAAAATTTTATTTTGTTTGTTTAAAGATTGTTGCAGTTGAAGAAGAAGCGGATCGAATGCCTCAGGATATAGCTGCGCAGGTAAATAAAATATTTAAACCAACAAAGTTTAATACGTTTAGGTGAATTAAAATTTTTTAAATTTTAATTTTTTAAAAATTAAAAAAAATTTTCAAAGTAATTAATTTATTTAAAATTTTTAATTAAAAAATTTTTAATAGATTCTTGCAAAACGGCAGAATCGATTTACTGGACATCAGCCTGAAGGAGCCAGATTCATTACGTTAGATGAAACTACTGGCTGTACTGCAACAGATATGTTCATGTTACCGTGGGAGAAAGATCAAGTGTTCAGGTAGTTTTTGAAAATAAAAATATTTTTTAAATATTTTTCAAATTAATATTCAAAATTTAATTAATAAAAATATTTTTTAAAGCGAGCTAATCGGCGATGTGGTCTACAGTCACCGCGGTCCCACCGCAAAAAATGGGTGGGACCGCGGTGACTGTCATGTCCAAATAGGCCAGGCTGGTGAAATAGAGAAGATATGTGTTTTTGCCTGGAAACAAAATGCGAGCCGATTAGAAGGAGCAAAAATAAATCAAGTAAATTTTTTAAATTTAAAAAAAAATTTGATTTATTAAAATTTAGCGAGTTAAGCTGTGCAATCTTATTGTAGTTCCCGAGACAGGAGCTCGTCATTTATGGTCTGGAAGTGTGGACATAAAATTGCGTTTTGTTAGCTCCTCAACAATTGAAATACTAAACGCCGGAAATTTTGAACAACAACAAAGTAATTTAACTGAGCAAGGGCCTTCAAGTTCCGCCCGTATTTATCAACAGCCCCAAGAGGAAGAAGAAGTTGAATATGTAGGTTGACTTGAAAATTTTTAAATCTTAAATTTTTCAATTATAAATCTAATGTATTAACCTTATTCAATCTATTATTAATATTTATTTTAAAAAATACATTGGATTATTTAAAAAATTATTAAATTAAGAATTTCTCGATTATAATTTATTATGCTCTTTCTCGTAAAAATTTAGTAATAATCTTTTTACTGCTTTACAACTATAATTTAATTTCATCCTAATTTCTGAATTTATTTTTTATATTGCTTAAAATAAAATTTCATTGAATTATATAATTTGAAAAGTTTTTTATATTCCAATTATAAATTTAATTGTTTAAATAAATATTTTTGAAAATGCTTTTAATAAATTTGTCTTATTAATATTCATTTGTAATTTACTATTTAATGACTATTGAAGGAAGATTTAGCCATTAATTAAATTATTTGCTTAAATTAATTAAATAAATGATTAAAATTTAATAGAATTTAAATTAAAATTTGAATTAAAAATTTCACTTGAACTAGAAATTTTAATTAAATTTAGTATTGAATTAAAGTAAATTTTATTATTTGAAATTTTTTTTCTTTTGCCAATTTGAAATTTACCTAAGTATTTTGATTAAAATGTTTTTACTGAGTTTTAAATTTTAAATGTAATATGATACATAATCGAATTGATTAATATTGTACTTAAACTCAATTGATGAGAAATTGCTAATATTAAATTAATTTTAAATTAAAAAATTTATAAAAAATATAAATAAAATATTAGCTTAAATCTATTCGAATTAAGTATTTAATATTAATGCTAGATTCAATAAAATTTCAATTATCGGGATTCATATTTAAATCAATTTATTTTTTTAAATTTGAATATTGCAGGTTTGTTTAAATTTAAAACGATGTTTCTTAATAAATTGCCAGTTATTTAAGAGTATGCTAACGAATAATATTTTTAACAAAATTTAATTACAAGTTTTTTGTAATTTTCTAAAATATTTATATAATACATGCAACAATAATAATTATTTCAGCATCAACATCGACAAGTTGCTTCTGAAAATTTAAATGACTTGGTGGTGGTGGTAGATGATACGCCTCAAGTAATTATTTGTAATTCTTTATTTGAAAAAAAATTGAATTATTAAAAATTTATTATTTATAAATGAAAAATACTTAATAATTTTTATTAAAAAAAATCACTAAATACAAAAAATTTCAGCAAACACCTCAGCTTGCTAGTGAAATTTTAAATGAATTGGCACCAACAAATTCAACTTCTCAGAATTCTCCATCCCATCAAGTAATGCTTTTTTAATTTTCTAAGTTAAAAATTCAAATACACTTAAATTATTGTTAAGAGTTATACTTTTTCAGCGTATGCCTACACAATTTGCAAATTCTAATAGCAACCAGCCAATTCAAGTAAATTTTACTAAAATAAAAATATTTGTCTTATTAATGCGTTGTCCGTGATATTGTGTTTTTTATTAGTTACGAAACATTTTGCGAACTGCTGGCCATACCCCACCCCCCTTAATCTACAGTGAACCTTCGGTATTTAACGATGAAGAAAGTCACCTGGCACAAATGTATAGAGGTGAGCGACGTATTGTTGATGTATATTCGGCACCTGGGGGGTTGAATTTAAGTGAACGGAATACTCTTATGGCCTCTCGTATTAAACTTCCAGAGGATTACATTCACAATCCTGAGGAAGAATCATGTGGTCCGTGTAACCGAGATTTCACCGCATTACAAAGTGTAATCGTTTTACCGTGTAATCATAAAATTCATAAAATTTGTTTTTGGGATTTGTCACGTAATTATCGTTTTTGTACAATATGTCGAAAGGATATGGCTCCCCAGGTTGAAAATAACGAGTAGTCCAACATTTTAAATATTTTTTGTGTTTGTATTGGACTCTCAGAATTTTCAATCTAAGGGGCATGTTTAGGTTAATTTAAAAGTATACAATTTTTTCAAAAAAATAAATTATTTCTATAATTTAAAAATTATGTTTTTATACTTTCTTAAATAGTAAAATGTTGAACTAATCCTTACAAATAATCTACTAAAATTGTAGTAAAACAATAGGGACGGAGATATTGGGCGTTTTTTGACAAATACACATTTTTCACGGTTACGTGGTTCTTAAAGTAAAATTATTTCGAATAAATAGAGAATATTACTATCCAATCCTGATGCTTTAGTTCTTAAAATTAGTAGATTTACTATTTTACATCGAAAAATCCTAATATCTCCGTCCCAAAATATCTAACTTCCTTTGAAATATTATTTTATTATCTTAATTTATTATTATTTTATACTTTGTAACTGACTTAAATTAAGCTTTTTATTTTAGCCTAATTTGCTTTTTAAAACTATCTGTTGCCTTAAATTATGAGAAAGTATTTTAGCCTTAAATTGTTTTTAATGTAATTTTAAATAAATATTATGAAATTATGTGTTATTTAATTTTTTAGTATTAATTATAATTAAGTAGTTAACCCCACACCTCGCGCTTAACTCCACACCGCCTTAAATTGCAAGAAATTATTTTAGTCTTAAACTTTTGTTATTTAATTTTTAATATCAATTATAATTGAGTAGTTAACCCGTCACCGTTGTGTTAATGGTAATTATAAGCTAAATAGTTTTGATAAATGTGACTGTTGTGCATGTTTCAGCGTTTGTGTGTGTGTGTTTGTATAAATAAAGATTAAAATTAATAATAATAATACTATAATAAATTCAGGACATTAACATGAACAATTACTTCACAATCGAGCGTGTTACTGATTTCAATTCTCGCTCTCGTAATACTTATGGCCAAATTTGCCATATACGATTCAATCCTCTTGAAGACCACCCGCGCCCAGATTTGGCTCTCACAAGCCTAATTGAACAACTTTTGGATCGGGTGCTCGCCGGAAGACCAGCACCACTTCGTGTTGGTCTTCAGGTGCAACCACCAAATTTCCATCACCCGTTTACAATTCCACTTCGACCACTTGGCCAGAATAATCCTGCCGCTTTGGCCGCAGCAATTGAACGACTGAACGAAATGTCTCAGGCCGGAATTGATTTGTTATCGGGAACAACAGTAACAAAAGTTGTGGGCGTGTGGCCATTAGATGGACAACGAACAAATAATCCCGATGGCCGATCTGGTAGGTCGATACTAGTCTTATATTTTTTATTTAAATATAAGGCTGCTATTTTCCTACAGGTAGTTGTGATTTGGAATCCGACCATGTTTTATCGTCCCGGTGCCGATCGATTGTGCGCGTCCACAATCCTAACGACAGATACTGCCTTGCTCGTGCAGTAGTTATCGGACTGGCAAAAATTAGGATGGTGGATCAAGGCATACCCAACGGACCCGCTAGATTTAAAGAATTTTGCCAACAACAACATCAACATTTATTCCAAGTAGAAAATTTAATGCGAAATGCAGGACTTGCATTTGGACTTATGGTATTTTTTATTGTTTAAATTAGTTTTTAAAATTATGACAATACTTTTACATAAAATATTTTAATTTAAGGAATATTCTCTCGAACATGTTGCAATCTTGCAACACTGGTTAAACATCTTTTTTGAAGATGAATATTATGTTCGTATTGTTGTTTTCCAAAAGGAACAACAATATAGAATAGTCTACAAGGGAGATGGAAGAGCAGCGCGATACAATTTATGTTTACTGCTTGAAAATAATCATTATCATTTTATCGGACGCCCTGAACAACTTTTCTCTGTACAACGCTATTGTATTGACTGTGAGCGTTCTTACACCCGATGGACTCACTGGTCGGGATGCAGTGTTGTGTGCCGATTTTGCATGAGATCAGGTGTCAATTTCCCTTGCCAGGTAATATCATTTTTATTTTTATTGTAATTTAAATTTAGATTTCTGAAAAAGTTTTATGCCAAGACTGTGGATTTGTTTTTCCTAATCGTTCTTGTTTTGATTACCATTTAATAAATAATGCACCTGAAGAATTTATTAGATGCGATAGCCGTACTTTTGTTTCCATTTGTCAAATGAGACGCATTTGTAATATATGCCATCTTATTATTTATCGGCAACAACAACATGAATGTCGACGACAACAACAACAAAATTTAATTTGTAAAAAATGTCGGGGGCCTCACACAGAGGAATTACCTTGTTATATTCAGCCATTAAAAGCTGAAGAAGATTCTGATGAAGAAGATCAACAACCACAAAAGAAACGACAATCTCCAATTCGTTTATGCTTTTTTGATGCTGAAACCAGCCAGGATGAAAATATACAAATTAGCTGCAATATTAATGGATATAAACATGTTCCAATACTTATAATTGCCGAGGTAATTTTTAAAAAAATTTTTAATGTTTAAAATAAAATTTTTATTCAGCTTTCATTCTAATAAAAGTTTTTAATCAGATAATTTGTGAGAACTGTATAAAGGCTGGAATTAAAATTGAAGATGTAGGCCAACGTGCCGTAGGATGCTTTTGCGGGAAGCCCCGAGGAGAAAGATGGCGCAATTGGTGTTCACCACCTTTCAAAAATGCCGCTGGCGACAACACCGCCTTTCCAAATAGAATTTCATTTAATCCTCGCCGTATGTTTTTCCATTCCTTCGACAACACCCATGAAAGCCCTGTGGATCAATTTCTTGATTATCTTCTTAATCATGGTTCGCAGCAAATGTTAACTATTTGTATAGCCCATAATGGTGGTAAATACGACTTTCACTTAGTTCTTGAAGCTCTACACAGGCGAAACCAACCACCAACAAGATTGTGCACAACAGGTCTTAAAATATATTCTATGAAATTAACTGGGAACCACAAAAGAAAAGTCTTATTCAAAGACTCGCTTAATTACTTCAGTTGTGAGCTTGATGCTCTAACAAAAATTTTCTCAATACCTGAAGAAGTAGCAACATCCAAACCATTCTTTCCCTATCTTTTTGTAAAAAGACAGCATCTTCATCAAAGAATTCAAGGACTTCCTGCACTTCATTATTATCAGCCTGAATATAAAAATTCAGTGAAGAGAGAATCGCTTTTAGAGTGGTATCAACAACAACTATGTGATCAGTCAACTAATTTCCAGCTTCGTGAACAACTTATTCTATATTGTGCTAATGATGTTGCTATTCTACGTGAAGGAGTTCTTCGATTCCGGCATCTTATTGGCCAGCACGCGCAAAAGTTGGACCCTTTTCTAGCCGCATCAACAATTGCTGGTTTGGCTCTTACAACTATGCGTCGCTGTTTCCTGCCTGAAAATTGGCTCGTCCATTCACCGGAGGGAGGCTATTTGAGAGGAAGACGTGCCTCTGCTGAATCGCAGCGATACATCCGCTTATTCGAACAACAAAATCCTGAAGCAGCAGGAAAGATTCAGCATGCACAATGGGCATTGGGAGAAGCACATGTGGAAGATTGTGGGTATAGATTGGATGGTCTTTGGCAGCGATCTCCTCCACAACGCCCTTTAGCAATTGAATACATGGGTTGCTACTTCCACGGTACTTTAAAATAGATTTTTTTTGTATAAACTTTTAATTTAGGCTGTCCAAGATGCTTCCCTCGTCGGGATCAACGTTTAGCCGCCGGCCGTACTGCTGAAGAACTTTATGAAAGGACACAACAACGTCTTTGGGAATTGGAACACCAGCACGGATTTGAACTTCATGTAATCTGGGGCCATGAAATGATGGAAAAGTTAAGAAATAATCCAAAGTTGCGCCATCAATGGCTTGAAATTGATTGTGTTCGACCTCTTGATCCAAGGGAGGATTGTCTTCGAGGTGGTAGGACAGAGCCGTTCAAACTTCATCACTTTTGTGCTGAAGATGAGGAAATTATCTATATCGATATTGTAATTTTTTAATTCATTAATTTTTAACATTTAAAATTTAGGTAAGTCTCTATCCCTATGTGATGAAGTCATGGCCCTTCCCAGTTGGGCATCCTCATGTTTTGACTCGTGAAACCTTGCTTGATCCATCAAACAACAACCCTTTGCCCTGGACAATTCCAGAGCACAACATCTACAAGGGTTTACTTCTTGTGAAAATAGAACCACCCACATGCTTGCCTGGAAATCTTCCACCTCTTCTACCTTATCGTACCCATGATGGCCGGCTCACATTTCCGCTTTGTGCAAGATGCGCCGATGATAAACAACAGAGGCCTTGTACCCATTCAAATCGTGAGCGTTCCTGGCTGACCGGCTACACTCACGTGGAGCTGAATGCTGCTTTGGAACTTGGGTATAAAGTCGTGGATATTTACGAGGTTATCAATAAACTTTTTGAATATTTTGAATAAAATTAAAGGTTTGGAATTATGACCAATGGGACAACAAACTTTTCCAATCATATGTAAACACATTCGTGGGGCTAAAGCAAATGGCTAGCGGCTGGCCGGATGGTTGTGTAACTCAAATGGATAAAGCTGAATATCTGCTAGATTTTGAACGAACTGAGGGTATTGCTTTGGATCCAGATCGAATTGAGAAGAATCCGGGTCTTCGAATGATTGCGGTATATTTTAATTATATTGTCTGATTAAATAATATATTTTAGAAATTGTTGGCAAACTCACTTTGGGGTAAACTTGCACAGCGTGTTTGTGGAACCGAAGTCCGTTACGCCACAACACCAGCAGAATTTCATCAATTATTTGAAGATCCGACAACAGAAATGCTCGATTTCGATCATGTTAGTGAGCATTTGGATCGGTGTGTAGTCAGGAAAAAGGCAGAATTTGCCAAAGCACCCAACACCAACTGTATTCCTGTAGCAGCGTTTGTGACTTCGTATGCTCGTTTACATCTTTACGATTATATGAAGAAAGTTCATGAAATTGGCGCCCGTCTTTTGTATTGCGACACTGATTCCTTAATCTATGTTGGGAAGGTTGGTGGTCCACGTGTACCCGAAGGGGAATCGCTTGGGAAAATGAAACGTGAAATTCCTTCACGTCGAATTTTGGAATTTGTTGCTGGAGGGCCAAAGAACTATGGGTACAGACACGTCGACGCAAATACTGGGATGGATGAGCGAGCAGAGCTTAAGATCCGCTCTTTCCCGCTCTCTTATGCCACACATCAATTACTCAACTTTGAGAGCATGAAGGAACTTGTGCTTAATCAGTTTAATGTTGATGGAATAATGTAAATTAAAAACTTTTACTTAAATGAAACAAATTTTTCAATTAGGGATGAAGCGCTTGCTGATGACATCTTTAACAGGACTGGTGGAAATGGCAATTCAATATGTGTGCAATTCCCTCAGATTGGCAGAACTCGACGATCACAGCTTTACACGCATTTGACAACAAAACAATATAGACCGTATTATGAGAAGGGGAGAATAATGCCAGAGATGGAAACTCTTCCGTTTGGATACATAGAAATTCCGGTATTTTTTTTTGATAAGTTGTAAATTAATTATTAAACTTCAGACTGGAAGTGATCATGGACACCCAAGACAAACAACATGAACAACTTCAAAATACTGAACCACAAACTAGTCTGATGGACGATTCTATTCTCAATTTCGTAAATGTTCCAGGCTCAGCAAACTGGACAAATCGTGATTATTTAAATAGATTTAATTAATAATTTTGTTAAAAAATTTTTATTTTTATTTACCACACCACAAAAAATTATTCTGATATTAATTGTAAATATTTTATTTTTTAAATAAATTTTATAATCGTGGAAATTTTTCAAGTAATGGTAATATATCATTTTCAAAAATAGGTTCCATTTCTTTTTGAGATTTTAATCCAGTCAGTATTACACGTCCTGAAATATAACAAAGACAGGAAACTTCTCCATCCCTCGCTTCTATTTTTATTTTAAAACGAAGTGCTGGGAATATTGTTGGTTCATAATAACAAGTTATATTTTGTCGTTGCCGAAGATACAAATAAAGTCGTTCAATTGCCAGCTTTTTTGGATGTCGATAGGCACCAACAATATTTGTGACGATAAGATTCCTCACACCAATTTTTAAATAAGAATAGTCATTGCCTGTTGCCTTATATGAAGCTTGGATTCTTTTAGTTACACGCCAAGCCATTCTGATTGCCAATGCAGGGTTAGGAACACCAGTGAGAACAACTTTGCCTGATTGAAATATAAGTGCTGCCGTAGTTTTATATTCCTGATGCCGAACTCGCATAATTATTGAATGGAATCGCCGAGGATTATATTCTGTATTTATCCCATGGCGGGCAAGTTGAATAAAATTTTCGTAAGAAAATCGTTTATTATATGGAAGAAGTTTAAAAACAGCAGTACAATTTTCTATTTGCATAATATTTACTTTTCAAAAATAAAAAAATACAATATTTTATGTATATTAAAAATAAAATTATTGAAAAATTAAAAGCTTTTTAAAAGTTTTAAAATTAAATATCTTTCTATGAACATCCTCCTTTCATCTTGTGACGGATCACATTGAGACATTCAAGCGGGTAAAATGATCGATGGTGTCCTCCTCCAAATTGTATAAGGCACGGTAAATATGGGTGGCAGAGTTTGAGTTTGTGCTTGACGTAGTAGTACCCGCGAACCTAAAAATTACAATCTTATTTAAAAGTTAATCTTAATTTACCGTTATTCCAAGATATCCTCCCATAGCTAGAACATTACTTGCAGATTGCGCTGTTAAATCATGGCAATAGACGTTGAAATTTTTACAACTCGGCTTTAGATGAGAAGTACGTATTTGGACATTTTGTTGCAAATTTTCTATAAGTTCGCGCCGAACTTCGAGATTATGAAAAAGCACATGTAGTTCTTTAAGTGAACAGTTTTTTATTTCGCAAAGATAGTCTAGTAAAGGAATAGAGCCTTTATTTGGTCGAACATGTTTAGTTGTTATTTCATTAAAAGGTCGTATGGTTGTAGTTGGTGGTTGGGGTGTTGGTTCACGAAATGGATTTTCTGGTTCAACAGTCCAATCTAATGGTTTATCCTCATCATCATCGTCTATAACCAGACGAAGTAATTTCTCACTTGTATCTAGATTTTTTTCATCTTCAACCTCATCTTCCTTTTCTTCGATTATTTCATCCACAATGTTAAGCAATCCAAAAGCAGGTGTAATTACATCTATTTCATTCTGAAAATGTGCTTTTAATTTATTCATAAAAAATTTGTACCTTTTTATTTGCCTCTTTGCTTTCTTGATTAGCCTGATTTGTTGTCTGATTTGTATTTGCCTGAGACTCATTATCTTCAATAACACCCCAAGGCTCGAGATTATAAAATTCCATAATTTAATAATAATATTATAATGAAAAAATAAAATTAATTTTTCTATATATAATATTCTGAATTTGATTTGTTATATTAGATAAAATGAATGGATTTGAGAAAGTCGATACTATACACGCTCGTTTTAAACACCCGTTCACTATGATCGTATCCGGCAGTACTGGGTCTGGAAAATCAGAATGGGTTAAAAATTTGCTGGAAAATTTGGAGGAAATGGTTACTTATGAAAATGAAAAACATAATCAAATTGATTTAGTCTTTTATTGTTATGGTGAATTAAATTCTAATATTATAAATATGCAACGTAAAGGTTTTGTAAATAAAGGTAAAACACAAGTTATTGTTCACAATGGGTTGCCTAACGGGGGAAATGAATTTATAAAACAACAAGCAAGGCATGGAAGAATGTTACTAGTGTTAGATGATTTAATGGTTGGGATGAACCAAATATTTTTGGATACAATATTCACTAAAGGGTCTCATAACTGGCAAATGAGTGTTATATTAATAACACAGCATTTATTCAGTAAAGAATTAAAAGTTGCCCGTAATAATTCTCATTATCTTTTATTAATGAGAAATCCGGCAGGAGCTTTGCAAATTAGAACACTTGCAACCCAATTATTCCCTTCAAAATCAAAATACTTTCTGGAATCCTATTCTAATGCTACAAAAGAAAACTTTGGATATTTGTTAGTCGATATACATCCTAGTACTCCTGACTTTTTACGACTTCGAACACATATATATTATAATACAGGAGAAAAAACTATAGTTTATATACCAAAATGAATAAAAAAATTTCTACAAGCAAATTAATTGAGAAAAATGTAAATTTCTTAAATTCAGTTTGCGAATCTAAAAAATCTAGAAAGGTAATGAATGATATATTATTAAACGCATCCGCTGAACAGTTGTTATGCTTCGTTGAAATTTGTTTTAATTTATTAAAGGGGCGTTTACCTTTTCATAAAAATAGAATTATTAATTTGCAAAAACATGCAAATATATTGAGGAAAATCAGTAGATCTAGAAGTGCTTCCTCAACACGATGTTTATTACAACAAGGAAACGGGATTTATCCTTTAGCGGGTATTCTTGCAAGTCTAGTTTTACCTTTAATTACCGAAAAAATTTTTAAATAATATAAATAAAATTTGATAATATAAATTTTAATTAACAATGAAGCGAATGATATTAATTCCTGAGGATTTTTATGAAAGTTTAGTAAGTAGTGATAAAATTGATGGGAATGGAGACGGGACGGCCTTAGGCTTAATAAAAGAACGTTTACAAAACAGTAGTGCAAGCAATAATTCGTTAGATCCTACAACAAGAGCAGCTCGTTACGAGCAGGATTTTAAAAGGTATAACAAGCTTATTAAAGAAAAAGAAGAGAAGCCTATTGATGTGAAACTCAAAAATTTTGAAGAGATTGCTGATGCCGTAAGTAAAAATGTCGATTTAAATAAAAGTCCAGTGGAAACAAAAAACGAGATTAATAAAAATAAAATTTCTAGAAAAATTATAATAAGAAAACCCAAAAGAAACTCAATTGGTAAAGTTACATTAAGAAAGAGAATCAAATTTTCAAATCCAGCTGTAAAGATAGAAAATCCTGATGAAATTGAGAATGAAGAGGGTGAAGAATTCTTTTCAGCAGATAGTGAAACAGATCCTAAGGAAGAAGCTCGTCAATATTTGAGAGATCATGCTAATGAACTTGGCATATTGCCCAGTGGTAAGTTAGCCAGAAGATTAGGTACTCAAGAATCCTTTGTCACAAGTAATATTGAAGAATTTTTAAGCTATATAATTAAAAATAAAGGTAAACGCAAAAGACCAATCCCTACTGGTTATGACGAGTTTATTCGTAGAATAAATAGCCATTCGATTTTACAAAATATACTTTTTCCTTCGAAATCTTCAACTAGCAACCAAGAAGGTGAAGGAATTTTTAAACACACCTTTTCATATAAACCATCATTATGGCAAAATTAAATAAAAACAAAATTAAAATTCTTGACAAGTTATACAAGAATGTTAATTCGACTACATGTTTTACATCCGTTGAACCACTTTTAAAGGAAGCCAGGCGATTAGATAAAAATATTTCTCGAAATATTGTGAGAGATTACCTTGCAAGCCAAAATGTTAATACATTACATAGAAGAGTAATTAGAAAGTATAAGCGCATGCCAACACTAGCTCCAGGCTTACACACAGAATGGCAGGCCGATCTTAGCGTTTTTGATAAAATTAGTAAACATAATCGTGGATACAAATATTTATTAGTATGTATTGATACACTTAGCCGACAAATATTTGTTGAACAAGTAAAAAGCAAACATAGTACTAATATGATCGAAGCTTTTAAAAAATTATTTTTTCGGGTCGGAATAATACCCTGGAAACTTTTAACAGATCAAGGATTAGAATTCACTGCAAAATTTGTACAAAAATATTTTCGCTCAATAGATATGGAACACTTCTCAATGCTCACTTCCCCCGTATGGCATGCAGGCATGGCTGAGAGGGCTAATCGTAGTATCAAAGAGCGACTTTACCGTTATTTTACAGAGAATAAAACTTTAAAATGGTTAGACGTTATCCAGAAAATTGTTTTGTCCATTAATCGTTCTTTTAACTCTAGTATTGACATGAGACCTATTGATGTGAATTATAAAAATGCAGAACGCTTGCGTTTATTTTTAAAACAAAAGGCAGTTGCAAAACACGCGCCATCAAGTTGGAGAAATAAAAAATTTTCTGTTGGGGATAATGTTCGTATAGAAAAATATAAACATATTTTCCAAAAAGGATACCTACCAAATTTTACAAATGAAATTTTCATTATTGACCAGGTTCGATTGGTTCCCCATCAACCTCCAACTTATAAAATTCGCGATCGTAAAGGGGAAGAAATTCTTGGGTGGTTTTATGGGAATGATTTAATTCTCGTTAAAGAAGAACTTAAAAAGAATGAGAATATTTATGACATTGAAAAGGTTTTGAGAAAAAGGAAACGAAATGGTGTGGATTATCTTTTCGTAAAATGGAAAGATTATGGGTCTGAACATAACAGTTGGATACCTGCTAACTCTGTTCTTTGGAGATAATATACATAAATGAAATTTTAAATATTTAAAATAAAAATGACTTCCTTTTATATAATTATTCCATCCAATACTAATGTCGAAGGAAATAGAACTAATTCTTTTAGAGTTAGATTACCCCATAAACTAAAATTTAATTCTGAATGGAATGTTGGATTATCTGTCATGGTTTATCCTCATTCCTGGCCTTCACTTGGGACTACAACTGAACAAACTATAACAGTTGTTTGGAAAAGTGGTGAGATTGTTCGTTTAGCGGTACCTTCTAATAGTTTAACTAACCCTCAAAATTTAAAACAAAGCCTTGATAAATCTCTTAATGAAGGAAGTGAGACACTTTCGGAAAAAATGCGTGGTTGTCAAGTTGAGTATACCAATATATTAAAGGAAACACGAAGCAAGGCTAAGGAAGAGTACAAAAAATTAAAAGAACTAATACAGAGCAGTAAAGAGGTATCTACAAACGTAACAACTGAAAAACATGTGATTATTCCTGAGGGCGAAATTCCTAAACTGAGAAGCGAAACAGAGATTTACAACGATATGGTTAAAGCAGAAATTGACAAATTGCCTATAGAAACTAGAAAAATTATTGAACTGACTCGTGAAAGTGGCTTTGAACCGTGGATTACAGTATATCGTAAACCAAAATTTGCATGTGCCTTTGAGTTTCACTCACATAAAAATAGGTTTTCATTATTTATCGACAAGAAGTATATAGAACAAATTGAAATAAGCGAGCAGCTTGCATATATTCTTGGTTTTGATTCACAAGTATTAAAGGAATCTTGTGTTGCAAAATTTATGCCAGATATGAGAGGAGGGGTTTCTTGTTTTCACGTTTATGCCCCAGGCCTAATTGAACCAATGATTATTGGGGATATTACCGCTCCGGTTCTCCGTATTGTAACCATTCGAGGAAATCAAGACGAAATAATTGAGGAACAATTTCTTTCTATTCAATATCATAAGTTGCTTGTTAAAGAAATTTCTGAAATTTTAATTGAAATTCGCACAACTAGCGGGTCCTTGATGCCTTTTCAGTATGGAACATGTACATTAACATTACACTTTAAAAAGTCTACTTACTTTTAATAATGAATACTATTCAGATTGATAAAATGTTAAACAGAAATTCTGTTACCAAAAAATATTATATCGGTTGTTATCCCTCTAACTGTATCCCTTCTAAGTCAACCTATTCACCTTTCTGTGCGGTAATTAACATAGATCCTAATAATTCACCTGGAACACACTGGGTAGCCATATTTTGTGATTCCGTTAAAACTATTGAATACTACGATTCGTTGGGAATATGGCCGCCGATGAGCTCCCATATTCGAGATTATTTAGAAAAATTTCAAAGGGTTCGATTTAATTCCATTAAACTTCAGGGTATGTTTTCGCGCTCGTGTGGCCACCATGCAATATTTTATCTCTATATGCGCTGTTCCGGTTTTCACATGAATGAAATAATTTTATTTCTTAAAAATATAAATGCTGATAAGTTTGTTACAGAATTTATTGCATCAAAGATATTTAATATACATAGTTAGATTAAAAATATTTATTTTCAACTTGAAATGCATATCGACTTTGATCCCTCACATATTAACTGGTCAGCATTGACCGAGCAGCCTAATCAATGGGGTGGGTATAACGTGTTTCGCGGTGTTCCCTACCAAAGAGGAAGTGGATTAGGTTCAGTATTTAGGAGCTTTCTCCGTTATCTTATACCTATCGGCAAAGAAATTGGTAGTGCTATAGGTAAACAAGGACTAGAATCGGGCAATAAAGTTTTAAGTAATGTTCTCGAAGGAAAGAATCTGAAAGAATCTCTAATTAATGAAGGCAAATCGGGGTTGAAAAATTTACTACAGAAAGCGGCCGATAACGTTGATAAACAAACAGGCAAAGGATTTGATTTTAAACGCTACAAGAATATTGAAAAGCATCCATCCCTTGGTCAAATGAATGATGAAAAAAATGATATAAAGCCTAATATAAAATAAGCGGGCATATTCCCGTATTGGCCCTCCTAATTTTATTCCTAATCTTGTTAGGAAACCTTCGAAAAAATCACCTAGAAAAATTCACGCTAACAAACGTTTACGAGTAGATACTTTAGGCACGTACTAAAATGAGTTGTCCAAAACAAATTAATGAAAATAGTCTTTTGGCCTTAAATAGTGCCCTGAATATTTTTTCCGTTCCTCCTACTAATGTTTCTGTTATTCGCTCATTTTTTCGAGAGATTCTTCCTCTTAGCACAATAACACAGGATTCGCCTTATTTGTTTCGTTTGTTCAGTGATAATCTCTGGACTGACCTTTCCAGGACTTATCTTTATCTTGAACTTTCTATTGAAAAGCTTGGTGAAAATGGTAAATGGGAAGATATTGATTCGACTAAAGATACAAATATAGGAACCATTCAAGGTATCGGGCAAACATTCGTTCAACAACTAAAAGTTAATGTTGGTAATACTGAAATTTACGATAGTGGTACTCTTTATCCATATAAAGCATATATAACCAATGAATTATCATTTCCTGACAATGTTAAGTCTAATTTTCTTGCATCAGTAGGGTACTATAAAAGCGAAAAGCATGATGATGCTTTTGATTCAGGATTTATAAATCGATGTTCGCTATTTGCTGGGGGTAAAAGATCTCAGTTTCTTTCACGATTAGATTTTGATTTGGGAAACCAGGAATTATTTTTACTTAATAACTTAGATATAAACTTTAGCATCTATAGAAGTAAAAATTCATTTGTTTTACATAAGCTTAAAGCCGATGATAAAAACGAATATAGGCTTTATGTTCATGACGTTAAACTTTTTTCTAAAATGATTGAGGTACAGCCATCTCTCAATATGAACATTTATAAAACGCTTGAATCAAAGCCTGCTACATATGCTCTGCGAAGAACTGAAATGAAATCGACCTTTTTAACCGCGGGGCGCACAGAAATTGAATATAATGCTTTTAGCGCTACAATACCGAGAAGAGTCACGGTTGCTTTGGTGTCAAACAAGGCATTTAATGGGGACATTGCTCTTTCCCCATTTAACTTTAAACCATTTGATTTGCGAGAAATCTCAGTTCATACTGGAGGACATATTTATCCCATGGTTGCTTATAAACTAAAATTTGAAAAAGATCTTTTTGTTCGAGCTTTCGTTGACATGTACGAAGCATTGGGGATGGCTAACTCTGATCGGTCCATTGATATTCCAATGTCCCGATACAAAAATGGGTGGACATTTTTTGTGATACCTTTGACTTCAACACTTGACGACTCTTGTGGGTTTGAGTTGCTTAGAAGTGGTACTACAAGTATTCGTTTAGAATTTAATTCTCCCATTCCTTCTGGTGGAGTTGAAATGATTATCTTGGGAGAATTTGATCAAATGTTAATGATAGATTATAATCGGCATATCGTTTCGGATTCCAATCTTGGTTAAAAATTTGTATAAATAATTGGTTATTAAAATCATACAGGCATTTAAAATGCAAAATTACTCTGATATTTCTGATAATATAACTTTCGCTTTAAATCTTGATGAAAATTTTAAGGGATCTAATAAGATTGTAGCTTATGATATTCTTTTATTTTTATTGATTTATTCACTGTTAATACCTATGATTCTTCTATGCTGGGTTTTAATTCTTAGATTATTGCGCAATAGAGGTTTAATTACTCCCACTCAAGAAAATGCCATCACAGAAAATATTAAAGATATACCCCTGGTTGGGCTACCAAGATCAATTACTCATTATAATTTACCCATTGGATCTGAATGCCCTGTCAATTAATGACTTGATATTTTTATGAAATCTTTACCTTGCCATTTTTTACTTAATATTTTAACTTGATATTTTTAACATTAACATTTTTAAACGGCGCTTAACCGTCCGCACTGTAAACCGGGCCCTGAACCATCCCGATCGCTTAGTTTAAAGGGTTTAAGTTTAAATATAAATTAAATTAATTAAGCTTCCCAGTGGCGGAGTCGGTAGTGTCTCCGCCTATAGGCTAGGAGTCACAGGATCGACTCCGCCACTGGGAATTTAATTATTTTTAAAAATGGCGTTTTGTCATATGGGCATTTTGTCATTTGACATTTTGTCGGGTGGCATTTTGTCGCGTGGCATTTTGTCGCGTGGCAAAAGGTCCGTGTTACGTCATCCTTATTTTCTCTGCCCGTCTCTTCAGGGGCGGGGCGATAATCAATCAATAAAAAGAAAGGGATGTTATAGTAGTTTTGAAGAAAATGCTTTTTCACCTCAACCTATGAAACGTGTCATAACACCTGAACTTCCGAGATTACCTGCGCCGCCTACTGAAACCTCTCTTCCTGAAGAATACATGCGCGATGATTTTTGGGACAGATTAAGTAAAAACAAGGACGTGCAGGAAGGAGTTTGTGGAGAATGGGTAAAGGTTCGTATAAAAATTTACTTTTTAAGTTAAGAATTTTGACTTTGAGTGATCTGGGAAAGTTTTGTTTGTGTTCATATATTGTATTTTGGGCTAAATTTCCTTTTATTTGTCTTTCAAATTTCTTTTATTTGCCTTTTCTGATTGAAAGGAAACTTGCTGGGTGCCAAAGATTAAAATAATTATCCTTTTTCAAATCAATACTTTTTTTGAATTTTACAGGGAAAAGCTGGACATTTAACATTTGAAGGGTTACTCTGTCTGCGAGATGGCGAATGGGTCAACGGTGATCTAATTGATGCATATCTCCAACATATATGTAGACGAAATGGTACTAATCTTGTCTCCCCTCATATAGGTATTCGTTATGTTTTCTAATCTATGAACATAAGTTTAGGTTTGTAGTCGTGTTTATTATTGGACACTAGAATTTGAGGGGGAATGACAGTATTACCGACAAAATTTTAATCATTTTCTAGATAGCAAAGAAAATACTGATGATTATGCTCCAGATAATAGAATTCAATATATACCTACATTTGCTTTGTCCCGCTACAAAACAAAAAAACAAATCAGCTCGAAGTGGTATTGGAAGATGGAAGGTGTTGAACTTGTCTTGGCTCCCGTGCATATCAACAAAAGCCACTGGGCTATGTCTTTCGCAAGAATGCAAAAGAAGGAAATTATAGTAATGGACTCTATAAATAATGGACGTGCTGGAAGCACGAAAAAAGACTTTATGAACATGCTTTTGTAAGATTTTGATTTTATAATGTTAGGTTTTTTGTTTATCATAGTCAAGAAAATTATCATTTTTTTTAATATTTTGTTAGGAACATTCTTATGGATGCTGCTGATCAGTTTGCAATGGATATAGGCAAAAGAGAAGACTGGACATTAAAAGAATTGCTAGATGTACCGCAACAACAGAATGGAATAGATTGCGGTATTTTTTCCCTCTTATTTGCGTATTATGAAGTTGATGGAAGATGTATGGACTTTACTCAAGAACACATTAGCTATTTTAGAAGGAAAATATGTAGAGATTTGTTACCAAGCCAATAGAAATTATCTTAATTTTTGTTTTTCTCATTTTTTCTATGACCCAGAACTTGCAATTTGATTTTTTGTTTTTGAAATTTTCATTAAAATTTTTTTTGAATAAATTTATCATAAAAGTTTTAAGCCTTGTGATCGAAGCGATAGATTCCGCTAACTTTTTTTTGCTTTTGTAAATTATGGCATACAAATTTTAGAAAAAATCTCGTCCAGGATCCTGTGAATGCGATTTTGCCGCACACTATTGAAAATTAAATTTTTATTTATTTTTGGCATAATGTTTATTTTCATTTTTCCATTTGACTCAATTTTTTGTCAACATGAGTTGGCTTCTTTTCTCGTCTCCTTATTTTGCTTCACCACATTTTGCCAATAAGACTAAAACACTACATTTTGTCACAAACTTATTGACAAAATGTCTAATTTTACCCTTATTGGCGAAATGTGTTTTGGCAAAATGTCGGGCAGCCTTCTTTTGCTTTGCTTGTCTTTGTTTTATTTCTAGCCACGTTTTGATTGTTAGCTTTTCTAATAAATTTTGTTATTAAAATCTTGTATTTTTTAAGGTTATAGATTAAATTTTATATTTCTTTTTTTATTTAAAACCTCCAATTAATCAATAATTCCTTCAATTTTCAAGATTTTAGACAAAAAGTGATGCTTCGACTCATCACATTTTTATTATTTTCTTCTTTAATTGTAATACAAATTCAAGCAGATGAACACGACCATATTTACAAACCTGGGGAAGAAGTTGTTTTGTGGATGAATACAGTTTGTTTTGATTTTTTATTTTATTTTTACTTTCAATATTCATTAGAAGTATATATGGCTAGTTTTTCCCTATACCCTTTAATGAACGTTTGTGGTTGATTGGTAACGTTTCCGCCTACGTTTTATTTTCGAGTGAGGTTCGAACCCTCCCAAGGGCAACTATTTTTCCTGACCTTTTTAATTTATTTTTATTTAATAATCTTCATTTTTTAACCTTTCCCTTGTTTAAAAAATATTTTTTTGGTTCTTAAAAAGTTTTTTCTAAAGGTTGGCCCTTACAGCAACAGACAAGAAACTTACAATTATTATTCCCTACCTTTCTGTAAGGGAAAGAAGGAGGCAATTGGACATTATCACGAAACTTTGGGAGAAGCTTTATTGGGCGTTGATCTTCAATTTTCTGGTCTAGAAATAAATTTTAAAAAAGAATTGAAAAAAACTGTAATTTGCACAAAATATATATCTCGTGATGATGCTGATGCTTTTGTTTTTGCTGTTGAACATAATTATTGGTTTGCTTGTTTTAAAAGGGGTTTGGATAAGCAGATACGATTGTGTAAAGGGAGATAAGGGGTTTGGAGGGAAGATAGGGGTCTTAGGATGAAGATAAGGCAGGGGGAGGATTTGGACCTCGGAGGGGGAGAATTTAGTCCTTGGAGTGAAGAAACGGGCCTTGGAAGGAATGCAAATGGTCTTGGAAGGAAAATAAGGGTGTTATAAGGAAGATAATTGCATGGTTAACTCAAAAAATCATTGACTTTTTAATTAGATACCTCACTGACCCCCTCCACAATCTTCACCTATTTTCCTAACCTTCACTCAACCCAATTTTATTTTCTATTTTTCAGGTATCAAATGTATATTGATGAATTGCCTATTTGGGGTATTTCTTTTTGATTTTGTATCTTAATTTTTTTCTTTTAAAGCCTTGGTTGGAGAAAAAGAGACAGGAGCTTCTTTTATCTACACACACAAGAAATTCGAAATTGGATATAATGGAGATAATGTTAGTTTTCATTTTATTTTATTTTTGGGGTCTTTCTTGGGTATAGATAAGTTTTCCTGGATAGAATACAGAGGGGTTTTTGGAAAATTTGTGAAACCTCCTCCCTATCTATGGGCATAAATTTTTTCTTTCGAAAAGATATATATTTTTCCGATATTTTCTCACATCCCAGAGACTCCTCGGAATCTACGGGCCTGTCATCTCCTTTCCCTTGTTTCATTATAACGAGCCGAGTCAGAATACAAGTTCAATTTCTATTTCATTTCAGAAATTAAGCTTGAACCCGAAAGCTTTTCCCCCTCATTTTTACCCCTACTTTCCTTCCCCATATTTTTAAAAAATTTAAACTTTTTTTAAAGATTGTCGTTGTTGACGTTACAGCAGAAGAGAAAAAAGAAATTAAACCAAATATGGAACTTTCATTTACTTATGAAGTTATTTGGAAGCAATCTAATACTCTATTTGACAAACGATTTGAACGTTATTTGGATCCAAGCTTCTTCCAACACAGAGTATTTATTTTCTTAATTTAAGGGGTTTTATGCTTATTAAAAATAGGCTTTAAGCTTATTTTAAAAATAATTTTTTAAGTTGAGGTTGGTTGAGTGGTAGTTTGTTGGGTTCAGTGGGTAGCCGGCCTTGGTTCGAGTCCGTTGGTCGTTTTCTTTTTCGTATAACTCTCAAATTGATTTTAAAAAATATTTTAAATTTTTTTCGATGAGTAAAAAATTACGCGCATTTTTTCTTTTAATTTTTTCGTTAAAATTTTTTATTATAGATTCATTGGTTCTCAATTTTCAATTCATTTATGATGGTTATTTTCTTGGTTGGTCTTGTCTGGATGATTTTGTTAAGAACTCTAAATAAGGACTATGCTCGTTATCACAAAGAAGATAAAGATCCCGAAGAGGATTTGGACTTGCCTGACGATTATGGATGGAAACAAGTGCATGGTTTGAGTTTTTTTGAATTTTTCTTGCTCTAAAGAGTCGAACTGCTCCAGGACTGGTTCTTTAGACGCGGTTCGGAATCCTCAAAAAGGGAACTTAGGATCCGGATCATTTTGAACTTTAAGAACAAGCATGTTTTCATAGTGGTCTCTAGGTTTTAGGCCTCAAAACGTGGAACTGTCAGTATCCGGAACGAGGGCATTTCTGCAATTTCAAAGAACCCGTCTAGTTTTTTGAACACAATCCCGGGTACTCGGCCGCTCCCCGTCCATGTTCTCCAGAACCTTTCGGATTCCTGTATATACGTGTGTTTTTAGTACCTTTCCTATATTTCCCTTAAAAATCTGATTTTTTAAAGGCGATGTTTTCCGTGCTCCAGCATATCCACTTTTATTTTCATCAATTATTGGTACTGGCTATCATTTAATCACAACAGTTTTGATAACAATAATGCTTGCAATTCTTTCTGAATTTTATACTGAACGTGGATCTTTTTTGAGTGCAGCAATTTTTGGTTTCTTTTTAAATTTTTTTGTTTTTTAAAAAGAATTTTCTTTTAAAGTTTATGCAATAACAACACCAATAAATGGCTGTTTTGGTGGTGGAATGTATTCTAGAGTTGGAGGAAAACGTTGGATTAAACAAATGTTTATTGGTGCTTTATTACTTCCAAGTGCTGTTGCTGGAATGGTTTTGGGTGTTAATGCTGTTGCTATTGGATATCATGCTAGTCGAGCGATTCCTTTTACTACTATGGTTTTTTTTAATTCAATTTTTTGGGGTTCTTTTCCTGTTAAAAAATTCCGTTATGTTTTTGGCCCGCAAGTCATATATTATTTTTTTAATGTACGGGTATTAGACTTTCCGAATAGACTTGAGCCGGACAAGACTTTAGGGTTAACCTCTTAAAGACCTGAAACCCTTTGTTTTACAAAAAAAAACTTGAAACATTGGCAAAGCTCTCCTCTTGCTTTTCTTCCTGGCTTCTTTTTCGTTTCCTGGTTCCTTTTCTTCCCTCTTTTTTTCTTCTTATTTCCTACTCTTCCCTCTTCCTGGGTCTTTCTTGGTTCTTAAACATACCAGTTTTAGGGCTACCGGATCTTGAAACTTGTAAACTTTTGCAAGCTTTTCCGTTTTTACTTCAAAGGTTCTTCCCAAATAAATCAGTCTTGGACAAAACCCGAGGCCTAAGCTTTTTTTCAAAAATAATTCTAAATTTTGTGATTGTCAAATAATTTTCTGGATAATTATTTAAAAGGAAAAGAACACATTTTTTAATCATTTCTTAATTTCTTTATTTTTAAGTTAGTAATTGTCTCAATTTGTGCATTTGTCATAATTCCTCTAAATTTAATTGGAACTTTAATTGGTCGAAGTATTAAAGGACAGGCTGATATTCCTTGCCGTATTAATGTTGTTCCACGTCCAATTCCAGACAAAAAATGGTATTTAGAACCTTTTGTGATTGCTATAATTGCTGGTTTTCTTCCTTTTGGCTCAATTTTTATTGAAATGTATGTGTAGTTGTAGAGGTTTTTTAAAATTTAAATAGAGCTGTTCAAGAGTCTTTTTGGAAATGTTGTCCAAGAGTTCAAGACTTTGGAGCCTGAGTCTAGGATTGAGTCAAATACATGAGTCCAAGTTGTCCAAGACTTCTCAGAACTGGTTCTTGAACCTTGACCAGGATTTGCTGTTACGAATCTGAATATTCAAAGATTTTCCGGAAACCGCCATCCAAGGTCTTGACTTGAGATTTTTGAGATTTTTCGATTCAATTAAGGATATCCGAAGATTTTCCAAGGATGACAACCTCTTATTGTTTCCTAGGAGTTTTTTCAATCTCGGTTTCTTAACGTAGTCTTAAATTTTGAAAATTTTTTGGTTCTGGGCAGCTCTATTTTTCCTAAAATAATTTTTAAAAACTTTTCGTTTAGGTATTTTGTTTTTACAAGTTTTTGGGCCTATAAAATTTATTATGTTTACGGGTTTATGCTTCTGGTTGCAATTATTTTGATTGTTGTAACTGCTTGTGTTAGCATTGTTAGTACATATTTTTTGCTCAATGCTGAAGATTATCGATGGTTTGTTTGAAAAAAATTTTTTTGAAATAAATGGGGAATCCAAAAATGTTTAAGTTTATCATGTTATTTCCTCACATCGAAAATAAAATGTTAGAAAAATTTTAAAAATTTTAACCCTCACCTCTAAGTATCAGGGTTGTAACGGGTTTTGAAAACTGGCCCGGTCGGGTTTCAGATTCAGTTTCTCAGAATTTTGTTTTGAGAAACTCCCTGTTTCTAAAATCGAGCATTAACATAGGGATAGAACTTCTATCGCCTGTTCTCCTTCCATCTTCTACTGAATTACTCCTCCGTTTTATCAAGCCACTTTTTAAATTGAGTTGCAGCCTTCTTTGAAACAACTCCCAAACTGTTTTCTGGGTTTTTTCTGGGTTTCTTCCTGGTTTCCAAAATTTTTTTATCGTTCTATTTAAGATCTTTTCTATAATTTTTTTTCAAGGAGATGGACAAGTTTTGCATCAGGAGCATCAGTTGCATTATATGTTTATAATTATGCCTTTTATTATTATTTCTTCAAAACAAAGTTTCTTTTTTTTCTTTAATTAATTTTTAAATTTTTCCCTTTAAAAAGAATGTATGGCCTATTCCAAACAACATTTTATTTTGCCTACATGCTAATTTTTTGTTTGACATTGGGTATTTTGTGTGGAACTGTTGGTTATGTTTCTAGTGCTAGTTTTGTTCATAAAATTTATTCTCGTATTAAACTTGATTAGAAGAAGGAAAGGAAGAGAGGTTTATTTATTTTAAAAATTTATTTTTTTTTGTACTTAAATAAATAGAAAAGAAATTTTGATTTTTGTGGAAGAAAAAGAAATAAGGGAAAAAATAGTGGACAATGTATTTTATGGGGCAGTACACAAGGTTAGCTCTCTTGTTCTTGGTCTAATATTCTTGGCCCATTTATTCCTGGTCCATTTGTCTTTTTAAAATTTTTTTTGAAATTGAAGGGGAAGAAGGTCACCCTCCTTGTCTCAAAGATTTTCGTTTGGGTTTTTAATGCCAAACTCTAATGTGTCTTTAAATTTAGGGGTTTAAGGACTCCAAAGATTGGTGTTTTTCCAACATTTCCCCCTCACTCTGAAATCAACTACATCTGAATATTCGCCTTTCAATAGACCAGTTTCCTCGAATAGTCCCCTTCAGTCTGTCCTTACCTATTTTTTTTCCACAAAAAATTTAAAAAGCCTTTCCCCTCCTGTTCTCTCTTCTTTTGATGACCATAATTTTATGTGGGACACGCCCAAAACTGCGCGAGCCAAAACTGCGCGACCGAAACTGCGCGACCGAAACTACGCAGGCCAAAACTGCGCAAGCCCAAAACTGCGCAGGCCAAAACTGCGCAAAACTAACTAGAGGATGGAGTCTCTTCCGTTGCTTTCCGTCTTTTTTTTTTGCTGTTCCGCCTTCAGTTTTTAAAATTCGGTGTTCATCAAAATTTATTAAATGTAAAACATTCTAACAAAAAATTCAATAACCAGGATAATAAACCAGGAAAAACATAGTCTTACAACCTAAGTTTAGATTTAACTAGTTAGTCTTCAATAAGATGTGACCAAGCTTAATAAAGAGACTAGTTAGTTTCCTTTAACCAGTTAGTCTAAAAACCTTCAGAAAAACCTTCGGAACTTTCTCGACCAAAAACAAGTATTCTTTGCTCATCTTCTTTCCAGGTTCATATTCATGACGTTGGTAGTTCTGAGGAATTACCAAAACCGCGCGACTTTCAGTATTTTGTGGTGCATCTTGTGCCGAAGTCGAATCCGTTTAACTATTTTGCGTATAGCTGACTTGTCCGTTATGAGAATGTTTTTCTTTATTTTTTCCTTATTTATTTTTACTAAATAGTTTTGCGCAGTTTTGGCCTGCGTAGTTTTGGGCTTGCGCAGTTTTGGCCTGCGCAGTTTCGGTCGCGCAGTTTTGGCCCGCGCAGTTTTGGGCTGTACCCATTTTATGTCTGTCATTTCTTAAAATTTAAATAATTTTATTTTTCCTCATTTTCCTTTATTTTTGTGTTTCTACCCGTTTTCTTTTTTTTCGATATTTTGTGATTTAAAATGTCAAGACCATCAAACTAATATAAATATTTTTTTTGTTAAATGATCGCTTTTCATGTGTGGATTTTTAATAAAAATTGAATAAATTTGTATTTGGTTAAATGAAATATTTCTGAGTGTTTTACATTTTGATTTGGAGTATAAAAAGAACCCATGTTTTGCTTAAAATTAGAGAAATATGATAAAGAAATAGTGTAGCTAGAGAAAGAAATTTAATAAAAGGACAGAAAATAAATGACGTTTTATCCCACAAAGTTAGAGAAAGATAAAAACGAAATAGTGTGGTTAGAGAAAAAAATAAACAAAAATTGATTAGGTCCTTTCAGTGTGGCGTTTTGAGAGCGAACTGGGAAAATTATTTTATAAATTTTTAAAATTATATTTTTCAATAATCGATATACTAATCGATAATATCTATATTCTAAAACTTAGAAATTTATATTATCAAAAATCGATACTAATCAATAAAATCAATACAACAGTGCTGAATGGTAAGAGCGAATGTTCTATTTGTCCAATGTTCCATTTTGTCCGGCCTTACCAATGTTCCATTTTGTCGCTCATTTCTGACTCAACCGTTCCCTATTATTTGATGTAAATGACTCTGTTCGGTTTAGAGAAATATTTAATGAGAAATAGTGCAGTTAGAGAAAAATTAACACATTTATTTGGTCGGTTAGAGTAAAAGTTTAACACTTTATTTGGTCGGTTCAGTGCTGCATTTTGAGAGCGACTGGTTACTGTAGAAATTAAACAATCTAAATCTTCTAAAATTCTTTAATTCCAAAAATCAATCTAATCGATAAAATCAATATCAATCAATAAAATCTATACTCCAGAACTTTTAAAATTTCTATTTTTTAAAAAATCGTTAAAAAATCAATAAATCAATACTAATCGATGAAATCGATATTCCAAAAACTTTAAATTTCTATTTTGCAATAAATCAATAAGAAATCAATAAATCGATATCAATCGATAAAGGCTATATTCCTAACCTTGTAAAACTTCTGAGTTCATCAAAAAAAAATCAATACTAATCGATAAAATCAATGTAATTGATAATTGTTTTTATAACGTACCGTAGCCAATTCGCTCTCAATATCAAGCACTGAACCGACCAAAATATTGTATTTAATTTGTTTCTCTAACTACAATATTTCTTCTTTATATTTCTCTAACTTTAGTGATGAAATGTCATTTATCCACTTTAATTTTTTTTGCGGACTGCAATATTTCTCTTTCATTATTTCTCTAAATCCAACGGTCCCATTTACTTGAAATTCTGGGAATGTTTAAAACATAAGTCTGAGTCTTGGCTTGTGCAAAAGTCAGAGAACACTTAATAATGACAAGGGAAAGAAGGTAGAAGAATCGTTTCCTTAAAGGAAAAAAGCTGAAAAATCAAAGAAATTGACCGACTTTTTAGCCTCAACAAAAAAAACATCAATTCTAGCATTTTTAAAAATATTTTTATACAAAATCAAAACTTTTTATTAAAAATCAAGTCGTTCTTTATACATTAAAACAACTGGTTCAGGTTTATTCCTCCGAGTTTTTCTTATGCCTTTAAAAAATAAAAATTATAATTTAATTTAAGGGAAGCTCTGTGACTAGAAGATGTCAAAATAAATCCCCTCAAAAATCCCATGAAAGCTACAAAATTCACGAAAATCTTCTGGAAGTCCAGAATCACAGGAAATCACAAAATAGCTCTCTTTAAAAAAATCCCGTGGATAACACTAACCCCATTTGTCGCTTAAAACCCCAGAATTTCGGAACAGGATCCCGTAAAATCACGCACGGGTTCCTGTCCTTTGCTGCAATCTTGTTCGAAAAAATCCGAAAAAGACGGGGAAAACAAACCAGAGATTCCAAAATTTAAAAAAGAAAAAAATCAAACCTGATAATCTAACAAAAGAACGATCAATTGGGTCAAGTTTTGTACCAGGAATTAAATGAATTAGTACAGGCTCATCATTCTAATGAAAAAATGAATTTAAAGTAAAACTGATTTAAAAAAGAAACCCTTCTATGCATTAATGACGGATCTTGTTCTGAACTACAACATTCATCATCATCCTTTGTAGGAACTAAAAAAATAAAAAATGAAATTTAAAAATTATATAATTTTAAAGCTATCAAAGACTTATTTCATATCCATAAAATTATGAAAAAAATTTCTTATAAAAATACAACAGAAAAATCATTTTTTACTTCAATCTCGCATTTATAAGAATTAAAAAAAGAATTTTCAAGCCTTACAAGGAGAGTTTGCGAGGTGTCCGAGCTAAAAACGGTCGAGACCGGGCTCATTCGATAGAGAATGTGCCCTTTCTAGCAAGGATTTTTTGCCGTTTTTGCCCGTTTTTTGATCTGGCCAAGATATGGCCCTCCAAAGTCCCAAAATTTGCCATAATTTTCCCCCCTCAAATATAAACATTAAATCTAAATTAATTTTGTTGGCGTTGTGGTGTAGTGGTAAATGTGCTTGACCTACCCTTTTTCTCTAGAAAGTTCGATTCTTTTTTGGGTTTTATTATTTTATCTAACTGTTTTATACATTATTTATTCCTTTTTCAACAAAAAATTTTTTTTTAACTTTATTCTGACGAGTTATTGGGTGGACAGGAGAAGATTCCCCGGGAGAATTCGATCATCCGATCCGTTGTTTTCCATTATCGTCCCCTTTTGGATGTAATACACCTAATTGTTTGGAATCTGGTTTTATTCGATGTGCCAGCTGTAGCAATTTCTAGTTTTATAGCAAATCTAATTAAAAATTTTTTTTTATTTTTAAAAATTTTAAAAAAATTAAAAAAATTTTTTTCAAACAAAAAAAATTTTTTGTTGAAAAAGGAATAAATAATGTATAAAACAGTTAGATAAAATAATAAAACCCAAAAAAGAATCGAACTTTTTAGAGAAAAAGGGTAGGTCAAGCACATTCACCACTACACCACAACGCCAACAAAATTAATTTATTATTTAATGTTTATATTTGAGGGGGGAAAATTATGGCAAATTTTGGGACTTTGGAGGGCCATATCTTGGCCAGATCAAAAAACGGGCAAAAACGGCAAAAAATCCTTGCTAGAAAGGGCACATTCTCTATCGAATGAGCCCGGTCTCGACCGTTTTTAGCTCGGACACCTCGCAACCTCTCCGTGTTAGGATTCGAACCCAGGACCTCTCACTAGGGGAAAATTAGAATTATCTAACTACACCACACAAGAGCATATCTATTTCCCAAAATTAATGACTATGACTCTTCTATAAATTTCTATCAAAATAATTAAAGTTAAACAAACCTTCTTTTCCTTTATTCTCCTCTTCATTCGATTTCGATTCCAGGATTCATTTGAAGCCAAATCTCATCCATTTTCTTTCAAGACTTCTGGATACTTTGTCAAAGCTGAAAATTAAGTAATTAAAAATCCTTTAGACATAAAAACAACCTATAAAAAGATCAACCATTCAAAACAAGCAAATCAATGCATCTAACCAATGGACATTTGCTGTACGTCTTCTCATTTGACAAGAACTTGGCCACCATTTAATTGGCTTTAACATTGGGAATGGATAAACTTATTTAAGGGAGAAACTTTGCGGACAAAACTTGCGAATTTAATAAAGTAAAAAAGCTAACCTCCGAAGAGACCACAGCAGCTTTTGTGCCCAGCGATCTCCGAAGAGACCACTTGAGCTGTTGTGCCCAGCGATCCCCAAAGAGACAACTTGAGCTGTTGTGCCCAGCGATCTCCGAAGAGACCACTTGAGCTGTTGTGCCCAGCGATCTCCGAAGAGACCACTTGAGCTGTTGTGCCCAGCGATCTCCGAAGAGACCACTTGAGCTGTTGTGCCCAGCGATCTCCGAAGAGACCACTTGAGCTGTTGTGCCCAGCGATCTCCGAAGAGACCACTTGAGCTGTTGTGCCCAGCGATCTCCGAAGAGACCACTTGAGCTGTTGTGCCCAGCGATCTCTGAAGAGACCACTTGAGCTGTTGTGCCCAGCGATCTCCGAAGAGACCACTTGAGCTGTTGTGCCCAGCGATCTCCGAAGAGACCACTTGAGCTGTTGTGCCCAGCGATCTCCGAAGAGACCACTTGAGCTGTTGTGCCCAGCGATCTCCGAAGAGACCACTTGAGCTGTTGTGCCCAGCGATCTCCGAAGAGACCACTTGAGCTGTTGTGCCCAGCGATCTCCGAAGAGACCACTTGAGCTTTTGTGCCCAGCTATCTCCGAAGAGACAACTTGAGCTGTTGTTGTGTTGCTGTTGAAGAACTGAAAAAAAATTGTTTACATTTTTTAAAAATTATAAAAAGCAAGTCTTGTCCGCAAGTCATTACTACCCCCCTCCCCTCAAAAAGGTAATCCCAAAAAAGGAAGAGCCATGCTTTCTGTTGTAGGAAGAGCCAGGAAGAGCCATGCTTCCCCTCGACGAAAAAACAAAAAAATAAACAGTAGCAACTGACTACAAAAAGATTAAAATTAAAAAAGGTTAAAGAAAGAAAAGGGAAATCAATAAAAAGGGCGCCAAAAATAATGGCCGACAAGCGCTATAATAAACATAGAAAGAGAATAGAAAAAGAACGTGAAGAAATGCTAGAGATAGAAAGAGAGTAAATAATAAAAGGCAAAAATAATGGCCGACATTTTTATCTTTTTCTCTAAACACACACTATTTCGCCTTTTAGAGGGACTTCAAAATGTTAACTCTGTGTATTTCAAAGTGTAAAAAATAAAAATATCAATCAAGGGAAATATTTTCAGATAAAACAATGTCAGAGAACATTTAATAATGACAGGAAAGGGAGAGAAACGAGGAAAAATCGTTCCCCTTAATAAAAAAACAAAAGTAAAAAAATTGACAGAGGCTTTTAACCTCAACAAGAAAAAATACCAATTCGAGCATTTTTAAAAAATATTTTTATACAAAAAAAAATTTTTTTCGATTAAAAATCAAGCCGTTCTTTATACATTAAAACAACTGGTTCAGGTTTATTCCTCCAACGAGTTTTTCTTATAAATGCCTTTAAAAAATAAAAAAAAATTATAATTTTAAATTAATTTTAGGGGAGTTTTGTGACTAGAAAATGTGAAAATGAATCCCCTCAAAAATCCCATGAAAGCCACAAAATTCACGAAAATCTCCTCCAAAATCCCTCGGAAGCCTGAGAAAAACCCCCTCTTTAAAAAACAAATAAATTTTCAAATACCATGGAGAAATCCCTCCCCATAAGTTCATAGTTACAAAAAATGTCAAATTCATTATATTTTGTAATGTCAGCAAACAGTAGATAAGCAAGAAGACGTTTAACAGTATTGATGGTTGCAAAAGCTAAAAAATAGGAAATTTAAATTTAAAAAAAATCGGGGGAGCTTAAACCTTTAGAAAACACAAAAACAGGGAAATATATTTTGACAACTTTTAAATCACCCAGATAAACCCGAGTTTCTTTAAATGAATTGAGGAAGGAATTGAGGACGAAGGACAAAAAAATGCTGAAAACTGGGGAAGGAAAAAAAGGGGTGGAGGAGGAAAGTACGAAACTGGATCTTGCCAAGATCATAAAAAAGACTAACCCGTCCCCCGGATAAAGCTCCAAAATTTAAAATAAAATTAAAAAGAAAAATCAAACCTGACAGTCTAACAAAAGAGCGATCAATTGGATCAAGTTTTGCGTCAGGAATTAAATGAATTAATACAGGCTCATCATTCTAATGAAAAATAAAAAGTTAAAATTAATTTAAAAATAAAACCCTTCTATGCATTAATGACGGATCTTGTTCTGAACTACAACATTCATCATCATCCTTCGTATTTGAAGAAACTAAAAAAATTAAAAATTAAAATTAATTTAAAAATTATATAATTTTTAAACTATTAATGACTTATTTCTTATCCATAAAATTATGAAAAAAAATTTTCTTATCAAGTATACAACAAAAAAATCATTTTTCTGCATCAATCACGCATTTATAAAAATAAAAAAAGAATTTTCAAGCCTTTGGATTCGAACCCAGCACCTTCTAATAGGAAAAAGTGGAACTATCCAACTACACTACAAATGCCCACATCCTTTCTTGCAAAATTAACGACTATAACTCCTCTATAATTTCTATTAAAATAATTAAATTTAAACAAACCTTCTTTTCCTTTATTCTCCTCTTCATTCGATTTCGAGGTTTCTGAGGATTCATTTGAAGCCAACTCTCCTCCATTTTCATCCTTTTCAAAAGATCCATTTTGTTCCTGTTCCTTTCGTTCTTTCTCTTCTTTTTTCTTTTGTTTAAGTTTAAATTGTTCTCTTCGTCGTTGTTCTTCTGCCTAAAAACTCTTATAAAACCCCTTCAAAAAATTTAGAAAAAAACCTGCATTCCCGGAACCAATTTATAAACAATATCTTGCATTGTACGGTCAAAGGCCACATAATGTGAAGGATGTGATTGATGGATTTGATAATGACATTTTGGGCAGTCTGTGTTATCTTAAAAAAAAGGGGATTTTGTCTTCAGTTGAGAGGAGGAAATTGTCTTACTTAAATGTTTTTGGAGAGAAATTTCCTTCCCTATTGGGCGATAAAAAGATAGGAAACCATTTTAGAAAAACAGCAAAAATGTTGCCAAACAATTATAAAAAATTTTCTACAGTCAAAGGACACATAGAAATGAGGACACAAACCAAGCCAAAAAAAACCCTAGACCTCTTCCCTAAATGTTTTTTGGAAGATAGGAAGGGGGAAACATTTTTAAAAAAATCAGAAACTGCCCAACGATCAGAAAAAATTTTTTGATATTTAATTTTTAAAAATTTCCCAGACCTCTTGGCTTGGATTTAATCAAATCTCGTGTCACTATTAGAGTGCGACCCAAACAAAAAATTTCTAAAAAATCCTAGCCCTTTAATAAATTAAAAAGAAAACCTTCATCAAAATATTTGAGCAAACACGATTTACAAAAAGTATGTAAACAATCAATGACTGTAGTTGCATCAACAAAATACCCATTACATAGAGGGCAGGTTCTTTAGAAAAATTAAAAAAATTAAAAAATAAAAAAAAAGCAAACATGTAAGGATTTATGCTGCTTAAACTAACAAAATTTTCCATTGGTTTTTGGGAAGTTCCAGCAGTTGATGATGAATTATTTTCTGAATTTTTGAAGAATTCATTTTTCTCAAAATTTGCTGTTCTGCGAGTATAAGCCATCCTTTAAAAAAATTAAAAAAAAAGTTTTTTTAAACCAAAAAAAAAGAAAAAAGGTAGAAAATGTTTTTGAAACATAATAGAAAAATCAAATTTTAAAGACAATTTGAAAAAAAAATTTATTTTAAAATTTAAATAGTAAGGCGAACGACTCTCTAATTTTATATGTATTGATAAGGGTTGTAGGTTCTGAACCGAGCCGAAGAACCGATGATTTTTCGTTTCGAATATCGGTTCCGGATATCGGAAGATTTTCCGAGAGCAGACAACCCTAGTATTGATCCTTGGGCCGTTTGGTTTCAAATCGAGCCGAAAACCCAAAGATGTTCGGTTCAGTTTGTCGGTTCCGTTTCGGGTAATAAATTTTGAGTTTCGGTAACTGAATGAATCCCCAGTGAAACCAACAACCCTATTATTTAATCCCCTTATTTAATTTTTATAACTATACTATCACATTTGTTGTTTAATCACATAAGTAAAATCGCCAGAAAAATTTAATTTCATCATCACTTTCGACTTTCATCCTTCTTTATAGCTTCTTGAATAGCTTTGTCAGCATTTGGATCAGTTTTAGAAAGTTGTTCAAATCCTTCTTGTCCAACGAAACATATCTCATGGTCATTCTATTAAAAATTTTTTAGTGGAAAATTAAATGAAACACTTTTTAGATAAAAGTTAAGAGGTTGACTCTGGTCCGGTTTATGAATCCAATGAAATTTTGAGTCAAAAAAAATTTCTTAAAACATTTTAAATTATCAATGGAGTTCTTCTCTCGATTGATAAATGAAGCTCTGGGCCTTTAATGGACTCATAAAGCCTGATTGGACTCATAAAAATTCATTGGACTCATAAACCAGATCCAAAGAATCCATTGAAAATGTTAATTGGACTCATAAAGAGTCACTAGACTCGTACAGGTGTTATTGGACTCCTAAAGCTTCACTGGTCACATTATAGCTTCATTGAACTCATAAACTAAACCAGACCCAAAGGTCCTATTTATTCTGAAAAATTTTCAAAAAAATTTTAAGGGTCCATTTCTGGATCTGAACCTCATTATAAAAAAATAAAAAAATAACCAAACCGGATCTCGAAGTATAACAACAGAAACGGTTGCTTTTCCAGGAGTTTCCAACGAAACTAGAAACGTCTGAATAAAATTTTTATTTTTAGCCCCAACAACGTCTTCAATCATTTTTAGATTTTCTGTTGGCGTGGAAAAGGCAATTCTTCCAAAAGCTGTTTTTCTTTCAAGTTGGGCATCTTTAAGTTGATTTAATTCCAATTTACACTTGAAATTTGTTGAAAAAATTTTTTTTTGAAAAATTTTTAGCAAAAAGCAAACCTGTCCAGGTCCATAAGACAACAAACAAGCATTTTCATCGTCCTTTTCAACAGACATTCCCAAAAGATCAGACCAAAATTCTAAAAAAATTTAAATTTTAATTAAAAAAATTTAAAAAAACCTTTAGATTCATTCAAATTTTTTACATTAACACAAACTTTAGTCACTGGATACTTGAATTCTTTCAAATCCCCCTTTCCAATGCAAAAACAATGCTCATCTGGGTCTTTAATTGAAATAGTTCCATCCTGATTTAAACATCCTTTCGACTTTGCCAAGTCGAAAATTTTGTCCGAATTAATATGGATGGCCTAAATTTTAAAAAAGTTTGAACTAAAAATTGATTGTCATCTTGTAAATAAAAATCTGTCGCGTGAGAGGATTCGAACCATCAAAAAGGAGAGGAGTCTATTAACGAGAGGACAAAAGAGGAGTCCACGAAATGAGTTCGCAGACTTAAGGACGAGTTGATTAACCAGGGAGAAGAGTCCCAAGCTTCAAAGAGAGGAGTCCCCCGTTCCAAGGAGTCCATCAACGGAGAGAAGCCATCTCTATTTTTCCCAATCAAGGAAAGGAGTCCCAAAAAAATTAAAATTGTCTTAAAATTCGCCTAAAATAAAAAAAAAAACCTTAAAATCATTTCCAAGCTGGTATGAACTAATTCCATAATTATAAGTCAATTCAAGCACAAAATGTTCATCCTCATCTCCATATCCAATCATTGTTTTGCTCCACAAATTGTCATAAGGACCATTACAATCAGCCTTACACCCCTTAAAATAAAAATCAGCACATCTTTAATATAAAAAACCTCTTCAAATTCTTCATGTCGAAGTACTTTCATTCCCAAAATTTCAGTATAAAATTTGTAGGAAGCCTCTCTGTTAGCAACACGAAAAACATAATGTAATGCTCTTGCAGGGAACTTCATAGAGCTTTTTAAAAATTTGAAAAAAAAATTCTAAAAATTTTTAAAAATGAAAAAAATATTTCAAGGTGTCCTTAAACAACGAAAAGACTAAAAACGAGTCTCTTTAAAAATTTTCTTCGGCAAAAAAAAATAAAAAATTCCTTCTCTCAATTTTCCTGATCTTCTCCAAGAATATTCATTTCTCCTTTATTTTTTAAATTTCCTTTTCCTTCTTCATTTTCAATTCCTTGTTGTTGTTGCTGCTGTTGTTGTTCACCCGTATTTGATAAAAATGCCAAAATTCCTTTAGTACATCTGTTTGCATAATGTCCCTTTTCTCCACATTTATAACATGTTATATCAGCCTTTAAAAAATTATTTAAATATATTAAAAATATACACAATTAAAAATATTTACAACGCCGAAATGCCAAACGGCATCATTTCTCCTATTTGGCAGTTCGGCTTGGTATTATGACGTCTTGGCATTTTTCGGTAGCCTATTTGGGCTGAAAAATCGTCTCTTACAATAAGAAGTAAGTTCGATATTACGAGGCGGGGGCGAGTTTGCGGGGAATTCAAGCCGCGGGGACGGTGAACGGGGGCTCTGGGGAAGAGACCTCCATCGTTCCCCGAGGAATTCCCTGGAACGAGGATCGAACCCTAGTATAAAATAGGAGCAGTAGTTTTTAACCAAGTTTTTAACCAAATGTTAAAAATTGACGAATAACTAATCTTAAGAGTATCTTAATTAATCCAACCGTATCAAAAAATAAAATATACAATATTTCTCCTTTGTTGCTCCTGTGCTTGAGAAGCATATTGTTTTAATTTGGTCGCATCAATTTGTGAAAGTTGTGTTTGCGCAGGTAAATGGGGACAATGAGTAGCTTTATGACCTATACAAAAATTTTTTAACTAAAATTTCTATACAAAATTTAACCTCTTTCATGACAATTATGGCAAGTAACTCCATAATTTGGTCTAAAATTAAGTTTTGGTTGAGCTTCAACCAAAGGCAAATCAAATGAAGCATGAGAAAATTTGCATAGAGGGCCATCTAGACAAAATCCAAGTAAATAGAAAGGGCAAATGACACGACGACGATGACGGTTTTTGCAATAAGGGCCTGAAAAATAATTTTTAAAAAATTTTAGTACGTTAAAAAAATCCAAACCATGTCTACAAAATCCTCTATCATACCAAGGGCAATCTTTTATTTTACTTTCAGGGTCAATATGTCGAAAAGGACATTCACGATTACTACAAGCAACTGAAAAAATAAAAATAAATTTTATTATAGGATTGGATCGTGAGCTCTTTCTTGGTCAAAACCCCCGACCCCGAAAGACTCAACTCCGACACCAAACACGAACAAAAATCGCACCCCAATATCGAACGTTTTTGCCGACACCAACACCGATATTCACAAACATGACAAATCTCAAGACGGATTTTCCGGATTATCAGGTCCGGAAAGAATACAGAGATTGCGAAAAAATCCGAAATATAGGACCCGGACTCCAGAAAACTCGACCGAATCCTGTCCAGCACCGCGCGCTATTTATTAAAAATTAGAAAAAAACCAACGATATTTTGAAAAGAAAAAGCATTCAGGCATTCTACTCAAATCATATTCATGCAAGAATTCACATTGATCTCCTTTTTTGCATAATCCTCTAAGCCAGTGTTTACAAACAACTTGTTTATCTTTAATTATATGTCGAAGAGGACAGAGAGCACCCATTGTACAAGCTTTTACTTCATTTTTGAGACAAACACCTCTGCCGCTTTTGTCCATTCCAGGAAATGGAAGCTTTTTAGAAAAATAAATTTTTTAAAAAGCATTTTGGCATCCCCAATTAAAAGCATCCCCCAGAAACCTTCAACTCTAATCCCATCTATTACACACGTCAACGCTAGTCGTAAACCGGAACACAAATTCTTAAAAATGTGCTAACTCCTACGGGTTATCTCAAGAAAATTTAAATAAAAAAAACAAAAAAAACCTCTCTCATTCCTCTTTGCTCAATAAGCATTTCTTCTACATCTGTTAAATATGTTGGAGGTTCAGCAAGTAACATTTCTATAGTTAAAGGCGTTTGTGAAAAAGAAGGATCCTCATTTGGAATATATGGATACATCTTTCTTTTTTCTAAAAAAGGTTTAAAAAATCTGAAATAACTTATAAAATTAAGAATATTAAAATAAAATTAAAAAATAAAATGGTTAAAATGACCAAATTAAAATATTTAAGAAAAATAAAATTAAACAAAAAATCTATACAAACGGGAAAAAACAAAACAAGAATAAAATTAAATTTTCCGAAACAGGGATTGAAACTTTAACAAAAAAAATTTTGAGAACGTTGTGATGTCTCCAACCTGTGGAAATGACGCTATAATGCCAAAAGTATTATGGTGGTTTGCCATTAGAGGTCGGCGAAATCGTGCTCGCGGGATCTTGCATGCGGGATTTTTTTAAATCTTTGCGCGACGGGATCCCGCGGATATAATCCCGCCCTCCCTTGAATCTACGGGATTCCGCAAATTCCCGCGTGGGATCCCTCCAGCACCGACCTCTAGTTTCCATTTCTGCTGTTTGGCAGTTACCGAAGGTCGGCATTTAGCGTTTTGGCATAGCACCACGAAATAATACCACTAAAATACACCATTTTCCTTAAAAATAAAATTCCAATCCCTCTAAAATCGTCCTAATAAAATATCAAAAAAATCTTTAAACCTTCTCCTTCCTTCGACTACCAATTCTTCTCTATAGGACTATCCATACAATAACCATTTGCATCTAATAAACTTTTTGCAGCCCCCATAACACTTGGATTAATATTAATCATTTTTTGTTCTAAAAAATAAAATGTTTTTTTGTAAACTATCGAAAAAAACATACGAGTCTCCATTACTTCAGCAATTACTCTTTTAGATTCGTCTGCTGCTCTACTACAAAAATAGTTGGTCCAATCAAGCTGTAAGAAAAAAATAAATATGTAACTTTAACCATAGTTAGGGTTAATAGGTTTGAGGGGGGAATTTTGCCAGTGAGACTTGAGGAAGTGCTACTTCTGGGATGACTGTGTACGCGATAAGACGGTTACACGAAAATTTTAATTCAAACAATGGTCGAGAGAGCTGTTTTTACAAGGGTACCCCAAAAGCCGTCGAAATACCAAACTAGATACTGGGAGTGTCAAGTAAATCTCAATCTCGATAATCGAGATTTTTGTTCGAAATAACGTCTCAATTCGATCTCTATGTAAATTGTTTTCAAAATCGATTTTTCCAATATGGCTGGCTCTAGCCCACCTTCCTATGCTCTAACAATAAACTTATAAAAAAATTAAAAAAAACCTCCAAATGAGAATTTCTAACACCAACAGAATAAGCTCTACTTGCTCTAGCTATTGCAGAAATCATTGCCAAATTATTTTCCATTAAAGTTGAAATACTAAAGAAAAATTTCTTTTAAAATATCATAAAAAAAGAAACATACTCTTGTAACGCAATATAATCCGTATTTAAATAAACTCCTTTATCTCTAAAAAGAATATCGATAACTTTATCCAAACGAGTAAGACAATATTCAAAATTGACTGCTGAACCCTGTAAAATTTTTTTGAAAATTAAAGGATCCATCCCAGAAGAGGTTAATATCCTAAAGGTCAAACCCCTAAATGCTTCGGAGGATAAATAGAATTTGTGCAAATTAAAAAAAATTGGGAGGATTAAGGGGAATACCGACTGATTTGATCGGAGTGTTAGGATTAATGAGGGACGGAAGACGGAAATTCTCTTGAAAATTTCAGATTAAAAGAAAACGGGGCAATGAATCTTTGATTTTAAGTTTGCTATATCCTCCCAAACATTTGGAGTTGACCTCCTGAGTCACTTGACCCTTAGTTAGTTGACCCTTTGGGTTAATCCTATTAAAAATAAAAAAAAAACCGCTAAAGATGGATGAACATGTTCTGCAATAAAATGAATCAATTTTGGATGTAAATAATCAATCAAATCTTCTCTACCACCCAAATATCTTACAAAACCGGATGTTTTCATAAATCTTTAAAAAATATTTTTAGAAATTAAATTAAATTAAAAAAACGTTTTCGCTCCTCCATGATGATTAACATAATGTTCAATAGCAGGAATTGTGATACGCCTTACCAAATGTAAATCAAGGTCCTAAAGTAAAATTTTTTTATTGAAATTAAATTATAGAAAATCGGAATCGAGGAACCAAAGCGAAAAATCCTCTCGTTTCTTTGGTTCCAAACCGACAACCCCTAGTGGAGGAAATCCACTCGTCTTGACCAATGGATACAGGCCCGTAGTCAAGGGGTATTTTTCTTTCCAGAAATAAAAGAAATCCGGCTTCTGGACCTCCAAAATTTTCGCTTCCAGTCGCGCCAAAATTATTCACCCTGAAAATTTTTCACGGCTACGGGCCTAAATAGGTGGACGCCCTCCCCTTAGAAAGAAACTAAAATAAAAAACAAACTGAAAATGACATCAAGGCCAACGCGTCTTTAATCATTTGATCATAAGGTAATTCAACATCTGACGAATAAATTCCAGCAACTTCAGTAATTGTAGTTATAGCCTGTCTAATTGCTTTGTTTGAGAATCTCTAAAATTGAAAAAATGATACTTTAACCCTTTTAATTTCAAAAAAACCTGAATGATAGAATTTTCAATATCTTGAGACAAAAATAAATTTTCATCAGTCAAGCCACCTAAAAATCCAAAAAAAAATTTTTTAAATTTTAAAACAAAACCTATATAATAAACCATCGTTTCCAATATATAAATATGTAAACCCATGTCAGATAGTGTCTTTTTTATTGGATGAGAATCTGCTAGACGCATATTTCCTTTGACTTCCTGATTTGCAAAAGAACAAAGATCTCCTTAAAAATAGAAAAAAATCAGTTAGAGATTTTAGAAAAAATTTCTGAAAACAAAAATAAGTTAATTAATGGACCTCACTAGAGGAAACAAAAGATAGAAAAAGGGAAGAGTTTAGCAAAAGTTTAGCCACCGGACAGAATTCAGAAAAAAACCTTCCTCCTTCCCGAAGTTATTGCTAGGCTCTTTCGCTCACCACATACAGAAAAGCTCCACCACTGATCTACCGGGGCAACGACTACCACTGTGCTACCGAGGCATTCTCCTTTTCCTTTTTAGATCATTTAACCCGCGCCTAAGACTTTTATATGCTCTAGGTGAATCATTCTTACAGAAATAACCCTCAAGTTTCATGTATATTCTAACAATAAGTGAGGTGAGTAGTCTAAGCGATACACTTAAATAAGACACCCTAACTAAAAATAAGAAAATTTTCAACTCAAAGGTGGGTTTTTCAATTTTACAATTTTCAGAAAAATTTAACAAAAAATTTTCAAAAAAAACCTAAAGCTTTCTTCATAAATCCAACCACAGCAGCACCATAAAGCGTTTTGCCTGAATAAGCCAATTCATCAACCATTGCTCGAGCATTTTCGCTTTCCCCAAGCATAAGGGAATCATCAACGGGGACATTATTGAAAACAACCTCAGAAACTTTGAAAAAAGAGAAAATTTCTTAAAAAATTCAAAAAATTCTTACAATTGCATTTTTGCAGTCCACTAGTCATTAATTTATTTTTAATGGTTATTGAAGCATTTGGATCTTTAATTGAATCTTTTTCGATTATATAACAAGTGGGAAAATTCTAAAAAAAATTTTTTTAATTTAAAAAAATTTTTCTTTAAATTTTAACCTCATCCCCAATCCTTTTATTAGCAAAAACTACAAATAAATTAGCATCCACAGCATTTACAACATTCACTTTATAAGCATTAAGTCGTTGTGGTTGTCCAGGGGAAGATGAAACTTGTGATGATGGATTGACTGAAGTACTAAAAAATGAAAAATTTTGCGGATAATAATTACGGATAAATAGAGATCGAGCTTGGTGAGGGGGTCAAGGAAGAGCCAGGAATCTTTTGGGATTTCTAGGCATTTCTCTAGGTCTGTGAATTCCTTGGGACATTAAAGACACCGACATCAAATGTTCGACATTTGACAATCGTTTGACATTCCGATTGTGCTCGAGAACGCGACTTTGACATCATTTCTGACATCTACTTTTTACATCGTCATATACTTTTAGTGACATTGACAGTGACATATCCCTGTCGCTATTGACATTGAGGTCCCGTGTGTGTCCCACGACAATGTCCTCATTGTCAATCACGACAAAGACATGCAATAGTCAATGTTGACTAGTCAATGTCGCCAAAAGTAGATGTCAATGTCAGAAATAATTTAACGAATTAAAAATCTCAACCTCTATTGCCCAACCAAACCAAAAAAATTTCCCTACGTTTCCTCTTGCCAACAAATTGCAGGTCTCCATTTTCCAGTTGCCAGTCCAGGCAAATAATCATCTTTTTGTTTAATCGTTCCAAATTGTAAAATTATATTTGAACAAGTCATCAAATTATTAAACATTGTAAAAATTGAAAGATCTCTAGAGCTAATACACTCAACTAATTGAAGAACATCTTTTTGTTGAAAACCAACACCTCCAAAATCCTTTGGGATAATTGCTCCAAAAATTCCATTTTTCATGAGAACATCAACAATTTCTGAAGGCATAAGACCAGGGGAGGTTTTGACATGAGGAACTTTAAAAAATATTTTTAAAGAAGTTGAGGACGTTCAGAGGAGCTTAGGACGTCCAGAAGCTTCAGAAAACTTTTAAAGAAGTTGAGGAAGTTCAGAGGGACCTAAGGACGTCAGAGAGCCTTGAGAACGTCCAGAAGCTTTAAAAAAATATTTTTAAAAAAGTTGAGGAAGTTCAGAGTGGCTTAAGGACGTTCATAGAGCCTTAGGGACGCCCAGAAGGTTCAAAAAAAATTTAAAAGGAAATTGAAGACATTTAGATGGTCATAAGGACGTAAGAGAGCCTTAAGGACGTCCAGAAGCTTCAAAACTTTTTAAAGAAGTTGAGGACGTCCAGAGAGCCTTAAGGGACAAAATCCTCTCCCATTACCCCAAAAATGATTTCAAGGACGTCAAGAGAACCTTAAGGGGGAAATTACTAAAGGTTCTATTATTCCCCGAAAAAATTATTAAAAGAAGTCGAAGACGTCCAGAAAGCCTCGAAGGACTTTTACTCTAAAATAAACAAACTTGTTTTATCAAGATCATCACCAAGTTTCCCGACATATGATTTTATATTTACAATTTCTGCCAACTCCAAATATTCAGGAAAAATCATAAAATCCTACAAAAAACATTTTTAGGCTGAAAACAAAAATTAAAAAAACCTTCTCAAATTTATTAAGCATTGCTCCACGAGATAACGACCTTTTTTCTATTGGAACCATTTCTGTAATTTGATCAATTTCATTTTTTTCAGATTTTTCATCTAATCCTCTATTGACGCTGGCTCTTCTAACAAAAGAATTGAAAATTTTTGGAATAGATTGAAGAACAGAATTTACTCGGAACATTTCAAAAATTAAAAAAAAAGTTCCTAAAAAAGTAGAAAAATTTAATAAAGCCTTTAGGTAACAATAAATCAACTTTTTCTTAAGGAAAAAAGTTGATTAAAAATCATTAACATATTCGCGAAAGGTACAGCCCAAAACGGCGCACGGCCATAACGGCGCAAAGACATAACTTGCTGGAAAATTTCTGGCCCTTATCAATTTTTGTGTACCAATCTCTTTAACTCGATGAGAGGAATTGGATCTTTTTTAAAAAGCACAACGCCAGAACATCGTTATTATCAACGTGACATTAAATCTCAAGCTTTACATCTCTTTTTCTCTGCTCTGCCATTATATTTCTCCCTTTTTTTCTATTAATTTCCATTCGGTAGTCTCTCGGTAATAGTTTGGAATTCGCCCCCCTTTTTTCACTGTTTCCCTGACCATTTTGAGCTTTTTTGTTTGATACATAATTTATCATATATTGTTCGAAAGAGCTCTTCGAGCGTGGTCGAATGATACCATGATTTGCCAAATCTGATCAATCTTACCAAAATTATGAAGCCAAATCCTAGTTTGGGCAAACTTTTTGTGTCAATGCAAAGGGATAAAATAAACGGTCACAACATTGTTTACTTAAGTCGGATTTCGTTGATCTTAACGTCATTCGACTCAGCTTGAAGAGCTCTTTCGAATGATATATAATTTGCCATAAAATGAAAAAAAAACTTAGAAAAAATAGAAAGGAAAAAAAGGGGGGGCGAATTCCAAACTATTACCAGTCTCTCCACTTATGTTGAGGTATTTTTGCGGACCTCTCAAAATGTCCAACAGAGTAAAAATTCGCAATTTGTCGCACACTTAAGTTGGTTTTTTAAAGAAAAATAGAAAGAGTAGTCAAAAATCATGGGGAGGCGATTTGAAATTTTGAGAATTTGAAGAGCATTAGAAAGCTCAAAATAATTTTGAAAAAAATAAGAAAATATTAAAAATATTTGAACAGCTCTACGTTCACATAAATTTAAAATTTTTAATTAAATAAAAAAATAAGCATCTTTAATTAAAAATAGAGAAAAAAAATTTTCTGTCATATGTTTTATATTTTTATCTTAATGATTTTTCAGAATTTAAAAATCTATTGAAGAAAAAAATATTTCAATGGGAAAAGAAGAATTGCAAAAATTTATTGATAATTGGCTTGAATGGGATAAGGTTTTTATTTTTTATTCTAACTTATTAAAATATTTTTTTGAAGAATGATGACACTCGAAATCAAATTTCTAAACTTCTGGAAGCAGGAAATACAGCAGAACTCAAAGCTTTGATGATTGGTGAACTTTCTTTTGGAACAGGTTTTTTATTAATTGTCCCTTTCTTTTTTTTCCCCATTTTCCGGACTCCTTCCCAGGATCCGCCAACCTTACTTGATTTGAAATGTAAATGAACCCCTTACGGTTAAGAATTTTCCTCGTTATCTGCTTTGTCTTATTGAATAAAATTTATTTCAAGGTGGTACTAGAATTGGTCCAGGCTTCACTCAATTAAATGAACTTAACGTAATCCTACTCTCTCATGGAATGGCTCAACTTTTATTGCAAGAGATGCCAATTAAAAAAAACAAAAAGTTAAAAATTGTAGTTGGATTTGATGGACGTCACAATAGTTTGAGGTTTTTTTTAATTTTGAACAAGTACAATTTTTGTGGACTTTTTTGTGGACTTTCTCCCATTTGTTTGGATCTTTCTTTTTCAGACTCTTTAAATTTTTTTATGTTCATACTGACGTGAAAACATTATTTTTGAGCATTTTAGCTTATGGCATATCTGCAAGAAAATATGAATCTGCATGTGTTGCATTCCGTCATAATAGTTTAAGGTTTCATAATAGCAATTGAAATCGGTAGGAAAGGAGAAACTGAGGAAACTGAAAATGTCCGCAAAATTCTTGTTCCCTACAAGTGCTTAAAATTTCAAAAAATATTTTTTCAGATTCGCTCAATTAGCCTCCAATGTATTTATCAACAATGGAATTTGTGTAACTTTGTTTTCTGAATGTGTCCCTACACCTGTTGTTTCTTTTGCCGTTGTTGAATTAAATTGTGATGCTGGTTTAATGGTTTATTTTAATTATATTTTTTAATTAAAAATATTTTTCAAAGATAACTGTCTCCCAAAACCCAACAAAATATAATGGTTATACAATTTATTGGAATAATGGTGCTCAAATACTTCAATCTCTGGAGCAGACCTGGGCGAAACTCAAAATTTTTTTCTGACGAAACGAAACGAAACAAAATTTTTTAAAAATCGTTTCGTTAACGAAACGAAACGAAACAACCAAAATCTTACGAAACGAAACGAAACAAAACGAAACATTTTAATATTCAAAAAATTTTCAAAACTGCATTTATTTCGAAATTATTCGACCTCAAATACGTTATTAGTCGACTATGACTTATAAATGATTTAGTTATTGGTTTATTTACAACAATTGTGTCCCATAAGCCAGGCCCGTAGCAAGGAAAATTTTCGGGGAAGGGGGGGGGGTCAATCATTTTCGAAGCCAAATTTTTGGCGACGCTTTTTTTTAAATAAAATTGAATATTTTTCAAGTAAAATTTTATTTTAAGCGCCGCAGACGAAAAATTTTAAAATTTTGAAAGGCCGTAGGCCAAAAAATTCACCATCTTGCTCCATTGCCTACCCAAATTGTCTCCATATCTCCATTTCGAGAGGAAGGCGATATAAGCTAGTGCTTCGCCGGAAGTTCCGGTTCCAGTATTTCCGCAACTCGCAATCCGCAATTTTTAAATTATGATGCGAGTCCGGTAATAGAATTTGTCGTCGATTAAGTAATATGTATATGTGGATTAGGGAGTGGAGTATAAACGGATTTGTAGTATATAAGTAATTGCTATCTTCCTTTTTCAGCGCCGCAGGCGAAAATTTTGACAATTTGGGAAAGCCAAGAAGCCGAAATTCTTTTTTTTTCAGCGCCGCAGGCGAAAATTTTTTAAATTTTCAATAAAAGATGGTAAATTTTATAGATTTTGGCCTTAGTTTAGGCTTAAAAAATTGTTTCGTTTCGTTGAAAAATCACAGGTGTTTCGTAACGAAACGAAACGAAACAAATTTAAAAGTGTTTCGTAACGAAACGAGACGAAACAGTAAAAATCATACGAAACATACGAAACAACGAAACGAAACGAAACGTTTCGCCCACGTCTGCTCTGGAGAGAAAAATTCGTCTTCTTTCTAAGGAACAACCCAAAGACGAATATTGGAATACTACAACTCTTTCTACAAACAATTTATTTTCTGTTGCTGATTTTGTTCTGGAAAAATATTTTTGCGATGAGTCTTCTGCCTGTTGTTTTCATAAGTTCGTTTTATAATTTGAAAAAAAATTGGAGGGGGGGGGGGGTGACATATTCATAAAGTACCGGAATTTAATTACGAACCTGTATATGAAACTAGAATAAGATAAATGAACTTAATAAAAGAATAAATAAAAAATTTCAGAGAATTAAATGCAAAAACTTCACTTAAATTTATTTATTCTTCCTTTAATGGTGTTGCTTTTAAATTTGCTCAACGAATGTTTAAAGAATTTGGATTTCCAGACGATGCTCTTTCTTGTGTTAAGGTTTGCGATTTTTATTTTTGTTTCGCAAATTTTTTTTGCTTTAAAAATATTTTAATAAATTCATTTTCGTCGAGAAAACTCGATTTTTTATTGAAAGTTCCTTTCATTTTTCTTTTAATTTCCAGGAACAAGCCGAACCCGATCCAGACGTTCCAACTGCCTCCTCTCTTGATGTTCTCAAACTTTGTTATCAAACAGCAGAGGAAACTGGTGCTACTTTTATTTTGGCTAATGATGCTGATGCTAATAGGCTTCAAATTGCTGAAAGACAACCAGAGTATTTTTTTGAATTTTTTGGTTTGGGTTTGACATTTGGGAATTTTTGAACTTTTGACAGCCAATTTAATTTCATCCTATCTTCCCTTTGTTCTCTATTGAGGACAAACCTTCAATAAATGTAGTACCAACTTTGATACAACATTAGTATTTTTTGATTCATTTATCCCAAAGTTGGAGAATGAAATAGAGATTGGACCAACAAAGTCAAAATTCCCATTTTTCTTTTTAATTGATTTTCTAAAATTATTTTAGCGGCGATTGGTATTTATTTAATGGGAATGAAATGGGTACTTTGTTAACATGGTGGATTTGGACACAATGGAAACAACAAAATCCGAATTTACCTGGAGAAGATTTTTATGTTATCAATGGTGCCTTTTCTTCTCATATAGTTGCTAAAATGGCTAAAATTGAAGGTTTTCTTTAGTTTTGATTTTTGTCTATTTTTTTAATTTCCCAGGTTTCAAAAACGATGTTTCTTTAACTGGTTTCAAATATTTTGGAAATAGAGCACATGAACTTCGAACGAAAGGAAAATTGGTTATTCTTGCTTGGGAAGAATCTATAGGTTAAATTTTATTTTTAAAAACAAATATTAAAATTTTTTAAATTTAAGGGTTTGCAACAGGAACAACTCTTGATAAGGTTTTATTTTCGAATAATAAATGGCATTTATAATTCTTCATTATTCTAACCAAAAATTTTTGTTTATGGTAATTAACCCAAATTTTGGGTTCTAAATTAAAAATTTTTGAAAAACGTAATTTTTTCCACCCCATGAATTAATTAAAAAAATTAAATTAATCAAAAAAATTTTAGAGCGAAACAAGTGCAGTAGCAGTCTTTGCAGAAATGGCCAATTATTTAGCTTCTCAAAAATTAAATATGAAAAAACAATTACTTAATATTTGCAATAAATATGGTCTTTATTTGAATACAAGTAAATATTTTTTTAAATGTTTTTGTTGTGAAATTTTTTTAATGTCTTTGTTTTTATATTTTGCATGTGTGATTGTTTTTGATTTTTTATTTCATTAACATTATTTTTAGATATTATTTATTCAAATCCTGTGAGAACTGGAACAAGAATTAATGTTGGGGGCAACATATACTCCTTTCTTTTTAAGTTTTCAACAAAATTTACCTGGTATTGTACACTACACTCCAACCCGCAGATTAAATGTACTGGCTCCATTCACACATACAAAAAAAACAACAATAATATAATAATTATTGGTACAGAACACAATAATGGTAAATAATACTTAATTTTTTTGAATGCTAATTTTTTTACGATTTTCTAAAAAATTTTTGGAATTTTTAGTTTTGATTTTTAAAATTTGATAAAAAAATTTTTTATTTTTTTCAGCTTGTATTTCCAAAAAAAATTCAACACAATTTACTTTAAACAACACTTTTCCACCACAACAACAAGATTTGTCTTCAAATATTTCTGAAAATGGTATAATTTCACATTTTGTTAAAATTTTCGTAAAATTCCTTCACAATGTGTCATTTGCTAGAGCTCAACGAATTTATTTTTCTGAATTTGTTCCGGAAACTTTTTTCGATATTTTTCCAAAAAAACTTGAGTCGAAATTCCAATTTTTGAGGTTTTCTTTTGATCATGATTTTTGGAGATCTTTTCGAAAATTCTGCTTTTTGGACACTGGAATGAATTCAAAAAAATTTGGGGTCTCAAAAATAAGCTTACTTCTCGCCCTGTTGTTTTGACTCAGCTCTATCAATCAAATCGCGTTAATTTTTCTTTCATTTTTATTTTAGATGTTTATGATCTCGAAAAAGAAGAAACTACACACGAAGAAATTCCAAAATCTCCAATTTCAACTAATAAATTCGAAAATGTTGTAGTGTGGGGACGTGGACTTTTGCCTGTTGGAACGAGTGCTAATGAGGAGCTTTGTGTATATGTGGATAATTGTGAGGATGAAGTTGTTGTTGGCGTTAAAAAAGGTTTGGGGAAAATTTTTTTGAATTGTTGTTTCATTTAAATTTATTCAGATGAAATTCTCGTCCCTGTTTCTCGACAAGATTTTGAACAGAGACCGTCAGCAGCAGCACAACCTTTTACTGCTATACACCCGCGACAGTCTTTTGTTTTTACTCCACGTACAAGTGGGAAGTATGAGGTTTCTGTGAAAAGCACTGCAAGCAATGCACATTTGGGAAGTAGTCCGTATAAGGTTTTTTAATGATTCAAAAATTTGGACTTAAATTTTTATTTGTTTTTAGATTGTGGTTGGCCCAAAAAATATCTCCAGTATTCGTGCTGTCGGCCCTGGATTGGAAGGAGGTGTTGCTGAGGAAAGGGCTGTTTTTTATGTCGACACACACGGAAGAGCAAATTATTTAGGTTCTCTTTTTTATTTTTTTTTTTTGGGATTTTTTGAATAGTATAAGAATATTTTTTTAAAGAGGGAATTAATCTATTCAAAAAATTAATCTAGAACACCGTTCAAAAAATTAAATAGAAAATAACACTTTTTCTTTTTTCAGAATTCTCAATCGATGGCCCCGGCAAAACGGAAATTATTTGGTGTGACAATGGAGATGGAACGGCAATGGTTGAATACACAGTTTGTTTTTCTTTTTTATTTTAATGAGGATTTTGAGGAATCGAACAAATAAAAAATTTGGTATTTTATTCATACCCCCCCCCCCCTCTTCTTTTTTGATGTACAGAGTATTCTTTCCTTTTTTTAAGATGTACATAATGGTTAAACTTCCTTCACCCGCTTTTCATTTATATTTTGTTATAGGAAAATAAATGATTGGTGAAAAAATAAACGTAAATTTGGGGCCTCAGGGGGGGGGCGAGATATCAATAATGAATCTACCAAATTTTCTAATTATATCTAATTTTCCTCTCATTTTAGCCTCATGTTCAGGGTCGTTACAAAATCAACATCATCGAACATGACACAAATTCCCATATAAAAGATTCACCTTTTGTTCTTTGGATTGAACCAGCAAATTTACTACCTTTCAAAAACATTGCTCGGCCAATTCGAATACCTTCATTTGAAACCAACGAAGGACAAGTTGACAACCAATTCAATTTTAAAATTCCAAAAGAAATTGGTTTGGATTTAAAATTTTTTTTAAAAATTTTTTTAAATTTTTCAGACGCCGAAACATTCTACGTTGAAATCTACGACCCAAATTTACAAAAAGTCGATTTTGATTGTGAAAATAAACTTGAAGGAAATTTTTACAGTTTTATACCGCAAAAGGAAGGAAAGGTTTTTTTTTTTAATTTTTTATTTGGTTTGAAAAATTTTTTTCCCTTAAAGCACTTGATTAGTGTTGTCGCTGATAAATTAGCTGTTGAAGGATGGCCTTTTGTTATCTTTGTTGATGGCCCTTTTGACCCAAATAAAATTTGGCTTAGTGGTCCAGCATTGAGTCCAACCATTCAAACACGTCAAAAAACAAATTTTTCAATTGATGTTCACAATATTCCAAAACCAAAGTATGTCCAAGTTGTTGTGGTTGGACCTGAAGGGGAACAAGTTCCTGTAGAGGTTGACTTGAAAACTTTGTCTGTCTACAACGCTCGCTATGAACCAATGATTCCTGGAGTCCATAAAATTTATTTGACTGTGAATGACCAGCAAATATTCGAAATTCCTGTGAATGCAGTTGAATATGACACAGAAGAAATATTGAAAGAAGAGAATGTTGGAGCTAGAGTTGCAAGTGAAATACCTCAGGTTAAAAGAATTTATTTTTTGGGGAGTATAAAGCAGGATATCACAAGTTGTGAGAAGGTCGGGGTTGCAAAATTTTCTTCAGGTTGGGTTTCGGGTCTAGGGGATTAAGCGGGGGAAAATCGGGTTATGGAAAATTTTACGGATTCTGTATCGGGTCGAAGAAGTTTGGGTTTGGTTTCGGGTAAACCGAAACATCTCTGGCATAAAGAATTATTTTCAAATTTTTTTCAGCCAGTTATTGGACTTTCTACAGCTATTGTTTTTACTGCTCCATGTCAACACATCTCTGATTTATCTGTTCATGTACACGGGCCAAGCGGCGACTTGAAACATGATGTAAAGATGGAGCAACTTGAAAAAGAAAAATTCCGCGTTAGCTTTGTTCCGCATCAGAGCGGTCTGCACACAATTGAATTGAGAAATCAAAACGGAGAAATTTATGGTTTTTTTTTAATTTTAAAAATTCTAATTTCTTATAAAATTACCAGATTTTGATTTCGATGTCATTACTTTAAATGGAGAGGAAGACTGCGTTCCCGTGAGTGAAGATGAAGAATATGAAAGTATTTCAATTGAACAACAACCTTCATTAACCTTCACTCTTTCACCATTTAAAGGTTTTTTTTTAATTTTGACTCTGGGGTGTTTTATGGATATATCACCCCCTTATTTTAAGTCTTAGTTTTTTAGTTTGTAACAATAGTCAGCCTTTCTTCCTTTTTGACCGGTCTTGTGCTTGTGCAATTTAATTTTTGTTGCAAAAACTGGGTTCACATCCACATTTTTGGAATAAAGTGGACTTACAATTAGCACAAATAAAAATAGAGCGAATATTGATCCTGTTATTTTTATTTGGTGGCATTGCAAAAAATAATTTTTTCCATATTAAAGCCTCTCATTTGATGAAATTGTAGAAGGAAGAAAGTCTGGCCATCATTACATATTAAGGAAAACTCTGAATAGGAGGGAGGTGATACATCCATAAAGTACCGACTCTGGTACAGAATCCAATAGTTTAATAATAAATTTCTATCAAAATTTTTTTAGCTTTAAAGAAGACCACTAAATTATCACTAAAAGAAGAAAATAAAATTATTGAAAAACTCAAAAAAAGAACATGTTTATTAACGGAACAAATTTCTGAACTGCAAAAACACCAAAATGAAATTGAAAATTCAAAAAATAAAAGACAAAAAGAGGTAAATATTTTTTGTTCTAACCGTGATTTTGTTTTTAAGATGAAAATGAATAGGAAGGTTGTTCATGTAAATGGAATTCTTCAAAGTTTGGCAGCTGCCCTGTACTCCGTTGCTTTACTCTCAAATTCTCAGACATCACAAGACCAGAATGAACAGGATCAGCAATTCCAAGGGACTGTTAATGATTTAACTCCTCCATTACCTTCAAAAAGAGCAAAATTAAATAATAATAATCGTGAAACAACAAATGAAAGGAAAAAAGTAAATAAAAGGACTGCAATAAAAAAAACTGAAGGAAATAAGTTAGAGAGGGAAGTTGATCCTTTGAATGATTTTCTTGATAAGTATTTTTAATTCATACATGGAATTCTTAAAATTAAAAAATTTTAGTATCTCTGTTATGGAAGCGGCTGTCTCTACTCAGGCAGCAGAAGCATTAGCTATAAGAGAAGAAAAGGAGGAATTGAAAATGCCCCAAAAGGAATTGTTGGCGAATGTACAAACACAGATGGATGAAATGAATGGAATGAATGAAATGGGAATGATGAGATATACAAATGAAGAGAAAATGAATGAAAATAATATTTCTGTTGAGGATATAAATGCTACCTCCAAAAACCGCCCGCCGAAAAGGGTAGGAGATATTGTTTTATTTTCTTATTATGCCCAAAAAATAACCAATACCAATAATAAAAAAATTACTTAAATTTTAGTTAATTTGTTGCTGTAATTCCAATGAAGTGGAAGGCTTAAACGTTGATGAACTTCCAGAAGGATGCAAAAAACGCGCAAAATTGCTTTTAGAAAATGGAGAACAACAATGTGATAAAGACCAAAACAAATCATTGACGCCGCCTTCACCAAAAATAAACAAAGAAGATAAAGAAAAGAAGAAAAAGAGGGAAATGATATTGTATCTGGAAGAAGATGAAGTGGTTCAAGTAATGAAAATGAAAGAGTAGGTTTATATTTTTTGTTTATAATCTAGTTCTGCCTTTTTTAATTTAAATTTTTCCTTTAATTAGGTTGTTGGCACTCATGACTTCAAAAAAGGATTGAAATTTCTGCCCTCCATTAATTGTTTGTTCTTCAGAAGAGGCAGATGTACGTGTTTCTAAGGATTATTCTCATGTAATTTCAATAATTGATTATGTTAAAGGTTTGAATTTTCTCTTATCCCGTTACTATAAAATTTATTTATTTAAAGGAATCCCAGGCTCTGAGTCACTAATTCAACGCTTAACTGATTTAAACAACAAAGAACGCTGAGGACGTGCACTTTTTCTAGAATATTGGACTCAAGACAAACGTTTGGATGGATTGTCTAAAGGAAATTTGAAAAAAGAAAAATTTCAGGTTTTTTTGTTTCTTTCACTTTTTAATTTACTTAAAAAATTCAGATATCCCAGGAAAATTATTTGGAGGCCTTTGTTGAATTTGATATGGAGGATCAATGGTTTGTCCAGGTTTATTCAAATTTTCAGCCTTATAAAATTAGAAAATTAGGGTTCTTTAAATATGAATAGAGCAGTTCACGGAGACGTTGTAGTTGCTCAACTTTTGCCAGAATCTGAGTGGACTGCCCCAGAGAAAACTATTCGATTAAGAGACGCTGAGGAAACCCAAAATGAGGGGGATAATTTACCTGATGCTGATGGGGAAGAGGAAGATGATCAAGAAGAGGATTTGGAAGATAGTGAAGCACCAGAAATGAAAGGCAAAAAAGGTTTTTTATTTATTGATTTTAACCTGTGCTGGATAGGGGGCATTTTGTGGCACCGGCTCCTATCTTTTTCAAACCGTGGCTCCATGATCTAGCTCCTGGTTTCGGCTCCGGACATTTTAAAATTTTTAGCTCCGCTCCCGGCGCCATACCCAGCATTGGTTTTAACCCTATTTTCTTTTTATTCATTTTTCAGGTTTTACCCTCAGCACGTATTGTAGGCATTTTACGATGAAATTGGCGTCATTATTGTTAAATTATTTTGCTTCCAAATATGCCTGGTGCTCGTCAATTTTTATTTGCTCCTTCTGAACGTTTAATTCCCCGCATTAGAATTGAGACTTCCTATTATGAACAATTGATTGGCAAGAAAGTTTTGGTACAAATTGATTCATGGCCACAAGGTTTTCGATTAAATTTTCTCTAAAAATTTCTTGAAATTTTTTCTTCAGATTCTCATTATCCAAGAGGTCATTATATTCGTGTAATTGGCAACGAAGGCGAACGCAAAACTTAAGATGAAGTTATTCTTTTGAAACATGAAGTGCCTTATTATGAATTTTCTCCTGCCGTTCTAGCTTGTCTTCCTGAAGTTTTTTGGTCTTCACATCCTTTGGATCCTCCAGAACGTGAAGATTTGACGTCTTTGGATATTTGTTCTGTTGATCCAGAAGGTTTTTTGAATTTATTTTTGGTGATTTTCATTCTAATTTTTAAGGTTGTACTGATATTGACGATGCTGTTCTTTCCCTTGAATTATAGCCTAATCGCTTTGAAGTTGGAGTGCACATTGCTGATGGTATTTTCCTTTAAGATTTTTTGGATTAAGATTTCTTCTAAATTTCAGTAACTGAAATTCTGGTCAAGGTTTTTCACATGGGCTGGGTTTTTTTTTCATCTGTGTTGGGTTTTACGGGTTAAAACAAATCGGGAACCAAGAAAAACTGAATTTTATTAAAATACTACCTGATAGTTTTTTTCCAAGGGGTTGTTAAGGGACTGGGTACCCGGTTTCAATGACCGGAACTTTGCTTAAACTCTTCAATAATTTTAAACTTTTTTAAGATGTTCTCTTCTTGCTGGTGAATTGCTTATGCATTTAGCTTTATTTGGGAATTAAATGGAGACGCAGAAATTCAAAATGTAAAATTCTGTAAATCTTTGATCCATTCAGTGCTGCATTAACTTATCAAAAAGCTCAAGAAATGATTGATAATGAAAAATATGAGGTTTTTTTAATTTTGGAAAAAAATTTAGGATGTTATTGCCAAAAGCTTGAGGAATTTGTTAAAATTGTCAAAGAAATTGAAGGTTTAAAAATTTTTTTTAAATTAAAGTGATTTTTCAAGTCTCGTCGACGTACTGTTGTGCATTAAATTTAGCTTCTTCAGAAATTCGTTTTGATATTGATCCGGAAACTGGGGCTCTTGTTAAAGTGTTAGAGAAGCAACATTTGGAGACTATGTTTGCTTTTATTTTTTTTATAAAATTTTTTAAAAAATTTTTTTAAGGTCCATGATAGAAGAATTCATGTTGCAAAACTGAAGATGAAGTTATTCTGTTGGAATATGGAAGTGCCCTATGACGAATTTTCTCCTGCCGTTCTAGCTTGTCTTCCTGAAGTTTTTTGGTCTTCACATCCTTTGGATCCTCCAGAACGTGAAGATTTGACGTCTTTGGATATTTGTTCTGTTGACCCTGAAGGTTTTTTTGAATTAAAATTTTTGTCAATTTTCATTCTAATTTTTAAGGTTGTACTCCTTGACCCAAGCTGTCTATTTTGCTGCTGGAACAGTTCCAAGGGATCAATATTTACATTATGGTCTAGCTGTTCAAGTTTATACACATTTTACTTCTCCAATTCGTCGTTATGCTGATGTTATGGTTCATCGACTACTTGCAGCACTTATTGGAGTAGATCAAATACATCCAAATATGTTGGATAGAAGAAAGTTGATTCGTCAGACGGAGGTTTAGGGGGTTTTTGAATCTTTTGATCTTTTTTAAATTTCAGAACATGAACAGACGCCATAGACGTGCTCAATATGCTAGCCGTGCTTCTGTACTGTTAAACACATTTATGATGGTTAAAGAAAATCCTGAACCTTGTCTCTCCGCTATTGTTATTGGGATACGTTCAAATGGAATTCAGGTGTGGGGGAGTTTTCTTATCGGGGGGGGGGGGGGCATTGATTCCAAATTAATTTGTGTTAGTATTTATACCTCCAATTTAAGGTAATGATACCCAAATTTGGCTTGGAATCAATAATTTATTTGAATGATGATACTGGAACTTGGACTCGTGGACTTTTATTTATGCTCGTGGACTTTTATTTTTTTATGATTTTTTTAAAATTGTTTTTTTTTGGTACACCCCAACTTACCGCGAGGCCAACCTACCGCCGAGGTATAACTTTCAAAGATATCGAATCCGGGAATTATTCGTATGGTTCGATGTGCCTCGATGAGCTGAATCGAACCGTACCAGGGCGTCCCGGATTCGAGAATTTTAAACAAAGTTATAGCTCGGCAGTAGGTTGGGCTCGCGGTAAGTTGGCCTGCTCCCGTTTTTTTAAATAATGTTTGTTTTTTCAAATTGTTTTTAATTGAATTATTTTTTTATTTTATAAAATTTATTTTCTTCCATTGCAACTTTTTTTCATCCTTTTTATCAGGTTAAAACCTGAATTAATATTTTTACCCAATTTACATTTCCAAAATAATCAATATTTTGGCCAAAAAGGCCGCGCGACCACATTGGCGCAAAGCTATAACTTGCTGGAAAATTTCTGGCCCTTATCAATTTTGGTGACAATCTCTTCTCCTCGATGAGAGGAATCGTTTAATACTAAATTTGATAAGATTCGGAAATATTGAAGCAAGTTATGGCTTTGCGCCATTATGGTCACGCGCCCTATTGGGCGTCTCACTAGTTCTCAATAAATCTCCTGCCCAAAATTTTTGGATGACAAAGCTTTGAAAAATTTTTAAAATTATTTTAAATAGTCAAAATGTTCGAAATTAATTTGCTTTCTTTCCTTGGAGAATTTAATGGATCGTATGTTTATTAAATTTTTAAAATTTTTTAATTCAAATTTTTCAGCAAATTTTTGGTTTATTTCTGCCTATTAATCTTCACAATAATTTTTTCGTTGCGGCTTGATCAAATAATCAATATCAATTATATTTTTGTGTTCTTGCCTTTGTGGTTAGGCGAAATTTGTGTTTTTGTTGGTTTTATAGTGGCTATTGTCAGCCTTATTGTTAGGCCTCCTTCAAGGTTTCTTTTGATTATTTTTTAATTTTATTGGGAATTTTGGTCTTCGTATGACCCTCTTATATCCCTTTATTTTAATGAGACAAGTCCTCGTTTTATTCGCACGAATAAGAATATTTTTTAAAAAAATCATTTGCTGACAAAACCTTTGGATTTTCGCCAACAAGGGGACCTTTCGAACTGCAAGCCAAAATATTGTACTTTTTTTGATGCCAATCGATAGAGCATCATCGATTTACTCTAGAAGATTTTCGGCTACAAAAACACCTCATAACCTATGGCTTGGTATTAGGCGTGGCCGCACCGGACCGTGGGTTGTAACCAGGGACGTCCGCAATTGCTAACTTATCGCCATAGATTTGGGGAGAAAACATAAAAGTTTAAACAAAATTTTAATTATTTTTTAAGCTTGGATGCTTCCTCAAAAAGTGATTTTTTCTCAATGTGTTTTCAAACTGTTGAGCACATTTTAATTTTGATGTTTCAAGTTTTGGTTTTAATTAAAATTGAATATTACCATTATTTGAAAGACCAAATTCAACTTACTTGGCTACTTGTTTTTTCGCCTCTTTTTCTTTTGTCCTTTATTGCAATGATTATTGCTATTTGGTGTATGAGGCATGAAAAGCCATACGAGGTTTTTTACTGATTTTTTTCTAGATTTATAAAGTCCGCAAGTTTTGTCCGCAAATTTTGAATTTGTATTTTTAAGGCCTTTTTTGTCTCCAAAATTTTTTCCATTATTTTCGCGGACAAAAAAATTGTGGACTTCTTATTTCTCTTATTCTAATTTTTATTTTTCAAGTTTGAAATGTTCTTTGCTGTAAACATCATTCAATTTGTCTTTTTGGCGTTTAAATTGGACAATGGAATTCATTGGAATTGGGCTTTGGTATAATTTAAATTTTTTTCGAGACTTCCAAGCAATCCCTTTCCCTTATTTTCTAAAAAATTTTCAAAAAATAAATTTATTTTTCCAGGTCCTCGTCCCAACATGGATTGTTTTCTCCCTCTTTCTTCTCTGTTCAATTTATTCCCTCACCATAGCTTTATTCCTCAATCGAACATTTTATGCCCATCAACAACATATTCCTTCTCACAGAAGACCCCGTTTATGTGCTTCTATATGCCATGTTTTCTTAACAATTCCTTTTTTACTTTTTCTGTTGCTTTTGGCAAGTAAATTGGATTATTTGGAATCCCCTGGAACTAGCAAATCTGGAAATACTTCTTTTGTTTTGATTGCTTTACCTTTGGAAATTTCTTTGTTTATTTTACTTTTGCTTTCGTTTGGGGCACGTCCTGCCAATGTTTGGTGGTTTGGAATGCGTCAGGTTTAATTTTAAATTTTTTTAATTTTTAAACCTCCTTTTTTCAGTCTTTTTGCAATTTCTTCTTTCAACTTTTCCCTTGCCTTCGTCATTATTCAAATATTAGTTGTAAATTTGGTGTTAGAGGGAGTGATGCTTCTTCTTCAACTTTATCTTGGGGACAACGCTTTTCAAGGAGAAATAGAATTCGTCAAAATCGAAATCATCCACCCAATGGAAATTCAAGGTTTTCTTCTAAATTTCTTAGTGCGCTCTTATGCCAAAGACCGTAGTGCCATATCTCCAAAAGCTGTCGAAATGCCAAACTGTGGAAAAGGCGCAGTAATGCCAGTTGTCTAAATGTTGTTCCCAACTACATTCTTTGCCGGATTAGCATTTCGGGATTTTTGTCATTGGAACTTTTTTTTAGTATTTTAGCGTTTTGGCATTACTGGGAGTATTACCGAAACCCGGACTTCTAGACCCGACTTTTTTAGCGACCCGTGACTTCTCTAAATTAGGTAAAGCGGCTGGGGCTATAGCTATTTTTCTCCTTTAGCTAGTCCAAAAGGTTGTTCGGCGAACCAGCACCTGACCGGACTGATTCGTTATCCATTACACCACGCCGCCTACTTCACAGCCTTAGGGATCTAATAGCAATTAAAAAAGACATTTTTTAGTGCTCGAATTTATGGAATAGAAGAGCCAACAACTCCCTGGGTTATAAATTCAACAGATGAGGAACAGCAAAGAATAATAATAACAGAAAATATAAATAATTGTGAAACTGGAAGTAATTCACAATCACAACAACAACAATCAACTTCTCGATTAAATAAAAAACAACAAATGGAAAATAGAGAAAAAGAAAAGGTTTTTTTAATTTTTTTTAATTATTTTTAAATTTTAAAATTAATTTTTTCAGCAAGTAATAGCCTATTTATTTGTTCGTGGAAGTATTGAATCTCCTGATTAAACAACAAAATGTGAAAGTATCCCAATTTTTATTTTTTTATTAAGGTTTAATTTTAGGGTTGGACTCTGAACCCAGAATTTTTTTAACTAAAACTCCAACCCTGAATGTCTCACTCCAAAAAGCCAACCCCTGTAAGGAAATGAAGGACCCACCTGGCTACCATCTAAAACACTCACTAGGCTGGGGTTTAAAGATCATTTAAAAGAGAAGGTGAAAGCAACGTCCCGGTAGCTCGTGTCAGTTGGTAGAGCACCTGTACGTGGTGAGCGAAAGCTCCTAGCAATAACTGCGAGGAGGTCACAGGATCGGAGCCTGCCCGGGATTTAACTTTTACCTTGCTCTTTGCTTCCCTAAGGATTTTAACCCGGCGGCCACCAACTTTTCGAACCCAAAGGTCCAAGAGTCCAACCCTATTTTAATTTTTGTGTTTGAAAAGACGAGGAAATTTTTTGTGATTTCTTTAATTTTCAAGCACTAATTTCAATTTTTCCTATTTTTATTTTAACCTAGTCTCTTTTTTACTTCCCTTTTCCCCAAATACTCATTTTCAAGAAGCTGCTTACTCCAAATAAAAATTTTTTGCTTTAAATTTTATTTTTTTTCTTTACCATATAGAAATTTTGTATTTTTAATAATTTAATAGATAATTGCCATTTTATTGTTTTCTTTTTCTTTGTATTTTATCTACAATAAGAATCAGAATTTTTAAAAAATTCTGATTCAGAATTTCATCAGATTCAGAATTTCACCATCGGCTTTCAAAACAGATAAACTTTAATTGACACTAGGAATAACTCATTCAAATTATTCGTTCTGATCTTTTTAAATTCATTTTTTATATTTTTGTATATTTTCTCTTTTCAACCTTAAAACAAATTTTTTATAAAAAAAGTTTTTAATTTTTATTAATATAATTTCAAGTTATAATTTCTCTATGCCTACTTAATGTCTTTTTTTTAATTATTTTACTATTTCTTCTAATTTTTAGACCAAAATTTCAATTTACTTTAATTAAATTATTTTACAATAATGAGCGAGGATCAAAAAATTATTGAACACGAAGGAGTTAAATATTTTAAAGAGGTTTTTTAATTTTATTTTAGATAAAAAGATAAAAAATAAATCTTTTAGGAAGGTCAATGGTACTGGTCCATTGGTACTGAATGGTATCATACCCTTCCAATTGCTGAAGACAAAGTGCCTGCTGACATTAAAACTAAAAAACCCAAAGTAAACCTTCAACCAGAAATTCTACTTGATATATTTAAAATTCTCAACTTTGTTCAATTATTGGCTGTTCAACAAACAAGTTTTTATTTCAAAAATTTTATTGACAAATATGGGAAAGAATTGGCATTGAACAAATTTAATAAGCTTGAATTTGTATGTTGTATTAAATTGATATTAATAATAATTATTTTTTAGCGTCCTACTTATGAATATAAATGGTGTAATGGCGATTTTGTAAAAATAGAACCTGAACTTAATTTTATTGAAATAAATCCTCATCTTTATGATTTTGAATTGAGTAAACAACTGGAGGAAAAAGTTTTTTAAAATTAACATTTTTATTTTAAAATAAACTTATTTTAGTGGCTGCGTGGAATAGAAAAGTCAATTCCTACGTTTTTAAGACATTGGTATGAAGACATAGACATTGTTGTTTGTGAATTGGAACAAAATTACGACATGAAAAAAGGTTAGCTTATCATGAGCTTATAATTTTCAAGGAAAATAAATTTGGGATTTTTTTTGGTTTTAGCTTATAAAAATTGACCAAAACTATTCAACATTAATACTTTCTGAAAATATAATTTTAGGGTTTTTTTTAAAAATTTTTATTTGTGGCCCTTCAAACCTTGACTAAAAATTATCTTTTAATCATTAAAATTTGATTTAGAATTATACTATATACAATTGCCAAATTTCCCGAAAAATATAGAGGAAATGAAAATTGTTCGTTATGTATTCCAACTACTTTTTAACTGTACTTTCAAATTTTTTAAAATCCATCTGCTTCTAATTAATCCACAAATGATTCAATTATTGTTTGATGAAAATGAAACTAATATGCCTTTACAAATACATTCTCAAAAAACAGAAAAAATATCACTTTGGTACGAGATTGATTGTTTAAATTTTATTTGGAATCATCTGATTTCTAATCAAATTATTATTTATGTTTCTTTTACCCACGAAGAAGATATTATGGACGTTTATTCTAAAATTTTGGCAAATGGAGGAAATAAATTTTTGAATGTTACTTATGAATGTCTGAACTCTTTATTTTACTTTTATATAATAAAGGTTTGTACATTTTTGTTATAGAATAACTAGGACCGAGACATGTCGATTATGATGATCCCACCAAAATTATGTTGTCTGTTTCAATAAAAATTGTCAGAGCTAAAAAATAGCAGTCTGTTAGGCTTTCCCATCACCCTATATTTTATGTCGTCCGGTATGGGTACCTTTTTAAAAATTTAGAAGATCTTTAAATTATCCAATTTTAGCATATCGAAACATCAGAAGACATTTCAAAAATGGTGAAAAGAATTAAATTTGTGGATATGTATGGACCTCTAATTAGAGAAAATAATATTAAAATCAAATTTGAAGAATATGCTAAACCTATAAAATTTCAACTTTCCAATAAATACAATCCAAAAATTAAATTTTCTGTAACTATTAAAAAAAGTGAAGAACAAGACGAATCTTATTATGAATATCCTAACGGTGATGTTGACGGGCCAATTGTTGACGCTGTAATTAAGAGAATTAATTGATAAATTTATTTATAGACTTATTGTTAGGTTGTAGTTTAATTTATTTTTTTCGTTTATTTTTTAGAGTTGGGCCCCGAACGCTCAGGGGCGGTTGTGTCGGGGTGCGGGGTTTTTGAATTATTTTGGTGCGGGGAACGGGGTCGGGGCGCAACTCTAATTTTTTAAAGATTTCATTTAATTTGACTTTTTTGATAAACATTTGTGAAGCTTTTTTTGCTTCTTTAAAAGCTATATTTCTGTATGCATATTTAAATTTTTTAATTAAAAAAAATCTTTAGATTGATTTTTCATTGATTTTTAACTCAATTTTACTTTAAATATTTTTTTTTAATTTTAATTAATTTAATTTTTTCAGAGTTTTTAAATGGATTAGATGCGAACATTATATTCTTTATTAAATTGTGAAGATCAAAACATTTCTAGTGAAGAATTGAGAAAAATATATTTTGATTTGTTAAGAAGATTTCATCCAGACAGAAGTGGCTCTCAAAATTTTGAAAAATTTTTGGCAATTAATAAAGCTTGGAAAGTTTTGAGGTTTGTTGTTAATTTTATTTTTATGGGTGGGCTCATATTAGTTTGCTTCTTGGGGTTGAAAAATATTTTTTGGAATAGGGCGTGTGAGGGTTTTTTCCCAAATAGTGTGTAATTGATATCGAGTGTGGGAGGGTCTTACGAAAATCGAGATATCGAAACATTTCGATAACCAAAAATTCTGTTCGGAATCTCGTCTTGTGCCGTCTTTAATGAGTTTTTAGTCGTTCAGGTTGTTACCCTCCCCCACACCTTCCCGCTCAATCAGCAGTCATCGAAATCTGCCATAAACATATATTGATTCATGCTCCCCTCCCCACCCCCCCCCCCAACTAGCGAACAATCAAAGTTTAAAAACGTAGCTTGATTTAGTTATTTAATTAAGGGGTATCTTGTAATGGCCACAACAATCACTGTCTTAAATAGAAGTAGCTAATTCTAGGGGTATCCTATAGTGAAGCCAACCTAAAAATCTCTAATTTCTCTCAAAATTTCAGTCAACCAGAATCTCGCCGTTTATACGATTGTTGGCTTCGTGAACAACTTTTTCGTGATAATAAAGAATTAATTGGACAAGAAATTTATATTTCATTAAATAATTTGACTGATTTTTGTCAAGAAGAATTGTGTCGTTGTGGGGGTTCTTTTGAAGAATTGACTCTTGAAAAATTTGATTTAATTGAGGATTACGCTTTGGTTAATTTTTGTTAATTTTTTTATAAATTATTTTCTATTTTTTAGTTGGATTGTTCAAATTGTTCTCTTTGTTTAAAAGTTTGGAAAATTGAAAAATGAATAGTGCGAATAAGGTTAGGAATTTTTATTATGTTAAATGTCCGATTAGAGGTCTAGAAAGTTTAATTTTCGTGAAAATGAACTTCACTGGAATGACTTCCCTTAATAGGAAATTGGAATCTAAAAGGGTCTCGGCTTTTATTTTTCATTGGGCCTCCTTGAGTTGCTTCTATTTAGAATGGTCTTTTTCAGGACATTTACGACATTTTGAATATTTTTTTCAACCTACTTTTTAAGGTAATCTTTCTTGGTGATTCAGGCGTTGGAAAGTCTACTTTAATTAATTCACTCTGTGGAATTCAAAATAGCAGACCACAAAGCACTTTGGGATGTTCTATTCAGGTTTTTTCCTTATTATGCTGGGAGACCACTCGAACGTAGCCAAAGTCGAATTTTTAGGGGGTGGGCTAAAATGGGGCACAACCTTTGCTACGTTTTTTCACCACATTTGGCCTTTGCGAAGCCATATATTCAAAATATTCGTTTCCGAGCCCTTTACACCTTTTTCTCTTTACCGACCCCGAAAAAGTCATTCTTCGAATTTTTCAGATTTTAGCCCACCAATACCAAGCAGGCACTCCAAATGAAAGCACTGAACTTTTAGAATTGTGGGATATTGGAGGTTCAAATGCCCATCGTCATTCAAGTCGTGTATTTTTGGATGGGGCGAATGGCGTTGTTTTTGTTCATGATTTGAGTAATTCTAGAAGTGAAAAAAATTTGTCTCATTGGTTGGATTTATTGCAAGGAAGTGGAACTTGTAGTAGCAACAACAACAATAAAAATTCTTCTCGAATTTCTTTAAATTCTCCTGATATAAATAATCGACTAATTTATACTGCTACAGGGTCAGAAAGGAATTATAGAATTGCTGGGGGTGCTGTTGACTCTTTAAATAATTTTGTGGCTTTGGATGTTGAAAGGCTTTGGGCTGTGCCGACTTTGGTTGTTGGTTTGTGATTTTTGCTAATTTTTTTTTGAAAATTTTTAAAAAATTTGAAGGAACATTTTTGGATAATTGTTCTCCAAGTAGAGCCAAAGAACAATCCAATATTTCTTTTCTACGGCAACATGAACACATTTCTTTGGATTCAAGACGGCCAATTCAGCCTGGTTCTACTAATCAGGTTTTGATTTTTATTTTTAAATTTTTAGCAATACTTAAGAATAGTTTTTTAAAAAGTGCAAGGACCCTGTACACGTCAAACCTCGGATCCGTAACTTTCGTTATTTTTGTGGTTTTCCATGAGGTAATCGACAGTGCTGAAAAGTTCGAATCTGACCCTAGAATTTGTTTAGTTCAACTCCAAACCGTAACTATTTTGGCAACCCTATCTTAAAAAGATTAAATTTAATTTCTCTCTAATATTTTCATTTTTAGATTGTTTTCACAAATTTTTTCGATGCAATAATTCGCCATTCTTCTGATTGTTTAAATAGAACTGGTGGATCAAGAAAATCTTTGAGTGGTACTACATCGCCTAGAAATAGAAGAAAAATGCTTTGACTTGAAAGAAGCAATGGGTTTTTTTAATTAATATTTTTTGGACTCGCTGTTGGGACTTAAATTATAAAAAAACAAATTTTATTATTTTTTATATTTATTTTTTTTAAATATTTGTTCTATTCATATAAATATATTTTTTAAATTTTAATATCAAACACCGAAATATGTACCAAACCCTCAAAGCTGCCAAAATACTAGACTGGAAAAAATTGTAAGGATGATTCACCTAGCTCACATCAGTTGTGGAGCTCCTGTATTTGGTGAGCGATAGCGCCTAGCAGTACCTACGAGGAGGTTGCAGGTTCGCTCGGTGGTAATCCTGCCCGGTGGCTAAACTTTTGCTGAACTCTTTCTGGCATAATTACGTGGGAGGTTGTTTCAACAAAGGTGAAGGTTGCGCCATTAACGTAAAATGTGGTTAACAATCCACATTTTGGTATTTCGGCGTTCATACCTTTATTTATTTTAAAATTTTTAAAAAATTTTTTAGAACGGTTGACTTTCAACCAAAAAACAAAATTTTTTTAATTTAAACAACGTATGGGAGAAGGTAGTGACCAACAACAACAATCAACAACAACAACAGAAGAAACTTCAGCAACACTTCGTTCACTTAAAAGCTTAAACCAATTAAGCCAAAATCTTCAAAATTTAATAAATAGGTCGGGGCTGAACCCGCACATTTTGTCTGCAAATTTTTTAAATTTTTGTCCGCAAATAAAAAATTTTTTTTTCGCAGTTCTGACAAATCTGGGCCAGAATTACACAATCGAATTTCACAACTTCGAGCGTCTATTGAACGTTTACGTACAAATACAAATTCAATAGAAAATATAAATCGAAGCGCAGAAGATCAGTGGACTAAAATTGAAGATTTGCGTAGACAACTTGTTGAGAAAAATGAATTCTTTAAACGATTTCGAGAAGAAAAAGCTGGAGAAGGAACAAGTGGAGCAGCAACAAGTAACCAGTAATGGACAGGGATTTGATGAGAATGAGGTTTTTTGTTGTTTTTTTAATTTTTTTTGGGGGAAAGGGGTCATAAGAATTATTCCTGGGAAATTTCCGTGTATCCGGAACCAATATCCGAACCGAAGATTTCCGGATACCCGTGTTTTTTTCGGCTCCGGATACATAATAAAAACCGCCAACCTTTAAAAGAGAAAATCTTTTTAGTGGGCATGGTTTTTATGGCTGTAGGATTCTTTCGAAGAAAAAATTTGAAATTTTTTGTTTGGAAAACTTCTCCTATTGGCTAGCAGAGCTGTTTGAAATTTCGAGTTTTTTTGCTTTCGGTTTCGCCTTTTTGTTGATATTTTCGATTTTCGAAGATTATTTCGTTTTGAAGCAGCCCTTGTTTGGACAGCCCCCCTGTCTCTACTCAAAGATATATTAATGTAGGAATATTAGTAAAAATTTAGATAGCTTTTTCTATAAAGGACACTTTGTCCCACTGACCAAAATTAAAAAAAATTTTTTTTTAATGTTTTTAAAAGAGAAAATTCAATTTTTAGCAAGTCAACACTGATAAAATGAATATCAACCAAATTCTTTGTAATCGTTGTGGAAGTATTATTTTACAAAAAATGGCTGCTCATTACCAACATGGAGAGACTTCAAAACATTTACCTTTGCCTTTTCAAAAAACAAAGCATAAAAATGAATTGCCAAAAAATTTGGAGACTGAAGAATTTAATAAATGGTGGATTGTGGGAAATATGTTTACTTTTGAAAATGGTTTGAAAAATTTTTTTAAATAATTTTGGGGGAAGTTTGGATAGTGGGGGAGGTCTGGCTGAACTTTTAAATAAAAATTTTTTGAAAAAATTTTTTAAAAATAATCTTGGGGAAATTTAGGGTGGAGAAGGGCTCATTGCACCCTTAAAAGTAAATAATTTTGGGTTAGGTTTAAGATGGTAGTGGACAGGCCAGTAGTCAGAATTTTTTCGGGGGCCTGGTAGTGGACTTGTTTAACCTTAAAAAAATTCAAAAAAATTTTTTGGTTAAGTTTAGAGGGAGGAAGGACTTTTTAACCTAACCTAATCGAACTTCTTCTATTCCATTCTTTATTTAAAAAAAAATTTTTAAGTTGGTTTTACACACTCTTTTGATGGTTGTAAATTTCTTGCTTGTGCTGATTGCGAGATTGGACCTATTGGATTTGTTTGTCCAGACTCTAATAATTGTTTTGTTTCTGTTGAACGAGTTGAATATAAAAATTGAATTTTTTTCTTTTTAAATTAAAAAAATTTTTGTCATTTTGATGCCGTAAATAAAAATATTTATTTAAAATTTTTAATTATTTTTATTAGTTTTATGTCTAAATTTATTTTTTAATTTTTTTAAAATCATTTTTCTAATTTTTCAGAATTTTTAAGAAAAAATTAAATGGAAAGTGTGGCTGTTGAAGAACCTTTGGATTTAATTCGTTTGAGCTTAAATGAACGTGTCTATGTTAAATTGAGGCAAGATAGAGAATTGAGGGGAAGACTACATGCTTTTGATCAGCATTTGAATATGGTTAGTTTTTTTAAATTTTTGAAAATTTTTTTGAATTTTTAAAAATTGCAAGAAAATTTTAAAATTTTTCAAATTTTTTTGTGAAATTTTTTTTTATTTTTTTTTTGAAATTCGTTTTGGAATTGTAAAAAATTTTTTCAGTTCGGAAGAATTTTTTTATAAATTTTTAAAATTTTTTTAGAAATTTTTCAAAAAACTTTTTTTTGAAATTTCAAAATGTCAAAAAATTTTTAAAATTTATTTTTAAAGATTTTGGCTGATGTTGAAGAAACCGTGACAGTTACAGAGACAGACGAGGAATCTTTTGAAGAAATCTATAAGAGTACAAAACGTCAAATTCCGATGCTTTTTGTTCGAGGAGATGGAGTTATTTTGGTATCGCCGCCGACAAAATTTATTCCATAGATTTTCGAAGAGAGAAAAGAAGGAAGGAAGAATTCGTCTGACACTAATTTTGGAAGTTTTTCAATTTTTTTGATGTTGAGGTTTTTTTAATTTAAAATAAATAAAATTTGAGAAATATTCCTAAAGATATTTTTGAAGGGGGATAATAGGGAGGGAAGAAGATAATTGTAGAAGAATTTCTTAGTGTAGCTTAGGCCGGTTTAAAATTAATTTTTGCCGAGATTTCCAAAAATTAAAGAATTTTTTGACGTTTTTCTTTTCCCTATAGGCTTTCGAGGTATTTTTGGATGGGGAGTAAGATTTTAGGAAGAATTGTAGGAAGAACAAAAAGAACAACATTTTTTAAAATTCTTCCTTGTGGAAGAATATTCCTTTTTTAGGGTAGCTGGGGTCTAATAAAATTTCTTTTTCTTCTTATCTAGACCACCTCCAAATTTCAAAAATTCTTTTGACGTTTCCTCTTCTATAAAATGCTTCCCCTTTTTAAACCCCCCACCACTACACTGTTTTTTACTAAAAGATTGGTTTATTCTTAAAAACCCCTCCTCTCACAACCACTTGTTTATCTACAGGATTATACGCCCATTTTCTTTAAAGGAAGAACACACAAAAAAAGTTTTCCAATAAAAAAAGGTTGAACGAGGGTAGAGAATGAAGGAAAAAGTTTTTTTAAGTTTGCTGACAAAACCCCGCCTATTTTCCTCAATTAAAATGGGAGAGGGAATGAATGGTCAGTGTTGACAGCCACCACCACTAACCCTCAAAATTTCTCCTTTTTTGACAATACTTTCTTCACTGTTCAATAAACAGACACAGAAATTCCAGAACATTTCAAGTTTTTAAACAAAAAAAGGGAAAAAAATCAAAATCAGTGAAAAATAGGGGGAAAAGAAATCAGTGATCCAGTCGAACAATTTTTAACTTTTCGTGTTCCATTTTGTACTTCGCATCGTTGATCAACCGTGATATAATAGTTGAGAGGCCATGATGCGCAACGTTGAACCCAGCAACAGAATCAACAGCGGAACAACAACACTTGTTAACAACAACAACATTATCCCATTCCAATCATCACTTCACTATCCCCAACAACAACAAACATTTAATTTATGGGGTGGACATAACGAATGTTCATCTCAACAAAACATTCAACAACAAACATTACAAACACAACAACAACAACAAACATTTCGACCTCACAAAAACAATGTTGTTGTTACCAGCCAAGAATGTTTTAACAACAAAGAATGTTTTAACAACATTGAAAAACATAGAAATGTTTGTAACAACCAAAACATTCAACAACAACAACAATTTGTTGGACTGTCAAACTTTGAACAATTTTATTCCCAACAACAACAATACACTCAAGAATGTTTTTTCTACCCAATCCAAACACAAAATTCTGTAAATGTTTTTAGACTTAAACAAAACATTTGTTTTTCTTTTAAGTTTGCGTTGGGAAACAATGTTACCCCAATGTTTGGCAACACCCACCAAACAACTAATAGAAGTTTGGGAATTGAACAACCGATAAATCAGGCAAGTAATCGCCTTTCTGTTGCTGCAAGTATTGCTACAAGCTATGCAAGCCATACAGGGATTAATCAATTGGGAGGTGTTTTTGTAAATGGAAGGCCTTTACCTACTTATGTCAGAAATCAGATTGTTGAGTTAAACAGAAGAGGTGTTCGGCCTTGTGATATTTCAAGACAACTTAAAGTTTCGCATGGATGTGTTTCTAAAATTCTTGGACGATTTTATGAGACTGGTAGAAAAAAATTTTTTAATTAAAAAAAATAAAATTTTAAAGGCTCAATAAAGCCCGGAGTTATTGGCGGTTCAAAACCTAAAGTAGCCACTCCAGAAGTTGTACATGCTATTGCTAGATATAAATTGAACAATCCAACAATGTTTGCCTGGGAAATTAGGGAAAAATTAATTGAAGAGGGAATAAGTGATGCAGAAAGTGCTCCTTCTGTTTCTTCTATAAACAGAATTGTTCGTAATAAATCTCAATGTTTAAGTGTTCACAAACATTGTTTGAATAAACACACAAACAATCAGAAAAACATTGCGAGTTTAAAAAGGTTGTTACAAACATTTGTTTTTCTTACAAAAACATTTGTTTTATAGAGAAACAGCTCAACAAAGAACAGAAATAAAAACTGATAGAGAATTTGGAAGTGATGAAGAACAACAACAAAAAGTAGTCAATACAACAAACAAAACAATGGCTAATAATAATTTCCAACAATGGCAACAACAACAAAATTTTATGCAAAACATTCTCAACAGAAATACAAACCAAAATTCTGCTTTACCTCAACCAATAAATTCCTTTAACCCTATTCAGAATAATGAAAGAAGTATGGGGCAATATCAACAAAGACAACAACAGATTGAACAGAATCAACGTCAAGTGCTCAAAACGACTAATAAAGGTGAGAGCTAATTAGTTGTTCTCTACACCCCTTTCATAGGGTGAAAGGGGCATAGGTTCCCTTCTCATAGGGTGAAGGGGATAGAGGTTCACCGATCATAAGGTGAAAGGGACGTGAGTTCTCACACAGGGTGAAGGTGACATAGGTTCACCTCTCAAAGTGTGAAAAGAACAGAGGTTCCCCTCACATAAGGTGAAGGTGACAAGAATTTCCTCGACAATGAATTAGCTTCCCAAATCCTCTAAACAATTTTTTAAAAAATTTTCAAGTTTCTCCACACCAAACAAATCCAACAAATTTCATCATTACCGGTAATATACAACAACAACCTACAAATAATTCAATTATTTCAACCGTCACTTCCCCATATTTTTAAATTTTACTTCATGTTGAAAACAAGAAAACCCCAAGAGAATTCTATAAAATCATGTGAAATACAATCTTCTTCCCAAATTAAGTTGAAAGCTTTTTATGTAAGTAAGTCTGTTCCCCCCACGCTCCAACTTTTTTTTCTTTATAAAATTAAATTAATTAACGAAATTGAATTTTTATATATTTTCTAAAAACAAAATTCTTTAAAAGAAAGGAAATTTTATTTTTGTATAAATATTTAAATAATAAATTCTGTAATAACAAGAAAAACAATTCCTCAATTTAATTAGCCATTTCCGGCTCACAATTTGTAACAATACTAAAACCTTCAATACAAGGCTCGACTAATCTAACGTCTATACGCCTTCTTTGGTCTTTCCGTTGTATAACGTTTAAGCTGACTTTAATTTGTTGAAATAAACGGATTCCGTTTTTGGAACAAAATTCAGACATTTGTTCTATTGTTTTCCTTTCTTTGCGTTTTGTGATGGTTGTGGAAGTTTCAGTATTTTCGTTCAAATAAATTACTGATTCTAAGCCAAATTTGGGTATCATTACCTTAAATTAGAGGTATAAATATTAACACCAATTAATTTAGAATCAATGCCCCCCCCCCCCTTAAGAAAACTCCTCCCCACACCTGAATTCCATTTGAACGTATTCCAATAACAATAGCAGGAAGACAAGGTTCAGGGTTTTCTTTAACCATCATAAAAGTGTTTAACAGTACAGAAGCACGGCTAGCATATTGAGCTCGTCTATGGCGTCTGTTCATGTTCTGAAAATTAAAAAAGATTAAAGGGTTCAACTCCCCCCAACCTCAGTCTGACGAATCAACTTTCTTCTATCCAACATATTTGGATGTATTTGATCTACTCCGATAAGTGCTGCAAGTAGTCGATGAACCATAACATCAGCATAACGACGAATTGGAGAAGTAAAATGTGTATAAACTTGAACAGCTAGTCCATAATGTAAATATTGATCCCTTGGAACTGTTCCAGCAGCAAAATAAACGGCCTGGGTCATACAACTAAAAATCCAAATTAAATTGGGTTTAAGAACCCTTAAAGTAACCGTGTTGCCAGCATTCTCAACATTCGTGCAACCATAACATTACGAGGAGTTTCTCCTTGTTTGGACAGCTTTTCAATCTCATCCAAGCTTTTTCCTAGCTCTTTTCCAGTGTCCACATTTAAGTGAAAGCCGCAAGATTCGGCCATCTAAAATTTCAATTAAATTCCAATTTTCTTCGAAATTCCAAAATTTTTTACTGGTTACTGTTCCTAGCCCCCTCCACCTTTCCCAATTTTTAATCTTATTGGTTTAAGTTCTATACTGTAAATATTTCAAAGACACTTTCCTTCCTTTCCCCTTGAACCTCCCCCCACCCCCCCCCCCTTCCTCTCATTCATAAACAAATAAAAGAAAATTAAAATAGATGCGCGATGGTGCTGAACGATGAAACAAGTATTAAAAAATGTTTATACATTGAGGATTATTGCAATTTTAGAGGGAAATTAAAATTGGTTTAAAAGTTTTGTGTTGAAAGGATGAGGGAATTATATTGTTTGATCAAAATAAGGATTTAATAGAAAATAGAAAAATAAGTTTTTTGATCAAAAATTGATCTGATTATCAACAGAAAATGAAAAAAATATTTTTTTAATAAAATTTTCATCCGTCTTTCAATATTCTAATTACAGCCTAGACCAAAAAAAGAAGACTGAGATTTTTCGATACCCCTTACGTTCACAAAATTTTTTCATGGCTCGATTCTCGTGCGACCCTTCCAATCCTGGCTCTAATCCTAACCCCTCTCTACTCCCAACAATTCAATATTATTTACACAAATTCACTAGTTAAACAACAAAAGCATAAATCCGCGCATTAATCCACACCGCTATTTTGAGGGGAAAAGAGAGGAAAAAGGTTGGAGAGTCAAAATAATCGCCTCTAAAAATGGGCATATTTCCGGTAAAAAGAGGAGGATAACAAATAATAACCATTGAGAAATAAGCAATTATAAATCCGGTGATTTTATTTGAATTTTGAGCTAAAAATTAGGCCGAAACATGACACAGATTTCGAGTGACACAAATTTTATAAAAATAGATAAACAAAAAATATTAGTGACCAAAATGAGAGAATAATAGAAAAAAATTCCTAAAAAATTCTAAAATTTGAGAAATTTGGCGGTACATTTTCCAAACCCTCCTACTTTGAATCTCAGTTTTCCGAACATGTACATACAGGAAAATGGGTCCATAGGGTAATGGAGTGGAATTGAGAAAGGAAGTCTGACCATTATGAGGCATTCTAAGGAAAATTCTGATACTCAAACAGAAGGGAGGTATCAAAAAAGTATCAATTTGGCAACTAAATTTTTAAAATGTCCACACTTTCGCGCGTGCCAAAAAAACACATTTCTTTCCGTTTTTACCAAAAAAGCGTCCTTGGTTTAAAAGTTTGTGTTTGTTTGCATAGCAACTTTTCTAGTTAGTTTGTGCTTCCGCCGCAAATAAATGCGCTAATATGCAAGAAATTAATATTTTAATAAAATTTGTCGGCAAAATATGAGCAGAAAAATTAATTTTTTTGTTTAAAGAATAGTTTTGGTGACCTTGTATTTTTAAAAGAAAAAGATCGGCGGAAAGGAGGGAAAAAACAAGCATTTAATCCCCTTTAACTCATTAGCACTCTAAAAACACGAGTCATCAAACACTTACAAATCAAAAGGAACGATAAATATAACAAAAGAGAGGGATAAAAATAGAAGGAAGATATGGCTATGAGAAAATTTTTAGAAAAAAATAAATACAATTAAAGACAAACATTGGGAAATTAAGGAGTAAAGGAGAGGACGAGAAGGAAAGGAGGGAGAGAAGGGCAAAGGTTCCGGAAAAAAATTTCTGAGGGAAAAAAGATTTTTTAGAAATCCCCGATCTCAAAATTTTTAAAAATTTTAACAAAAAATAAACTTACGGAAATAAGTGGTTTGAAAGATACACGGCCTGGTATTGGATGCCTACGCAATATGGCACAATCCTTAAAAATAAAAATGTTATTAATAAACCCAGTACATAGGGGGTAATAGCGGTTTTCTAGTGTACTGGCCTAGTGGCGCAATGGATAGCGCGTCGGTCTTCGGAACCGAAGGTTGCAGGTTCGAGTCCTGTCTGGGTCGAATAGTTTTTATAAAATTTAAGAATGCTCCAAGAAGATTTTTTAGTCAATTTTCGGGTAGAAAAATAATTTTTAAATTTTTAATGTATTTTTTAATATTGATTAAAAATATTAACCGGATATTCGTGAAGAATTTTTTCAGCAACAGAAATGTTTGCCAACAACATAAATTCTTCTATCATTGACCTTTAAAAAAATTTTTTAAAGAATTTTATAAAGAAAAATAAAAGCAAACATAGTCTCCAAATGTTGCTTCTCTAACACTTTGACAGGAGCCCCAGTTTCTGGATCAATATCAAAACGAATTTCTGAAGAAGCTAATTCTAATGCGCCAACAGTACGTCGACGAGACTTGAAAAAAATTATTTTAATTTTAAAAAATTTTAAACCTTCAATTTCTTTGACAAACTTAGCAAATTCCTCAAACTGTTGGCTATAACATCCTAAAAAAATTTTTTTCAAAATAAAAAAAAATTAAAAAACCTGATATTTTTCATCATCAATCATTTCTTGAGCTTTTTGATAAGTTAAGGCAGCACGTGAATGAATTAACGATTTACAAAATCTAACATTTTGAATTTCTGCGTCTCCATTTAATTCCCATATAACACTAAATGCATAACGTAATTCACCACCACGAAGAGAACATCTTTAAAAAAGTTATAATTATTGAAAAGTTTAATTAGAGTTTCGGGCATTGAACTAAGGTTCCCAGGCATTGTAACCCCTCGGAACCTCGGGAAAAAACTACCAGGACAGGGAAACCAGACTCGGTAGTATTTTAATTAAATTCAGTTTTTCTGAATTTCCGACTTGTTTTTAACTCGGAAACCCCGGCCAGGTGAACAAAAAACCCCGAACCAGACCAGGCAATCTGAAAATGCCCAACTCTAATTTCAATCAAAAATTATTTTTACAGATTAGTCGAAAGCAAAGATGGTAACATATCAATACGTCTTCCACATAAGTAAACTGTAGTGGAACGTTCAGCTGCTGTTTGATCAATTGCTGTGCCAGGGCGGACAAAATGAGTTACTGAAAATTTTCTTAAGCCAAAAAATCTTTGAAAAAATACCATCAGCAATGTGAACTCCAACTTCAAAGCGATTAGGCCCCAATTCGCGGCAATGAACTGCATCGTCGATATCAGTACAGCCTTAAATATAAAACAAAAATTGACAAAAACCAATTCAAAAAACCTTCAGGGTCAACAGAACAAATATCCAATGATGTCAAATCTTCACGTTCTGGAGGGTCCAAAGGATGTGGAGACCAAGGAAGTTCAGGAAGACATGCAAGAACAGCTGGAGAAAATTCATCATAGGGCACTTCATGTTCTAATAGGATAACTTCATCTTCAGTTTTGCGTTCGCCTTCATTGCCAATTACACGAATATAATGACCTCTTGGATAATGAGAATCTGAAAAAAAATTTCCAAAAATTTTTAAGAAAATTTCATCTAAAAACCTTGTGGCCATGAGTCAATTTGTACCAAAACCTTCTTGCCAATCAATTGTTCATAATAGGATGTCTCAATTCTAATCCGGGGAATTAAACGTTCAGAAGGAGCAAATAAAAATTGACGAGCACCAAGCATATTTGGAGGCAAAATAACTCCACAATAATGACGCCAATTACGGCGTAGAATGCCTACAATTCGTGCTGAGGGTAAAACCTGAAAAAGAATAGAGAGAAAATAGGGTTAAAACAAAGGGTGTAGCCAGGGGTCAATTTCGAGGTCCCTCTGGATCCTTAAAATACCTCTAGCTATGTCCTTAGCCAAAATAAATATTCTAATTAAAAAAACCTCTTTTCTGCTCTTCTTTGCTGGTGCTTCACTATCTTCCAAATCCTCTTCTTGACCTTCTTCCTCTTCTTCCCCATCAGCATCAGGCAAATTATCTCCTTCGTTTTGGGTTTCCTCAGCGTCTCTTAATCGAATAGTTTTCTCTGGAGCGGTCCACTCAGATTCTGGCAAAAGTTGGGCTACAACAACGTCTCCGTGAACTGCTCTATTCATATTTAGAGAACCCTAATTTTCTAATTTTACAAAGCTAAAAATTTGAATAAACCTGGACAAACCATTGATCCTCCATATCAAATTCAACAAAAGCCTCCAGATAATTTTCCTGGGAAATCTGAATTTTTTAAGTAAATTAAAAATTGTCCAAAAACGAGAAACCTGAAATTTTCCTTTTTTCAAATTCCCCTTAGACAATCCATCCAGAAGTTTGTCTTGAGTCCAATATTCTGGAAAGAGTGCGCGACCTCTTCGTTCTTTTTTGCCTAAATCAGTTAAACGTTGAATGAGCGACTCAGAGCCTGGGATTCCTTTAAGTAAATAAATTTTTATAGCAAAGGAATAAAAAAATTCAAACCTTTTACATAATCAATTATTGAAATTACGTGAGGATAATCCTTAGAAACACGCGCAACGGCCTCTTCTGAAGAACACAAAATTAATGGACGGACAGAAAATTCATTCCAGTGATCACAAAGAAATTTAGAGCCAGAAATTAAGCATTGTTCTTGGCTGGAAAGAAAAAAAATTGGCACTTATTTGTCCCCTCTTGTCAATTTTTTGTTCAAGATGTACAAAATGGTCAGAAATCGGGACTCACATCATCTAATGTCAGAGATGTCCCGTTGGACAGATTCTAGTGTCATTAACTCAAATTGACGAGCTATACAGATCTCGACTTATTGACCATTTTGTACATATAAAACAAAGTGGCAGAGGCCAAATAAGTAACGGAAATTCTAGGAAAAATCGTTAGAAAAAATTAAAAAAAAACAAACTAAAGTTCTGGAACACGGCTAAAGCTGGGATCAACAAAAGTTTGGCCAACAAATTCATTGAGAAAGACAAACATTCGATCATTATTTTCAGTAAAAAGGGTATTTAAACGTTTAAAAACTGCACCGCTCATTTTCTTTATGTAAGCCCAAACACTTTGGAGAATGATTACATTTCTAAAAATGACTAAACTTTAATCTTAAAAAACTCCAAACAAACCGAAAAACACTAATATCATCCAAAACATCAATAAATTTCATTATAGAAGGCCCATCAAGCAATAAAAAGTGAGGGTATTTAACTGATTTGCTCAAACTTCCATTTTCAAAAAATTGGAGGGGTTTGAGGGCTTCACTGTTGTAACGACATTTTAAGCAACGCGAAAATCCACAAGGAATATCATTTCTCAAATAGAGTTCATTTACACGCTTAAATTTTTAAAAATTTTAATTTAAAGGAAAGCTAAACCTTGTTAATCTTCCCACTCCTTGTTTTGTAATAAGTTGTAGAAAATGTTCTTTTTTCAATTCCGCTTTGTTTCACGTTCAATTCCATTGATAAATCTAATCTAAAAAAGATAAAAATTTAAGAAATTTAAGCGAAAATTTTTTATAAATTTTTTTGAAAAATTTTGAGAATTTTTGACCTATTTTAAATATTTGCCGCTAATTGACATTTTGAAAAGTTGGTATTTTGAAAATTTTTTCAAAATTAATTTCAAAATGTCAAAAAATTAAAAATGGTAAATCTCAGACTTTTTGTGGAGTTTTTGAAGTTTTTCTGCAAAAATTTCAACAGACACATTTCTACTATAAAATTTTTTTATTTTCAGTTTTATTAGAGAGCTATGCAAGGATCATTATTTACATTGGAACTAGAAAATTTCAAATCTTTTAAAGGCAAACAAACTATTGGGCCTTTCAAAAACTTTTCTGCAATTATTGGCCCGAATGGATCTGGTTTTTTTTATTTTTTTTATTTTAAACATTTTTAATATTCAGGAAAATCAAATCTTATGGATGCAATCTCGTTTGTTTTGGGGGAAACTGCAAAAAATTTGCGTGTTAAGAAACTTGCGGTAAATTTTTTTACGCTATTATAAGGTTACTTGTGGAGCATCCCAAACCAGTTTTTGATGTCATACATATTTATGTGGGCTTGTCAGAGTGTTCATGATGGGTGATGATTTCCTTGGGAAATATCGTTACGGAATCATTTTCCTTTTTGTCTGACCATTATGAGTCGGAAAAATTGGTTTGGGATAACCCACAAGTACCCTAATAAATCCTAATTTACAGGATCTGGTTCATGGAGTTAATGTACAGGATGCAGTTTCTATAAACTGCAAAGTTAAAATGATGTTCCATCAAGTAGATGACGAAGCGAATGAGACAATAGAAAAAACCTTTCAACGATCTTTAACTGAATTTCGGGTTGATGATCAAAAAGTTAGCGTTGGTGAATATCACAAAGAGCTTGAGAAGATTAATATATTTATAAAGGTTATAGTTTCTTTTTTTAGATAATATCGAGTTTCGTGCTCCATCCCCCTTCTATTTTTTCTATTAGAATGTGCATAATGGTTAGACTTCCTAGATCCCACTTGATTTTCCTTTGTGCTTGGTCAATCAAACAGATTAAAATTTATTCATTACATTCACAAGGAAGAGAAATGTGACGACAAAATTATATTTAGAGCACAAGGAATCGAGTGAGTGAGGAAGGAGGAAGTCTGACCATTATGTACATTCTACGAAAAATAGTCGGGGGCGAACTCGGCATTACCATTTTTTATATTTTTATCAATTTTTTTTAAAATTTAGGCACGCAATTTTCTTGTCTATCAAGGTGCTGTTGAACAAATTGCAATGCAAGGTCCGAAGGAAATGACTCAACTTTTTGAAGAACTTTCTAAGTCATATGAATTACGAGATGATTATGAACGTTTGAAACAAGAAATGCATGCTGCTGAAACTAATGCCCAAGCTAATCTTACGAGGAAGAAGGATATTGTTTTGGAAATGCGTGAGGCGAAGCAAGAACAAATGGACGCTAAACGTTTTCAGAATTTGAAACAAGATTTGGTAAAAAATTTATTTTTTGGGGTGTTTTTAGGGTCACCACTTGCCAGACTGCGGACGGGACAGGAATTTCGTACGTGATTTTACAGGTCCCGCCCCGAAATCCCTGGTTTAATCGACATACGGGATTATCTGAATTAAGGATTAATACCGCGGGATCCCATCCTGCTCGACCTTGTGAAAAAATCCTGTTGCGGAACCTCGGGAATGAGATCTTCCGAGCTCTACATTTAACAATTTGTTCATTTTATAGCTTGAGAAAAATAGAGAATTATATTTGGCTCAACTCTTTTTTGCTGAAAAACACAAAAGAGATACTGAAGAAGAATTGGAAAATCTTAAACGACAAGTTAAAGAGAAAAAGAAGGAAAAAACAGCTTATGATAAAGTTTTGAAAGATAAGCAAGAGGCTGCAAAACAATGCTACAATGCTAGAAATAAGAGAGAAGCTAAAGTTCAAGAAATCGTTTAGTTTTTTTAAATTTTGTTTTGAATAATTTTTGGTAATTTTAGGAACGTCGAATGTTGGGTGAGAAGCCTAAAATAGCTCAAATGAAGCAAAAACTAGCTCATTCTGAAATGCGTTTGGAAAGTATAAAGAAGGCTCATGATAATGCTGAAAAAGCTGTTAAGAGTCTTGATCAACAGATAAAGGCAGCTGAAGCGAATATTAAGTAAATATTAAACGATAAAAATTTTTGGAGTCTACTAAAGTTGTTGGGTATTAATCAGAGGTTACGTGCTATCCAATAACTGGAACTCAGACTTTTTCGGCCTAACAAGCTTTCAAACTTAGACTCAATTGTTTGCACTCTCAATTCTCTTAACTGACCCGGAACCTAAAGCTGGGACTTTTTATCACTGGAAACCCGACCCAAAATTTTCGCGAATTCTGCTCATGTCAGCTGGGCTCCCTCTCAATTCCTTTGACTAACTCTAAACCACGACTTTTTTGACTCGAAAAAACCCGAACCGACCGTCCATCTGACCCAAAACTGGGACTTTTTATGACCCAAAATCCCATCCAGAAACCCGACATGACTTTTTTCTCAACCCTTTTTCCCCAACCTCAACTCAGATCTTTCTCAAAAATAAATATTTTTTCAGAGAAATTGAAAAACAAAAATCCGAATTGGAGAAAAAGCTTGCTGAAAAATCAAAGCGACAAGGAATTAATTTGAATGAAGCGGATGTAAAAAAATTTTTTATAGAAATTTTCTCATTTTTCTTTTCTTTAAAGGTTAAAGAATATCGTCGTTTAAAAGCAGAAGTTGAAAAACGTTGTACAGTTATTGGAACAGATTTGGAAAATAAACGTGAAGAAAAAAAATCGGCGGTAGATGCAAATGAATTCGATAGGCGTCGTTTACAACAAAATCAAGAAAAATTGGATGAACGACAGAAAGTATTAGAAACTGATAGAAAAAATTTGGAAGCACTTGAACAAACAGAAGATCGTCAAAGAAAAGATTTGGAAGAGGCAAGAAAGAAGTTGGATGAGTTACAAAGGGAGGTTTGTTTTTACGATTTTTTGTTCTGTCAATGGGGACCATCATCTATGATAGATGGAAATCTGGTATATATTTTTTGGTACTATCCGATAAAGGACCCATGACTTTCTATTTCGAAGTGCAATCCGTTTTCTGGCAAAATAATTCTGGGCAGAGTTATGGCTGTTCAAATTAGGATTTCTGCCTTCGCTTGGTAAAAATAACAAATCCCTTCAATCTTCTAGGTTGCAAATTCAAAAGAAAGGAAGAAGAAAATGGAAGAGGAATACAACAAAGTATGTAAAGAAATTGCTGATGCACATGGTGATCATTCAGAATCTGAAAGAAGCCGTCGACAACACGAAGCTGTTGAAAATTTGAAAAGAGTTTTTACTGATAAAGTTTATGGACGTCTTGTTGATTTGTGCAAGCCTTCAAATAAAAAATATAATTTGGCTGTTACAAAGGTTTATTTTTTCTTTATTTTTCGCGTGGGGTGGCTTGCCTTCTTGGTTTGGATCGTTTGGAAAGCTTCCTTTCCACCGGAAAATTTCCTGGCATGACTTGGGAAAAAGCTTCTGGCCTGACTTTTCCCTTGGAAATATACGAGAAGGGGTCCCTTTCCTACTTAAATGACCTTGGAGGGTTCAAGTTCCTACTTGAATGACCTGGTAAAGGGTCACTTTCCCCCTGGAAAGACTGGGAAAGGTTCCTTTCCCCTTAGTAAGTTATCCCTCTAATATTCACCCTTGAAAAACATTTTAAGATTCTCGGCAAGCATATGAATTCAATTGTTTGTGATAATTCTGACACTGGAAAAGAATGTATTTCTTATTTGCGTGAACAACATTATCCGCCAGAAACTTTTTTGCCTGTCGCCGAATTACGTGTTGAACCATTTCGTGAACATTTGCGTACTTTAAAAGAACCTCCAGGAGTAAAATTAACTTTTGATGTTATTGCTCCAAATATTACTTCTGATTCAAATTTAAATTCAAAAATAAAGAAAGCTTTGCAATTTGTTTGTGGAAATTCTTTAGTGTATTTTTTTGGATTTTTTACTAAAAATTTCATAAAATTTTTAAATTCTAGTTGTGAACAGCCTCAACATGCTAAGGGACTTGCCTATGGAATTACACGAAAGGGTGAACGTTATAGATCTGTTGCATTGGATGGAACACAATTTCAAGTATTTTTTAAATAAATATCGTAAATGCTTTAATAGAGGCCTTGGGATTTTATTTTTCATTGTCAGCAGGTATTATTGATGGACTTTTAACAGAGCATGGGCTTCTCCCGGGGCCATTTGTTGAGTAGATTGTTCGGTGTGGTCTTGAATGTGCTAATAGGGCATAAACTTCTGCCAGGGCAAGGGGTTCCATTTTTCAACAGGTATCGAATGGGCTTCTGCTGGAGTCGAGCTTCTATTGAAACATTTACGCTATATAAATTTATTTTAAAAAATCAAATTTTAAAGCCAAATGGTGTAATTAGCGGTGGAAGTTCTGATTTAAAAGTTAGAGCAAAAAAATGGGATGAAAATGCAATAAGAAAATTAAAAGAAAAGAGGAGTGATTTACAAGAAGGTTTACGTCAGTTACATGCAAATTCTAGAAGAGAATTGGATGTTGAAATGGCTAGAAATCAAATTAGACATTTGGAAACCCGCCTCCGTTTTACGCGAACAGAAATTGAAAGATTTAGAGAACAAATTGATCAACAAGTAAGAGATAATGAAGCATTTGGTGAACCTGGTGAAATTCGAGCTAGAATTAATGGAAGAAAACTTATAATTGCTGATTTGGAAAAAGAAATTGAGAAACTGGAAAAGAGTAAAAATGAAGTGCAAGATGAGGTTTTCTCTGATTTTTGTAAAAGAATTAAAATCAAGGATATTCGGTAAGAAAAAAATTTTTTTGAAAAGGGGAATTGGATGGGGGAGGGGGGGGGTTAGACGTAGGAAAATAGGTAAAGTGTTCATAAAATATTCAAAAATAAGCACAAATCCATGATTTTTTCAAAAAAGGCTGCCATTTTTCGATTTGACCCTTTTGAGTCATTTTCTCGTTTAAGTTGTTGATTGTGTGACCAATCGATCTTTTGCGGCTCAAAATGGCAATATGGTCAGTCCTAGGAAATCACACTGAGTTAGGGGTTTCCATTTTCGATTTGACCCTTTTGAGTCATTTTCTAGTTGAAGTTTTTGAGATTCGATCGAACTTCCTGTATCCAAAACTTCTAATATCAACCCTAATTTAATTAATTTTTTAGAGAATATGAACAACGTGAAATGCAAATCCATGATGAACATGAAAAATCAATTAGTGCATTTACTCATCAAATTGAACGTTTAAATTATGAACTTGAATATCTTCGTGGTGAAGATAGGCAAGGTTTTTTCGAGAGATTTTTTTTATTAAAAAGAGTTTTTTTGAAATTTTCTAGCAAATGTTAGAAAAGAGGAAGAACGTTTAAATGTAGTTAGAGCTGAAAAGAAAAAAGCAGAAGAAGATTTTAAGGATATTGAAGAACGTTATAAGGATTTGGAAGATAAATTAAAAAAAGTAAAAAAGGAAGTGGAAAGTACAAGAGAAGAAGCTGCAAAAGCAGATAAGGAAGTGAAAGATGCAAAAATACAAAATGCTGAAATGGATAGGGTAAGTGAGGGAGGGAGGGAGACGTTCAAGGTTCAGTCTAAAGACTTCTTGGGGTTTTTTCGATTTTGGTCTTATGGTCATGTCCTGGTCTTGAGTCATGGAAAATTCTAGGTCTTGAGCATCTCTACTAGGTTTATACGAAAAAATTTTTTTTAAAGGAGTTACATGCAATTGAACGCAGTTTAGTTCAAAAACAACAAGAAAGGAATCGAAGAGCCGAAAAACGTCATTCACTTCTTCATCAATGCAAATTATCGTCTATTAAAATTCCTTTAATTAGTGGATCTCTTAATCAAATTATGCTTAATTCTGATTTGTCAGGTTTTTTAATTTTTTTGAATTCTGGGGTTTTAAATAAGTCTGACCTTACTTTAAGTTACACCTCAATTTAAGGGGTGTTAAAAAATTTAGCTGGATTCAGGGTGGGATTTTTCAGCACATATCAAAAACCTTTTCCAAAGGATCCTAAGGGCCAAAAAGTAATCCGAGTTCATCCAGTCCCATTGTGGTTGTCTCAAATTACCTTCAGTTCCAAAGATAAATTATGCCCGACTATACCAAAATGGTCAAATTTAAAAAAATATTTAGCTGATGATTCCCAATCTACTTCATTAAATCATTCGCAAAGTTTGGAGGCTGCTGAAGAAATTGAAATTGATTATAGAGATCTTAGGGATTCTGTCAAAAAGGTTTATCTTTTTAATTTAATAATAAGGAAAATTTTTGTTGTTTTTCCAGTTAGTATTAGATACAGAAATTAATGCATTATTAGATGAATTAACCAAATCAGCAGCTGAAACAGAAGAAAAACTTTCTAAAATGGTTGCACCTAGTGCAAAGTTGGATCAACGTATTGATAAAGTAAAAGAACGAGAAAATGAAAATTTGGCAAAATTGGATGAAGGCCGTAAGAAAGCACAATCAGCTAGAAGAGCTTTCGAGAAAGTTAAGACGGAGCGGTTAAAACGTTTTCAAGATTTTTTTGAACCTGTGGCTAATCGAATTGATGAAGTTTATAAGGTTTATTTATATTATTTGGAAAAATTCCTCATATCTCCCATAATCCGATTCGGACAGACGATATGTCAAAATTTTTCTAGGCATTAAGTCAAAACGAAAGTGCCCAGGCATATTTGGGACCAGCAAATACAGAAGAGCCTTATCTGGATGGAATTAATTATAATTGTATTGCACCTGGAAAACGTTATAGGCCAATGGATAATCTTAGTGGTGGAGAGAAGACTGTTGCTGCATTAGCACTTTTATTTGCAATTCATTCAAGTAACCCCTCACCATTCTTTGTTTTGGATGAAGTTGATGCTGCACTTGATAATACAAATATTGCAAAGGTTTTTTTTAATTATTTTTTTTTGTTAAAAATATTTTTGGATAAGAATTGAGCAAATTTTGGGGTTTTAATTCTATTTAAAAAATTGTTTTACCCGGATGGGGTTCGAACCCACGACCTCGGGAATCACAAACTTAAATTTTTCCGACTACACCAACAAATGAAATGTTGGAGGTTTCTGGAACAAAGGGGTAGTTGATGCTGGATTAAGCGATTTGTGATTGTGATCAATTTCGTTTAAAAAATTATTTTGCACATGACTTGGGAAACCGTGAATTTTTCTGACTACAGCAACAAAAAATGTTTGGGGGAAATGGCTGATTTTTAAAACAAAAATTTTTTTATTAAAATATTTCATTATTAATTTTTTAAAAAAGGTTGTCAAATACATTAGTGAACGTTCTAAAGCAGATATTCAATTAATTGTAATTTCGTTGAAAGAAGAAATGTACAACAAAGCTGATTCACTTATTGGAATATATCCAAAAAAGACGGATCCATGTATTGTTAGCGGAGTTTTAACGTATGATCTCGAAAATTTTGATAATATGTTTGAAGGAGAGCCTCGAGAGTGAGGGAGGTTTATTTTAATTTTGAATTATCCCAAATATTTTTTTGATATATTTTTTTCCGTTTAATTAGCGTTGAACACGACCGGTTAATCTTTCCCTGTGGTGGCTCAAAAAGCTCTTTTATTCTCTATTTAACCCCCATAGGGAAAAGTTAACCGGTCACGTCCAACTCTACTTTTGATTTTAAAGATTCTTTTTTCATCTGAAAATTAACATTTTACCTTTACACGCATCCTTTTATTTTTGTTTAAATAGGCGGTAAACTTTTAAGAAAAATAATTGACGAGATTTGGAATAACAAAAGAAAAATTAGCTGTTCTTCCGCCTATTTTTACAAAAAAAAATTTAATTTTACCCCTGCTTACCTATAATTTATCTTATCTTTTCTGATTAAAAATAGTTGTCACCGAATAAAAATTTATTTTATATGGATAAGGTTTGAAAACCTGGAAAAAATAACTATAACAAAAAATAGTGCTGGGTAAATTCAAGGGAATAAAAAATAATTAAAATAATTTACCCAGCAGATTTTAAATTAAATTAATTTTTAAGTGAATGGCCAGGGAATGAGTATTTTGATACAAATATATAATTAAAATAAAAAAAATATTGGGTCTAGTACGAAAATTCTTGAAGAAAAAATTTTTTCGGGGATTCCAATTAAAACCTTACAATTAGTAACAATTTTCGTACCGGTCAAAACAGCACAAGAAAAAAAATTGAGAGGGTTTAAGTATTAGGATGTATATTAAACAAATTTCATATTATTCTAAAATAGAGACGGCACTGGAGGGATCCCGTACGGGATTTTACGTAATCACGTCCCGGATCTCGAGTTCTAAGTGACGACTGGGATTATTGGAATTTACGGGATACCGTTATGGAGTCCCCGGAAACGCGATTTTTCCAATCTCTATTCTAAAATACTTACAATTAAATTTTTTTAACCTCATCTTCCTCTAATTTTCATTTTTCTGATCATACTCGTTTCGTATTTTTTGAAAAATTTCAATAATTTTAAGCAAACCATGAATATAATTTTCGTCTAGTTGAGATTTACTTTCCACTGAAAAAACATGTGAAAAATCAATCATTCGAACATCAACTATTGAGGGTAATTGGCTATGTCCTTCATATACAAAAAGAAGAGAAGAAGCATAAAAATGAAGCATCTTTTGGTGTAAAAACCAGTCCTGGATAGATTTGAGACGTTCAATAAATCTGTCTAAAATGTCTGAAGCTTGGGCAGGGCGGGCTTGGATTAAGTATTCTTCGAAAGCTTAAAATGGTTAAATTAAGTTAAAAATTATTTCAATTTTAATTCCCCTATTGACCCAAAGTTTTTTCTTAAAAAATATTGACCACCAAATGGGATTCGAACCATAGACCTTTTAAGAACCTCGAAAAATATTAGAGAGGCAGTCTACGATTTTTTTTAATATTTTATTTTTCAAGATAGACCCTCCGAAGATTTTTTATCCAAAAAATAAAAAGGATTAACCTTGCTGTAAATTTTGCAAAGTTCTTTCTCTTCCCCATACTCGATCTTTGCTGTAAAATTCTGTTTCTGTGTGAATCTAAAAAATTCTTTATAAATACTTAAGAAAAATTCAAACCCTATAACCAAGAATTCTAAAACCCAAAATTTCCTGGAAAGGACATTTTGATTGCTCTTTTATTCTTTTTTCTTCAGTTGCGTCTGGATCGTCTAAAAATTAATTTAAAAAATTTAAAAATATTTTAAGCCTTACAAGTAACTTTGCCAATTTTTATGTCCATAATACAAGGCTTCTCGAATGGATAAGTAATATCTTTAAAAAAATTTTTTTTTAAGAATTTCCCTTAGAAAAATTAAAAAAACCTTCAAGTTGAAGAAATTCTTTTGGAGAATCTGAATTTTTTCTTCAATTTTTAATGGTCTTGACTCTTATTTTTAAAGTTTCTGCACCTTTCTCGTAGAGTTTAATGCTCCGACAACCATAGAACTTAGGCAAAAATTTGGCCAATTCAAAAAGTAAGGAGGCATTTTTCTCTTCATTTTGGGCATTCTTTTGGACATCATTTTTCTGTTTTTGGGAAACTGCAAGTTTAATTCGACTATAGAAGGCGACCTTTAATTTAGAAAAAATTTCTAGAATAAAATTTTTAAAAATTCAAACCTCTCTTTCACCACGATCCCCAGGCTGCACCAATTTTAAAATAATGTGTTTTTTGCCTCGTTCTTTAAGTATTCCTGAAAAATAATTTAAAAAAGAGAAGAAAAGTCTCTAAAAACAAACCAATTTGTCTTACTCCATTTCTGACTGTGGAGGGATGATGGCCAGCAATTTGATCTTCGTACCATCTAAAATTTGGAAAGATTTTTCTAAATTAATTAAAAGAGACTTACTCTAAATTTGGAGGAAGTTGAGCATCAATATCCATTAAAAATTGTGTAAAAATTGACAAAAATGAGGAAACGAAATTTTAAAAATTTTGCTGGCCAACAATGAGAATGATTTCTCATAAAATTCTAAAGATTGAGAGAAATTTATGCAACGTGTTATCATAAAAATTAAAAAAACAACATTAAATTTTATGGCCTAAACAAGGAAATTTTTCTTTAAAATTTTCCGTTTTGGTGAGTAATTTTGATGAGAGACTATGCTAAATGAAGAGAGAGGGTAGAGAAAAAGAGAAAAACAAAAATGACATTAAATCCCAAAAAGTGGGTGAGAGACAATGCTAATTGAAGAGAGTTGGAAGAGAAAAACAGAAAAACAAAAATGACATTAAATCCCAAAAAGTGGGTGAGAGACAACACAAAATGGAGAGTGTTGGAAGAGAAAAACAGAAAAGAGAAAATGACTTAAAATCCCGGTTAAGGACGATTCAGTATCGCCGATTCAGTATAGCCGATTCAGTATCGCCTATTCAGTATCCGCCGATTCAGTATATGGCCATAACTTTCCTGATATTTGACCGATTTGAATAATTCTCATATCATTCGAAAGGTCTCATGATTCTACATCTTTTTCATAATTGGCCCGATCTGATCTGATGATCACAAAAAAAGTTACAACGTGAAAACCGATTTTTTATGCCTGTGACGTCGTTTATCAGTGATAACTTTTTGTAGAGTGATCAGATCAGGTCAGTCCAATTATGAAAAAGATGCAGCACCCCGAGGCCTATCAAATCATATATAATAATTCCTACAATATTGATCGAACAAAAAGTTATGGCCAAAAAGCCCAGATACTGAATCGGCCAATACTGAATCGGCGATACTGAATTGGCGATACTGAATCGTCCCCTACCCTTAAAATCCCAAAAAGTGTCGAATGCGGGAATTTTTAGTTTAAATTTTTTAATCCAAAAATTTTTTCTTTAATCTTTTTTAACGATTCTTTTTCTTTATTTATCATTTAAAGGTCGGTTATTGATTTATTGATGTGTTTTATCGATTCTTTCCTTGTTTAAGTACAAGTAGAGAACGATAAAGTTGTTCGACTTGTCAAATCTTTCTGAAAACTTTTCTTTCTTTCCCGCTTAACTTTAAACGATTTTCTCAATTTCAGAGTAATTTAATTGACCGTTAAAACTTATATTTTTTATTCTACACACTTTTGCTTATTATATAATGGATTATCTCGCGCAATTAATCCACGAGAAGAGCACGATTTCGGCATTTCCCAATCATTTTAAACATACTGACCGCTTAATAGATCTTGGTATGTTTTGATTTTCTACTTCTCTTTTCATTCTATAATCACTTTTAGAGATTGCACGCGTCCGTGCTCAGCTTTTCCAGTGTAATTTTGACGACGATTTGCCAAAATTGCCTGAGCTGGAGTCTCATGAGGATATTGTTACTTTGCAGGAGAAGGTTTATGTGCCAACCAAGGAACATCCGGAGGTAATTTTAACTAGGCGCAATTCCTTTTAAAAGGGTCCGCAATTGATCTTGAAAGACTGGGCACGGTCCCAATTTCTTCACTTTTACTCCATAAACTATAAAAATGGATATTCTTTACCATTGGTCGGGTTCGAACCCACTACCTCACTAACGTCCTCGTTGGTGTAGTCGGTCATGTTTGGATTCTCGCTGGTGAAGGTTGTGGGTTCGAACCCCACTGTCGGGCAACAATTTTTATTTCCTACAAAAAGGTTTGTGGACATTCTTAAAGTCTGTTTGGCTTCATAAAATATTTCTAACATTATTTTTTCCCAATTTCAAAAATCATAAATCTTTTGTTAGCTTAATTTTAAGTTCAACTTTGTTGGTCGCATTCTTGGTCCGCGTGGTATGACTGCTAAGCAATTGGAGCATGAGACTGGTTGCAAGATTATGGTTCGTGGTCGTGGATCATTGCGCGATACTAAAAAGGTTTTAATTGAGGATTTTTCTTTTCACATCTTTAATTTCAAGGAAGAGGCAAATCGTGGAAAGCCAAATTGGGAGCATCTTGAGGACAACTTACACATTCTCATTCAATGTGAGGATACTGAGAAACGTGCCCGTTCTAAACTTGAGAAGGCTGTTGGGAGAGTCAAAAAGCTACTTGTTCCAACGGTTCTTTTTGTCTTTTACTTTTAAATATTTTTATTTTGTTTTCTAGAACAATGGAATTGATGAGCTGAAGCGTAAGCAGTTGATGGAACTTAGCATCATCAACGGTACTTATCGTTCTGCAATTGGACCGAAGAATCCACCAAGTTTGTTTTTGGTCATTTTCAATTTATTATCGTATTCTTTAAGGCATTCCTCGTCTCACTCCGCTTTCTATGCTTTCTCACATGCATTTGCCGATTTCGCCGCCGCCATTTGTCTCGTCGGCTACTAATTCGCACAGCAACAATCATCCATTCTTTGGTTCGCCTTTGCCTAGTCCTTAAAAATGAAGAGGAGGAATTGCTGATTGCTTTTAAAAAAGAAGGTTTTCAAAGATAAATAATATTGTTATATTCTCTAGCGCTTAAAATTATCTCTTATCTCCTCTCTTCCATCCTCTTCAGCAAAAAGTTTTGAAAATTTTTTTGGTGTTTTTTTTGAACCTGAGAAAGTGTGGGTGATGTTTTTTGACTGATTAAGATGTAATTTAAAATTTGTGACGTTCCAAAGAATTTTTTAAACTTTTTGCTAAAGTCCCTCTTAAAAGAAAATTTGGCATCTATTTTATCTTATTGTTGTTGCTGCCTATTATTTTGTCATTTTCTTATTAAATTATATAATTCTCTCTCTCTCTCCCACCTATTCCCTATTCAAAAATATATAATTTAATAGGCATCTAAAAATAAGTTTTAATTCTAAATAAATAATTAAGCGCCTTAATTGTAAGCATAATTTAATTTAAGCATAATTTAAATAAATGTTTTAATTATTTTTTTGTTGTTTTGTTAATTTTAAAATGTGTTTTTTGATCACATTTTTATATCTTTTTTTATCTTTTTTTAGCAACAACACGGTGATGCAACAATATTTTTTTGGGGGCGTTGTGGCTTGCGAGTTGGCCCCCCGAACCGTGGAAGAGGGTTACAGCAGATTCTGCTTGAACAACAATAAGCTGCAATTAATTTACTTTACTTTTTTGGGGAACGACTTAAATTTGGGTTTTTTGAACAGTAAAAGGAAACCCCTAACAAATGAGAACTTTTTTAGATTTTGTCTAAATTTTTTTTTATTCCAGGTTGCTGCTTTATGGACAAAACTAATTTAAGGTCTGAGGTCTTTTAAAATTTTTTGAATCAACTTTTCATGGTATGCTGCTCTAGTATTAAAAACATGGTTTAATTGGAAATTGGACAGGTTTTGGGTCATGTTTCGGTTATCTTAGTTGTCAGGGGTTAGGCTGACTAATCAAAGATCGACCACCTTTTTGGTCATCATGAGGAATTCGCTTTTGGTCACTTCGGTAGATCATTCGGGTCCAAGTGATAGATCATTAGGAGTCCCTTTGATTAGTCAGGAATTATCAAAGATCGCCCTTTTGGTCATCATGAGGAATTCGCTTTTGGTCACTTCGGTAGATCATTCGGGTCCAAGTGATAGATCAAGAGGGGTCCCTTTGATTGGAAAGGGGTTTTGGGCCATGTTTCGATGTCTTGCAATTAGTTGTCAGAGGTTAGGCTGACTAATCAAAGATCGACCACCTTTTTGGTCATCATGAGGAATTCGCTTTTGGTCACTTCGGTAGATCATTCGGGTCCAAGTGATAGATCATTAGGAGTCCCTTTGATTAGTCAGTCTTCGGGTTCGTCCTTTAAATGATGATTTATTTTCTACTTGAGCAGCATATTATTCTTTTCTGGACAGCGCTTTTTTGGACGGCTTTGCAATATGTAGAAAAATGTGTTTCACAAAGGACGCGCGCGTCATTTTAACAGGTTTGTTTTTATTTTATTTGTTTTGTTAGGGGTTTCCTTTGTACTGTTCTAATAGAGTCAAGAGGGGGGGGTGGCTCATTAGGTTGATTCAGCTGTCATCTGCTAAGCAATTGGAGCATGGGACTGGTTGCAAGATTATGGTTCGTGTTCGTGGATCAAAAGGTTTTAATTGTAAAGACTTGAGTTTAATTTTTTTTAATCTTTAAGGAAGAGGCAAATCGTGGAAAGCCAAATTGGGAGCATCTTGAGGACAACCTACACATTCTCATTCAATGTGAGGATACTGAGAAACGTGCCCGTTCCAAACTTGAGAAGGCTGTTGGGAGAGTCAAAAAGCTACTTGTTCCAACGGTTCTTTTTGACTTTTACTTTCAATAATTTTATTTTGTTTTTCTAGAACAATGGAATTGATGAGCTGACGCGTAAGCAGTTGATGGAACTTAGCATCATCAACGGTACTTATCGTTCTGCAATCCACCAAGTTTGTTTTTTTAGCCATTCTCAATTTATCGTATTCGATTAATTTTTTTTGAATTTTTTGTCTCAAAATGTCACTCATTTTTGTGTTTTCTTTCTCTTTTTTGGAGTCCAAAAATGAATCTTTTCTCTTCTAATTGAAAAAGGATATTTTGGTTTTAGCTATTTTTAATTTTTTTTAACGAGAAGAACGGATGACAAGCTTTTAGAAAAACTCATAAAACGAGAAAATGGAAAGAAAAGCACGTCAGAGAAAACATTCCTCCTACCAAATTGTTTGGCTGTGCGCCAATTTATTCGATTTATTTTTCGTTTAAATGGGACTTCTTTTGACTAGGGAATTTTTCAAACTTTTTAGAAATTTTCTTGACTCGAAAATTTTCTGTTTTTCGAACTTTTTTGATTTTTAAAAAAAATTTTGGCGTTCAAAAAATTTTTTTCTTTTGGCGCACAGCTTCCCCAAACCTTCCCCACTAGTCATTAGCAGCTTAACGAATAATGTTAAATTGTCCGAGAAGAAAAGAAAAATTCTTTTTTAGCCATTTTTCATTTTTAACAACAAAAAATGAAAGCTTTAACGACAATATTGACTAGAAAATATGTGAAAGAGTAACTAATTCAATTTATGTGTAAAAATTGTGTTTTTTATATAAAATTTCCCTAGAGACAATAGAGTATTTTTTAATTTTTTGCGATAAATTTTAAAATTTTTTGAAATTTTTCTGTTTTTTGTTCACACGTTGAGAACGTTTTTTACTTTTTTTCTCAAAAAATAATCATTTTTTAAATCAATTTTTAGAAAAATTTAGAAAAATGACCTCCAGTAAATCAGCAAATGGTGCTAATTCTGTAGATAATTGTGAAGATTTAATGGAAGATGGAGAAGAAGAAGAATGTCCACACACTTCTCTCAATCCGACAGAATTTTTGAAAATGAAACCAAAAAAGTCAATTTTGAAAATTAACAACAAACAAACTTCTGTTGATGATTTGACTCACAATCAGCCTATGGAGGAACAAGTTGTTGGTGAACATAGGGAGAGGATTCAAAGTGATGAAAGTCAGAAGGCGCGATTTGACGAGGTTTTTCTTTTGTAAAAACTAGGGAGGCCTGGAAAAGCTTCTAGGTCCGAGGAATTTTTCGTTTGAGAATTTAGGGTTTTGACTTGGACTAATCTTTTAAGGAAGTGGGGGAATGAATAACTTTAGCGTGGTGAATCTAGCAATAACTGCTGGTTTGATTTTTGCTCTAGTTAGATTCCTTCATGTTGCCTAAACTTTTGCTCAACCCTTAAGTTTCCTGAGTGTTTTATTAAACAGGCTTTAGACAGGCCCTAGAATTTTCTGAACCAAGATCCTAGGAAGATTTCCTGTTCGGTCTGTAAACCTTTTTCCTCTTCCCTTTTCTAACCTTTGCTTATCTCTTCATCTTTTTTCTTTTTCAGATGAATATTTTGGCAACACATCATCCACCAAATAAAGACTATGGACATATGAAGGTTTCTAATCTTTTTTTTATTATTGAAAAATTATTTTTTAGATTGATGAGCCAAAAACTCCATATAATGCTGGTTATAGCGACAGCGAAGGCGAAGAACTTTCTTCTGGTGGAGGGACTGGACGTCCAAGAAGAGTTTCTCTTGCTGGTGCTGTTGATGCTGATGAATTACGTAAATGTATTTCTGAGGGAGCTGTGACTAAACCGAAGGTGCTAGATCCTCCTGGATCGGGAGAAGATGAGGACGATGATGATGCGGTGCTTACTGAGGAACAATTGGGTATTTAATTTCTGATATTTTTGTTAAATATTTAGTGATTAAATTAATATCTTCGGATAAGTGTTTGTTTGGTGTAGTTGGTTTGCTTGGGGTTTTAAGGGCGGGAGGTGGTGGTTCGAGTCCCACTCGAGAAATTTATTTTTTCGTAGCCTTTTATTTATGTTTTTTGATTTTTTTCGATTTAAAAATCTCTTTAAAATTTTCTAAAATATTTTTGAAACCCTTAAAAATTTTTTTTATAATTTCCCCTTTTATTTTCAGCTCACAAAAGAGAATTTGATAAGAAACGTCGACAACATTATAATGAAGGGATGTTTTTGCGCAAAATGAAGGAATCGCAACAGCCTGATGACGAAGATGATTGACTTAATATACAGGACACAAATTATAAACAAGCAATGAAACTTAAAAGTTTTGTTTTTTATTCTTAAAATTTTCTCTCTCTCTCATGTTTTTGGTGAGTGATTTTTTAATTTTAATTCTAATTAAAGAATAAAAAAAATTTTTTTTAATCTTTGGGGGGTTTTAAAAATTGAAAAGGTTTATAAGAAAACCTGCGTGCCCTCTCTCCCTCCCATTTTCTAAGAAAAAATTATTTTACTTAAAAAATGCGTTGCTTTTTTTAATTCTAATTGCGCGATTCTCTAACCACCTCCTCCCATTTCTGAATTTTTTTTAAATTTTAAGTTCTTCCTTTCTTTATTTTAACAAAATTCTTTGTTCAAATATTTTATTCTTTTTATTTTACAAAAAAATCAAAATTTAATTTAAATACTTTGTCTAATTTCACATAATCTATATAACTGCTTTCTACAATTTTCCATATGTTCAGAATCCACTAATCTTGCATTTGTAGCTTTCCTTTCTTTTTGTTGACATATTTCTTCTATTTTAGTTTGAGATCCTTTGGGTCCATAAATTTCAAGTGCCACAATTTTTCCTTTAAAAAGGGGGAAAATTTAGAATTTTTTGAAATTTTCGGTTTATAAGAAAAACCCAGGTGTGCCCTCTACCCTATTTTCTAAGAAATTTTGTACCTCCCCCTTTCCTATTTTTCAAAAAAAAAATAATTAAAAAAAACAAACTTGATTTATTTCCAATAATATTTTTCAAATTATTATTTTCTTTTTTTCCACAAATAATATTTTCCCATTCTCCTTGTTTCATATCAATATCATGCATTGCTGCTAATTTAATTCCTTCTAAATTTATCAATTCTTTTGTAATTTCTATTGATTCCGCATAAAATCTCATTCCTCCTCCAGATTCTGAAGAGTTTTCAGTTGGCGGTGGTTGGATTAGTAAAAGGGATTTTTCTTCCTGAAAAAAATTTTTAGGGGGAATTTTCTTAAAAAATTTTTGAGGAATTTTTGGGAAGGTCTAGAAATTTTTCGAAAAATTTTCCTTTAATTTTTGGGGACTTGAAAAATTTTTGGGAATTTTTAGAGAATTTTTTTAATTTCTGGGGGCATAAAAAAGTTCCCAAACCTCTCCATTTTGTCCTTCTCCTCCTCCTTTTTTAATTCCCAATCCAGCAACAAAAAGTTTTGATTCTCTTTTATTTCCCATAGAAAATTGCCAATTTTTCGAATTAAACAAAAAATGTTCCAATTTTTGTATTAAATGGGAATTGAAGGAATTTGTAATTTTTGGATTTAAATTTTGACGAACATTGCATTTGCCAGAATCTGGAGTAAAATTATGGACCTTTAAAAAATTTAAATTAATTTAAAATTAAAGAAAAAAGAAAACTTGATTCCATCTATTCGAAAATGGGCTAATTCCTGCTGCGTGCATTTGAGCTAGAAAAAATTAAATTTCTAATAGAATGGCCCTCTCTCTAATAGAACGGACTTTTAGAGGGTGATTGAAAAGTAGGATGGGAGGAGGCTCCCTTTACTTATAGACTTCCCTTTGGAGAATGATTTAAAAATAGAATGGTCGGCTATTCTATTAGAAATAGTAAGGAAAAATTTTAAAAAATTCAAACTTTGTAATCCACAATAATTTAACAACAATGGAGCTACTTCCAAATCAGTCTCTTCAATTGTAGGGCAAGTTGTACAAAATAAATGAGCATTTAAATGTCGACAATCCCGAGTTCTAAATTGTTGACAAATTGCCAAAATTAACAAATTTTTGCAATCTCTGAGGAAAAGGCTGAAGAAAATTTTTGTAGAAATTTTTAGAAAAAAAAAGAAACCTTCCTTTACAAGGCCCACAAATAATTAAACAATCGCGGCAATCATCTATTGTTATAGAAGCTGTTTGGTCGAGAATTACGAGAGTGCAATTCTTAAATTTAAATTGATTTGAAAGGTCCATCCCAGAAGGTCAACTCCCTAGAATCAACGCCCTAGTGATCAAATGACCTTAGAGTTCCTTTGTTCCGTTTTGTCGGCCCTCCCCCTTTGTTACGTTTTGTCGGCCCTCCCCCTTTGTTCCGTTTTGTCGGCCCTCCCCCTTTGTTACGTTTTGTCGGCCCTCCCCCTTTGTTCCGTTTTGTCGGCCCTCCCCCTTTGTTACGTTTTGTCGGCCCTCCCCCTTTGTTCCGTTTTGTCGGCCCTCCCCCTTTGTTACGTTTTGTCGGCCCTCCCCCTTTGTTCCGTTTTGTCGGCCCTCCCCCTTTGTTCCGTTTTGTCGGCCCTCCCCCTTTGTTCCGTTTTGTCGGCCCTCCCCCTTTGTTCCGTTTTGTCGTATACTAGGGCAGTTGATCTACAGGGAGTTGACCTTCTGGGTTGATCCCGATTTAAAAAATGACAGAAAACTTACTAGACAACTTTCAATTTGGAAAGGATTTCCTGCAAGTTGTCCTGGTTCTTTTACTCGTGTTTCTCCTACAAGTCCTTGCCATAGGAAGTCTTTCGGATCTTTTTGTTGTTCTTCTCGTATATCCCTTAAAAAATCAAAATTTAAAAAATTGCAATTTTTCTTTATAATTAGAGAAATTATTGAAATGAAGTAATGGCGACATTGCGTTTAGAGAAATAATAAAAGAGAAATAGTGCAGACAGAGAAAAAAATTAAATGAATAAATGACATTTCATCCCCAAAGTTAGAGAAATATAAACAAAGAAATAGTATGATAAGAGAAATAAATTAGCAAAATATTTGGTCGGTTCAGTGCTGAATGTTGAGAGCGAACTGGTTACTGTATAAGACAAAACAATTAATAAAATCAATATAAAAAAATCAATATCAATCAATAAAATCGATACTCCAAAACTTTAAAATTTCTATTTTTCAAAAAATCAATAAAAAATCAATAAATCAATATCAATCAATAAAATCGATACTCCAAAACTTAAAAATTCTATTTTTCAAAAAATCAATAAAAAATCAATAAATCAATATCAATCAATAAAATCGATACTCCAAAACTTAAAAATTTCTATTTTTCAAAAAATCAATAAAAAATCAATAAATCAATATCAATCAATAAAATCGATACTCCAAAACTTAAAAATTCTATTTTTCAAAAAATCAATAAAAAATCAATAAATCAATATCAATCAATAAAATCGATACTCCAAAACTTTAAAATTTCTATTTTTCAAAAAATCAATAAATCGATATCAATCGATAAAATTAATATTCATAATCTTGTTAAAGTCGGAATTTTCAAAAATCGATACTAATCGATAAAATCAATACTAATCGATAATTGTTTTCGATATTTACCGTAGTCAGTTCGCTCTCAACATCCAGCACTGAAACGTCCAAAATTTGAGTAAATTTTTTTCTCTAACTACACTATTTCTTTTTTTATATTTCTCTAACTTTAGGGATGAAATGTCATTTATTAATTTAATTTTTTTCTCTGCCTGCGCTATTTCTTTTGTACTATTTCTCTGAATCCAACTGTCCCATTTTCTTGAAATTCCGGTAATGTTGAGTCAAAAAGTTTGAGTCTCGGTTCGCGCAAAAGTTTGTTTCAATTAAAACTTATACAAAACACAACAAAAAACAAAACACTTTATACAACAAACAAGAAACACAGAAAATACAAAATTTTTAGGCATCTTACCACGAATATAATTTTGAATGTTGATTAGTTTCTTTATTCTCATTGTTGTCATTAATAAAAACTTCACATCTTTTTTCTTTTAATCCAAAATTGTTATTTACATCAACAGCTCTTCTTAAACAACAAAAAATTCGGGAGAATAAAATTGTTGTAGAAGCACCACTGCGCTTAAAAACCATTAAGCGTCCATCTTCTTGTTGCTTTTCCTCTTGGTGTTGTTGGTGTTGATTGTCTTGCTGAAAGAAAAAATTTTTTGTTAAAGATAAGACTTCCATATCCTCTTAATCCCATAATATCTCCCGTAATTTTATTATCTCCCATAATAACTCATTTTTTAAATTTGAATTTTTCTCAAGAGGATTATTTGACATGAGAAAAAAGGACTATTTTGGGGGCATAAAGTCGGCAAATGCATCAACTCCCCGACTCTTTTTCATCTTCTCTAAAAAGGAATTCGCATAAATGCCTCTTATTTCATTCCCTATCGCCATGTTTGTAACTCATTTTTTTAATTTGAATTTTTAATGGAATATGAGTAACGCCTCCAACAAATATGTATATATATACTGCCAAAATCTTTACGGAACCATTTCATAAACCCATTCCCCATTCACCTACTCCTTCATAACCCATTCATTTTTGCCATTTCATATTTTTTAAAATTAATTTTTTCAGATACTTAATCTAAGAATGTCGAATTTCTTTAACAAAAATAGTAAAGTTGATCGTTCATTCGTAAATAATTTTAAAGCTTTGCCTTTTAATCCTCCTAATTGGACTAATCAAAAAATGGATATTTGTACGGCTGCTTCGATTGGCAATTATGCGCTTGTTGAGGTTATTTTTTAATATTAAAATATCCCCCAAATAATCTTTTTTTCTAGGAATATATCCAAAATGATAAGGAATTGGTAAACTACAAAAACAAACATGGATGGACTCCTTTAATGTTCGCAGCACAAGCGGGAAATTGCGAAGTTTGTCAACTTTTATTGGATAACGGTGCGATTTTGGATGTTAAGAATAACAAAAGGAAGAATGCTAAAGAATTGGCTAGTGATTGGGGGCACAAAAGCATTATAAGTATTTTGGACGAAAAAAATTGATTTTTTATTTACTCACATGTAACCTAATTTATACTCAATAAATACGTGAATAAAGTTTAAAAAAAACCTAGCTTAGATTCGCAAGTGTGATTTAGGGAAGTTTAGACTAAGATAATAAATAAAATAAAAAATACCATTGTTGTATTAGTAGTCTCATTTTTCACTTCCTTCTCTCCCAAAGTTTCACAACCATAAGCTGCTGATTCTTGACTGTCTCTTCGAGGAACGCCCAACCATCGAGTGTGTTCACCAACAGTCAAACAAAGTGAATGTCCAAAAGAAGCGGCCGTTTGAGAAAAAGAATGGTTCCTTGGTTGATTTCTTTCTTTTGAATCTTTAAAAAAAATTTTTGAAGAAAATTCAAACAAATTATTAAAAAAAACCTTCATTTTCTGCTAAATTAACCATATAACTTTTGCTCCTTCCTTCTGCAAAGGTTGAAACTGGATCTTCAGGGACACGTGCTGTATCCAAAGCAACGTCAAAAAAATTGTCTGAAGGGTCATCTTCATCGATTGGCCTCAAATCTAAAAGAAAATAATTATTTGGTGAAAAATAAAAATGAAATTCCTTAAAGGATATCGAACCATAACCTTTCACCCACAAATGCTGTGACACTACCAACTTAACCACAAGCGATTATGCTAACTTTCGATTATTATTTCCTTATATACCAAAAATTAGAACACAAAATTCGCCCCCATCCAGAAATCATTTAAATCAAAATAATTAAAAAAACAAACTTTCAAAAGCCCCATTTCTAAGAATTCCATCAATTTTCTTCTTCTTTTGACCTCGAATAAATTCAACGAATGTAATCATTTCACCATCTCCACCACTATCTTCATTAAGATTTAAAGAAGTTAGTTTATCCAGATTTTCTCTTCCAATGCTTTTACCAAAACAATCATCGATTGGGTAACTTTTTGATTCTGTTGCTGATGTTGTCATTTAAATATTAAGTTTAGAGAGTAGGTAGAGAGTAGTATTTATCTTAAAAATTGAAAAATTAAAAAAAATTTTCCCAAAAATTCAGAAAAAAATCATTTGCCAGGAAAATTCACGTCTTTTACTCCCTAACTTCCCCCTAACCTTTTCTTAAAGCTTAAAAATAATATAAATTAATATGTGTGCACATTTCAAAAAAGGTTGAGAGTTTAATAAATAAATTAAAAAAAAGACACACTTACCCCTTTTCAAATAAATCTGCATTGAGAACCAACCAATTTGTGTTCATTTAAATAAATTTTTTGGTTGCTATGGTTTCTTGTCAATAATAAAAAAATAAATTGTTGTTTGAATTTGTATGTAGACAAAAAAACACGAATCTAAAAAATATTTCCTTTAAAAATATAATTTTTAAAGTATAAAAATTTCAGAATTTTTAGACAAATAATTAATAGTTTATGATCAAAAATACAACTAAATTCTGATATTTTTGACCAGAACTTCTGAAATATAAAACCAAAAAATCTGAAATTTTAGGAGGGGTTAGCTGTCTGGATTCCGAGTTTCTCAACAAAATTTCAGAATTTTAGACCAAATAGAACTAAAGTTATGGCCAAAAGTAGTTCACTAACCAGGCAAAAATAATTGTTTTGAGGAGAATAAACAGAAATTTAAATTTTGTTTTGTTGTTGTTGAAATTAAAAAAAAGTAAAACTTGTCCAAAACAAAATGTTGAAGAGAATGTAGTAGACGTAGAAGAGTATTCAGTAGAGCAATCAACGGGAGGGATATAATTGTTTGAAGATGTTAATTTTAATTGGTGTGAGTCATTGATTGTTTGTTTGTTTATCTAAAAAAGCAAAATTAAAAAATATTCTCTTACTCTTTAAAAAAACCTTTTTTAAACACCACAATTAGAATTCTTCCTCTAAATGAAGATATTAAAAATTAATAAATATTTACAAAAATATTTCATTTTTTTTTTTGAAAAATAAATTTAAGATAAGAAAAGAAATTTAAATAAAAATTTTTAACAAAAAAGTAAACCTTTAAAAAATAAATACACAAATTTTTAAATAGCCATAGCAAGACTAGCAAAATCAGCCGGATCAAATTTTAATTTAGAAAAATCAACATCCTCTTCCTCCTCCTCTTCTTCTTCCTCCTCTTCTTCAGGTGTAGGCCTTGGTTGTGTTGTTGATTTTGTTGAATCTTCTTCCTCTTCTTCTTCACTTTCTTCTTCCTCTTCCTGTTTCCCATCTTTTTCTTTCACAAGTGGCCTAGTTTCATTAATTTTTTGTTTATAATTAAAAAGTTCTTCAAATAAAGGTTCTCTTTCAGTTTCAAGATTACTTCCATTACAACAATCTCCACCTTTAAAAAACAAGTAAAAATTATTAGAATTTAATTTTAAAAATTAAAAATAGGGGAGAAAATAATTAATTAACCTATTTTCTAATGACCAGAAAAGATGAAACAATCCCCTTTAAAGCTGGGGACCCACACTAATGAATTTGTAATACATAGAAGGATAATCACAAAAGAGGACAACTCCTCTAACACACAAAAACCGAGTTTACGCCTATACAAACTTGAGAAGCATAGCCGGATCATAAAATATAGATACTTATGTCAGAAAAATCCTGGCTATGAGTACAGGAAAAATCCAAAACCTCTACCCAGCCCATCCCGATCCCCAATTAATCGGTTAGAGAATCTGGTCCATAGTCTAGGAACCAGGAACCACATTACCAGGAACCCACAAAAAAGTCTCGCCAGGAAATCTAATTTCAAAAAATAAACAAACAAACCATTAATAAAATATTCATTACAAATTGCACAAATTCCCCCAAATTGTGGTGTTGGTAATCTTTTAATTCCCTCAACTTTTTGTGATGCTTCTAATGCCCCATGAATATATGAACGTAATTGTGCTGCTCCTTTTCCATTTTTACTATTAAAATTAAAATTTGAAGAAGTATTTGATAATTTATGTTGCTGTTGTGTTGATTTTCTTGAACTTTTTGTTGAAGAATTTGAATTTGATGATAATTTTTTAAAAATATCCTGTGAAGTTTGTGATGGTCTAGCTGTTAATAATGCTGAAAACCAAGGATTTTCTAATCTTTCAGAATGTCGCCTTAATTGTAAAACTGTTGATAGAGGCTGTTTTGTTGGTAAAATTGAAGCATTTGATGAAGAAATCTGTAAAAAATTTAAATTATTAAAAATTTTTTTAATTAAAAAAACCTTTTCTGAAGTATAAAAAATAGAAAGTAATTGTTCACGAACTTCTCCATTTGAGAAAAAATGGGCTGGGAAACGTAAAGCATTTCCAATTACTGTCAAAACTGAGGCAAAGTCAGAGATAAGGCTAAAAGAATTTTTTAAATTTTTAAAAGAATTGGAAAATCAAACCGATATTGATGAGGATAAGTTCTTTGAAGAAGACCTGCAAAAAATATATAAAAAATTTATAAACAAAATATAAAAAAGAACTTCTAGAGACAAAACGTGTGCTGTTGAGATTTTGTCGGATCATAAGCCTGTGATTCAGGGAAAGGGTACAGATAAAAAGAAAACCCAGCTGTAAAGATTACAGTGCTCTGGCAATGAGTACAGGAAAACTTCCAACCTCGACCCAACCCAGCCCGATCCCCTCCCCCCCCCCCCCCCCCCCTTAACTCTTGCGTCAGACTTATCCAAAATATTTTTAAAAAATAATTTACCAGGCTGTAGAAAGACCAAAATTGAAAGAAATAAATTGAGCAAATTTGAGATCAAATAGGCAGAAATAATAAAAAGTAAAGTATTTGTAGCTGCTCTAATATTTCTTCTCCGAACTTTCATAAAATCATGTCCCATAGTTAATTCAGTAATTAATGAACGTAATTGCTAAGAAAATTATTAAAAAATTCTCAAAATATTTTAAAAAACCTGAACATTTTGTTGCCTCAACATCAAAACAATTCCTCCATTTAAAAATACAAGAGTAGCAAAAGGAATTATAACAGTTAAAAGACTAAGAAAATTAGGCAACCAATCACGTCTTGAAACTTGTCCAGCAGTATAACGCTTGAATGGATCAATGTTTCGGCCATCAATCAATACAACCACTTCCTTAAAATATTAGTAAAAATAAAGAATAAGTGAAAGATTTGAAAAAATCTGGAGGCCTAATGTAAGCCTGGATAATTTAGAGAAAAATCCATTGAACATAGCCAGATCCTGAGACTGTGGATCAGTAAAGGGTGTAAAAAAGAAAACTGGAAACTAGAATCTCGACTGGATCTAAAGTCAGTACAGAAACACCCCAGGCTCATCCTGTTTGAATATTGATTATTTGAAAAATCTTATGACTAATAATATAAGTTTGCCGATCCCAATAATAGAAACTATTATAAATTTCCTGACTGAAGTACAGAAAAACCGTCAAGATCTTGTCACATTCAAGCTCGATCTCTCATTGATTAGATGATCCCAAACCAAAACCCAAACTTAAACAAAAAAAACAAACCACTGAAGTGCTGAAACGAATAGCAATCGCAAGAGTCAAAACTAATACAAGAAGCAACCATCTCGTTCTCTCTTCAAATCCTCCAAAAGTCCAATGAGAAGTCACCAAATATCTTTTTAAAAAAATATTTTAAGAGGAAAAAATTCAAAAAAACCTTTCAAAACTAGCAACAATTAAACAAAAAACAGAGGAAAGTTTGACAATTTGTCCCAACATATAAAGCCATTTGACATGTTGTAACCATAATAAATATAAATGAACAAATTCCAAATATTCAGAAAGTACTGGAGGTATCTAAACTTTTTTGTTTTGCAGAAAAAAAATTTTTAAAAATTTTTTAATTAATTAAAATATATAAAATCTATTACATTTTAGATTAAGCATTAAATTAAACAAAAAATGAAGAGAAAATAAATAATATATTATCAATAATAAACGACTGTCGAGGAGAGAAGGGACATAAATAATATATTCTGAATAACAATCAAAAAGACAATTAACAGAAAAATGAATGACTTTTTGGGTTTTTAACATTATAATAACACAATAATCTTTATGTTTTTGGCTATACAATCAGGGATGTGGGCCGGGTTGAGAGAAAAAATGGATCAGAATCGGGATTGGATTTTCAGAAAGGTTTCGGATTTTTAAGAAAAAATTTGAGAAAAAACCCGGCCCATCCCTACTACTCGTTGAAATAATTAAGTAGAAGGTTGAGTCTAAAAAATAAAAATCCAAAAAACCCCCAAAAAGTGTTTGGAATAAGTGTTTAGAAATAAATAAAAATCCAAAAAAAATTCTCAAAAAAATTTCCCCCCAACCTTCTCTCTAATTATTTCCTACACTCTTTTTAAAGAAATAAATGAGAACAAAACAATAATAATAAAAAAACAACCAAAAATTTATTGTTGTGGTGACGGAGGGAATTGAAATTCTTCAATAACTGAACTTAACGACTTATTTTGATTAAGCATTGTCCCTGTAATTGTATCAACAATATCAAAAGGATGTGGAGGAAAACGACGAGGCGATTGATAAATTGGAAACAAATTGCTTCCATCTTGTTGACGATATTGTTGCTTTAATAAATGAATTTTTGAACACCAAGATTGATGAATTGATAATAAACATGGCAAATGATATAAACAAGTTTCACGTAAAGAATAAAATTTATTTGATGAACGCAAACAAAACATTTTGATAATTTCTTTATATTCAATTGATTGAAGTAACAAATCACTAAAAAATTTTTTAAGAATTATTTAAATTTAGAAATAAAAAAATTAAATTGGGAGCCATTGAACAAGTTTTGCCTAGAGATAGTTGTCTCTATCCCGTAGCAAAACTTTTTTTAAAAGATCGAAAGGCACAGGATCCAGCAGGATCAGTCCGTAAATCCTACTTGTAGCTTAAAATAAGGAGTTCATAACCGGATCCTGTAAAATCCAGTACGGGATCCTGCCCTTGCCGCGTTCTAGTTTTGAATTTAAAAATCAGAAAAATCCAAAATTAAAATTTTTCTAATCCTAGAGACGTGATCCTCTATCCAACCACAAAAAATTTGTAAATAAAAAACCTATCATCCATATCAACCGAAGCCAAATATTCCAACCGCAACTCATTTAACTCCTCAATTTTTGTCCCCCAATTATTCAAAAACCCTTCTTCTTCATTATTAAAATCCAAATTTATTGAACATTTTGTCAATATTGAAATATTTTTCTTTTCACCAGGTCCAAAAGAAGCATCCAATTTTGAAAGAATTTTTGATCGTTTTTGACATTCTGATAAACTCAAATTTTCTTCTCTTTCAATACTTGATGATCGACGATTAGAAAACGAATCATTGTCAGAAATATCCAAATCCCAAAAATGTAAAGAATTTAAAACTGCACGAGGATCCTTGTTTTTGATAGTAATTAAATTATAAAATGAACAAGTTTTGTGGTAATGACTTGTAAAACCAAAATACCAATGCTTCAAAATTAAAAAAAAATTAAAATAAATTTAAAAAATTACCCGAAGATATTGAGCAAATAATCTGTCAGAAGGTCGTTCCATTTGAATAACAAAAAAATCATCTTTATTACCATCAAAATCTTTCCCAATTTCCTTCAAAACATATTCCAAATCATTACAAGTTAAAATAATCGGAATTTTTGATTCTGTACAAATTTGTCTAAGAGTTGACCAAAAATTTGAATCGGATGAATAAATAATATCACACTTTAAAAAATTAAGGATCAGACTTTTAAAATTTCAAAAAAAAACCTCATCAATCAGCAAAAGAGAAAAATCATTTTGATTCTTTTTAGAATTATCACTTTGTTTATTATTTCCAAAAAGTGAACGAATATCACTAGTTTTTCTACTTTGAACCTAAATTATTTTAAAATTTAAATATTAAAAAATAAACAAAAAAACATTATGACTTTCCAAAGCTCCAGCTATTTTTTGTTTCAAGGATTGACCATCACGAGGAGAAGAGGAAGAAATTTCAATTACTTCAAATTTGCATTCTTTTGCGGCCTGATAAACCTAAAAAAATAAATTTAAAAAATTGCGTTGTTGTAAAAAAATTTTTTTGGTTAAAAGACTATTTTTCATCAAATAAAAACAATTTCCCCCAAGAGACATCGAACCTTTAACCAATAGCCCTCAGAACCCAAACCTTCCCAACTACACCAAACTCAACACAACACTTCACTTAAAAAATTAAATCACAAACCATCACAGACTTTCCACAACCTGTTGGACCACAAATAATAGCCGGATTTAACATATTTTCTTCAACAATAAATTCAAAATCATTATCTTCTTCATCCTCTTCATAATCATCTGTCAATTCTTCTTCAAAAAATTTATTACTGCTTCGCCTTCTTTTACGTTTATTATTTTCCTCTTCTTTTTTCTTCTTCTTTTTATTTTCTTCCAAATTTTTTTCTTTTTCAAAATTTATTTGTTTATACCATTTTTCTAACCATTCATTTAATCGTAAAAAATCTGCTTTTGATTTACCAATAAAATCTTGTTGACGTTTTGGCATAAATAATTGACTCCACAAAAAACGATTGGAAGAAGCTGATTTTGATTTTCCTTTGAAGAAAATTTTTCTTGACCTTTTAAATAATTTTTAATTTACCTTTTAAGAATGCATAATGTTCCAAATCATTTAATACATGTTGCTCCATTAATGGCAAAGACTAGAAAATTTATTTTAATCAAAAATTTAAAGAAAAATAATCACGTTTTCCAGCTCTTCATTATTTTCTGTAGACTGTTGAGGCACTTCATCTTCTTCCTAAATTAAAAAAATGTAGATTGGCATCACAAAATTAAAAAAAATAAGTCCAATAGATCAAAAATTTAAAAAATCTATGACCTTGATTGAGGACCTTGGGCAGACCTTGAGTCAAGGAAAAATTTAAAAAACACTGAAAAATGCCTTGATCTTGCCTAGAAAAGGTCAAGGTCTTGATCAAGATCAAGGGCAATCTCTAAAGCCTCCCAAAAAAACAAAAAAAAATTTAGCTTACCAGTTGCAACAGAGGAATCGGACGATATCCTTTCAAAGCATTTTCTTTAACTCTAACTGCTGGCGGCTTTGTAAAAGTTTGAGACGCGTCAATAATTTCAATACTTTGACGGCTATTATTATCTTCTCCATTTTCATTTTTAACTCCTTTTCCCATTAAAGAATCATCCGCCAACAAAATAATTAATTCATCTTCTTTTGCTGGAGAAGCAAAATCTTGTTCAATCGATTTCGACGGCTCAGGCATTCTAACCTGGCCTGTTGGTTTCTCAACAAGTGGAGTAATTTCGAGAATTTGCGGATTTGCATCAAACTGGACTTTTCTATGTGATTTGCTTCGAAGTCTCTAAAAACAAGGAAGAAGAATGTTAAATGATAATAAAAAAATAACCTTTATTGGAGGTTTGGATGTCGAAGAATCTGGAGTTTTCTGCCTCGCTTTCTTTGCATTTTCCTCTCCCACCTTTTTGCCATTATTTGCCGCTCTTTTTGGAGGCATTTTAATAAATAAAATACTTTAATAATATGAACTAATATAGAAATTGGATTACAAATAAAAAATGAAAAAGAAACTATTAACAAAAAACAAAAGAATAAAAATAAATTTAAAAAAATTTAAACAAAATAAAAAAAGAAGCTTAACAAAAATTCGACAAAGTGAAACAAATCATAATGAAAAGTTGCGCAAAAAAAAATGTCAAAAGAGAAAATTTCTAATTGGTCACTCTACCGGAGGATGACAAATGGTCAACTTCCTACAAGGGGAAATTTTAGCTATTTTGTATCTTTTTCTCCTAGTTGACACTTTGAAATCTTCTTATTTGTTAACAAATTAAAATTAAAAAATACAACAGAATTAGAGAAAGAAACAATAAAAATACAATAAAAAGGAAGAATTAGACTGGAGGGGCGTAAATAATTAATTTAAATGTCTTGATTTTTCTTTAAATTTTTTAATAAACTAACCAAAAGAAAAACATAAATAGCATCCAACAAAGTGTCAAACAACGCAACAAATCCAAGAAAGAAGAAAGGCGAAAATCGAAAATTTGGACTAGACAAGAAAAGCCTTGTGAGCAATCCATTAGCTAAAATTCCAAACAGAGCACATAAACCACCCGTAAAAACAACTAACCAAAAACGACTTCTATTTTTAAATTTAAAAATTAAAAAAAAAATTTTTTATTTTACCTTAATAATTCATCCTCACTCATTTCCTGATTATTTCAAAAAAAAATTTTTTTAATTAATGTAGAGTTGCAGCATTTATTAAAAGAAAAATTTAAATATTTAAATGAATAATGCCACTCCTTTTAAAATAAAATAATTTAAAAAATTTTTTTTAACATTAATCTCTGTTCTTTAAAAAAATTTGCAAAGAATTTTTCAACAATTTTTTAGCAAATAATATTTCTATCAATGTCAGACTTGAAAAAAAATTTTTTTTCAAAACCTCTCTCTCAACTCTCCCTTTATTTTCTTTAAAAATTTCAACACTCTCAAGAGATCCTTCCTCCTCTTTAAAAAAAAGGTGAGAAGCTTTTTTTGTTAAAGCGAAGAATATTTTATTTAAAAAAATGTTTATGTGTGTCTCTTTTAAATAATTAACAATCTGGAAAAAATTATTTAAAAAAGGAAGTATTTTTAAGAGAAGGAAGAAAATTATTCTATATTTCTTAGTAAATATTATTGTAATAAAGAAATAAACGATATAAAAAATAAATAAAAGAAAAATAAAATTTGCAAAAAATATTTTGTAGCTAGTCGGTAAGGCCCTCGACTTTTTTAACTAATAGGCAAGGTTCGAACCCCAACAGCTCCCAAAATTAAAATTCACTTAAACACAACTTTGTAGTACTTAATTTTTTAATTTTAAAAACTAAAAAAAATTTTTAAAGAGGGAAGACTTTTTTAAAATTGTTTCAATCTCTCCTTTAGAAAAAGGATAAAAAAGAAATTCTTTACTCTGCTTTTTTAGCACGCATCTTTTCCTCCTTTTCCTCTCTTTTTTTGTTTTAATCCCCCTCTCAAAGTTTATATTTTTTAAATCTTTTGGCCAACTAGTTTAAAATAAAAACGGAAAAGATTAGTTAAAAACACTTAAAAATTGACAAAATAAAAAAAAATTTTTTTAGGGATTTTAAAAGTTTTTTTTAAAGTTTCTGCCACTTTTCGTCACCAAAAAAATTCTTTGTGTCTGGTTTCCCCACCAAAAAATTTTTTTCCCTTTGTGAGAATCCCCCTTATATTCAATTCAACCAATTTTGTTAAGCATTCCCCCCTTCCCTTTTTTTAAAAATTTTTTTGAACCCAAAAAATAGGCACAAAATTGTGTCTGAAACACTTATTTTATTATTATTAAATAGCTCCCTCCCTTTTCCCCCTAAAATATTGTCCCAAAACACCTTTTTTTTATTCAGCTCCATTCATCTATAAAAAAATATAAAAAATAATCGTTTTGTTGTGCCAAAATAATTTTTTAAAAAAATATTAAAATGGGAGAGATAATTTTATAAAAATTTTGAATAAAAAAAGACGAATTATTAAATAATAAATAGAAAAGAGAAGAATATGTGAACAAAGTTCGAAAAAAATATTTAAAAAAATTAAATAACCTAAAATAAATGAGTGGACTTGTAACAATTTTCTAAAATTAAAAAAAAATTTTTTTATTCATTTAGGGGCTAAAAAAATTTTTTTAAATAGGTTAGGGGTTCGAAATTTTCAAAATAAATTTTTTTGCCATTAATCTCGAGACCTAAAAAATTTTATAAAAATTGAAAAACCCAAAAGACAAATTTAAAAAATTGAAAATAATTCCCCTAAAAACTTTCTTTTCTCATTAATAGCCCTTTTCTCCCTTTTTCAATAAAAATAAAATTAAATAAATTGAAATTTAAACGGAAAAAAATTAGAAAAATAAATGAAAAAAATTAAAAAGAAATTGGATTAAAGAAAAAAATAAAATTTTCAAGGAAATTAAGTCTATAAAAAATTAGTAAAAAAAGTAGGGGAAGAACAAAAAACAAAAAAAAAAATTTTCCCTTCCAGAAAATGGATTTATGAATAGAAAGATAATTTTTAACACTCAAAAAAATAAATAATTTAAAAGATTTTTTAGCAGAAAAATAAAAGAGAAAAAGAATATTAATTTTAGAGTGAATAAAGAAGACACACTTTCGAAACTTGACCCTAAAAAAGAAATTATTTTTTTGAAAGACAAATTTTGTGGCTGACATCAAAAAATGAGAGGAGAGGAATGAGGGGGAAGAAGCAGAAGACAAAAATGATTTGAGAGAAAAAAAGGAAATGTAACTAATATTTTTGCTAAAAATATTTATTTTTATAAAATATCAGATCAAATAAAACAAAAATATGCATTTGTTTTATTTTTAAAAGTTTATTTATATATTGATTTTGATGGCTTTTTTAAAAAATGCAAAAGAGATACTAAAAATAATTTTAAAAATAAATTTTTTGGAGAAATATTTTAAAAAAATATTTAAAAAAATTTTGATTTAAAGGACTCTTACCTACATATAAAAATCCTACGTATAAAAAATTTATTAAAAAAATAAAACCTCGAATTCACTCCAATATTTTATAAACCAAAATAATGCCAAATATATTCAAAATAAATTCAAAAAATTCAAACAAGAGTCTAATTAATGATCACGATATTTAAGAAAACATCCATATTGGGCTTTCAATTTAATTGTATTATCTTCTGTTGGTAAAAGTAAATTGGCAAAAACATCAATTTCCAATATCGGTGGACTTACTAAAAAAAATTTAAATTTAACAAACTTTAACTAAAGGATTGGGAATAGAAAAAAACTGGAAGCGGAAAATAACCTAACAAGTGGGGATCGCATGGGAATCCTATGCCCACAATAGTGATCGGAATTTTTGAAAAGCTTGGGCCGGATCCTGGGTTCCAGGTGTGATTTATTGACCTAGGCCGGATCCCGGGCTTGTAGTCAAAGAAAAATCTAGGCGCAGGAAAAACCTAGACCTAAGTCCAGCCCCAGCTTGATCACTAGCCTACACCATTGAAAAAAATCAAAGATCTAGCTCCTCCTCCGTTAAAAAATTTTATAAATAAAAAAAACCTTTATTCTCTCCCAAAATAGATTCATTGATAATCCCTTTAATGAGGCGTTCAAGAAACTCAACTTTTTCTTGCATAAGCATAATTGAGATTTCATTTTCAAGAATCTGTCGAATTAAACCAACTGCTAATGGCTCCTGCGTTTTGTTGTATTGAATTTTATGTTTAAGAAAGGCTGGCACAATATGGAAGAACTTTAGAAATTAATTTAGTTTGTTTTTTGACAATAAAATAAAACCTTAATAAGATTTTCACGTGCCTCATCACTTCTCATAGCAGCAATAGTCAGTGCCTTAATTCCTTTTTTCGGATTTAGCATTAAGCAAAAAGAAAGTTGTCGACATTTTTCAAGTACATCATTATCAAAATCGAAAATATTCCCATAAATAATGAAATGCTGAACGTTTTTAAATTCTTCAGTAAAACCCTAAATCAGAAATTATATTCAAAAAAATTTTGATTAAAAAAACTATGTAAGAATCCACCATCGTCTTTATTTTTTGACTCAACCTCCCAGTATCCAAAAGTTCTTTATTACTAATAAAATGCTCAATTGCCTCATTCAAGTGTTCAGGTTTGACATGGATAAAAAGTTGACGGAAATAGGGCCAAAAAGCTCTGAAAATTAAAAAAATTGAGTTGATATTCGAGACAAAGATATCAACAAACTTACGGCATAGTGCGAATATCAGTAGTTTTACGTGCAGTCTCCAAAGCTTTGACTGCCCTTAAATGTTTAAATAAACAAGAGAAACTTAAAAACTTAAGCCTTACATTTTAAACGTTTGGAACGAAACCAGAGTGTTTTTAGCAACACCTTTAGCAAATTGATCAGTGAGACAACGCATCAAATGAAGATTATATTGTCGCCTTTCTGTTATTTCCACAAAAGATAGAGACAATCCATTAAAAACATCATCAAGAGTAACGTCTTCTTCATCCATCTTATCAAGAAAGCGATAAATATAAACAGCTTTTTTCCCTTTTTTCTTGCTCGTAGTAACGGAAGAATCTTCTTTACTCATTATAGACATGATTGCAGATAAATTCTAAATACTAAATAACTAAAAAAGATAAAAAAAGATTAAGATATTAAAACATTCAAATAAGTAAAAATGAGTAAAAAATCTACAAAAATTTACAAAATAAAATTTGTACAAAATAAAAATTCAAAATGAAAAATAATTCAAGTAAAATATCGTTTGATCTAAAAGTTATTTTGTCAAACAACACAAAATAACACATTTCGTCGAATGAGTTATCAAAATATCTAAAATCGTAAAACTTTTCATTTCACCTAAAGACATTTTGCCACATTAGGTAAAAAATTACATTTTGTCAAAGATTGGTAAATATTAAACGGTGAAATGCACGAAATTTTTTTCGAAATTTTTTAAATTTATTTCAAATAATTTTATTAATCTAAAAAATTAATTAAGTATTCATCATCCCGTTATGGCTTTTAACATTATTTTGATGATGTTTTTTATAATTTTTATTATTCTCGTTTGCTTTCTCACTTGCAATTTTTATAGTAAATTTTTTTAAATGTTCTCTATCTGCATTATTATCAGGCATTTCATAGCTATATGAAAGTAGAAACATGCCTTTAAAAATTTAGGAAAATTTAAAAGAAAACCCAAAGATTTTTTTACTTCGTTCTGAAAGAAGTGGAGAAAGCAACAAATATTGAATAAGAGGAGCAACACGAGAAAAGTGACATTCTGCAAGTTTCCATCTCTCCAGTTGTGACATAAGTGTTCCAAATTCGTCAAAAGCCTGAAAAAAATTTTTTTTTAATTGAGAAGTCACAAAATAATTTTCTGGTCACGACCGCCACAGGCAAGGATTAACCGGTCGTGAACAATCCTGATTACAACTGAAAATGCCAACTTCCTCCCCTAATCTCACTCGAAAAAACTCTTTATTCTAAAAATAAAGAGTTTAAAGAAATAGAAGTACTGATTGACTTGTCGCGCAACCCCTCTCCCTAATTACTTAATATTTTTTTAATTTATAAAAAAATAAAAATTAATTAAAAAACCATTCTATTCAAATATCCACCAGGTCCAGGATGTCTACATTGACGATAATGCATAAACAAATCCCTCAATAAAATACCAAAAAATGGAATAATAACAGCTGAATTTGCACGAGGAGAACGTTCTTCTATCCAAATTGCTGCCTTAAAAAAATAAAGGAAATTAATTCCAAGTATTTTTTCTTACTTTTAAAGTAGCTCTGTAAACAGCAAAATTTCCTGATGGATCTAATTGTCTTTGAAGTACCTTAAATAATTTCTAAAATGATTTTTTAATTAAAAATTCTGATTTTTCTGATTTAACCAAAAATTCTTCTGAAATTGTGGTTTTTCTAATTCTAAAAATTCTGATTTTCAGAAATTCTGACAGAGTCCAAACATTCTGATTTTCTCAACTTTTCCGATTTAACCAAAAATTCGGATTTTTCTTGTTTTCCTGATTTTTTTCTAATTTAAGAAAACTAACCTCCAAACGACTTTTATCAACTTTTGCCCACGTCTTTCTCAATCTCGCAACTGGTTGAGCACTTAACCCAGCAATTATTGCAGCTAACGAATTGAAATTTCCAATAGCCAAACATTCTCTAGCAACTTCCAATAAAAATTCAACACAACGGGCTCTATGCCTTTTGTGTTGATGACTCAAAATTTCTGAAGCACTCAGTTGACTTAATTGATTAAACCATTGAACATAATGTCTGATACATCCTGGGGGAGGTTGTTGACCCAAGTGATCGAGAGAATGAGCGTTTCCGAGCATTTCGACTAATTCGTCTAGCCCAACCATTGAAAGGCGTTCCTTAAAAGAATTTTTCTTTAAAGAAAAGAAAACCCTACCAATTCAATATGTGCCAATTGTTGTGCTACAGCAAGTGCTGATCTTCCTAGAGCTAATAATCCATTTGGAGTTTCCCAGCGACGTTCCCAATGTTCTTCCAATTTTGGTTGTAAACTTCGAATGGCCTAGAAAAGAAAAATTTCTTCGCATATGGCGACTCAACCTTAAAATTCCCCCATTTGAACCGCTAAAGGCGAAGATTAACCGGTCGCTAACAACACTCCCACCCTAAAAAAGGACTAATTGTAAGGAGGAAAGAGTATTATTTTCTCCAGAGAAGACTGTATTTCTCCCCAGTTAACTATTAAATATTTTTCTCGGAACAAGGAAAGCTCTATTCCGTATTTATTAATTAAAATCCCCCTCACCCTTCGCTTAAACTTAAAAAATAAAATCCTTAAAAATCAAAGATACTTTCTCTCACATTTTCATAACATTCCAATCTTCCAAGAGACACCCTCAATTCTGTCAACAATTCATCACACAAATTTTGTGCATTTGAATCTTTTTTGGTTCCACTTAAAGATAAAACAGCCAATAAACGATCACGCATTTGAGGTTTTTTAAAATCATAAGGTAATGAATGTATCCAATAACCACAAAATGAAAGGACATTATCAAAAAGTTTTCTTTGACTTTCTTTTGTAAAATTTGTTGAATTGTCGTGTTGTACAAACATTATATGCTTTGAAAAAAATTTTTTTGAAAACAAGATAGGGGTAAAAGTTTAGTATTGAGCAGGCAATCCTGCGACCTCCTGGCAGTGGCTCCCAGATAGTGAGTCAGTGGAGTATATCAGGGCGGAGGATTAAGGGTTATACCGATTAATCTGCAGGGAATAAGAGGGCCACTGACCGAAAGTTCACTGACGCATTGTCCGGGCACAATGCTAGCCAGCATTCTTGTTTCACGAAAAAAAATCTTTAAAAAAATTACCTGAAGAAATTTTTGCAAAATTTCAACTGGAGATATAAACGTTCGAAGACATAAAAGTAATGTTAAAACTTGAGATTGTGTTGGACATTGTTCTACTGATGGAAAAAGGGAATTGAGGCAACGATTCAAATCTTGTGTGTCTGGCCACTGAAATTTAAGAAAAATTTTAATTTTTAAAAACTTGACAAAAATCATTTCGCCAAATTTCCCAAAACCGCCCAATTTCAATATAAAAAATTTTCCCTCACCTTTCCATTTAACGGAGACGATCCTTTTATTTGTTGTTTTTCATTATCACCCCGTAAACTATTTCCATTCTGTAACCCTTCAGTTCCATCAGCACTTCGCCTTCTCCTCCATTCTCCTCCTCCTCTTTTGTCAAAACTAACTCCACTGTTTTGCCGATTAGTAGTTGGATCTGGAATTGAAATTGGTGATGGAATTGGAGAATTTTGATTATCAAAAAGTAAAAGTGTTGGAATAGCTAATGAAGATGAAGAACATGGAGAATCTGAAGAACAACACGAAGAATCATAAATTGAAGTCATTGGCTAAAAAATTAAAAAAATTAAAATACCGACCCGCAACTATTATAAGCCTACATATATCTAATATAAGCCTCCCCCCCCCCCCAGTAAAAGACAAATATTGAAAAATAGAAGCAAAGTGCCTATATTAGAGTATTCACGGTAAATTTTAACAAAAATGATTTATAAGATTTTTAAAAATGAAAAATAAAACTCTCAAAAAAATTTAAAAATCAAAAAATAAATACAATACTTGACAGTTAAATGCATTTTTAAAAAATAACAATTTAAGAGGAGAGAATAAAAGGAGTCTTTAAGCGATTTTTCTCACTCCCCAAGATCCAAACAATAACTTTTTGTTGTTTGCTAGAGAATTTATCCACTTTACAAAAAATATTTTTTGAAGTGAAAAGTGGACAAAAAAATATTGTTTTTAAATGCGCATCAAAACAGTAATTTTTGGTGCTTGTTTTTACTTAAGCGATTTTTCTCACTCCCCAAGATCCAAACATTTTTTTGAGAGTGTTTTATGTTTCTTAGCAGTTGTAAAATTATTTTAAAAATAATAATTCAAAAAAATGAGGAAAAATTTGGAAATAAAAATAATAGAGAGAGTACTTACAAATATTTAAAATTGAAAAAAAATCTAGTTTTTTGCGTGATGGCGAATTTATCTGCAATTAATAGAAGGGATGGCAGTGTTTTATTTTTTAATAGTGATGGACGGAAACAACTCAAATAATTTGTTATCTCGCAAGAAAAAAAGCACGGCAGATTAAGTAGAAATAATCAATTAATTCGGGTCAAATAAGGAAAAAAGGAAACAAAAAAATTTTCAGCAAAACATCCAGTCTAATGTATATGTTGATCTCCTGGTTGATCTCCTGATTGATCTCTTGGCTAGTGAAAGTAGCAGGCACTATACAAAAATTAGGATGCAGCACGAGACAGGATTTACGGAATCCCGCCCTAAATCCTGGGTTTTAAGCGACAAACGAGATTATCGGGTTTTAAGGGAGTTTAATCCCGCGGAATTCGTCGCATCAAGATTTTGAGAAAAATAAGTTACAAGGTCCAGGGAATGCAATTTTGCCGTCTCTAATAAAAATATAGGAATTTTAGAGGGGTGATTTTCTGGAATCATTTCAATTACTAAAAGAATAAATAATAAGCCCTTAGCTAAAATTAAGCTTAAAAAAGCTCCCTTTAAAGTTTTTCCTAATTTTCACATGTCTGCCATATAAAGGTGCAGAAAAAAATATTGAAAGAAATATGCGCAATTAAAAATGCACCCCTGCAGTGCTGAAACTCTCTCCCCGCAGTTTTTCTCTCATAGCCAAATCAGAACACTCTACTTTTTTTCTCTCCAGTTTTATTCAATATTTTTATTTTTTTAATACTCTCTGACCTTTTTCTCACCCATCCCGTAAGTTTGCTCAGACTGATCTGGCCCAGGAGATCAACATATCCATTAAACAACCCTTAGATTTTTGTTTGACCGTTGTTTCCCTCTCTCTAATATACAAATATTGTGTGATATCTAGGTTAGGAGCAAGCATACGGCCTATATAAGGAAGAAGAAACGATCGCTATACCTCTAAATATCCTTACATTTACACAGATTAATCATTGGATGAATCGTTTTTGTTGAGAATTATGGCCTTGTAGGGAATAACGATTTATGTACATAATAATGACCCCTACCATCTCGTTGAAGAAAATAAAAAAAAAAGTGAAAAAAGATAACAAAAAAGGGGGACTTTCGGCGCTTTTTCCCAAGATTATTCTCTCACCTAAAAGATTAACACACTGATTTGATAATCAAGTCTTTTTGGGTATTGATTTAAAAATATCATTTTTACCCTTATTATTTGACACTAAAACCCAGACTTTTTTTGACCCGAACCCGATCTGATATTTTCTCAACCCGTGGCACCTGATATATTTATTATTAAAAAATCCCTTACCAACAAAAAAGAGTTGAGTGTTCCAGTAGTACTTGCATTTGATCGACTTCCAATTGTACTCATCAACACGTCTTCTGATCTTCCAGAAAAAGTCATTCGAGAACTTAATTTGTTGTTATTGTTTGCCAAACGCCATTTTTCATTCATCATAGCAGAATGTGGTCTTTGTTGAATTAATCCATTTAAATTGTTTTCATCATCAACAATACAAGGAATATCACTTTCTGATTCGATCCACCTTTAAAAAAATGACAGAAAAATTTTTTAAACTAAAATTCTCACCAGCATCTGTCAACAATAGGTTTGTTACTGTTACTATTTTTAAGCACAGGTTTTAATCTACAAGTAGACTGACAACTTTTTGAACGTGTTATTATTGATTTTGATGATGATAGAGGTGAAGTAGAACATTTATTATTTCTTTCAGTTTTTGATTGAACTTTTGTTGTTGTTGTTGTTGAGGGTGAGATTATACTTCCAAAGAAGCGTTTCTAAAAAATAAATATGAAAATTTATTAGAGCTGTCCAAAACTCTTGTTGATCTTGAGCCTTGACTTAAAACTTTTCTTGAGGTTTTTCGGTCTTGGTCTTGGGGTAAAGCCTTGAGTCAAAGGCATGAAAAATAAATCAAAAATTTGTCATATGGGACCAAAAATTGTCCCGAGTCGTATTAATTTTTGGTTCTGACAAATGAGTGCCGAAAAAAATTCTTGATGAGTCAAAATTTTCGATAGTGAACAGTCTTAAAATTTATATTTAAAAAATAAAATTTAAAAGTCCATAAAACCCCAGGTGATCATGAATTATTCATTCAAGGCCAAAATAAAACTTTTTATATTTTTTAGGCTAGGCCTTGTCCTTAATATTATTTTCCCTTTTTTCTTTCCTTATTTCCTTTCATTTTTAACTTTGTTTACAAACTTTAAAATTTATTTAAAAAATATTCAAGAAAAAAAAACGTCAAAAAAAAGTGTAAATAAACATCCCCTGCGTCAATCTAAAACTTTTAAAATATTTTTAAAATTCTTTTTATTTAAATTTTAAAAAGTAACAAAACACGCATGCTTGATTAAGCAAGAAAAAAGGCGACTTTTCTAATTATTTTTTTTTGTTTAATCTATCCAATTATCTAACATTTTGTATAATCTCTTCAATTTATTATACAAACATATTTTCTTTAGAAAAATTTTTAATTGGGTAGCGCACCTGCTTTTTAACCAATTCTTTCTGTTAGCAAAAACAATAGGTTCTTCAAAAATCCATTCTCTCAGTATATATTATCTATTTTATTTAATTAATACTGCTAAACATACAAAAGACAATTGAAGAGATTTCTTATATTTTTTAATTTCAAGTGAATTGTAAAAAACAGAAAAAAGATCACAACACCGCGCAAGAGTAAAGGGGTTCCAAAAGCGACACATTTTGAAACTGATCTTATGAAATATCGAATGCCCTTTTAGGGAAGTTAATAATTTTCACGTGAATTTTTGCCCTATAAATGCCACACTTCAATTTTGGCCATTCCCCCTTGCTTTTCCTTCCCCTTCCCCCCAAATCGATTTAAAAATGAAGATGTGAAGAGGGGGGATATATGTTGAGTTGTTGACAGTTAGAGGTAGTCACTCGCTTAATTATTCATATTCTCTCTTTCCACTTATTTGAGTTTTTTCAAAATTTTAAAAATTTTCTCAATGTTTTAAAAACATTCTTTCTCTTTTTCAAATCAATTTTAACTTAAAAGTTTATAGCTCTCCGCTTCTCCGTTTTCTCCTCCCTTAATTATACGGCTTTAACTTAATATTTTGTATTTGTTATATCAAAAGTTTATTCAGCTTTATTTAAAAAATAAAATCTGAATAGACACCCAGGTTTTTCAATTTTATTTTAATTAATTAATTTTTAAAAATTTTTAAAATGTCTTAGAGACAACAAAAATCGAGTTACCTACATGTTTTTAATAAACGGAAATTCAATCTAACACATTTTGGTTCCAATATTTAGCCATTTATCACACAAAAATACCATTTTTTGCTCTCAAACATTCATTCACTTTCAGTTAAAATTGCATTCAATTTTCCTTTTATTCATTTACAAAATCAAGTTTATATAAGAATTAATTTTTTAATGGTGTGATCTGCGCAACTATATGTGGCCCTTTCTTTGATCTCTTATAAAATATTTTACTTAAATATTTTTAATCAAATTGCAAAGTTTCGCGTTTAATTACAAAACATTCTTTCTTCTATTTACTCGAATAATTTAAAAATTTTCTCCCAAACATTAAAAAATATTTTCGCACATTTTTAAAAAAAATTTCCCAATGCGCAACACAATTTCAAACATTTATGATTAAAAACATTCATTAAACTAAAAACCACTGCATTAAAATCGTGAAAACAAGGGAACATAAAGTTCTATGAAAACAAAGAAATTAAAAACATTTCAAAACAAAAATATGTTCAAACTTGTTTAAAAACTTGAAAACAATTAAAAACACTGAAAAATACGCTCATTAAACACACACAAAAAGATTAAAAACAACAGACACTTAAATATTCAAATCCCTCACTTTATCAAATAAAAGTTCCTTGTCCTTAAACCACCCGCATTCAATTGGAATTTAAATTTTTATAATTCACATTTTCAGACTTTATTTTTAAATTTTATATTTATTATCATCCTATCAACATGAGAAAACATTCCGTTTCAGCACAATTAACTCGAACAGCTCGTCGTTTCTCTACAGTTATAGCCCCTCAATTAACTAAATTAGAACCTGTCCCTACTTTACAAAAACATCAAAAAGTTACAATTAGAATTGCAGATATTCAAAAATTAAATGAAGCAATTAAACAATATGTTTTACATGGTGGACGTCTTTTTGATCCTGTAGAATTTGAAATTAGAGCTGAAGACACTGATAGTAATGGGAATGGACGAGATCAAATTTTATTAACGGCGCAATTTTACACAGAAGAGATTGTACTTTTTGAAGGAAATAAACGCCTTTTGAGTATCTCATTGAGTGATCCCGTTGGTGAATCAGACCTTTTAAACAGATTTAAGACGAATGGAAGCTCTTTTGATTCAAATAGTCCAGTGCTTGCCAAAGTTCGTCATCCAATCTCAGGTTAAATTTTCTCTCAATAAAACCCATAAAAAATAATTCCCAATACTTTAATTTAGGTATAAAAATGTTTGAAGTTGTCCAAAGTCAAAAACGTCCTCAACGTTGGCAAATAACTGGAGCAATGGATGAATTAAACAAATGTGAAGTTGAAGCACATTCAAATGTTTGGAGACAGATGCTTTCTGCTTGTGGATTTGTTTTTGCAGCAGAATGGTGGAGTATACAAAATGAAGGGTTAAGAGTAGCTGAGGTGGGAATTTTTAAAAATAAATTTTTTAAAAGAAATTTATTTTAAATTTTCTTCAGATCTTTCCACAAAAAGCAGTTTGTGAAGAAAATTCTTTACGTTTGCAATGGTCAGAGCAGGTTAACAATTAACACACAAAAACATCAGAAAAACTTAAAAACACAAAAACATAAGAAAAACTTAAAAACACACAAAAGCATAAAAATACACAAAAACATCAGAAAGACTTAAAAACACACAAAGACATCAGAAAAACTTAAAAACACACAAAAACATCTGAAATCTTAAAAACACACAAAAACATCAGAAAAACATAAAAACACACAAAGACATCAGAAAAACACAAAAACATTAGAAAAACTTAAAAACACACAAAAACATCAGAAAGACTTAAAAACACACAAAACATCAGAAAAACACAAAAACATTAGAAAAACTTAAAAACACACAAAAACATTAGAAAAACTTAAAAACACACAAAAACATTAGAAAAACTTAAAAACACACAAAAACATTAGAAAAACTTAAAAACACACAAAAACATCAGAAAGACTTAAAAACACACAAAACATCAGAAAAACACAAAAACATTAGAAAAACTTAAAAACACACAAAAACATTAGAAAACCATAAAAACACAAAAAAAACATCTGAAAGATTTAAAAACACACAAAAACATCAGAAAAACACAAAAACATCAAAAAAACACAAAAACATTAGAAAAACTTAAAAACACACAAAAGCATAAAAATACACAAAAACATCAGAAAGACTTAAAAACACAAAAACATAAGAAAAACTTAAAAACACACAAAAATATTAGAAAAACTTAAAAACACACAAAAACATAAAAACACATAAAACATCTGAAAGACTTAAAAACACAAAAACATTAGAAAAACTTAAAAATACACAAAAACATTAGAAAAACTTAAAAACACACAAAAACATCTGAAAGACTTAAAAACACACAAAACATCAGAAAAACACAAAAACATTAGAAAAACTTAAAAACACACAAAGACATCAGAAAAACTTAAAAACACACAAAAACATCTGAAATCTTAAAAACACACAAAAACATCAGAAACTAATTTATAATGTTTTTAGGCGAGCAATGAACTTCGATTATTAGCCTTATGCTTTGGGCTCGTACAGACGGTGCGCGAAGCGTTCCCATCGCTTCTTCACATTATGAAAGAAGCTAGACAAAGAAAAATGCAAATTCATCGCCCAAGTGTTGTGCCAGCTTCTCCCTGATATTTTTTTGTGTGCTCAGACAACAAGCAAAACAAAGTCATACAAAAAACATTTACATAACTATGCACATTTTCATTATTAATTAGGAAATTGTGCCGTTTTTTGCGTGACTTAGCGTTATACATACTTTTTAAGTCAACTCAAATTTTTAGTTTTATAAAACCGTTGAAACTTATTTCGATTTACTGTTGTATTATTTTTCTTCAAAATTATAAATTTTTTAAAGTTTTTTAACCCCTCCTCCCTTTCTTACTTAAAACCACATATGTATTTTTAATTAATTAAATTTTCCCCCCACCTTTTGTCGGTCACAAATCCTTTCATCTTCTCCACCACCAATAACAAGTTCTGCTGCTTTTTTTGTTGTTAAAATATTTGTCATTGACTTTGATGTTATGTTGCTTGAATAAGTGAACATTTTTTTTGTTGAATTTTTAAAAGTTGTTGAGAAAAATAGGTAGTAGACAAAATTAATTATTAAAAACAAAAGATTCCAAAAATTAATTGTTGCACTAAAATAAAAATTTTAATAATTTAAAGAAATAAGAACAATGCAAAAAGAGAGGAAAATTGTTTTTTTTTAAAAGCAGAAAATTTAAATTTATTTTTCCCAAATTTCTCCTCTCTTTAAAAACTTTAAATTGCACAAAATCTGTTAAAGCCAATTCTTTAGGGATAGATAATTAGGCCCATATAAAATGCCCACAAAGTTTAGTAGCTCTCCCCGCGGGAAATTATATAAAAATATTTGAAAAATAAAGAAAAGAAAAATAAATATTTTTAAAATTAGAAAAAAATAAAAAATAGGAAAAAATATTCGTGACCTCTAGTCTAAAAAAGAAATACCAGATAAGGAATATAGTCCGAATTTTATCTCCCTCCCCCTATATTTTTTTTCTTAAAACGTCTTTGTTAATTAATCGTTTCCTTATTCAAATTTATAACTTTTGAATGGCACAAGAAAATAGTGGAATTGGAAAAGGGAGTTTAACCAATATGCACATACATTTAAAAATAGGGAAGGGGAGAGGAGGGACACGAAACTAGGACCAGAAATATAGGATTAATCTGTGGTCTAATAATTTGTGAAGAAACTAGTTTCGTTAAAAATTTTAGCTCAAAAATAAACAGAAAAATAAACTTGCAAACTATTAAAAAATATTCAACTGAAAGGAAATAGGAGGAGGAAAAGCAATAAGTAGAGAAAGCCAAAAATGTGTTGGTGGTTGGTGTAAAAATAATTGTATGCGGAAAAAACGGAAAATTAAGGTTTTAACGGCCAACACCAAACCAACTGGAAGCAATGTGTTTTTTCAAAAAAAATAATTGTGTGTTTGCTTCACCGTTAAAAAATTTATATAGTTGTTTAGTGGCTAAACCTACCAATTTGAAAAAAAGTTATTGTGACGTTTAAAAATAAAATGACGAGGGAAGGACAAAAAAACTCCAAAATTATAAAAATATTAGGGATCATCTCAATTTTTGGGATAAAAATTTTTATCAACCCCCCAATTCCTTAACCTTCTATAAAAAATTTTTTTGGATCAAGTTTTGCATTTATTAAAAGTACCTTCAAAAAAATCGCCACATAAAAACCAGTTGACATTTTCTCGCGCATCTCTCTTTTATTAAACCACTAAAGATGCCGCTATCTTTTTTAAATTTTTCTCGCCAAGCGTGAAGGACATCAAATGCCTTAGGGAGCATATCTAAATAAGCTTGAAGAGATTATTTTCAAGTTATTTTTGTTTTATCCTATTAAAAGGAAGGCCCACCAAATGTGTCTAAATTTTTACATAGAATGACCATTTATTTATATTTTTTCAAATTAAATTTGTTTTTAACCAATATTTGTAGGGTAGTAAATTATTCTCTTATTTATTTTCAATTCCCTTATTTTCTGGGATATTTAGAAGGAAAGGGAATTTATTATTTTTTGTTAAAGCTGACCCAAATATGATCAGATTAGCAAGGATAGGATAAATCAACACCTACCAAAAAATTATAGAAAACTATGAAGATAATAAATAATCTTTAGAAGGGCGGGTGATTAAAATTGAACAAAAAAATCAGATAGAGATCAAAAGAAAAAGTTAAAGAAATTGAGCTACAAAACTGCCCATCTCTTCCCCACATAAAAATAGAATATGATTACCCAATATTTTTTTAAATTTTAGATTATGAAAAATATTAAACCTACTAGAAGCTGGCCAGTGTTTATTATAGCAATTTCTGTATTTTGTTTGTTATCCCAAGGAATTCCATCAACTAGCATTAGAAAGCCAAGTAAGTAAATTGAAATATTCATGATTAGAAGCATCGATCAGGCAGCAACTAAAAATTAGAATAAAAAGGAATTAGTTTTCACAAAAAGTTTTAATTTTTAAAGCTCATCATTTTGGCGCCCCTTGCCAACTATGTGAATGTTTTGTTGAATATACCGATCGAGATATGAATATATACACCCAGCCATATAATGTGGCAATTAATTCTTACGAAGCAACAGAAGATAGATGTTTAGCTGCATGTCAAAATGATCAAAACTGTAAAGCTGTTGTTTATGGTTATATTGGAGGAAGAGATGTTTTTACTTGTGAATTATATTCGGAATCAAATGTAAAAAGTCCTCTTTACACGCCATTCACAAATATTTATATCAAGAAAAGATCTGAATGCAGAAAATCTGGTAAATTCAAGTGAAGCTTTAAAAATTCAAAAAAAAATTTCAGCTCTCGGATATGAAGCACTAGACATGACAGACGTTGATGAAAGAGTAGCAGCAAGAAAACAACGTTATCTTCGACTTTATACAAAATTTAACTTTTTTGGATTTGGTTAAATATTTTTAAAAACCCTCAAGTTATCACTGCCTATTTATAAAAATTATTTTTGTAATTTTTAGAATAAAAAATTTTTCTAATCCCTTAAAACTTTTTCAAATTATTTTTTCTTTTATCCTCCCTTAAAACAATAGAGGTCCACATTAAGTTGGCTTTTCCCTAAACTTTTAACTCACACTTAAAAACTCTTTTCATCAAAAATATTGATTTTAGCAAGAAAAGCTACCAAAATATCAAATGGCCAAAGGCTGCAAAGTTTTGATGAATTTTACTTTCTATTAGTTACTTACACTTTAAGCAATCTTACACTTAATTTTCCAAAATTTTCTTGCAAATTCGCCTAGTATACTTTTTAAAATAAAATCAAAATCCACCTCAAATCCCACGTTCACACCAAAATGCGTGAAGAAATGGCACTTCTTGACCAATATGTAGCGCCAGGTTTGCGTCTTTGGATGTTGATTGGGCTTGTTTCATCCGTTCTTCTGACAATGATTGTAATAGTTTGTTGTTTTGTTCGTTTGAGAATTCCTCGCACAAAACGTCAAATTGAACTGTAAGTAATTTCGAATTGAAAGCTAAACTAAAAAAAGAAATTTAAATAAAAATTAAATTAAGATTAAATAAAAACCGAATATTTTTACAGCCGAGCAGCAAAACGCAGGAAACGAAAAGCAGAAAGGGCAGGAACTGATTTTGCTGATCAACATGAACAAGTAAGCTATTTTATTTGTTTGAACGCGGCCCTCCGTCCCCCGAAAACCTGATAATTTTCTTGGCAAAAACCATGACCATACCTTCTAAGGCTCTACTCCAGTGTCTCTACCACAACCCAAAAGTCGTGGTAGTCTCCTCCCCAACCCCGAAGTGTCAGGGTGCTGCCCCAGTTTGAACCCCACTCACTCCTAAATAAAAATTATCCTATAACTTAAAAGGAGCACTACAGAGGCGGACAAACAATTGTACTCAATTCTTTCAATATGCCTACTTCCACTAACAATGGTGGAAGAGGTTATAGAAAAAATTCAGAAAATCATCATCATTCCTCAGCTGTTGCTGCGTGTAGTATACCCGTTTAAAATAATTATTTTTTAAAAATAAAACTTTATTTTTGTTTTTCAAGTAAATTAAAAATTTTATTTTGAGATTTAAATTTAAAATTAAAAAGAAGGAAATGAGATATATAATTTTTAGAAAGTGAATAGCGAAAAAGAGTATTGACAGGCATAAAGTAAAAAAACAATAGAAATTTTTTGCGAGGGCAACGAAAAATTTTTTTAAAATCTTTTTGGTGATTAGAAACATGCTTAAATCTAATGGACGAAAGAATGAAAATTTTTAATAAAATTATTTCGAGAATAATTTCAAAAGGTAAAAATTTTCTAGAAAAAACTATTCTATAATAAGCTAACAATTAAAGCTTTGAAAGAAATAGCATAAAACTATTCGTTATAATTAAGAGAAATTGGCCATAAATTTTAGAATAGGAATATTATTATTGATATTAAAAATTAATTTAAAAATTCTAACAAAAAAACCTTTCCTTTGATCATGACAACACTCTATCAGAGGTAATTTTTGAAAATAAAACAAAACTTTTGCCATCAATTCCCGCCTCTCCAAGAAATCAATTCGTCCCAATAATAAGTTGGTTGATGAATCGGCGCAAATGGAAGAAAGAAAAAATGAATAGAAATCTTTTGACCATTTGATGGTAATTTAAATTTGCCCAATTCTACATTCTATTTAAAAAAAAAGAAATTACGAGAGGTTATAAATTTAAAATACCCTGTCGAGATTAAAAGTTTTAGACTGTTTTTGAGTATCCAATAAAACAGCTCCATTATCTGCACAAACAATACATCTAGAAAATTAAATAAGAATATGAAAAACCGGTAATACCGAGTTTTATGCCATCTTCTTTGTTCCTTAATATGTTAGACTTCCTCAATTTGAAGATCCCAAGGGAAAATAGAGTGGAATTGAGAAAGAGAGTCTTACCATTAGTCAGTCACATATTACAAAAAAAGGATGAGGAGCGGGCGAACTCGGTATCACCCAAAAAACGAAAAAAAACCTGTAATGTAATTTCATTATGTCAACATGTTTTACTGAAAGTTGATGTTGTGTTGGAGCCATTGAGCCATTTCTTGCTAGACGTAAATAGCTAAAAAGAAGTTTAATTTAACAATAAATTTTTTTAAAAAAAGAAAACCAACCCTTGATCATAAGTCGCAAGCAAATCAACACCAAAGAAATATCCCAACCTACGCCAAGTTATTCTTGAAAGAGGACTAATACCTGTACGTCCAAAACGATAACAACTGGCGTAAAATTCGTTGTCATCTATTACTTCTGGGAATCTAAAATGAAAATTATAGATGATATTTTGTAAAAACTTGAGCCTGGTCACCCCTCCCCCTCAAATTTAAAATTTAACCCCCATTACTGACCCTGTGGTTGTCTCTTCAGATCGAAGTAACATTTGCCATTGGTCACAAATTACATTTTTTAGTAATTTCCTGGGAATAATTCCATCAGCTCTAATCAATTTCAAATTTGATTGAAGTGAGACTAGATGAGAAACTCTTAAAAGTCGTAACAAGTCAAAGTATTTGTGCCGGTTAAAAAATGAAGATTCGAAGAAAAGAGCAATTGACTTTTCATCTCCTAAACGAGCATATGGACATTCAGTGAGATAAATCCAATTTCTTATTGCACGATACAAATCCATTTCACTTTCGCGTACACAAACAAATTGTTGAGAAAATAAAGTAACAAGCCAAGATTTTTGTAATCCACGTAAAAATGTTTCATCCAAACAAAAATGACAAAACATGTATTTGAGAACATTAATAGCCTCTTTCATTCTTTTAACAAAGCCATAACGATCGGAAAGACGAAGACAAATCAAAAGTTTTTCTTTGTCGCGTAAATAGTCGGCCAGTTGTATTTGACATTTTTCTAACACACTTTCCTGAAATAGAAAAAATAATTAGAAACCACTCATGTCAACTATATAAAGGAATGAGTAGAATCGAGTATATCCTAACAATAAGATTAAGAATGAAATTGAGAACTTTATGCCCATTAGAAATCAGAAATTAAAAAAGCCCTTGACCTTGATTTTGGTCAAGGAAAAATCACGGAACACTGATAGTGAGAATTGCCTTAATCTTAACTCCGGATACAGTAAAATCGAGATCTGAATCCAGATCCAAACCTATCTCTAACATAAAATCCAACTAACCAAATTCAACATTGACGCAGCTCCACAAATACTGGAAATGTATTGTTCATCAATTTCAATCTCATTATTGTAAAGTGAAGCAAACACATTATTGAGACCTTAAATTTTGATTAAAAATTAGTTAGAAAAGAAACCTTTAAAGCAAATATTGTCGTCATCAATTTGCATGTAATATTCATCTTTCCCAGAATCAGACCAATTTCCTTGAAAAAGTGCGTGGAAATATTCACATTGCTCAAGATAAAGTTTGTGTAATCGCCAAGTATGCCCAAGAGCATGGATTTGGATGTCTGAATTGAGACCTTCGACGAAAAGCTAGAGAAAAAATGAGCAAATTTTCGTTATTATAAATAAACCTTTTGATAAACATAATCGGGAGTATTTAATTTAAATCGTTTTGGTTCAATATCAGAAACATTTTCATTAAGCGAAGCTTTTCTTTTTCTACTAGGCATGTTTGATGAAGTTCCACAAATATGTTCAATTACAGAAGATAAAGAGCTAATAGATCTATTAGTTGAAAAGATGTTGCCCATTTTATAAGATTAAGTTTAATAAAAACGAATAAAAGGATAAAAAGATAAAGACAATTGATAAGGAATCAAACGACTTGGGGCAAATTACAAATGCCAAAATGAATAGTAAACATTTCGAATTCATTGCTCTAGTTGACTATTTGAAGTTACCAATTTGAAATTTTTAAATCTTGCTATTTGAGTCTCAACGGTTGAAAGCTTCGATTCTGGACAAATCTCGACTATTGTTCTTTGAAAAATTTGAGTGACTAGGGCTAGGATAAAGCGCTTTTGAAATCAGTTTTCTATATAATTGTTAATCATGTCTAAATCACCAGAAGAGGCGACAGCCAAATCTTCAAGCTGTAATTCTTCACCAATTAATGTTGAAGATGATCGCAGGCATTACGTGGCATCCCCTTTGGCGGCTGAATTTAATAAAGGTGATGATAATAATGCTTCAGATAATGTTGTCGACAATGTAAAGGATAATTCTAATGGAAATGATCAAGAGGAACAACCTATTCCAGTTTCAGGCAATTTATTTTTTATTTTTGGTACTTTCTGTTATCCCTACACTCTGCGGACTTTTTTTGCGGACTTTTTTTAGCGGACACGTTTATGACAGGTTCAGACTAGTCAGAATGTTCAGACTGCAGACTTTCTTCTCCAGTTTCACTCTATTTCCCTGAGTACCATTCGGTCATACCTTTCTGTAAATATGACTGTGTCAGCAAGATAAGCCGCAAAATTCTTTAGAGATAACGGAAAAGTACCTTTTATTTTTATTTCTTAAAAAACCTCCATTAATTTATTATTTCCTAGATGACGAGGAAACTTGTGAAGATACTCAACAGCAACAACAGGATCAAACTTATGATTCTTTTGGGCAACAAATAGAGACTCATCCTAATGATTCTTTCAATGAGATTGATGATATTTCCATTGCTGGAGAGATAAATGACGTATTTTTTAAAATTTTATTTAAAATTTTTTCTTTAACATTTCAGTATTTATTAAAAAATAACGTCAATTTTGCAGAATTTAATACCGTAGTGGATATGTGGGGATTTTGTGATGCAATCAGGTTTTTAAGATTGAATGTGGAGTGTTAATTCTACTTTTAGATTTTTATTAGGGGTTTCACAGTCGGTTAATTTTTGCCTGTGGCGGGTCACATAAGGAATAAGAGCATTTGAGCCACAATAGGCAAAGATTAACTGGTCGTGAACTACTTATTTTTACTCTATTTTATTTTTTAGTGCACAACATGGAGGTTTACCCGATTCTTTACTTAAGGATGCGTTTTGTATTGTTCTTGAGGGGTTTTTAAATCATGCACAAAATAATTCGTGGCAGCGTCAACATCTTGATAATATGTTAAGAATGTGGAAGGTTCCTTTTTTAGACATATTATTGACAAAATTCACATTATTAACAAGGTTCATGTCTTTCCTTTCTATAAACCCTATTTTTAGTCCTCTAAAATTTTTCTTAATAGGTAGAAATGTTGAAATCGAAATCAACCACACGTTCAACGAAGTTTGTGGCGGCACCATTTTCGGATACAATTGGAACGGAAAAGTACAATTTGGACAGAGAATCAACCTTAGAAAAACAAGAGGAACCTAAAGATCAAACAGCAACACCTGAACAATCCCAGGCGTCTGAAGAAGCCATAAAAACAGCTAAACGGCAAAAGAGGGAAATGCAAAGACGGAAACGCAAATTGGCTGCGATAATGGGTGTTGGACAAGTTTTGTCGAGTGCTCGTCGTAAAATGGCTACTGAAGATGCAGAAGTGGAGGTAAATTTGAACAAAATTAATTTTTAATTAAAAAATTCTGTTTAAGGTAAAAGAGGATGAATTTGGAAATTTTTTGATTGGCGGTATGCCTTTAAGTTTTGAAAGTTGGGGTCAACTTAACAGAGTTAAAGACAATGACATTGTACATGTTGGAATAGAACCGCCTTCAAAAAGGTTACAAAAAATTTTAATAAATTTTGAGCTTTTCACCTTACGTAAACCTTATTTTTTGAATTAAGTAATTCCGTTTCTCCTACTCATCCAAATGGTTTTGTCTCTTCACAAAAACAACAACAGCGTGACCAAAGTATGGCTGAAAAATATCCAACTGTTAGCGAAGTAGAAATGCCTTCAAATGATATTCAGCCAACGACAACTAGTCGAATAACATCAACGGTTGCTGGCACTTCAGGTTTTTATTATTTTTCTCTTAGTTGCCTAACTTCCCATTTCAATCTCTTTTAAGGATTTTTTCGCATTTTTTTATTTTTATTCTTTCAGCTTCCAAAGAAATCAAGGATTTAACTCCAGTAAAGAGTCCAATGCCACCACCTCCTAAAGAAAAAGATGAAGGCGAACTCAGCAGTAGCGAACCTTCTGATAAACCTACCTCTTCTGAAGAATCATCTGATGATGAAAGCCAGCAAAAATCTTTTGCTTTTAAAAGGAATGCCGCGTTGTTAAAGAAAAATATTGAAAGCCGACCTTCTCAACGGCCTCAACAACAGGAGAGAAAACGAATAAAAAAGGATGAACGTCAACAAGGAGGACAACAGGTTTTTCTGAATTTGAACTGAAAATCTGTTTTGATTTTAATTTTTAAGGGCGCTTCAAGTGCACAAAATCTTCAACAATTACTTCAGAAATGTTTTGATCTTCGTGGTCGAATTGTTAGAAAGTTAAGTATTCAACAAAAAGCAATGTTTATGGATCTATTAAAGGTTTTATTTTTTACATTTTTACCATCTTTTCACAAAAAAAAATAAATTTAAGCAAAGTATGGCCGGGACACTCCAACAAGGAGTTCAAAATTTACAGCAACAACAAACAATGGCATTGTTGATGAATACAATTAATGCATCTGGAATTGGAAGTAGTTCATCATAAAAGTATTATTTTTTAGTCAAATTTTAAAATAAAAACTGGCCATGCATTGATCAAAAAATATATTTTAATTGAAAGGATTGGAAAGATTTTTAAGAATTAATTTTTTTGCTAATAAGCTTGTTAATCCAATCCTTTAAAGATTTTAATAAATTTAAAAATCTGTTATTTTTTCTCATTTTTTGAATAAAATTTGTTTTGTGGAAATAATCTGACTAGAATTCTTACTGAAAATGATAACGAATAATTCAATCAATATAAAAATTTTTATCTGGATTGAAATAAATCAAATGACATACAAACTAATACATAAACTAAAAATAATTATGCCTCCGAATCCTCATTCATAATATCATCCACATTAATGTCAAGCTCCTTGCACAAATTTAAAACAAAAGCAATTTCGTTGTCAATAAACTCAGTCATCTCTTTGTGTCGTTCTTTTAATTTACTAATTAAATCATCACTGCCGCCCTCCACTGGTCCATTGTATTTAATTGGAACATCACGAAGTCTAAATTAGAATTTTTTGATAAAATTAGAAAAGTATAGAGAAGGTGGTGGGATGTGTCAACAGAAAATTTGCTACTTTTGAACTTTGCCAATGAGCTTTTTTATGGGAAGCCGGTCAATAATTTATCCGCTACTTGTGGGTTATCCCAAATCAGTTGTGCGTACTCAATAATGTTCGTATATGAAAGACTCATAATGGTCAGATATCATTTCCTCGGATATAGAGAAAGGGAAGTTATGGATTCTCTGACCATTATGAGACCATTTTATTGTTAAGTACGTGTACACACAAAAGCTGTTTTGAAAACCCACAAGTACCATTTATCATAAGTAAAATAAACTAACTTTTTTGCCTCCGCAGTCTTTTCTTTTTCACGTTTAATACCATCTTGAAATTCTTTACGTTTAACCGCCAACTCCGTTGATGATAAACGATTACGTACAACTGATTTTTGCAGGTCTTTAACAAGTTTTTCAGCCTCATTAGAAAGTTTTTTCTCCTTCATTTCCTTTGTAGTATGGGAACGTAAAACGCGGTCACTCATTGTAGCCTTAAAGAGAAAAAAATAAAAAATTTTGTAATAAAAATTATAAAATACGTCAATAAAACGGAAAACAAAGATGAAATCTTAAATAGAAAATTATCCCGCTCAGATTTCAAATGGGAAACTTTCAAATTGTCATTATTCGAAATATCTTAATAAATAACGGCCGGTTGAGTCTTATCGAGTATTTTTACTCCAAAAAATTATTGTGATACTCAACTGTCAAATTCTTTAGTATTTAAGGGATTTTTAAATTTTTTCAGAATTTTTTTAGATTTTTAGAATTTTCAGAAATTTTCTTAAAATTTTATTATTTTTCTTCTCTCTTTATTTCCTTTTTAAATAATGCTAAATTGATTATTTTTGCGATTATTTGACGACTTTGATGATCCAATTTTACTTCTCTTATGGTCTTAAATCTTCAAAATGTTCAAAAGATCCATTTACGTTAGCTTAAAAAGTTTATGGAACTAGACTTAAATGTTCATAAGGAGGACAGGTTTTTTTTGTATTGGGAGGTTTTGGGACGTTAGTTTCAATATGTTAGTGGGGTTAATTGTTTATCTCCCTTTAGCTTCCCTCCTCCTCCTCTCTCATCTATTTTTTGCAAATTTTACCCTCTTCTCTTCATCCAAATATTGTTTTCTTCAATTTCATTTCCCTTCCATTTTTGTTAACTATTTTGAAATATAGGACAAAGATAAATGAAAGGAAAAGCTAAAAGGGAATTGGCACAGAATCATAAGATTGATTGTTATAAATGAGTTTTTTCCCTTCCAGAGTGTTTGTGCTGTTAGTTGACTGATTGGGCGTTTAGGATGAAAAAATTTTTCTTTGTCCAAAAGGTCGAAATTTCAAAACAATTTTGTCAACCTAACCAGGCCCTTTTTTTAGCTTTCCCCTTCTAGCTTTTCTTTTTTCTTTACCATTGTCGCTGACCTTTTTCCTTTCAATTTTTGTTTTTATTTTGTCGATCTTTTGCACTTTGCTTTAAATTGCCCACGGCCATAGGCTATGTTTATGACACATCGAAGGGGGGATATAAGGCCAATGACTAGCACATATAAATAAACAAGTAGAAAAAAGGATTTGTGTCACCCATAAAACGCCTTCTGTTCATTGGCAATCGCCAGTCTTTTCTAGTTTGGTCAATTTTTTCTTTTATTTTTAAGCCAGGTTCCAAAACTATATTCTTCTCAAATAAACAAAAAATACTTTTTCTTTGTTCCTGTTCTCTTTCCAAAAATCCTTTAAAAAGTCTTGCAAGTTCTTTTTTTATATTCAGTTGGGATCTAGTTGCAATTCTCAAAAAATCTTTTTTAGTTTATTTGAAAGGCCTAGTTTAGAATTTTCTCTGTTAATTTTTCTGTTAATATTTGATTCAGTATTTACTCATAAAAATCTTTCATTTCGTCTTCTTTTTTCTCTCATATCGGTGCCATTTCCCAATTTAATTTTTCCTTCTGGGTTTTTAACGACTTTGACGCCCATTCTTTAAGTCTTCAAAAATGTTTTTAATTTTCTTTAACCCCTAATGTTGCAACTAAAAATATTTTTCTGATTTCTCAACTTTTTTCTTCCTTTTCCCATCTTTGGTCTTTTGGGTTGACTTTTTGTACACACCACAAACTTATTTTTGTCTCCCGTGCCCTGGGCAACTTATAGGTCCATTTCTGCCATTTTTACCAGTCGTTGTGGATGTGGAGGACGTCCGTCAATCATCATTCATCCATCTACTTTTTACCCCCTCAATTCTTTCTTCCCTCAATTTTTCAAATCCATCAACTATTCTCTCCTTCCATTTTTTCCCTTTTCACCAAGTAGTAAAATACTCCTAAATAATACATAAAACCCTCATTTGGCTCTTTCATAGGCCACAAATCCTCATCCTCCTTCCCTCCATTAGAGTTGGAGCATTGCTCTATCTCCATTCCCAACTTTTTTTTCCTCTTTGCGCTGGGCCAATTTATTCACTTCAATGACTATTTTCTACCTTTTTCTTCTTTTTTGGTTGTTGTTTCACCCCGATAAACATTAAAACCTTAGTGTCATTGTAGGGGTTAAATAAAAAATTTTCCAAAAATTCCCCCCAAAAATAGGTTATTTTTGGGGATTTTTTTGTTTGTTTTTTAATAAAAAATAAGCTAAATTCGCAACAAAATAAAGGTTAATTATTTATTTCCCTTTAGGCACCCCAGTCTAGACACGAAAAATAACCTCAACCAATTTATAATTACATATTTTAGACACAACAGGGAAGGAAAATTATTCGCAACAATTTTGTATAAGTAAATATCCTCTCTCTCTATTATTCCATCTTTTCATTCTCGTACCAAATCCTTGACATTCTCCACTAGATTTTCTTTTGAATTTTCTTTCAATGCTTTTTGTGTTGTCTTGGAAACGGTGCCAGTTTGTTGGTGTCAATTTGTTTGTCTCTATATGTTTCATATTTTTAAAAGTGCCAATTTTTGACTTTTATTTTCTCCCCTCAACATTTTATTATTCAAAAATGGCATTAATCCAAAATATTTATAGGTCCTTTGGGGATAGGAATATAATGGTACTTAAATGATTATTTAAGCATTTTATTTTTTGATTTTATCTTTAATTTATTTGATGTTTTTAAAGAGTGTTTGTTTCAATTTTTTCGTTTAATCCGGCCTATATTTTTGAACATTAACCTACTAAAATTTAGAAAATTTAAATTATATTTTCTGCCATTGTCAGCACTACAACAGAAAAATTGAAACAGACATTCTAATAGAATATAATTGCATTACGCGGTTGGATTAACCAACGCCTAGAGCATCTGTGGGTTTAGACAATTAAGGAACATAGACAATTTGTGGGTAAATTTCTTTCTATTTTCTTCCAAAAAAATATTTTTTTATGTTTCTTTATTCTGATTCTGAATTTTTGAGTTTGTTTTCTTATTGTTAACAGTTTCCATTCTCGATTTTCTAGTGTTCCTTTAATTTCCTTCCTAATAGAATTCTTCTGATTCTAACTCTAAATACCTCTATTTTAATTCTGATTTTCTATTTTCAGGTTTTAATTGTTTAAAACAGGGAACATCTATTACTATTATTCATATTTTCATGTCTTCATTTACTTTCTTATCATTTTCATGGTATAGTCGTCGTCAACATACCTAATTAAGTTTGGTCCCCAATTGTTTTCAACCTTCCATTCTTTTTTTTACTTTTGCCCTTTTTTTCTAATTTCCTCACCTCTCCCATTCTAAACATTGCCTTTTTATGTGCCTATCTTCTCCAAATATCTTCTTTGTTGCCCAGTTTTTAATATTCTCAAGGGGATTTACTGCTTTTGTTTTGAGGGATTAGCAATTCCTTCCTTTCAGTCGCTTCGTTTCCAATTTTATTAGATAGGAAAGAAGAAATATGCAAAATAGGAAGCGGTAAAATGCTTTCAACAATAATTAAAAAATGTATAAATTTAATTTAGTCAATGTAAATTTTTTTCTTGAAAATACTTGAGAATATTAAAAATGCGCGGGTTTAAGTTTCATTAATTTAACAACTAGGTTCGTGTATTTATTAAAACCCTCTCTCAAATTCCTCCTTACAATCCTTTTCTTCCACTTTTCCATTATTTTAAGTTCAATATCAACCTCTGTGTTTTAAATATTTATTAAAATCCTCCTTACAATCCTCTCCTTCCAATTTTCCTTGTAAAACTTTAAATTTATTGCTCACTTCTTTCTTGTTGTTGTTCGAAAGAATAGGTAGGACTTCGAGGTGTTTATCTAAAAATTCTTTATGTGCTTATTGATCCTTTGGGTGACCAAAAATATTTTTAGCTGTAAATAACTTAAAAAGCACGTGAGCATTCAAAAAAACAAGTACATACATTTTTTTGTTTTTATGCACTTCTTTAAGTTAGTATCAAAGATTTTTTACTTAAAGACCTGGATTTTTCACTCATTCTGAATTTTTCTGGAAATACTTTCAATAATTTTCTCTTGACCACTTACTGGATCACACACTTCAATATTTTATTGCATATACAATTTCCAATTTATCCCTTTCATTATTTAACAAAATTTTTCTATATATCCCCCAAAACACTTTTAATACCAGAGAATAATAACCTTTCGATCCTTTTTCTTTCACATTTTTGCGAAAAACACAAATTGAGGTTGCCAGCTGAAGATACTATTATTATATATTCCATTCCTTATTCTCGCCAAAATATTCTATAATACACACACATCCATTTCTAACTAATAGTAAATAAAAAAAAGAAATGACCTTCAACAACACAAGAGTCCATTTTCCCCCCATTTCTATGAGGTATTGGAGAGGAGGAGGAGGGGAAGGCAAATGAGACCGGCAAAAAAAAGTAATTAATGATGATAGTAGTGCAGACTTGCCCTTCTTTTTTCACACACAGGGTTTTGTTCATTTTTTTATTCTCAGGGAGAGGGGGATCTGAATGAGTTTATTTTTTGGAAGAAAAATGAGACAAAAAATACCAATGAGGGAAGTAATGCCAGAGGGACTCCTTCCTCTCTACTCTTTCCTGTCCCAAATGACCCCTCTGTGTGTGTTCCATGTGTGTGTGCTGTTGGCCGAAGCCAAGCTTTAACGATTGAGAGATAAAATGAAAGATTTTTCCTCTTCCCACCGCCATAAGCGCAAATCGCCTTTCTCTTCATTTTTACTTCAATAAATAGACCCTTCTGTTTACCTCATTCACAAATTTAGGAAGGAAAAGGCGGCAACTTTCTACTGAAAGGCCTTTTCTCTCCCTCGGTTCATTCCTCGTTTGTCCCACTCATTTCGGGGTTATTTTTGTTGGGGTAATAAAACTTCTTGGAGAAGAATATCCAAACAAAACTATAAAAAAAACTTTAAAGCCAACTTGTTCATAATTATTTTCTGCCTTATTTTCCAGATTTTTTACATATTTTTTTATTAGCGAAAAATATTTTTGGGACTTAATTATATTTTTAAATGCCCCAGATTGCCCAGAATACACAAAAAATCTTGCTCAAGAAGAAGATAAAATTGGATCTTTAGTTGTCTGTTTTCTTCCTATTTTCTTTAAACAAGAAAAAATTCATTTATCCGCTTTATCCTTTATTTTTTTGATTCGCAACACTTTTTCTTCCCCTACTCAATGCGCGATACACTTTATTGTTTCATTTTATTGTCCTTTTATTTTTACGGTTATTTTTTTGTATCAGTCACTTTACTTTTTTTTTTGAAATGAGATACGTAAATTACTCTTTTTTACTTTAAATGCGCACTTTAATTCATATACTTATGTAAATCAAAAAAAATTTTTTTACGCTATTAATGTCACTCAGATTTTTTAATTGTTTTGGGAATTTAATTGTTTTTTTTTCACTCCCGGATTGTTTTAATAAAAATAAAAAATTTGTGGGGGTTGGCACATTAAGTAAATATTTTTTAAAAATCAATTGAATGCCGCTTTTTGGTGACCGGACCGGAAGGTCCTTTTTAGAGATCGGAATTGGACCTTGAAGGACCTTGACTAGATTTTTGACCTTGATTCAAGGAAAATCAAGGGGCACTTAAAATTGCCTTGATCCAGGAAATCAAGATATGGATCCAGATCCAGGCATATCTTTTGTCCTTTTGCGCGTTTTTACGTTATATATTATTTAATATTTATATTTTTCCGCACTAATTATCAAATCAGTTGATTTGTGATTGACATATTTATTATGTAGAAACACCCTCTTTTTCCTTAAAAGAGGGTTCAAAATATATTTTAGTAATTAAGCAATCATTCAATTAATTTTTATTTTTATCAGAATTTATTTTACAAACAAAAATTTTATTTATCTTCAACAACAAAATATTAAAAATTTGAGAAATGGCATCTGTAGAAATGCAAGAACAAATTCCTTTAAAATCTGCTGAACATCCACAACCTGAAGGAGGTGCTGAAAGTGCTGCTGGTGCTCAGCAAAATGCGACGACTGATGGAAGTGGAAATCCAACTATTGAGAACAACAAAAAGGAAAAGAAAGGAGGATGGTTTTCGTCCAAGAAGGTAAAAAAAATTTAAGTCGTAAGCTAGGTAATCCGTTTCAAGGTGTATCTAGAGGGGACCAGGGATGTCACGGATTATCCAAAACCCGATACCTGATCCTAAGAAATTTTTGAAAACCCGATTATTTTTTCTCAATCCGTGACATCATTGTTTGCGACGAGGGCTGACGGTCCTTATTTTCTGTAAATAAAGAAATTTTTGATTTCACTTCTAATAATAAGTCGCCCTTGTTTCCTAGTTTTCTCTAACTCCAGATACTCAAGTATTTTTTTAGAATTATCGTTTTTTATATATATATTTTTGGATTAAGCTGTGTCTATTTTAAAATAGAAAAATTTTTTTAAAGATAAAGATTTCCCTGGGGAGTATAATAAAAATTTACTTTTAAACCCAAACCCCAACAAATAAATAACCACAAAAATAGAATCATAAATAAATATTGCAAGATAAAAAAAGAGTAAAAACATAAACTTATTTTTTTATCAAAAACCCATAAATTTTTTTAAAGAAAGCGGCAAATGCTAAAACAACAGAAATTGCCGCTACTGGTCAAGAAGGAGATAAGAACGCAACTGAAGGTGGGGAGGATGGAGGAAATGCTACTGATGGAGGAGCAAATAATGTAAATGAGAAGAAACAAAAGACCAAAGGAACATCTGGAAAGAAATGCCCATTTAGTTTTTGTCGACCACAGAGAGGGGTTGCTGGAACTGATGGTGGAGCAAGTGATGGAACTTTACAGCAACAACCAAGTTTTCAAGTAAATATGGTTCAGAGAGATGATCGAAAATTGCATGAGGTATTTAAATTTTTTGAGAATTATTTTATTTAAATAAAGTTTTGGGAAAACTATTTTTTATGGATGAGAAAATCCAAGGCTTGGCAACACACATTAGAAATTTCCTTAAAATTTTTAGTACTTTTCGGTTATCCCTACAAGTGATGTCACAAATTTAAAAGAATTTCTGGGTTTCGAGTCGGGGTTTCGAATTTTCCTAGGATTGGGTTTCAGGTCGAAAAGAAGTTCAGGGTTCTAGTAAACCATGACATCCTTGGTCCCCAGATTTTAACTAATTATTCGGGTCCATTGGCGTTTTAAAAAATTTATTAGTAGTGACCATTTTTAATTCCATTAAATTCTCAAGTTCACCTGCCGCTTGTTTTTGACATCATTATGCAAAAACAATTTTAAAAAAATTTCAACTATTCAAAAAATCAATATTTTCTAAAATTTATAGGGAATTGATTTTGGGTTTGAACAAATCTTTGGAGAGCCGGATGCTGTTCATTCAATTAATGGTGTTTGGAGAACCACAATAACGGTTTTTTATTTTTAAAATTTTAATTTAAAAAATATTTTTTAAAGGTCTTTTTGGCAGTTCGTAACTTCATTTACAAACTGTTTTCTCTCATTTTTGCTGTTCCGTTGGCAATTTTGTTTGGAATTTTGTTTGCTCTTATTTCAGTTTTGGGAGTTTATTTCTTTGTGCCAATTGGGCGTTTGTTGAGTATTCCACTTGGATGGTTGGCAAAGGTATTTTTTAAAGAATTATTTTTTGGGGAATTAGTAGTGGCCCTCCTCCTTATCTAAATATTTTCCCTTTCGGTAAATTTTGTTCTCCTTGTCCTAGTAATTATAGGGAGGGGGAACGGATTGAGGAAAGAGTCGGGTTAGATTTTCGAATTTTTCTTCGGATTGTTTGGGTTTCGGGTTGAAAAAAGTCCAGCGGTTTTGTGTAACTCATTCTGCCCCTATTAACTACCAATATTAATTTCTAGGTTTGGTCTACCGTTATTGGTGCAATTCTTGATCCAGTTTGCCGTTCTTGTGGCCTCTTATTTGGCAATGTCAAAGTTAGCCGATATGGTAAAATTAAAAAATTTTATTTAAAAGTTATTCTTTCTTTTTAAAAAAGGCATCAATCATGACCCAACGGCTGTGATTTCAGCATAAATTGAGAAAATGATTATTTGAGGGAAACTTTTACTTTGAAAAATATTTAAATTTGTTTGAGGAATTTTTGATTTAAAAGAAGAAACATTCGGAGTTCCGGAAAAATTTTTTTACACTTTTTTTGGAAAAATAAGGCTTTGATTTTTTTATTTTTTGGAAAATTTTAGTCAGAAATATTTTATAAAAACAAATTGGCATCAAAATTTACTCAGAAATCAAAGCTTTATTTATTACTAGGGACAGCCAAAATATGCACGGAAAATCGCCAAATATGCGCATATATATGCACCGAAAAAGTCGAAAATATGCACCAAAATATGCAAAATTTGCCAAAATATGCACTGAAATATGCACCAAAAAATAGTTAAAATATGCTTTAAAAATCAATTTTTTAAGTTAAAAACACTAATTTAGCCTTTAATTTTACATTTTAAGAGCACTTCTAAAGAATTTAATGGATGTAAATTTTTGAAAAAATTTTCGGGAAAAAAAATTTTTGCCAAAAAATTTTTCGAAAATATTTTTTCAAAAATTTTTTATAAAAAAATTTAATGACCAAAAAATTTCAAAATTTTGGTCAATTTTTGGCAAGATTTTACAAAAAATGCCAAAATATGGACCAAAATATGCAAAATTTGCCAAAATATGCACAAATATGCAAATATGCACGAAATGGTCGAAATATGCAAATATATGCATTAAGAACCAGGTCCTAAAGTGCTCGGACCTATGTAAAAACACCATTTTTGGGCTTCTCACTTCAAGGCATATCCGCATACGAAACATGCATTTGCATGTTTTGGCTGTCCCTATTTATTACATTTCAATAAAATTTTGATTTTAAAAATTTATTTGGCTTTTTTGAGATAACCTCTCCTTCTCTCCCAATCATTTTGCTACTATATAATCAATGTTTTAACAATTTTTCAATTTTTTCATTTGGTAAAATAAAGAAAAAATCTTTTTTTTTTAAATTTTATTTGTACAAACACGTATCTTTACGTATATTTATAATACCTTCGATATCCTTTTAAGTGATTACGGGCTAGTTATGTCATTTCGTTATTGGGTGTTTTGCGTTTGGTGTTTCGCATTGTTTCGTATAGTAGATTTTCGCTTGTTTACTTTACGATAGTTACCTCTTTGACATAAACATTTTGTTTTAAACTTAGAGAGCATGTATTTACTAGAGGCTGTTAGGCATAGAAAGTAATTTCTGCGGTGAGTGATTTGGTGTTTTGAATTGTTTTGTTCGATTGGGTGTTTTGTCCTGTTCACTTTATGTAAATAAGTCAATTTGTATTATTTCGTATTACCATATTTTGTCAATCATACTTTGCCAGTAAGTCTAAAATCTCACGATTTGCCAACAACTAATTGACAGAACGTGAATTTTTACACAATGGTTGGGCCATTTTTTTAAAGATTGGGGAGAAAAAGGTAATCCCTTTTCCTTTTATAAATTAATTAAGATGTGCTAATTATTTTAATTAAAATTTTGTGTTATTAATTAAATGCAAAATTCTGCTATACAAACACCTTTATTGAAAAAATCCTTCAATTTTGCTTGGCCTTTTCCTGAACGGCAAACTTGGCTATATCGTCTGCAATCAAATGTTGTCATTTTTGGTGTCTTCTGCTTTGCAAAATTTGTTCTCTGCGGTTATTTTTTAAATTAAATTTTAATAAAGTGAAACCCATTTTTTAGGTTTGAATAAAATAAAAATCAGTTCTGAGCACAAAAAGATTTTTTTGGATTTGATTGAAGACAAAACTCGGCCGCTAATTACAATGGCAAATCATAGAAGTGTAGTAGATGATCCTCTGGTTTGGGCTTTATTTAGCTTCAAAGAGTTCTGCGGTAACATTTCTCGATTCAGGTTAGTTTTTGAATAACGTTAATTGGTAGTGTTGGGTGTCCGATCCTTGCTTGTATGATTTAGTGGAGCTTATGTGGGGTAGATCCCTTATTTTTTAGATCAATTACTGGTTTCAGATCCTTGTATGTTTTTATGTGTTTGAACTACATTTTTTAAAAGGTTCACGATAGCGTGTGCTTTTATCAGTTTTTGTTTCAAGTTCTATGGGTTAGATTAGATCCTCAATTTTTTTAGCTCGAGTAATGATGTCTTGATTTCTATCCCGTTGACAATTTGTTTGAAGCTTTTTGGGTTAGATCCCCAATTCTGTTTGATAGATCGATTAGTGCTGTCATGATTAGTGAGGTTATCACCTGTCCATTTGATTGAAGTTTTAAGGGTTAGATTTAGTTTTGTGGGATTTATGGATTTGTTGCGTTAGCGTCAAGTTTATTCGATTAAGTTTTTTGAAACCCTTTATCGAATTTATTAAAATCTATATTTATTAAAGATATATTTTGGCCGCCAACGATATTTGCTTTACAAATATTTTATATAATCATTTCTTCGCGTTGGGTCGATGTGTTCCCTGTGTGCGTGGCGATGGTGTTTTTCAACGTGGCGTAAATTTGTGTGTTGATAGGCTATCAAATAATGGGTAAATAATTCTAAATTCTTTTAACAATTAATTTTGAATATGTAATTTTTAGTTGGGTACATATATTTCCTGAAGCTGAAGTAACTACAACGCCGATTAGAATTAAAGTTGGTGCTTTACATGGTTAATTTTTAAAAGAAAATATTTTTTAGTTTATGTGGTTTAAATTTTTTATCTTTCTAAAAAAGATCCCAGGTTTGACACCGTGTTCTTATAAGCCTCAAATTCTTCATTATTTTAGACTTGAAAATATCTCCACATAAACTAGAAAAAGAAACTTCCATTTTTAATAAAATTTTAGTGGGGAGTTGCTCGGATGATTGCTGATTCAAAATTGCCACCAATTCTTTTACCGATGTGGACTCGTGGCATGGCTGAGTGAGTAATCTATCATATGTATACTCTTATATTTAAATAAATTTCTAAAGTGCTTGGCCAAATACTAGACCCTATTTTCCGAGGATTGGAAAGGTTATTTTTTTAAATTTGATTTTCATTTGACTAATTTAAATTTTGTAGACAGTAGAAATTCATATCGGCACTCCAATCGACACAGCTATTTGGATTTCGGCTTCTCCTATGGAAGATGAAACAGAATTGCAGCGAAGGAAACGACTGGCTGATTTGGTGCAGGAGAAGCTTTATGCTCTTGGAGAACAAGTTGAAAAACAGAAATTTGTGATTGGAGAACGCAAGAAGAATAGTGAATCTTTAAAAAGAAAATAAGTATAATAATTGTATTTAAGGTCTGATTTTTTATATAAACATTTATTGTTTTTATAGCTGGCGTAAATATTTTAATTTTGTTTATCATTTAATTATTTTTCCATTGTTTTCAAACAATTGTTAATTTTTAAAAATTTTCCGTTCACATCTATTTATTTGTAACTACCACTGTTTTCATCGTTTTTTGGGGGTGATCCATCAGCATGCTGACCAGCATGTTTTCAGTTTGGATTGTTGCGCTAGGGAATTGTGGCACACTTTCTATCGCACTTAACTGTTCATTTCGCTCGCACTGAACTGACCCCAACTCTTTAACTGTTTAATGTCTCTTTTTTTCCCGCACTCTTTTTACATTTATTGATTTTTTCAGCGGTCATTGTTTAGACATGCAAAAGCACTGGAGTCCTCTGTTGTCCATCTTTAGCAAAGATGTTCTACACAGAATGCGTGGCTTTTCCTTTTTTGGGGATTGACCTTTTTAGGGGGAGTGTAGTATTGACTTGCGGACAAGACTTGCTTTTTCAATTTTTGAAAAATTTATCCAATTTTTTTTCAGTCTTCAGCAGCAGCAACAACAACAAAAGCCTAGGCAGCAAAAGTCCCATTCGCTTCGGCGATTCTGGGCAGCAAAAGTCCCATTCGCTTCGGCGATTCTGGGCAGCAAAAGTCCCATTCGCTTCGGCGATTCTGGGCAGCAAAAGTCCCATTCGCTTCGGCGATTCTGGGCAGCAAAAGTCCCATTCGCTTCGGCGATTCTGGGCAGCAAAAGTCCCATTCGCTTCGGCGATTCTGGGCAGCAAAAGTCCCATTCGCTTCGGCGATTCTGGGCAGCAAAAGTCCCATTCGCTTCGGCGATTCTGGGCAACGATTAAATTCCAATGCTCTCGTCAACATGGTTAGCTTTTTTACTTTATTAAATTAGCAAGTTTTGTCCGCAAGGTTTCTCCCCTAAATAAGTTTATCCTTTCTTAATGTTAAAGCCAATTGTACGGGGACGCCAAGTTCTTGTCAAATGAGAAGACGCACAGAAAATGTTCCATTGGTTAGATGCATTGATTTGCTTGTTTTGAATGGTTAATCTTTTGATAGGTTATTTTTATTTTTAAGTTTTTCAATTACTTAATTTTCAGTTTTGTTAGAGTATTCAGATGCCTTAAAAATTTTCAAGAGGTTATTTTTAATTATTTACTATGGTTTCAAGATTATTTTTTGGGGCAGTGAATTGTTAGGAATCAGGGATGGACTGGTTGAGAAAAAAGACTGGTTGGGTTTCAATGTTTTCTTCGGCTAGGGGTCTAGGGTCAAAAAAACGTCCGTGTATGGGTTTCAGTTCGGGTCAGTTGAGTGATTAAGACAGGCCCATAACCAGGGGGCCCTCCCCGAAAAAAATCCTGGTTACTAGCCTGGATTAAAAGGGAAAAAGTTAGTAGTCGTGTCTCTGGTCGGAAAAAAGTCCATGTTTCATGCTACCCGTCCCATCCCTAATAGGAAAGGTCAATTTGTTTATCTTTTAATTATTTTTCCAAAGTTTTAAAACAATTGTTAACTTTTAAAAATTTTCCGTTCACATCTATTTATTTGTAACTACCACTGTTTTCATCGTTTTTTGTGGCTGATCCATCAGCATGTTTTCAGTTTGGATTGACGCGCTAGAAAATTGTGGTGCACTCTCTCTGTCGCACTGAACTGACCATTTCGCTCGCACTGAACTGACTTCAACTCTTTAACTGTCTAATGTCTCTTTATTTCCTGCACTCTTTTTACATTTATTGATTTTTTCAGCGGCCATTGTTTAGACATGCAAAGCATGTACTGCGTGCCCGCTCAACTCATCTAATACTTAACTCATCCACACGCCCAAAATCGCTCAACTCATCTAAACGGCTAAAATTCCTTAACTCATCCACACGGCCAAAAACGCTCAACTCATCCAATCCTCAACTCATCTAATGCTTAACTCATCTACACGCCCAAAAACGCTCAACTCATCCAATCCTTTGGAACGAGACTATTGAGTACCAGTCGTTTGAGTCCCTGGCCGTTTGAGTCCATGACCAGTTGAGTCTCTAGCCGGTTAAGTCCCTGGTCAGTTGAGTCCCGGCCGTCTGAGTGGTTGATTACCGCCGGTTGAGTCTTGGGCCGGTTGAGACTCAACTGACCAGGGACTCAACCGGCTAGGGACTCAACCGGCCGATATTTCTAGGATTGGATGAGTTGAGCGTTTTGGGCGTGTGGATGAGTTAAGCATTAGATGAGTTGAGGATTGGATGAGTTGAGCGTTTTTGGCCGTGTGGATGAGTTAAGTGTTAGATGAGTTAAGGATTGGATGAGTTGTAGGGTAGCCATGTACTGGTTAGAGAAAAAGAATTAATACTTCCCACGGTAGAGTAGTGAAAATGCATTTCTCTGACCACTACAGGTTTTTGCATTGTCTAAACAATGGCCGCTGACAAAAATCAATAAAGCAGAAAGAGTTTGGTAAACAAAGAGACGTTAGTTAGCGTATTTCTCTGCGACGCGAACGGCGATTATTTTTAGCAGCTTTTGGTATAGTCCCTTGTCTGATTCCTTTCATGTTTTCTGTTTTTTCCTCTTTCCCAATAAATTTGTTTTGATTGCGAATTTTTCTTAATTTCGACGTGCTTTATTTCACGTTTCAGATCAGATTAGTATTTATTGTTCCAATGACTAAAGCTGAGCAAATTGTCCAAAATCGAGAGAAGAAGACCATGCGTAAATTGGAAATTCAAAAACTTTGCTTAAACATTTGTGTTGGCGAGCCGGGAGATAGACTTACTCGTGCAGCTAAGGTATTTTAAAGTTTTCCTTAAGAAATTTTTACTTCTCGTTTAGGTTCTTGGGCAATTGACTGGACAAACACCCGTTCTTTCAAGGGCCCGTTATACCGTACGAGCTTTTGGCATTCGTTGAAACGAAAAGATCGCTGTTCACTGCACGGTTCGTGGCCCAAAAGCTGAGGAGATTATTGATCGTGGTTTGAAGGTTATTTAACAATCTCTTTTTTTTATAACTAAAACTTTTTAGGTCAAGGAATTTGAACTTTATAGAGAAAATTTTTGGACACTGGCAACTTTGGCTTTGGAAACAACAGAATACGCGGCTTTTCCTTTTTTGGGGATTGACCTTTTTAGGGGGAGGGTAGTATTGAATTGCGGACAAGACTTGCTTTTTTTCAATTTTTGAAAATATCCATTTTTTTCAGTCTTCAGCAGCAACAACAAAGCAGCAACAGCAAAAGTCCCACTCTTCGCTTCGGCGATATTTGGGCAGAAAAAGTCCCACTCTTCGCTTCGGCGATATTTGGGCAGGAAAAGTCCCACTCTTCGCTTCGGCGATATTTGGGCAGAAAAAGTCCCACTCTTCGCTTCGGCGATATTTGGGCAGAAAAAGTCCCACTCTTCGCTTCGGCGATATTTGGGCAGAAAAAGTCCCACTCTTCGCTTCGGCGATATTTGGGCAGAAAAAGTCCCACTCTTCGCTTCGGCGATATTTGGGCAGAAAAAGTCCCACTCTTCGCTTCGGCGATATTTGGGCAACGATTATACTCCAATGCTCTCGTCTACTTGGTTAGTTTTTTTACTTTATTAAATTCGCAAGTTTTGTCCGCAAGGTTTCTCCCTTAAATAAGTTTATCCTTTCTTAATGTTAAAGCCAATTGTACGGGGACGCCAAGTTCTTGTCAAATGAGAAGACGCACAGAAAATGTTCCATTGGTTAGATGCATTGATTTGCTTGTTTTGAATGGTTAATCTTTTGATAGGTTATTTTTATTTTTAAGTTTTTCAATTACTTAATTTTCAGTTTTGTTAGAGTATTCAGATGCCTTAAAAATTTTCAAGAGGTTATTTTTAATTATTTACTATGGTTTCAAGATTATTTTTTGGGGCAGTGAATTGTTAGGAATCAGGGATGGACTGGTTGAGAAAAAAGACTGGTTGGGTTTCAATGTTTTCTTCGGCTAGGGGTCTAGGGTCAAAAAAACGTCCGTGTATGGGTTTCAGTTCGGGTCAGTTGAGTGATTAAGACAGGCCCATAACCAGGGGGCCCTCCCCGAAAAAAATCCTGGTTACTAGCCTGGATTAAAAGGGAAAAAGTTAGTAGTCGTGTCTCTGGTCGGAAAAAAGTCCATGTTTCATGCTACCCGTCCCATCCCTAATAGGAAAGGTCAATTTGTTTATCTTTTAATTATTTTTCCAAAGTTTTAAAACAATTGTTAACTTTTAAAAATTTTCCGTTCACATCTATTTATTTGTAACTACCACTGTTTTCATCGTTTTTTGTGGCTGATCCATCAGCATGTTTTCAGTTTGGATTGACGCGCTAGAAAATTGTGGTGCACTCTCTCTGTCGCACTGAACTGACCATTTCGCTCGCACTGAACTGACTTCAACTCTTTAACTGTCTAATGTCTCTTTATTTCCTGCACTCTTTTTACATTTATTGATTTTTTCAGCGGCCATTGTTTAGACATGCAAAGCATGTACTGCGTGCCCGCTCAACTCATCTAATACTTAACTCATCCACACGCCCAAAATCGCTCAACTCATCTAAACGGCTAAAATTCCTTAACTCATCCACACGGCCAAAAACGCTCAACTCATCCAATCCTCAACTCATCTAATGCTTAACTCATCTACACGCCCAAAAACGCTCAACTCATCCAATCCTTTGGAACGAGACTATTGAGTACCAGTCGTTTGAGTCCCTGGCCGTTTGAGTCCATGACCAGTTGAGTCTCTAGCCGGTTAAGTCCCTGGTCAGTTGAGTCCCGGCCGTCTGAGTGGTTGATTACCGCCGGTTGAGTCTTGGGCCGGTTGAGACTCAACTGACCAGGGACTCAACCGGCTAGGGACTCAACCGGCCGATATTTCTAGGATTGGATGAGTTGAGCGTTTTGGGCGTGTGGATGAGTTAAGCATTAGATGAGTTGAGGATTGGATGAGTTGAGCGTTTTTGGCCGTGTGGATGAGTTAAGTGTTAGATGAGTTAAGGATTGGATGAGTTGTAGGGTAGCCATGTACTGGTTAGAGAAAAAGAATTAATACTTCCCACGGTAGAGTAGTGAAAATGCATTTCTCTGACCACTACAGGTTTTTGCATTGTCTAAACAATGGCCGCTGACAAAAATCAATAAAGCAGAAAGAGTTTGGTAAACAAAGAGACGTTAGTTAGCGTATTTCTCTGCGACGCGAACGGCGATTATTTTTAGCAGCTTTTGGTATAGTCCCTTGTCTGATTCCTTTCATGTTTTCTGTTTTTTCCTCTTTCCCAATAAATTTGTTTTGATTGCGAATTTTTCTTAATTTCGACGTGCTTTATTTCACGTTTCAGATCAGATTAGTATTTATTGTTCCAATGACTAAAGCTGAGCAAATTGTCCAAAATCGAGAGAAGAAGACCATGCGTAAATTGGAAATTCAAAAACTTTGCTTAAACATTTGTGTTGGCGAGCCGGGAGATAGACTTACTCGTGCAGCTAAGGTATTTTAAAGTTTTCCTTAAGAAATTTTTACTTCTCGTTTAGGTTCTTGGGCAATTGACTGGACAAACACCCGTTCTTTCAAGGGCCCGTTATACCGTACGAGCTTTTGGCATTCGTTGAAACGAAAAGATCGCTGTTCACTGCACGGTTCGTGGCCCAAAAGCTGAGGAGATTATTGATCGTGGTTTGAAGGTTATTTAACAATCTCTTTTTTTTATAACTAAAACTTTTTAGGTCAAGGAATTTGAACTTTATAGAGAAAATTTTTGGACACTGGCAACTTTGGCTTTGGAAACAACAGAATACGCGGCTTTTCCTTTTTTGGGGATTGACCTTTTTAGGGGGAGGGTAGTATTGAATTGCGGACAAGACTTGCTTTTTTTCAATTTTTGAAAATATCCATTTTTTTCAGTCTTCAGCAGCAACAACAAAGCAGCAACAGCAAAAGTCCCACTCTTCGCTTCGGCGATATTTGGGCAGAAAAAGTCCCACTCTTCGCTTCGGCGATATTTGGGCAGGAAAAGTCCCACTCTTCGCTTCGGCGATATTTGGGCAGAAAAAGTCCCACTCTTCGCTTCGGCGATATTTGGGCAGAAAAAGTCCCACTCTTCGCTTCGGCGATATTTGGGCAGAAAGAGTCCCACTCTTCGCTTCGGCGATATTTGGGCAGAAAAAGTCCCACTCTTCGCTTCGGCGATATTTGGGCAGAAAAAGTCCCACTCTTCGCTTCGGCGATATTTGGGCAACGATTATACTCCAATGCTCTCGTCTACTTGGTTAGTTTTTTTACTTTATTAAATTCGCAAGTTTTGTCCGCAAGGTTTCTCCCTTAAATAAGTTTATCCTTTCCCCATGTTAAAGCCAATTAAATGGTGGCCAAGTTCTTGTCAAACGAGATACATTGATTTGCTTGTTTTGAATGGTTGATCTTTTTATAGGTTGTTTTTATGTTTTGAATTTTTTTATTTACTTTACTTTTTCAGTAGATAATAATGATATGCTGAACCTTTTGGCTTAGACGATGAAAAATGGCAATCTCAACGAGAACACAGAATTGACAGATTATGAGTTTTGAAAGGTTTTTAAAAATTAATTTTACGGGGCTCTTGTTTAATTTCTGAGTTAAACTCCTAAAATGTAATAAGTTCACCTTGAATATAATCAAATAATTTGTGTACTTCAAATATTTTTGGTCTTCGGTGTCCTTAGTTCATTAGTTCAAAACCCCGGAGACATCGCAGTCTCAGCAATATTTAAAACTTTGTTCTGCTCCCTATTACGGATTATTTTTTTAAGCTTTGTAGAAAGCTACTGTGCCACCAACAATAATAAGGAAGAAAAATCGGGTATCTACATATTGTATCAAAAATTCTCGGAGATATTGAGCTTAGAATAAGGCTAAGATTACATAAAATAGTTTAATAACATCCCGAATGTTTTTCTTTCAGCAAGACAATCAACACCAACAGGAAAAACAACAAGAAGATGGACAACGAAAATAAAGAACAAACTAATCAACATTCAAAATTATATTCGTGGTAAGATGCCTAAAATTTGTTTTTTCTGTGTCTTTTGTTGTATAAAGTGTTTTATTTTTTGTTGTGTTTTGTACAAGTTTTAACTGGACCCGATATTTTGCACAACCCAAGACTCAAACTTTAGGCCTCGACATTACCAGTATTTCAAGTAAATGTGACAGTTGGATTTAGAGAAATAATAAAAAAGAAATAGTGCAGGCAGAGAGAAAAATTAAATTAATAAATGACATTTCATCCCTAAAGTTAGAGAAATATAAAAAAGAAATAGTGTAGTTAGAGAAAAAAATTTACTCAAAATTATGGACGATTCAGTGCTGGCTGTTGAGAGCGAACTGACTACGGTTAATAATAAAAACAATTATCGACTAGTATTGATTTTATCGATTAGTATTGATTTTTTGAAAATTCGTAATTTTACAAGTTTAGAAATATCGATTTTATCGATTGATATCGATTTATTGATTTTTTATCGATTTTTAAAAATACAAATAATACAAGTTTTGGAATTTTGCTTCCATCGATTGATATCGATTTATTGATTTTTTATTGATTTTTTGAAAAATAGAAATTTTAAAGTTTTAAATTATCGATTTTATTGATTTTATCGATTAGTATTGATTTTTTTGTAAGTGCAGAATTTTACAACTTTTTGAATATCGATTGATAACGTTTATATCGATTAGTATTGATTTTTCGGAAGTGCAAAGTTTTACAACTTTTCGAATATCGATTGATATTGATTTTATCGATTAGTATTGATTTTTGAAGTAACAAAATTCACATATTTAAATTTTTTATATTTTTACCGTAGCCAGTTCGCTCTTAATATGCAGCACTGATCCGACCAAATAATTGTGGTAATTTATTTCTCTAACTACACTATTTCTCATTAACATATATCTCTAACCCTAATAGAGTCATTTACTTCAAATTATAGGGAACGGTTGAGTCAGAAATGTACGACATAATGGAACATAGGGAAGGAACGACAAAATGGAACATAGGGAAAGCTCGACAAAATGGAACATACAAAGGAGAGCGGACAAAATGGAACATAGTCAATTGATATAAATTATATTGCAAAAGTTTAAAAATTTTGTATTTTTATAAAATCAATATCAATCGATAAAATCAATATCAATCAATAAATATTGATATTTTAAAACCTTAGAAACTTTTTTCAAAAATCATACTAATCGATAAATTCAATATCAAATAATAATTTTTACAATGTACCGTAGCCAGTACGCTTTTAGCAAATAGCACCGAAGCGACCGGAACATTTGTTATTTTTTTTCTCTACCTACACTATTTTTTATAATTTCTCTGACTATGGGGATTAAATGTCATTTATTCGAAGTAAGACACAAAAATTCACATTTTATTCAAAATTTTAGAAATTATGTAACACAATGACCCGATTTATTGACTTTCAATCGTTCTCATTGCTCCGTAGCATGATGTCGGCTTCCCTGTCCTCCACTTACATTCATTGCTGATGTTGCAATCACGTAGAGAATTCCAACAAGTACAATCAGGATCATCAAGCTTAAAATCAGTTCATTTTTTGGCAATAATGTATTGACACCACTCACTTGACTGTAAGAATAATCGTGTTTTTGTCGATTCCTGCAGCCTCCGCTCTCTCAACCATAGATTGTTTCCTTCCCGAATCTTTTCGACTTCCGACTGATAATTTATGACTTCCGGTAGAAAGCTTGTGGGGATTAAGTTCGGACATTTTTTCAGAAATTTTTGGGAGGAATAATTTTGGAACAAAATAAGTTAAAGTTTAAAGTAAATATTTTCGTTCGGTTAAGCGTTCATTTTTAAAACCAGTGAAAGATTGAACATTTGTTCAAGGAAAATAAAGGTTCAATTATAAAAAAAACAAAAAAAAGCATGTTATGTTCGCCCGCTTAACTAATCCAAAATGATCAAAACTAAAAGGGCAAAAAATCAAAAGGGTTAATCCCTGGCCGTTAATCTTTTTGAGTGTCGATATTTTAGGGACCCATTAAGCTATTTATTAACAAAGAAGCTATGCTAAAAGTAAAGAGAATAAACAGCCTCTCTTCGATCTTACTTACTTTCGATGAACGAAGAACGGATGACGTGAAGAAAGAATAAAAACTATATCGAAAATTATAAATATTTACCTAAAAACAATCCAGATCCAGGCCTAAATTCTTTACCGGATCCAGAGTCAAAATTAGAGTTACTTAATTTTTCCTTGACTCAAGGTCAGGAATTTGGTCAAGATCCTAAATTGGAATCAAGTATCAAGGTTTTTAATAGTTCGATACCTAAAAGCAACACATAATAAACCTATTCTGCGTTATGATGAGAAACTTATCCTAGTCTACACCCAAATAAACTCACTTGCCTAGGCAATTTATTGAGCAAAAAACAAGAATAATAACAAAAAAATAAACCTAAAAATTATCCAACAGACATTTCAATATTTTCTTCTTGTTCTAATTCCTTCTTTCCTCTTCTCTTTCCCGAATATTTTTGTATAATTTCAGTAATTGCTCGTTTTTTAACATCTTCAGCCATTTTTAAATTAAGTACAATACAAAGACCAGGCAAACGTTCAATACTCCAAGACAATACTTTCAATTCTTGTTGATCCAAACGATCAAAAAAGTTGGAATGAGAATGTAAACGTGCATATTCTCCTAGGTCAGCATCATTTAAATGTTCCACATCCTTTCGAGGTGCTTGTCTTACAAAGAGTGTGCCAAAAGTCTGTGAAAATTAAAAAAATACAATTGGAGCAGTTCAACTGAGTCACGACCCTATAACTCAAGAAGGGGTTGATAATTAATTACTATAGTGTATTCAATTCTCTATCAAATGGTACCAAGAACATTAAGAGCTACCAATTCATTCATAAGTTATAGAGGCCGGAACATCGTTGAGGTGTACCCATAATTTATAAAAAATCTATAAAACATACACATAAAACAATATCAATATCGTCTGAATAATCCAGCTTTGGCCAAATTTGTTTATCCAAAGATTCATTTAACCTCCATGGAACATTTTTATTAATCAATTTTGGAAGTTTTTGAAGCATTTCCCATTGCTGATTTGCTGCATCAGGAGCAAAAATCTTTAAAAAATTTGAAAAATAATATAAATAACTAAATTAACCTGTGCCATCACAACAATAGCAAACAAACATCTTTCCAATTCTGGACTAGTTTGGGCCAAATCGGGATTGGCAGAAAATTCTTTGTGAACAGCCTTTGTCATATCAATTAAACGAATTAAGGCAGTATTGTGATAACGTAGAACTTCCATATACATACTTATCTTTAAAATAAATAATTTTTTATTTGCTAAAAAAATTAAAAAATATCTCTCACAGCTTTCACATGTTTATTATAAATATCTCGAAAGACAGTTTCCGTTTTATAAGAATCTAGTGTTGCCCCAACATTATTATTTACATTTATTCTTTTATTAACATAACCATCAACAAATGTTTTAAATAATTCTAGCCATCTTTTTAAACTTTTTGCTTCTAAAAAATAAAAAAATCTGTTTAATAATTCAGAAAAATATACGAAAAGTTGGATAAGGATAAGGCCAATCAATTGGCATATTTGGCCGAGCTTCAAACAAAAGTTGTAAACGAGTAAGATCCTTTCCATATTTCTCAATTAATTCCAAAGGATCCTAAAAAAATTGATTAAATCGAGTGAAAATCAGAAGGGGCTCAAAAACTAACCACGCCATTCAACTTCGATTTTGACATTTTTTCAAATCTAACGCGAGCCATCTCGCCAGTAGGTTTATGCATTAATAATTTGTCTGGAGAACCTAATAAAAACAAATGTGGGTTAAAATTTATTTAAAGCAAACGTGGATCTCCTTCAACTTCATTAGCTGGTACATATTTTCCATTATTTACCAATTGAAATGAACGTGAACGAACAACTCCAAGTGGAATAAATCTAGCAAAAGGTTCTGCGCAGGGAAGAAGACCAATGCCATGTAGAAAATGGCAAATAAATCGTGCAAAAAATAAATGCATTAATGCATGTTCAACACCTCCAACATAAACCGAAACTGGCTAAAATTTAAAGAAAATAAAGAAAAAAGAATCCAGAGTAACCATTTGACGATTAGCAATTTTTGGGTCAAACGGCATCTTTTGATTATGTGGATCCAAAAATCGCAAAAAATACCAACTAGAATCAAAATAGGTATCAAGCGTATCATTCTCTATTTGGCCAAAACCAGAAGGTAGGCTGAAATGCAGATGTTATTTTTATAAATTATCTACGAATCTCATATTTCAAACCTCTTAATTTCCATATTTTTCCCTCTCTGCTCGCCAAGAATTGGTAAACATTCTTCAGGTACTGGTGCTACATCATTTCCATCAATAAGCATAGGAATAGGAGTACCCCAATTTCGTTGACGTGAAACAACCCAATCGCGAAGTTTTCGACTAGTTTGGTAACCACCAAGATCAAGGGACTTAAATTTTTACGAATTAATTTCAAAAAAGGAAAAAAAACCTCTGCTAAATCCAAAATTTGTTGATCAGTCATTTCAGCATTTTTAGCTTGGCCAATAGCTAATTCCTTAGATATTGAACGATCCAAAGTGGATTTAGACAAAGAACTTCCCAAACGACAATCCATGTAGAAAGGAGGTTGGTCTTCATCAGTAATGGCAGATTCGTGAACAATTACTAAAGGCATCTGTTGATTTGTAACAAAATTGAACACAGTAAGGCCATCAATTGGAGCTGATATGTGAATATTATAAAGAGATAATCTTATCAAATTTATAAAAAAAAATTTTACCAAAAAGTTGAGAATCTTGCAATTTTTCGCCATAATATCTTGCTATATAATGACTCTCCTTGAGAAGAACAAATTGGGCAGAACATAATTGTGAAGGGGATTCTATCCGCAAATCTAATTCTTCATTTACTTGTTGAAACTAAAATATTTTTAAATAAATGAAGAGTATCGACTCTCTTGAAAAAACCTTAATTGGAAGTAGGAAACGATAGACATCACAAATTCCAATCCAATCATTTTGAATAGCTGCTACACTTGACCATTCAAATTGAAAGTTAGGCAGCCCATCAAGTAGACGCTAAATACTAACATAAAAATAAATTACATATTAAAAAATTAATTTCTATTGGATAAAAGAAAAAACGAATTCGTCAATCTCTAAACACAAAAAATACCTTCGCATATCTCGGTGTGTCCACGACCCATTGGTTCAACCGACGTTTTTCTACCAATGCGTTTGAACGCCATGAACGACCATTTACGTCCACCTAGTTTTTACAAAATAAATATCAATAAAATTTATTCTAAAAATTACCTGTTCATCTGCAAGTACTGTCTTGTCAACAGGATCCCAATTAACTTCAGAAAATGCTCTTCTAACCAAACCGTGTTCATACAATTTTAGAAAAATCCATTGAGTCCAACGAAAGTAATCTGGCTGGCAAGTGTATACTTCTCGATCCCAATCGAATTTAATCCCAGTTTGAAGTAATTGATCCTTCATATCATCAATATTTCTTTAAAAATAATTTACAAAAAAATTGTTTAATAAAAACCTGAAAGTCCAGTCTGCCGGGTCTATTCCCCTCTGAATAGCAGCATTTTCTGCAGGCAATCCAAAAGCATCCCATCCAATTGGGTGCAAAACTTTATAACCTTTAAGCGCATAATAACGACTTAGAGCATCAGAAAGTGTATAAACTCTTAAATGTCCCATATGAAGACGTCCAGAAGGGTAAGGAAACATTGCTAAAATGTATTTGAATTCGTCTGATGTTGTTGTAATTGATGAAAATTGCTGTGAAGAACATATTAGTCGTTGAATAGATTGAGGTAATTGAAAATGTCTTGAATTAAAATATTGCAAGGTTGAGCATGGACAATTAATTGTTGATCTTCGAATAAATAACATTTTGTGCCTAAAATTTAAAAAAATTCTGTTAAAAAAATCAAAAAAATTAAAAAAAACTTGATAGAAATCAAAAGTTAATTTTACAAAGCGACCGTTAACAAAACGGAATTTTACATTTTTCATTTTGTCTCTCATTTTACTAAATTTCGAATTGTAAAATTTTAACTAGTCAAAACGACTTTACGACAAAGCAACTTTGTCAACCGACAAAACGTCACCTTACTGCAAATTATACAAAATGCCACAAATTATGTAATTTGTTCCAAGTTTCTTTGAAGAAGTCTAGCGCAAATCAATTTGGCTAAATTAGCGTTCGGCGATGACGCAATCGATTGCTAAATAACGCTGGAATGCTCAAATGATTTGTGGTTGTGTAATTGTTGTTGTTACAGCTTTTTCTATTCACAAATTTATTTTAATCTTCCTTAATTATCTAAAACATTAAATTTCCTTAATTAAATAGTATGTAGTCTATAGATTGTATTTAATGCTTTAATATTTTTTTTCCTTTTTTTAAAGCATTTCCCATTTATTCTCTCAATTTCTTTTTTGTTTGGTTTATTAAATTATTCAGAAAAAAATTATTTAAAAAAATTATTTAAAAAAATCCCCATATGGGAAGATTTTTTATTAAATTACATTTTATTTGTTTTAATTTTAAAAATTCTCTCAAGTTTTTTTCTCTCTCTTTTTTAGATTTAATTCAATTTAATTTTTCAACTTTTTTTGGTTGGCAGAATTTTTGGTTGACTTGGTAACGTTTTTTTAGTTTTCTTTAAAAAATATTTTTAATAAATTATTCTTTTAAAATTCATGTAAAATGTCAATTAGTCTTTTTTTAATGATTTTGACGCAATCTTAACGAGCAAAAAAATAAAAAAAACATTTTCTTATTTAAAAAATATTTTTCAGAATTGTTTTTAATGGAAAAGGGAGCTGTCGAATTTATTACAAATTCAACTTCAATTTTACAATTCTCAAACCGGGATGTTTTGGACAGAATTTTTGTTGTATGTTTGATAAGTTTAATTTCTGTTTGTAATGTGCTTATGGGATGTGAGGTTAATTTTGAGATTTTTAAAAGTTTTTTTCTTTTAAAATTACTCAAATTTTTTAGTTGAATTTACATGTTGTTTTATCGACCATTAAAAGACCTGTGGCACCAGCAATTGGTTTTTTCACTCAATTTGCAATTATGCCTTTGGTTTAATTTTAAAAATTAATTTTTAAAAAAATTTTATTTTTTAGTTGGCCTATTCAATTGCAATTTTTGTACTTTCTAGTAAAGGAATGCATTTATTAGCTCTTGGATTATTTGTAACAGGATGCTCGCCTGGTGGTGGGGCCAGTAATTATTGGACAGTTTTACTTGGAGGGAATACAAATCTTTCGATAACGATGACTTTTTGTAGTACAATCGCTGCTTTAGGTTTTTATTTTTAAAATTATCCAAACTCTTAATTTTTAATATTTTTAAAGTTATGATGCCGTTGTGGATAAAGTTGTTGGGTACAAGGCTAATTAAAGCTGTAGCTCCAACACTTACGATTCACATTCCATATAGTAAAATTGTTGCTTCATTGTTCACTCTTATTGTTCCGGTATACATTTTTAATTTAGACTTCATAATTAGAATATTTACTTTTTTAGCTCTTCGTTGGATTAATTATTGCCAAGTACAAACCTCATTGGGCTATTAGAGCACGCAAAGTATGTGAATCATTAAAAAATTAGTTATAATTGATCTTAAGTTATTACGACCTTTCATCATTTCTGTTCTGATAGTGCTCATCATCTTTGGTGTAGCAATCAATCTATGGCTGTTTAAATTGATCACCTGGCCTATCCTCTTGGCGTTAGTTTATTCTAAATTTTCTAAACTAGAACAAAAAATTCCTAATTTTTAGTGGACTTCTCCTTCCTTGGTGTGGATTCATGTTTGGATGTTTCACTTCTATCCTGTTAGCTCAAGATCCACCCGACGTCACTGCAATCGTTAGTTTTTTCAAACTACGAATTTTTTTGATGTTTAATTTCAGGCAATTGAGACAGGCGTTCAAAATACGGGGATTGCAATAATGCTGTTGAAGCTTACCTTTCCAGGAACGGATTCAGATATTGCTAGTCTTCTCCCCATTACTGTTGCTTGTTTTACTCCAGCTCCACTTTTATTTGGTTATGCCATTCATACACTGATTAAACGATTAAAAGAAAAAAGAGTAAAACCCGGACTTTGCCCAGCAGACAGTTCGAGATCCCCATTGGCAAAGAATGAAGAGGAGGAGGTGCAGCAGAATTCAAGTACAGGAAATTCTGATGATGATGAGAGTGACAGGATAGAAATTGTTTGTCCAACGACTGCTTTATGATTTATACAATCTCATCGTATAATTTTTAATTTTATAGGGTAAAAAGGTAGAGGTCTAATTCATAATAATTGTCCATTGTTTTTATAATTCGATCTCTACTAAAAGTGATTTAAATAAAGGCAAGTAAAAACTAACTAGAATCTCCATCCTTGATTCAATACCAACTTTATTTTCGAAGGAATCGGAAGGGACATGTTCTGAAATTTTCGATGAGTTGTTTTTTGCCTTTATTTATTCATTTATACCCATACCATAGGAACTATTAAAAGTATGCCGGTAACCGACACAATATTATAGGACCTAAATATTTCTATTTATAAATAATATGGATAGTTTTAAAAAATATTTGTGCCTTTCTTTCAAAAAATAAATTTTTTTGAAATTATTTTTATAAATTTAAAAAGAAAGGCAATTATAATTTTATGTATTTTAAACGGATGTAAAATAATATTTGGGTTTTATTTTTGAATTTAATTTTCTTGTAATTTTATTTACTTTATTTTACATCCGAAAATCATTTTCTGTGCATTTTATTTTGAGTATTAAATATTCCGACGATTTTTATTAATAATTTTATATGAAAATTTAAATTAAAAATTTCTGACAAAAAGTAGTGTATAACTTCATGTCTATTATAAATTATTGAAAAATTATAAAAAAAAGATCACCGCAATGAGATCGTGCACACATCCACATAAAGTTAACAAATTATGTCAAGTTTTATAAATTATTTTGCTGAGCGTTGATAGCTTTAACCATCGCCAATGGGTAGAAAAATAGTCGAAACATTCTCATCTATATTTATTTTTATAATTAATAAAATTAAAAGGCACACGGACATATCGGTGACATATCGGGATATTTCAATGTTGCCCATTGCCCTATTGAAAAAATACAAGGGGTTCTTTTTCTCATAGCAATCCCGATATACCGACCCGAATTGTCTCTCTGCCGTTGAAAAATATATTAAACCTTTAAAAGAGCATATTCAGGAGTTGCCCGGACTTTGTCTTTGATGTCGCTCCATCCATAAGCCTTATCTAGATCAAAAACTCGTGGAGTTTGCGTTGATGTTCCAGGCGCATCAGGCTCAAAATCACGATATGAGTTCAAATCTTTTTTTAATTGTTGTCGAATTGTTTTCTAATTTAGCAAATTAATTCGTTAATATTTTCAAAACTTACATTATAAAGGTCCATACAAGTAACAGTCGCTATACATGGCGGTAACAAATTCTTCAAATACATTTTCATCACTCTGTTTTGAATAGAAATAATTGATGCGTCCTTGACTGTTAAATCTTTCTCTTTTCTAACAGTAAAAAAATTAAATTTTTATAAAAATTAAATTAATACTCGTGGACTGGTACAACTGGTACAGAGATTTCCTGAGTTTGTTCTGATCGTGCAGCTTCAGCTAAACTATTCAGTAATTTCGGTGGTATTTTCATTTGTATCAACTCTTTCATTGTCAAATTACGCCAATTTGATGGCAACACAAGTGGAGGTTGAGTAGGTGTAGGAGTAGGAAGCTTGATAAATGTCGGCTCTTTTGGAGCAATAATAACTTGATTATGTACCTAAATTTGGATAGTGTAATTATTCATGCTGTGGAGATGCATATCCCTTTAGGAGTTCCATAAATTTCATCAAAAATAAAAACCTTATTCACACGATCTCTCACATATTCAAGCATTTGTTGAAAAGCTTCGCCAACAAAATTCACATCAGTTTTAAATTTTTTTACTGTAGAATGATGCATTCGATGACGAATAGCTCCACATAATTTAGCCATTAAATAATGTCTTCGTTCCTCCTGAATTGAAAAATTTTTAATAAAAAATTAAATTAAAAAGAAAAACCTGTGGAAGTTTAACCATTTCTTTATTTAAATCAATTAATAATTTATCAGACCATCTAAGTCCAATAGTTCGAGTATTATCCAATTTGTCTATATTTGCAACTATTTCTTCCATAGCTAGTCTTTCTTTTTTCTTTTTTGGATATTTTCGTTGCTTCAAAACACCAATTTTTCGTGGACGTCTTTGATGTTTGATATAATAAAGAATATCACTTTAATTTAAAAAAGTTTAAAAAATTTTTTTTAAATCAACCATTCCCTTGGTGGTAACAATTCATTAATAGAAGAATAAAGTTGATCAACCCTTTCAGCTGTAAACATTTTATTATAAAAATCTACGCATTGTTTAGGATCTTCTGGTAATTCTTTTTCTTGTTCTAATTCAGCTTCAAATCTAACATCAGATTCCTTAAGCCATAATAGAGTCTTAAAATAAATGGTAATTTATGACAAATTTGTTTAAAAATATTAGAATAACATTCTATTCGTAGCACACCGTTTGCATATTAAAAATCCAGTTTGACATTCCAAAATCTTTTAGGAATCTGACATTACGGAACCATTCCCGTAGTTTGACATTTCGGTGGATTTGGGTTTCTTTTGGCTCCCTAAACCCTCCCTTTATAACATAAAGTCCTTTTATCCAAACCTCTTCTCGTATTTTATCTGGAAGTTGTTCTAATTCATGTAATAAATCATTATGGTCTTGTTCATTCGGATTTTTATATTGATGTTTCATCCATCTACCAGAATTCATAACACTCCAATCGTCAAATTCTTTAACACGCAATTTTGTTACATTTGCTAAAAAAGATAAATTTAAACAAAATTTTACCTTATAATCTCTCACTATAATCCAAATGTACTCCTACATTAGACGTTGCAACAAAAGATCCAAGTCCAAGTCTAGCGGCCATTGAAGCTTTTTTATCATTTTGTTTTGTTTCCAAATATTTGGAAAATTCATCCAAAATATTTTTTCGGCGAGTCTTGAAGAAACTATAATTATTCGCAAAATGCCGAAAAATGACTGGTTTCTCTTTCATTTTTACCTTTAAAAAATTTATAAATAAAATTTTTTAAAACAAAAAAACCTCAATTTGTAACTTGACCAAAAACCTAATTCGCATTCGAACATCCATATTATTTCTTCCAGGTAATATTCTGGCAATTTTGGCACATTCATCCCGACCGAAAAGACGAACACCGTAAAAGAGGCGCATGTGTTCTTCCCAAGTCCAAGGCCGATCACGCCGCTTATGATCGAGCACATGGATCCACCTGTCTCTACATTGAAGAGCAGAACGTCCTCTAACATGGTTAGAAATTTTGACCCAATTTCGTGGACCATATTTATTGATTGCTTCTAAGAGAAGCTAAAATATAAAAAAAATAATTTAATATAAATTACCCAAAACTAACAATGTCTTCCCCCTCAGTCCAACGTCCATGACGTATTTTTTCCGAAAGAGAACGAGTATAACGATATTCACAATTTAATTTCGATCTTCCAGGCATATAAAGAGCGACGAAAATTTTAAAAATAATAAAATCAATGAAAATAAAAATGCAAACCAACTTCGTTGCCAAGGGATTTCGTCTCCTACACGATGCATCAAAATCAATTTGCGCAATTTCTGATCTTCTACCGGGGTCCACGGCCTAAAAATATTGAAGATAAATTTATCAAAAATAATTTACTTTGGTTCATGTTCATTCTGTCGTAAATAATTCAACCGTTGGAAGCATAGAAAAGGAGGTCGAGAAGCGTCAAGTATTTCGGAAATAACATCCCAATTTGAAAAATCTCTGCTCAAGTCTATTAACTTTTCATCTTCAGAAAGTGTCCAGGCTGACTTATTATATAGTGGGCACATTTCATTACACCACTTTTGGCGAAGTTGTGAGATTGTTCGGACACCTTTGAACTAAAAACTTTAATTATTCATTTCATTCACACAACTACTTACATCACGTGCAGAAAGTTTTGACCAATCAACACTATCATAATTTGAATGTTCTTTAAGAAAATCATTCACTGAGCGAGAACTAAAATATGCTTTAATTCTAATTATTTCGAAAACTAAATTCAAACCGAATATAAGTTATCCGTCTATTAATTCGTTCAACTTCGTCAATCCAATTATGTCTCTGTTCATTAGTTGTTTCCACACCAGCAGCTCGCAACTTTTTTTGAAAAATTTCTTTTCTGAATTAACAGTAATTTTGAAAAAGATATAGCAAAACCTAGAATCAAGTAATGAAATTTCGCCATCCTTCAACGAAGAACAAACGGAATCCCGTAGCAACTCAAGTTCAGTTGGAACCCCTAAAATAAAATTTTTTTAGAAAAACAGAAACACTCAAATACATCGTTTTTCCTCTTCCACTAACGGGTCAGCTGAGCATATCCTCGAAATCTCTAACGCTTCACTGTTCATATTAGGAGCCTACAAGTAAAAAAATATAAAAATATTTAAAAATTAAAAATAACCATTCCATCAGAATCCTTAAAGTAGGGAGGCCAGCAAGGCACAGATATGTTGCTATATGCTCGAGATTGTGGAACATTTTCAAATGGCCGTGATAATTTCGCACGAATCTTGCCTTGCATTCTTCTGTTAGATTCAAGTTCTTGGTCTACTTGAGAAATAAGTTGATCTAATAACTCCAAATAGGTATGATTGTTAGCTAATAATGAGGCGAATTGTGCCAAATCTGGGTTTGCTTGAATAAATTGTTGAGCCATCTCAGAGTCCAAAGTGAAACGTTCGTCATCTTGTGAGTCAACATTTGAGACAGAAAAGCTCGGGAGAATATCACTATAACTATCCGGACCCATCCAAAAAATATAAATTGCTAAAAGAAATTCGGTTATAAACAAGTAACTAAAAATATATAATTAACAAAAATAAATAAAAATCAAAGATAAAATAATTTAAATTTATTTATGTTCTATAAGGTCGAATTTATATGTGAAAAATTTTTCTACACAATGTGAAAACGTTAGTAAATAAAAAATAAAAATCACTAAAACATCCATTTATTCGGATATTAATTAATGGACTGCGCTTCCCCATTTCTGCTGAATCCAAAATATCGTCTTTACTGGAAGCTGTGGGCCTATCAAAGGATTTAATTGATGAAGATAAACAATTAACCAAAACATATAGCAACATACAGCGGTCAAAACAATCATTGTTTGTATAATACCTGAAAAACAAGATTAAGAAAAACGGAAAAATTTTCAAATATGGATACAAAACAGAAATACGAGAATGATGTCATTCGAAAGAGCTCAACAAGCCGAGTCGAATGACACCTAAATTATTCCGCGGAAAGAACACTGGGCCGAGATAAAGACCCAAATGATCAAAAAACATGAGGGGACCAAATTGTTTTATGGGATAATCCTAGTATCTAGGTAATCAGAGGATGAATCCTAGGTCATTTACAAATTAAATCTCAAAGAAAAAAATTAAAAAACCTCTATTAACACCACTAGGCACGAGAAAAGGTCCACCTGCACCAAAAACTGCCCAAAACGCAGTTACAATAATAAAAGGAATCCAAGCTGACATTTTCGAATATTCTCTGAAAAATTAAAAGATGAAAAAACTGAACAATAATTTAACAAAACAAAGTAAAACAAAAACCATGTGAAACGAACAAATTCTCTAACATTACGCTAAATGTCTAGCTAAATTGTCGGCTTCACATATTTGACCAATATAATATTTTGCCAATAAGGGTAAAAATCCTCGTTTTGCCAATAAACATTTGTTGGCAAAATGCAGATTCTTAGCCTTATTGGTAAAATATGGTATTGGTCAAATATGATAAATGAAAATGTCTTATTAATCTCGTTCTCTAACTTCTATCTCTCTAAGCTAAAATTAAAGACGAAAGGTCAAAAATGGAAAATGAGACAAAATGCCAATTTTAAATAAAGACTCAAAATCTTCACTCAACCTTCACCCAAATTTACACATAAAAATTTCCTAAACTTCGACCTAACTATTGTTCATTCTATTATTTACACTAAAATTTATTAAAATTCTTCTATTTTCAGGAATTAAATAATATTTTCTATTCATTCTGCAAGATGAAACTTTGCCCAATATGTGGACCAAAACTTTCTGCATTTTGGTTAGTATTTTTTTAACAAATTTAAGAAAATTACAAAACTTTTTTAGTATGATCATGTCTGTATGGGGAGCCATTTTTCTTGGACTGCTTGGATTGTTCTTTTCATTACATGCTGTTACACTATTTCCTGATTTACATTTTGATAAAGAACAAGAATTGGCAATGTTTAACGAACCGTAAATTTTAATCGCTTATAATTAATAATTTGGGTAGAAATTCAATTTTTTACCCCTCCCCCTCCCTTTTTCCTTCCACAAAGTATTAAAATTATTTTTAGGGATATTGTTAACGAAAAATATGATGAAAAAGCTAGACAATGTTGGGTGGCAGCTTGCATGTATGTCGTTACTCTTATTATTGTCTTCTGGCAAAACCGTTTCAATGATACACAAATCTTTTGATATTCCAAAGTTTTTATATAAAATTCTTTAGTGTTTATATTTTAACATTACAATTTCACGATTATATAAAATTAGACCGATATATTTCAGTTATATTATCAAATAATTTAAAAATAACAAACATTTATAACCATTGTATTAAAGAAAACTTTCGTTTTCCCCAACAAATAAGAGAAAATTGGTTTTTTAACAAAAACTTTTCTACATCCAATTTTTGATTAGGGTCACTAATCCTTACACCATTTATCTTCAGTGCTCCCTTTGTCATCAGTTGTGCTCCACCTGGTTTTGTTATTTCTGCTACTTCACCAAGTGTTTTAACAGAATTCTTAGGGATATTGAACGTTGACGCTTCCCCAAATAAGCCTTTTACCGTCTCAGATTCAAGCTTTTCGAGATCATCTAGGGATCCTAGAACAATTTTTGAGACAATTTCTCTGTTAGTTTTCTGATAAACTGAGGTTTAGGGCTCCCCTTTTTCTTTCCCAAGCTTTTTTTTGTACATGTAAAGGGAAAAGCTTGTGGAAAAGAAAAGGGAACCTTAAACCTTGGTTTACCCAAATTTCAAATATTACCATTAAAAAGTAATTGTGAACATCTCCTTGCTAATTCTAATCCTTCATGTCCATGTACCAAACTTGTCATCTCATCAGCCAAATGTGTTTGGGCTATCCATTTTCCCAATTTATTGTTGTGTTCTTCGATAATTTGCAAAATTTCTTCAACCTCTTTAAGAGAAAATTGTAAAAGAAGTTGTGCTGATATATCATCTAAAATGAGCAAAATGTGAAAAACTTAGGATACAAAATAATACCATGAAGTTGTCTAAAATATTGATAGAAAGCAAAGGGAGAAGATTTTTCAGCACTTAACCAAAAACCTGATCCAGCAATTCCTTTAGCTGATTTTCCTAATTTATTGCCATTTCCATCAGTTAAAAGGGGAACACAAATTCCCAAAGATTGTTTTCCTGTTTCTGCTCGAACATTTTCAAAACCAGTTTTAAAGTTGCCTAATTGATCAGAACCTCCCAACTTAAAATAACAGAAAAATTTTATTCAAAGAAATAGGGTCAACACTGAAGACCTATTGACTCTGAAGACGGTCTCTATCTCCATAGAGCTGGGTACTTATCCCCCTAAATCCCTGGATATCCCCTTTCAAAAGTTGTAGGTCTTTATGGTCAATAGGTCTTCAGGGGTGAACTTAAAGAAATTAACCTGAAAAAGACAATCATACTTTTGTGACAAAAATAACCAATCATTTGCTTGAAGTATTTGATAAGTAAATTCTGAAAATGAAAGTGTTTGTTCATTGTCCATTCGATTTCTGACTGGTCCAATTCTGAGCATATCACCAACTCTAAATCTACGACTAGACATAAGAAAATCGAGCATTGTAGTCTGAAGACGTTACACTTCAATATAAAATTTAACGAAATTTTACAAAACCTCTTTATACCAGTCAATATTGTTTAAAATTTTGAAGGGAAGAGGTTTTGATCCAGACAATGTATTGGCATTTTCCATTATTTTATGCAGTTGTTCAGTCAAAAATCTAGCATTTTCTTTCAATTCATCCCTCGATATTTGTTGCCTATCTAGAAAATAAATGCGTGCCCAAGTTTAATATTTAATTTTTAACCTCCAGTTTGTCCGCTCGGGTCACCTACAGCAGCCGTTCCTTCTCCTATCAATAATAAAGGAGTACATCCAAATTGAGATGATCTAATCAATGATGTCAATATAAGCAAATTTCCAATATGTAAACTGTTAGCAGTTGCATCAAAACCAGCGTAAAGAACATTGGGCAAAGATGAAGCATAGGATAGTATATCTGAATATTAAAACTGACTCCTAAATATTTAAAAAAAATAAACCTTGCTCTTTGAAAGGAAACATTGGATGTGTGAGGACAATAAGATCTCTTTTTTGAAGATCATCAATGAAACGTACAAGTGGAGTTGAAAAATATTTTGATGAAAAATATCGTCTAGTTAGCATCAACATAATATTTTGAAATATGTAGTTCAAGAAAAATAATTAATTTTTAAAGCTGAAAATGTAAAAAAGATTAAGAAACACAAAATAAATACATGACATTTTTACTTTTTAACATTCTGTCGACGAACATTTTTGTACTTATGACATTTTGTCGATGAATATTTTGTACCATGGACATTTTGTACTTAATACATTTTGTCCTCCGGTCGTTTGAGTACCAACCTCTGAGTCAATTCACAAAGGAATGTTTGAGTCCTTTCTAAATCCCATCTTAATCTTCTAAATTTTATTTTTCTAGTCTTAATGGATATCTCGGACACCTCAGAAGAAGAATTAAGTTTTGATGTTGTTGAAGATATCATTGATGAGTTGGTCGATAAAATTTGTTTGGAGGAACGAAGACAGAAGCAACAAACTAAGGGTAAAAATTTTGGTTGTTTTTCTTAAATTTTTTTAAATTTTAAAGGTTCAAAAAAGAAGAAAGCTAACCAAGATAAATTGTTCGATCCGGAATATTATTCTCTTCCACCAATTGAGAATCTTTGCATAAGTGTTAAGGAAGATGCAAAAATGGAAAGATTTGGTGTTGTGGAAACACAAATAGATTTTATAGGTTTCTTTTCTGTTAAAATTTTATTTAAGTTTTTCTTTAAGTAAAAATCAGACCGTTTGATGAAGCTCCACATCTTGGATATGATACAGTTTTATTTGACTCTGAACGACATCCATTGGGTGAAATTTTCGAAGTTTTTGGGACAGTAACAAATACAATGTATGCCGTTCGATTTAATAGTCCAGAAGAAGCTAAAGAAAAAATGCCTGTTGGAAAAGAATTATTTTATGCTTCCTTTGATGAAAATATTACAAAAACTGTTTTTCCAAATGAATTAGCAAAGTTTGAATTTTTGAGATTACAGAGTTAAATCTATTTTTAGGCTTAAAAATTGGGAACGTATTAGAAGACAGGATGAATCTGATTCTGATGAAGTTTTTAGCGATGACGAAGCAGAGAAAGAATATTTAGCTAAAAAGCGTCAAAAAAATCGTGAACGAACAATTTCACAAAATACAGTTAATGGATGTTCTGGTAATTTAATTACAAGTATTTTTCTTTATCATCTTCCCCTATTACAGCAAAAAAGAAAACTCGCAATGACAGGGGATCAACCAACCCCTTCAGCCTGCATCATAGACAATGGGGACAAAACCGGAATAATTACCCTACAAATCAATACACGCCTTATCAACAATCTACTTCATTTTATGGACAACAACAACCACAGTACCAACAACAACGAACTTCATATCCTAATTATATGTCACCCTATAATCAGCAACAATATTTTGGACAGCCCTCATACCCTCAATATTCAATGCATGCACCCCATTATAATTCATATAATCAACCTCCTCAGCCGACCCCTCTATTTCCTGTGCCATTTTATGCGTTACCAAATTATCTCAATGCTCCACAAATGCCTCAATCTATCCCTTATCAGTTCCAACCTCCGCCGCCACCTCCACCTTCTAATGCACCTTTGTCTCAAGACGTTATATTGTTAGAAAATTCCAACAATCCATAAACTTTTTGTTAAATAAAAATAAACCTGTTTTGATTTTTTGTTTTAAATAATTTATGCTTTTTATTGAAAAATGTTAAGTTAATAATGGCACACGTATTTTATAATTCCCAAAATAGGCAGTTAATATCACTCAAGATTCGTTAATATACACTAGATTCCAAACAAAGTTTTCTTAGAGCTTCTGTGAAACTGAATGGGGCAAATTCCTTTCCAGCTCCTTCGTAGAATTTGCTTTGGAATTCAACCCTAGAAATGGGGGATTGATTGAAGTTTAAAAACTCCGATCCTTAGAATCAAGCCTAAAAATTTAAAAATCCTTACCAATGTAACCGAAGTACATGTAGAAAAGCACTTAATCCTTCCATAATAACAAGTATAACAACAGTAAGAACGAAGAAACAAAAGAATGAGATAAAAATATGGAGAGGTGCCAGCGTACCTGAGGTATGAAAAGAGGGCATGAGAACCATATGCCAAAGTACTTCTGACAATTCTAAAAAAATAATATTTTAAAAAATCCAAAATTGTAATCTAACGTGCATGTGCCAGCGACAAAGCCCATAAACGAAGATATGAGGATGTGTGTGAAATACAACCCAAACAAAATTCTATTGTGTGAATTGCTTGATGAACTGATAAATCAGTTAATGACTAAAATTGAATAAATAAAATATTTAAAAATTAAAAAAAACCATTTGATCTTCTGCATTATAAGCAATAATATCCTCTTTAATTGGATTCTTTTCAGAATCACCTTCCTTCAAGTTTGTAATACTTTGAGTATTTGTTATTAATTCTGCTACTTCTGAATCCATCTTTATTCTGACTGACTAAAAGTAATTTAATGTTACTTTATGGATATCCGCCCCTAATTTGGTAGATGGTCAAACTTCCTAGTTTCAATCATTAATATTCTGATTTGAATATGTCTCAGGGAAAGAGTGAACTCAAGTTAGAGGGGCTGGATATCCATAAAGTACCAATTTAATTTTTTAAAAAAAGAAAAATATTTACAATATTTTTAGATCTATTTTTTCGAGTTTCCTTTCTTCCTTTATTGCCAGCAGGTTGTGTTTTTTCACGAATAACTCGAGCTATCGGCTTCGAAAATAGCATTATAGGCATACAAAGAATTGCAATACCAACTAAAATAGCTTCTATTGTTGCCTATTCAAAAAAAAAAGAATTTTTTTTTGTTAAATTCCTTCTTCAACCTGTTCAGGATACCAAGTAGAAAGATGACAGTTTGGATATTCTTCTGTACTATTTGGTTTAAGAAACCCTTCTTGTCTTGATTTGTACATAAACATATTAATAAGCCCAATTAGAAGTGAAGGTGCACAATGACTACCTTTGAATAAAATTTAAGAAAACTTTCCAAAAAGAAACCTGGATACAAAAAGCCAAAAACAATTGATGGTTTTGTTGAGAAAAACACCCATTTTAGAATAATTAATACACAGAGGTAAACAAAAATAGAAGACAGAAAGATTAGTGAAGGTACTGCTATTGTCCACAAGTTTATGGCAGAGCGAAAGAAACTGAAGGATTTTTTAAATTTTAAAAACAAATTTTCAAAGTTAAAAAACCTAGCATTTAATAATGAAAGAATTAAACCAAAAGCCATTTGAGTAATGCCAAAAATTACAGACATTTTCATCTTGATTTAAAATAAAAAAGAAACTTGAAATTAACTAAACCTTCATTGAATTGATAAAATTTAATCTATTATCTGCCAAATTCCAGATTGGATCCATTCCAAGCAAATAAGGACCTTCCTACAAAACGAGAAAAATATTTGAAAATTTTAAAAAATTTCACCTCTCCCAAAAAAGCATCATTTGGGTCAAATATTAAAGAAGCTTTTTTTCTAATTGATAATGCCATTTTTTGTAGGCCTATTAATTCTGTATGGCTTAAAAATAAATTTTAAAAACGAATTTTAAAAGATTCTACTTGAACGGATTTCGCCATTTTGATCCAAAAATGTTAAACGATTTGGAGAATGTATCGTTGTATATTAAACCTGTATACATTGAAAAAACACCCATCATCATAATTATAAAACGGCCAGCAAAGAAAGTGTTGAATATCTTTAAAGAAAAAAATTTTTTAATGAAAAATTAAAAAAACCTCTTCTTTAATTCTCATTCCTATTATTCTTTTTTCTGAAAGTATAAGAGTAATTCCTGCAAGAAACAACAATAGTCCATGTCCAAAATCTCCAAACATTATGCCGAAGAAGAAAGGGAATGTAATGATCGAGAATGGTGCTACAAAATCTTTTTCGAAAGTAAAATTTAATTTGAATTACCTGGATTTATTTCTCTATAAGAAGCAATTCCATAAGAATCTACAATATTTTGAAAAATTTGAGTAAATTTGTTAGTTTTGTTATATGTTGGGTGCATTTCACTTGTTTCTAATACATTAATTATTGGACGAATTGTATAGCCTGCTCTATCCTTTAAAAAAAATTTCAAAAATAAAAAAATAATTTAACCAACCACAGCACGATGCAAAATTTGTAAAACTGTATCCATTTCCCTTTCAAGAATCTTTAAAAAAAATTTCGAAAATTTTAAATTAAAAATTGAAACAAACCCAACATTCAGCTACAAAAAAATTTCCACTCGTATCAAAAGTAAAACAATTGAGTGTATGAAAAATATATTTTTGTAAATGTATTTGACGTGTCCATTCTGGTAATTCAAAAGCAACACTTCTCAATAACTTTAAAAGTTTTTTTAATTTAAAAGATAAAAACAAAATTAAGAAAAACCTCCATTTTGTGTTTATCTGTTGTTTGTATTACTAAATCGAGATCATGAAGTCGAATAAGAATTTCAGCAAGTGCTAATTGTCTTTCTTTTGAAGTTCTAGGGCAAGGAACTTGTTTGGCATTGAAACTAAAAAATACAAAATTTTTTCTAATTTTTAAAAGTTAAAAACCCCTACCCATCACAAACTCTGTTAATTATATCCTGTAATTTGCTTCCATTGAAAAATATTATAAAAACAGATTTGCGCGTAAATTTGCCCTAAAATAAGATTAAAAATTTTTTCTTGATTTTTAAAAAAACAAACAGTATCAGGATCTTGAAAATCAGCATCAATTTCAGCAGTTCTCACAAAGGCTGTACGTCGACATGCTCGCCAGAGGACACGTTCAAAAGAATGCCTTTTTTGAGTTTCTACTGTACCAGCAACAAACCATGGAGTTTCTGGGTGTCCATGTTCTAATAAAGGTTTTAAAGGCATTCCCTGAATGTACAAAATTAGTCAGAAAGGTTAGAGATTTTTGAGAAAAATAAAATTTTCTTACCAAATCATTTTTCTCTTCCTGTTCACTTTCCAATTCCGTTTTTGCTGTATTTTCAATATGCTGAAAATTTGAAATTAAACACTGAATTATCTATAAAAAATAACGTAAATGTTCTAGATAAATCCCTGGGCGTTTATTTTTCAAAGGGTCTCACTGTGGGCCGGCTTCTATTAGAGCCAGGCTTCTCTTATTGTTAGAACATTTAATGTATTATACCTACCACTTTAAAAAATGCTTCGACCTTCTCATAAACACATTTGCTTTGTTTTAGATCGTTGTAATTCCTTTTAAGCTGTGCCTCATTTGTAAGGAATTGACGAAAGTCTCGTTCAAATTCAAAAAGTTTAGCCTTTAAAATATTTTTTATGGGAAAATATAACAAGAAACAAACCTCCAAAACATAAATATCACGCATTGGTGTCACATCTGCATTTGAAATGTCAAGATTAGGAATGTGATCAGTTGCACCACCTTCCAAAACTTCATTTTCTAGATAACGAAGAGAACGTTCAATTTCAGCACAACGTCTAACCTCTCGGACATAGGTTCGTTGGAAAGTTGTGAGTTGATGATTAAGCTTAAAAATAATTTTTAAAATTTTATATCTTAAAATTTTATAAATTTACATCTTTGAATTGAACGAGAGAATATTTTCCAAGTTCCACAACACAGGCATAAGCAGCATCTCTGAAAAGAAAAATGGATCCACCCCAGAAAGTCAACACCCTAGTAGTCAACTGGTCCTGGAGATCAACACTATTTGGGGGATAATGGGGGTTAGCATGCTCACTTTTGCCTTATCCCTTAATCCCAAAAATCTTCCAACACCTCAAATCGTCCTAATCTGAACAGATTGAATTTGACCTTCTGGGCTAATCCCAGAAAAAATATTTTATTCAAAATTTAAACTAACCTCTGTACAATTAATTGACATAACTTTAATGGCTCGCTTCGAAAATTCATAAAAATACTTAAATTAGTAGTTAAATTGTTTAGTTAACTAGTCAATAATAGTTCACTAATAATTTGAAAATATAATCGGTTTAATAATTAGCACAAAATAATTTTGAGTAAAAATAAAATATACAAAAGTGACCTTTCTTCTTTTCTTGAATCTGAAAAAAGAAATGATAAATTAATATAGACAGTAAACTAATATTTTACCTGTGCGTTCCATTAGATAATAATATATGAGAGGTTGAAATGATCAACATTATCGGAATGTATTGCATGAACAATCAATTAAATAATCTTTTTGAAATATTTTTAAGTGCGTGAAATTTTTAGACTGCAAATGGCTGCTCCTCAATTCGTCCCACATAGGATTCGTCCCATTGAACAAAAACTCCTAATTCGTCCCATTGAACAAAAATTCCTAATTCGTCCCATTGAACAAAAACTCCTAATTCGTCCCATTGGACAAAACCCTTAATTCGTACAATTTCAAAATGCCCAGCAGAGTAAAAATATCAATTCATCGAACCATAATTTAAAATGAGAGCAATGTAATCAATCTTATCTTAACATTAAGTTCTTTGATCATGGAAGTAATAAAATTATTTTTTATAAAATTAAGTCCTAAAACGATTTTTTGAATTTTAAAGATAATGTTAAGAGCAAGTGTTACGGTTAATTTTACACTTAACACGTTGCGATGTTCAACTACCGGCTGAAAATACATAAAAGAGGTCTTTTAAATTACTATTTTAATATTTTTACTAAAATTAAAACTATTTTTGTCTACTTTTCTCTCAAAATAGGAAGCATATCCTTAAAGCCATTCTTTTATCATCAATCATCTACCACCTTTTTACATTTATATTTATTTTCTTTCAATATATCTTTTTGTTTTGGCTACCACACTTCTTCCTTTTATCCTTTCCATCAGCCTCTCCAGACTTGGATTCCAATATGGGCTTGTTTTTTTAGCTTTTTCCTTTTACTTATTATTTTGATGCAAAATTTTTAATGCAAATATTTCAGGCTTTTAAAAAACAAACCATCTAGTTTTTCTTTCTACACCAAAAAGTAGCTTTTTTTAATCGCCTTTTTAATTTTTTTTGCATTCCAAAATTTTTATTCCTCATATATGTACGTAAAAAGTATAAAAAAAGCCAAAAGTAGAGTGGGTTATTTGAGGTAGCCATCTCATTTTACGTAAATATTCCCACCAATTTTTACCAATTGGGCCGGATATGCTTTCCTGTAAAATTTTACTTACAAAATTTTTACTTCTTTATATTTTAAAAATAATAGAAAATTGAATTTTAGTAGTGAAAATTTCGTTGTTCCTTTATTTTTTTGTTTTTTAGTAGGGTCTCTTTCATTTACACCTAACAAAAACATTATTATTTTCTTTGAAGTTTCCGCCCATTGTCCACATAATAAAGGTTTTATATAGACAAAATGACAGTCATTAATCCTTTCATGTGACTAAAAAATTTATAAAAGGTAAAACTGCGCATCTTAGAATTTTATAAATTTAAAATATATTCAAAAAAAAAACAATTTTTACTTATTATAAATTTTATAAAAATCCCAAAGATACATTTCTTTTACAATATTTTCTTCTCCTTTTAGTTAAAACACACCAATCTCTCCCTTTAAATCGACCGACTAATTGACAGCCGATCTGGCAGTTATGGACAAAATGATTTTTTATTATATATTTTTTCCTCATCTATATAATAAAACATCCTTTTTCCTCATTTTATAACTTTTAATCCAACAAATCTTTTTTGCTGCGGCTATTTATTTTTTATTTTGGCATTTTTATATTATTTAGTCATTTGTGGATGGAAAAAATAATAAAAATATAAAAATAATAAAAAAAAGATCTAAGAATGAATTACTCCCAAAGCTGTTGGTTCTGGCAGCTGTCATTAAATAGCACTATTTTAATTTTTATTCTCATGGAAAGCTTAAAATCCTTGCAAAAATTAGGAATGAGTCTTTTTGGTGTAGTTGGTTAGTCGCTATATTTATTGCTTTGAACACACAGGTTCGACTCCTTTTGGTGGTCTAATATTAATTTTTTCCATTTTTACAGGTTTTTTTAATCTTAATTTTCTCTAAAGATTATTTTCATTTTTATTAGCAAAAATATTTCTTAAAAGACTTTATACTTTTTGAGATATTCATTGCCGATTATTAACAATTTTCCCACAGAGGTATAGAGGGGAAATAAAAGAAGAATTAGCAGTCCGCGCAGTCAATTCAACAGATTAAAGAGTGAATTGCTTTGTTAAAAATTTATCCTCTAAGACCACCACCCTCCAAGATTTTCTGGGAAACTGGATAAATTCATCCTTTATTTTTTTAAATAGTCAAAATCAAAAAAAAAATTTTTTGACATGTTTTTAATGTTCTCTCAATATTTTTTGTTCGTTCAAAACACAAATGTTTGTTTTATAAAATCAAAGGTCATATTAAAAATGCTTTTCCCTCCTTGTTTTATTGCTTACCTCAGTGGATGGATCAGAGTTCCATAAAAAGTTCCCCCCTTTTCCTAAGATATATTCGCCCCGTTGATTGATCTGTATTTATAGCTTTTCCGTTTTTGCTTTTCCTTCTTCAATTTATATATTCCTTAGAAAAACATTTTGTTTTCTCTTTTTTAAACGGGATATATAAATATATACTTTCCCAACCCCCTTTTACCCTCCAAAAGATTTTCTACTTGTTCTTTTGCAAATTTTTGGATCCCCGTGGGCAGAATGATTTATTTCTTTTGGAGGACCAATTTTTAGAAAGTAGTAGTCAATTGGCAATTGTCCGCCCATTTTTTAACTTGGAAAATGAAGCGGTAGTTTAAAATAGGGACTAAAACAACAAACATTTTTTCCAGGAAGGGTGACAATGAATAAATACTTCTACATAATCCTCCTCTATTGCTTTTTAAATTTTTCTTTGACAACTTTTTAGGATTGGGGATTTATTCTCATTGCTTAAATAAAGTTATAAATATTATTTTAATAGTATTAGAGGGCTAGTACTACAAAAAAAATTATTAGGAAAAAAATCTCGATTTAAAACCTGCCAGTGCCTTTAATAAAAAATAAACAATAAATTTATATTTTACTGCCACCCAATAAATTCAAGAAATTTTGTTTTTACTTTGCGTTATTTTTTTTTCTTATTTTGAGAAATTTTCCTTTCTCGTATACATATGTATTATAAACTATAAATTGTTTGGAAGATTAGCAACTAAAAAATTTTTTTTCAAAAAAATTATTCTGCTTCATTGTTTTTATTTATCGCTCAATTTCCTTTAAACTCCTCCCCCTCTAGCTTATAGAAAAAGGACTTTGTCGGGGGAGTGGAGAAGAAACAGTCGGGCGAGTCGAGAATAACTGACCAAGTGACCACTGCCCACAACCAGCCCTCACTCATTTTCTCCTTCTCCTCTATCTCAAGACAGTCATATAAATATATATTTAGTCCTTTGTCTCCAGCCTTTAGCTTTTACTGCTTCAACAAACTAAGGTCTTATTCTCGCGCAGTCTTTTCTCTCCTTCCCCTTCACAGTTTTAAATAATAAGCCCCCTCGTTTTTATGTCCATTTTATTTTTTTCTTGTTAAAAATAAATTTTAAAATGTTTCTTTTTATTAATTTACAGCTGACGTGTGGCCCAATGTCCGAAATTTTTTCTTTCCACTTTTCTTTAATTCTTATCAGAAGCAAAGACTGACTTTAAATAATAATTAATCTTCTTTATTAACCGAGTAAACTGATCGCAAATAATGTAAATATAAATTAGAAATTGTTTACTTTAAAGTTCCGTTCATTTTGCATTATTTTAAAATTCCTTCCCCCTTTCCCGATTATTTACAAGATTATCATCTTTTTTATTTGTTTCAGAAATGACAACAAATTCCCCTCCTTCCTCCATTGCTTCTAGTAGTCATCTTATGCGTTTTGTAGAACAACCCCAATCAGAATGGATTGTTAGATCTAGACCAGCACATTTAAGATGTATTGCAATTAATGCTCAAAGAATTAGAGTTAAATGCAACTCAAATTGGGTAAATTTAAAATTTAATATTTAAGCCTTTTGCTGTTATTAGCAACTGCGCAAGGTCAAAGACTGTGTTATTGATAGCCGTCTTTGTTTAAAGAAAAATAAGCATAGCTAATTTAAGATTAAGGGCAAAGGTTTTCACTTAATTTCAGTCTTAAAAATAATTATTATTTTTAGCCAAAAAATACAAAAATACTAAAAAACTTTGCGCATTTACTATAAATTGTGTGCTAGCCATCACGAACTAAAGATAATCCCCCTTCACCTTTTGAGTTTTCGCTTTTCCCTTTTTCCTTCCATTTTTAGTAAAGGTTGCGGTCAATTTTCTTTGATGATGTGGTTGGTCATTACCATGAATGATGCTATTAATTTTCGGCCAATCAAAATTCTTTAAACAAATAAATTTTTGATAGTCCTTTTCCAAAAAATTTTATTAGAAAAGTGCTTATCTTTTTTGGCGTGTGGATGCAAAATTAAAATTATTACTTTAAATAGCAAAAATGAGAAAAAAGAGTTAAAATATTGAAGATAAAAATTAGTAAAATTAAAAATTATGATAACTGGAAATATTTTAAAAAAAATTTAGTTGAACGATGAAAGAATTTATTTGGAAAGATTTAATGATCCAACAAGCAACGAGCCTTCAATCCGTGCTAATGTTGAGATTCAACGTGCTGAACTTGATGCTTGGTTTGCAGATTTGGGAGAATTTGCATGTCAATGTTGGGCGTTTAGCGAGGAAAAATCATATGAAGAGGAAACTGAAGATTTGGATAGTGAAGATGAGGAAGAAGATGAAGAAGATGATAGAGAAGAGAATGAAAGGAAAACAAAAACACAAATACAATTAAAAGATACCAAACAGTCAATAATTCGATCGGATATTGCAAGGATAAGACTAGCATGTGGGTTTAAATATTTTTAAAATTAAAAACTGTAAAAAACATATAAATTAAAAAAATATTTTGGTTAATGGGTCATAAATAAGTTTATTTATTATTATTAGTTTAATGCGCGCATTCTCATAAATACACGCCAATTTACTTTATTATATTCTCTTTTCTTATTGCCCCCGTTAATCCAACTCTTATTATATTCTCATCTTTAAAACAAATATGGTGGCCTCCAGATAATTTAGAGGGAGAGATGATTTAGAGACATCCGCTTTTGCTGTTCCTTTCCCCTTTCCTTAAAGGCAATAATTCCTTTATTTGATTTATGTGTTCCCGTTCCACTTATTTTATTTCTTTTTTTCTTTCAAGTATTTCCGCAATTTTAATATTCGTAAGATTATTAAGGTCATTAATAATCATTAATAATAATATTTTTGAATAAATTTATGAATACATAAGCCATAAATATTTTAAACATTTTTTCGAAAATAATTTTCAAATAAGAACCTATTTGGAACATCTATAATCAAATGAATAACTAAAATTTTCTTTTTTTCTGACCGGAAAGAGCACAATTCTTGTAATTCTAGGCATGTCCAATTAATTCTAGGCACATTCCAATTAATTTTTGAACATCTGCCTTATTTTATTAAAAGAGGAAATTGTGTTTTTCATGCGGAAATCTTGTCTCCTAAAAATTTTTTAACCCAAATTAATCCGAATTTTTTGAAATTAATTATTTATCATCAAAAAATATATCGAAATTTTAAAAATATCCTTCCCTACAAGGTCACAAATGTTTGTTGTTTACATCCATTTTACTTTTCTCTACTAATCCCTTAAGGAAAAGAGGTTTTTATTGTGCGGATAACAGCACTTCCTCCTCCCCTCAAAGAAAATTAACGATTCAACAAGTGGCCAAATAAAATAATATGGAAAAGAATGGACCTCCTTCCTGATTGCGCGACTTTTGGCCATTAGCGGAGAACTGGAAAAGGAGCAGCAACTATTTGAATTAAATGCATAATTGTCTTTAATTTTGAAAATTCATTGTGAGGCTTTTCCAGCATTTGAATTTCTGCTTAATTTAAATTTATTTTTAAAATTTGGGCATCCTGCTTGCTATTTTTATTCTCATTTTATATTTTTCTCGATGCCTATCTACCTTTAATTTTCCAGTAGCTTAAAAAGAACAGCAAAAGCGAAAAAAAGTAGTTGCGCAATCACTACTCTTCATCAAATCCCCCTCAATTTTTGTTCCTTGAGTCACTCAATCTATTTTTCATTTTAAAATTGGTTCTTTCCCCTACTCAAAATAAGACATGGTCATTCTTGGCGGTCATTTATCTTTGCTCAGATTTAAGTCAGGAGAGATTGTTTGTAAAGATAAGAATAGGACAAAAACGCAATATAGAAAAGTTCTGGCATTTATACCCAATCTCTTCCTCCCCTCTTCTCCTCTATCATTTTTTGCTCCTTTCCTCCAAATGCCAAGTGTATTTTTTACCCCCTCCTCATTTTTAGCTTCTTAGTCTACTCTTATTCATGTAATCCCCGGGGAACAATGTTTGCCCAACAACACATAACCCCCACTCAAAGATGAGGCAAAACACATTCCGGGGGACAAACATTTTTGTGGGAAGTGGTTAAAGGGAAAAAGTCATCCTATCCTTTTGGAGACAAAATGCAAATTTGACCGATGGATAGAAGAGAATAAATGACAAATAAAAAATAAGAAAATTCATTGGAAATAGTAGCTTCCAAATTTAAAAATAAGATTATGAATAATTAAATTATAAATTGGATTGGAAATGAATGGGGGCCTTAATTTTAAAAAAATTTAAATATGCAAATTTAAACATCTTTTAACCCCTTTTTATCTTTTTTGTTTATCCATATTTTTGGCTTTTTCGACTTACAAGGCATAGGTACTCATTCACCTGTACAAACATCCCCTTTCCTCTACTATCATTTTTAACTTTGTAACTTTTCCGTCAAGTCTGGTGAAGAAGATTGAATTTATTTTATAGAAATTTCAATGGAATATCCGTAGGAATCTTCTCTATATTTTATTTTTTGACTTAAAAGCTTCTGGTGTGTCCTTTCTTCTAGTAGGTCTACTTTCATCAAAAATATTACCAAACTCTTTTTGGTCGGATTCATAAAAGTTAACCCTTTTTATTCTTCTTAATCTGTCAAACTAAAAAAATCTTTTTATAATTTCTGGGCCCATTTTTTGCCGCCAAATGACCAGAAGAGCTATTTAACTAGGTAAAGTGGCATGTGGTATAGTTTTGAGGATTTAAGACAAAAAATGAAAAGGAAGGTCGAGATGGGTCATCTATAAAAATGAAAATAGGTGTGATTGTTTTCTTTTGTGACAAGAAGTGGTGGTGGTCTTTTTAAAAATAAAACCAAATTATGATCAAAGGAAAAAAGAGGAATTATTTTTTAAAGTGATTTGATTAATGAACTATAAAGAAATTAAAAAGAAAAAATAAGGATATTTTTTAAAGTTAAATAAATTATTTATTAAAATTAAAGTCAAATTTTCCATAATAACCTCATGTCCAAAAAAAGTGGCAAACAAAAATACTATTTCCGTTGTTATGCTCTAATTTAGAATTAATTGCGTACACGGAATTTCTCCTTTCTAATTTATCCCCTATGGGAGAACAGAAAACATCCCTTCCCCTTATCCTTTACTGGCAATTCCTCCTTCATTAATTTTATCTAATTATAAAAATACAAAATTATGCAATTAAAAATTGCATCCAAATAACCTCAATTTTTAGTGAAAACCTTCTCCCCGACATTATAATAGTAAATTCAAAAATAATTTAATTCAATAAAATACTGAAAGAATTATAAAAGAGATATAGAGGCCGGCTGTCAATAAAAAGGCAACTCTAGCTCTAAAATGAGAGAAAATTTCGCGACTCCTTCCTTCAAATCTTGGTTACCTCTAAGAACTCTTCTAATTAATATACTTACTTAAAAACTAATCTCATTTCTACATATCTCTGATTTAATCAAAAAACCCAAAAGGATTGTCAACAAATGTCAGAAATTATTAAACTAAGACCTTATAAATATTTAAAATTCAAATTTTTCTCAAAACTTTAATATTTTTTTCATGGACAATTTCACTCTTTTATTAATCCAGTTTCTTTAGGACGCTGACCACTTGAAAAATTAGGCGGGCATTTTCACTTTTAGGCAAAAAAAAGGAAAAAGGCACTCGAGAACCTAAAAATTTTCTTTTACTCGAATCAAGGGAAACTAAAGCTTTGATTGGGCCTAAAAAAGAAAATTGGAAATGTTTAAAAATGAACAGACTAATGAGTTTACTATGCAGAAGAATAAATATATAGATTTAATTTTTTTGAAATTTAATTTGTTTTTGTTTTTGATACTTTTCTTTGTAATTAATAGAAGGAAAATGCTAATAATTATTTACAAGCTAGAGGGATTAGTTATAAATGAAAGCGGAAAATTTAGACAAAATTAGTTTAATCTCTCCCTAATTTTTGTTTACCTTATCTCAACAAATTAAAAAAAAAACATTGTAATGCGTGGATAATCCTTAATTTGACATATTATTTGTTGTTGTTTTAAGGAAAATATTTTTTACAACAAAAATTATGCAAATTATTTAAAACAATCCTTTCATTTAAAACTAATTTTAACTAAACAGATTTACGTAAACACTTCAATCAAGTGCCTATCTCGCAACGAGTACATGAAGGGAAAACCGTTCAATTACAATGTCATCCCCCAGAAGGAGATCCGAAACCAGAGGTATTTTGTATACTAAGTTTGAATTAGTAAGAATATTCTAAAGAATTTAATTAATAGATTTACTGGCACAAAAATGGTCAACAGCTGTTTTTGGCAGATCCTTTTGGTAACGGAGAAAGAGAAAAACAACAAAACAATCATCAAAATTTGATTCAAGCAGGGGACGGAAGCCTTATTCTTTCTTCTACACATTTAAGTGACTCTGGAAATTACAGGTACTCATATTATTCCAAGAATAATTGAAAATAATTTTACAGCTGTGAAGCGCGTAATCCAGCAAGGTTAGGAGTTGATTAGACTAATTAAGGACCTTAAGTCATGAGTTCAAGATTTGATAAATTAATGGATAAATTAAATTTAATAACATAGGCGTGTCTTCACTGAACCTGCGCACGTTACTGTCTACGGTAATCTGGACTAACTAAATCCAACTAATTATTAAATTTAATCAAGTTGATGGCAGTTGGTCACCATGGACGGAATGGGAAGGCCACTGTACGACGATGGACAGTAGCAATAGCATTGATTGTCCTGTACTTTTATCTCAGGTAATTATCCTATTAATCATTTTATAATACTATTAATCATAATTTTATTTTATGTGGCAATGGTTCGCGGGGATGAGTACGCTATCCGTAGAGTATTACCAAAACAGAGGAGAACACGCACATGCAATAATCCGGCGCCTATAAATGATGGTAATCCACTTTATAAATTATTTAATGTTTAAATTGTTCAGGTCATCTTTGTGAGGGAACTAGTGAACAATTCAAAGAATGCGCTCACTCATGCCGGCTGGATGGTACGTGGGGACAATGGGAGCCTTGGTCACGACAATGCGATGTAAATTGTCAACGAGAACGAAAGCGAAAGTGAGTTTGAGAATCTATATTGAAGCGTATTAACTAGATAAAATTTAAAAGGTGTGCAGCTCCAGAGCCATCAAATGGCGGCCAGGCGTGTGTGGGACCAGCACAACAATGGCAAAATTGTACAGCAAGTTCAAGAACAGAGGATATACCAGAAAATTGCTTGCCCGGTCCTGGTTCACGTTTTATATCATCTCTCCCACATTCTTCGCTCTCATCTTCATCACGCCCACTTTTTGATTCACAATTATTAGCAATTGCTTCACTTGGTTGTGTTGCTATTCTACTTTTAGTCGTTGCTTTACTCGCTGCTCTTCTCTTCTTTGCTCGTAAGAAACGCGCAAAGGGTATTTGCGGAGAAGACATTGGTGGAGTGGGTTCTGGAATGATTGACGGAATGACAACAGGAATATTTCTTGACAGCGAAGAAAAACTCTATTTTCCCAGTGTAGCAGTTGCTACCACAACAGAAGATGGTTGGTGATTAAATTAATGAATTAATATTCGATCTCATATTTTCTCAGAAATGGGCAATGTTCGAACTGTTCTTCTCAGTTCAGACGAGCAAAAACATTTGAAGAACGGACTATTAGGAACAGCTAGTGTAGGACCTTCACCTGCACGAATTTATTCAGGCGCAAACGCTCTTCATTCAACTGTTTCTACTCCTACACCTTCAATGCAGATGTCAAATGGAAATGGTCATTTTATGACTACTTTTTATACACTTAGAAGTTGTGACAGTCGGAATGGATGTGACAGCCGTGAATCAGTTCAACCCTATGCAAGCGGCCATATCAGTGTTCAGCGGCCGTCAAGTCGAATGGTAAAACCAGCTCTCCGACAACGACAAAAAGATATTGCTGGTTAATCCAAACTCAAAATTAAAAAAAAAATAAAAATTTTAGGGTCACGCACAGCACTATTGCCCGAATATTCATCTGGCTCTTCTTCTTCCAATGGTTCTCAGCGAGATAAAAATGCAGCAGATCATTATCATAACGATAACCAGTCAATTCTTTCAATCAGAGATGAGGATAAAGAAGATGAAAATAATTATGCCACACTTTATGAGGAAGTAGTAGAACAAAATGCTAGTAGCAAAAAAGAAGCTTCTACTGAATTATTAGCTGACGACGATTCTTCATCAATGTGTACAATGCTTTATTATAATTCTCGTTTAAATTTTATACATTCATAAAATTCTATTTTTAATAAAGTATAATTATATAAAATTTAAATTTTAAAATAAGTATTTTTGATAAGGGGATGATGAACCTGAGTATATAGACAATTTTAATAGAAGTGTTTTAAATGAAAAATTTAAAAAGAGACGGAAGATATAAAGCATTTGAGAGAAGATTTGAGAGAAAGAGAAAACCAATTTAATAATTTTTGGAGCTATAAATGCTGGATAAGGGACTGGAAAAATGCAGAGAAAAAAAATTCGAATCATATGTATCAGGCCCGTAGCCAGGATTTTTTTTCGGGGGGGGGGGGGGGGGGGGGGGGAATTTTTGCGCCAAATTTTTGGCGCCGAAGGCGCCAAAAATTTTTATTTTCAGCGCCGCAGGCGAAAATTTTTTGAATATTAGAAGGTCGTAGGCCAAAAAAATTCACTCTTTCGGCGCCGCAGGCGCCGAAATTTTGATTTTCAGCGCCGCAGGCGAAAATTTTTTGGATTTTGGACCTTAAAAAGCCAGATTTCTTCCTTTTTTAGCGCCGCAGGCGAAAATTTTTTAAATTTCAGAGGCCGTAGGCCAAAAAAATTCACTTTTTTTGCCCCAGCCCTTCCCCAAATTTTTTCCTTTTTCCCATTTCGGGGGGGGGGGGGGGAATTCCCCCCCTCACCCCCCCCCTGGCTACGGGCCTGATATGTATGTATAAATATCCTAATAGTAAAGGATCAAAAATTCGAAAACGTCTGAATACAAAAAAAACTCACTCACCTGGCATGTTCCATATCCCCAGATTGTTACGAATCATTTCCGTCTTCACCTGTATTTTTCTTTTCATCGTCAATAATATTGTTTTGAGCAAGTGGTTGCATTTCAACAAGATGTGTTGTTCGTTCTGCTTCTTCAATCGTCTCAAGAAATTGTAAGCCGGAAGTTTCATGAAGAAAGAAAAAAACAACAAAGGCAGCGGCAAAAGCAAGAGTTGCGAAAGGGTAAACAACCTAAATAAGTAATAAACGTTTTAATGTACAAAAGATAAAAAATACAATAGTTTTATCAAATTTTTGAACAAGCCACATCATCATAAAAGAAGCAGTAATTGCCCCAATACGAGCAATCAATGAACAAACCTAAACAGTTTAAAATAATTTTATAACGGTAAGAAAATTAACCCCGGTAGCCATATTCCTAATCACTGTAGGGAAAAGCTCAGGCGTGATTGTATAAAGTGTTGCATACGTAGATGTAATCGCTGCTTTTCCAATGAGAAATTGGGCGATTGTAATAGAAACATGGGCTGAAATGCAAAAACAATTTAGAAAGCATAAAATGAAAATTTATAAAAACCTGTTTCGACATTCAGCCAAAGGTTAGAAATCATGCAAATTGCAGCAATAGAATATCCACAACAAATAATTGGCTTTCGACCTACACGATCTACAATGCTAAACATCAATATAAGCGCAGGAATTTCAACGAGACCACCAAATATGAATGTTGTATACATGTCACCTCCAAGAAAATCAGTCTAAAAAGTTGGATTGTAAAAACTCAATAAATTAAATATTTGTACCTTCATTGACATTCCATAGTAAACCATTGAGACAACTGGCCAACAGAAGAATGTAGCTAAAGAAATTGTTCGTATTCTCGGAGTACGAACCAAATCAAGATAATTGTGTTTTCTAGCTGGTTTGCTTTCTTTTGAGTAATCATCAATATCCTGCCACCAACGTTCAGGTAATTGCCTACCATTTATACGGGCAGCTGTGCGTAGAACCTTATCAGCCTCTTCGTACCGCTCTTGGGAAATGAGCCAACGTGCGCTTTCAGGAACTATCCTAACAATAAAATTTGATTTTTCCAAATATTCAAATTAAAAAACATACCACCAATAAGAAAGAAAAAATATTGCTGGAATTGTGACATAGGCATGCAAAAGTTGATAATCACGCACAAAATATGCTAATCCTCCAAGTAGTACCTGACCCAGAGCAAAGAATATACCGGTGAACGCGGCCGCCATTTTTCTTTTTGAAGGGCCAACCATCTCCATACTAATAATTACAGCAATTACAAAAATTCCTTAAAAATAAACCGTAAAATTAAAAAAAAAGTAAAAACCTGGATGTGCAAAGCCAACACAGATACGGAAGAGACCATAAAGCAACCAATGAGGAGAAACAGCTAATCCGGCTGTGCCAATTATTTGAAGTACAATAGCAATGAAAAAAACTGATCTACGCCCAATTCTAAAATAATAATGCTAATAAGCTCTAAAAAAAGTAACCTACCTATCACCAAGGAAGCCGAATATTAAAGAGCCTGCCATTTGTCCTATATAATACGCAGATTGAATGACTGCCTTCAGAACAGACCAATCGCATACAAATTCCCACTTAAAATAGTAAAATGTACAAAGGTAAAAATGATAAAGTAGGAAACATACTCTCTCAACAGCTGAATAACTAACAATAGATCGATCAAAAACAAAACCATTCCCAGTTTCAGCACACGTTGTTCCATTCTGAAAATTGCATTCGTCGAAAGGACAACTCTTCCACTCAAAATGACTTTTGATGTTTTTGCAGCTCGAGTTAAAAAAACCTTCAGGCGCATTCCAGTAATTGTGGGTGTCGGATGTTTCTGTGTCGAGTCTACATCTGCGCATGAAAAAATATAATAAGTAGATTAAAACAAAATTACCTATGGAGAACATCAGCACCCGCAAAAGTCCAACTTAAAGCATTAATTGATGTGATCAATGATGGAAGACAAAGAAGAATAAGCTGCGTTTTCTGATACAACTTAACGAAAACAAAATTCAATTTGCGTAATAAATAAAAATTACCCCGAATTCACCAATGTGGTTAACAATAACATCATCAAACTTCATTTGCCTGGACCCAAAAAAGCTCTAGAAAATATATGTATATTAACAAATTAACTGGGTAACCAGGTATTAAGTATCTGAAAAATTATGATAAAAATTAATAGAAAATATCAGCCAAATCTTTGATTGGCAATTTGATCAGAGATTTGACGTTTTTTCATTATTTCGGTTAATCGACAAGCTAGCAACAAGTTAACACTTTGACATTTACCAAATTAATATTAACAAAATAAATTAGCGTAACTTTTCAGTTCAAATTCTTTTGGCGTCACTTTTTTCTTAATTCTGGATTTATATCGGTTTTCGTAAATCTCCGGAGATTTCGTTTTTTGTTGTTTTTTATTTTATCATTTATCTGTTATTTATTTGTTTCATTCGTTTTTTATTATTTTTTATTCGTTTTCCCCTTGCTGCGAGCGCGCAAAAACTAAAAATAAAATTTTTTGATTTTTATAAAAAATTCTAATTTTTTCAAATTGAAGGCCCGCTCCTCCTGGGGCCTATTTCAATTGTCCGCAGATTCTGCATTCTGTGCACAGAACACAGATTCTGCGGAAATTCTGTTTCAATTAAATTCTGTGTGCACAGAATCTGTGGTGCCCGCAGATTCTGCGAAATCAACCACTGATTCTGTGGAAACATTCCGCAGATTCTGTGGATGAAAATTTCTGTGGAAAATATAGAAATCTGTGGATTTTTTCCACTGATCCACAGAATTTCTATTTCAATTATTTTCCTGTGGTTCTGTGTATTTTTCCTTCTAAATTCAAACTTTTTATTTCCGCGTTTTTGAAAATAAAGTGTTATTGAAACGAAAAATGGTTAGGACAGTTCGGTACTACTGCAGTATTAATGGTACCTGATTTTTTGAAGAAAAACTTTAAAAATTCTTAAATTAAACTGAAAAATATTGTAAAAATTTAAAAATTTTCCCTCCAAATCACATAAAATCCATTTAAATCTTTTAGATATCACTTTAAAACCGCTGATATACCGCTTAATTTTCTGGTTCATCCAATATCCTTAAATCCCCAATTAAATTAATGTTTCGGATCGGAAAAATCAGGAGATGGAAAAGTCAGGAGACTACGATAGATGTTGTTGCAAGGGAGGGAAATGTTACAAAACTGGGGATTGTTTAGTCAGAAATTGAGGTTCCTGGAAATCGAAAATGCCTGGAATCCAAAATTTCAGTCATCGGAACTTGAAAATCGTAGAGGAGGGATTAAGTGGGATATCCATTGATTTTGAGGTTTAATATATTGGAGGGATTAAGGAGGAAATCTATCATTAAATAGGAGGAGAGATTATGACGGATATCAATGAGAGATCATAGGAGATATCCCAGGCTAGATATCCTCAAGAGATCCCGGGGAAAAATCCCCTCATTAGAGATATCCATGATGATTAGAACATCATAGCTCTAAATTTCAGAATCTCTCGCGTTTTTTTATTTTTTTATTGCTTGGATATAACAAAAAATGCTAAAAAATGATGTACCTTTTTCAAAATTAATTTTAAGTAATAATTTTAAGTAACAAAATTATAATTTTTATATCGAAAAATAGAGAATGAATCAAACTCTAATAATCTTTAAAAATTCTAAAATTTGGTTAAGCCTAGGCCTAGAAAAAAATTTTTAAAGTTTTTCCGTAAAAAATTCGCAGAAAAAATTTTAGGGTGGATTTTTTAATGAATTCTGTGTATTTTCCGCAGACCACAGAAATAATTGAAACAGAAATGCACAGAATCGACTAAAAAAGCCACAGATCTGTGGATTTTTTTCTGTGCACAGAAAAATAATTGAAATAGAATTCTGTGGTTTTTGCATGTTTTTGGATGTTTTGCAGAATCTGTGGATGTTTCCACAGATTCTGTGCATGTTTCCACAGAATCTGCGGACTCCTTTTTCCGCAGAATCTGTGGAATAATTGAAACAGAATTTCTGTGGTTCTGCGGTCTGTGCACAGAACGCAGACCACAGAATCTGTGGACAATTGAAATAGGGCCCTGGACGTGCGAACTGGCTGGTTGGCTAAATTTTGTTTTTTTATAAATTTATTAGTTTTGAATTTTAATTTGTTAATTTGTCTTTTTTTAGGCCCTAATGTGTGCTCTACATTGGTGGCAGTGTTCAACATCTGGTGGTGGCTTCCTCTAAACGGTGATTTTTTCCCTAGTTTATTTAAAAATTTTTTAATTTAAAAATAATCTTTTTTATTTTAATGTATGTTCTTCCTGTGGTGGCCTTTGGAGAATATGCTACTGGTGCCCATGATCTTCGTGGTGGCCGGTTTTTAAAAATTTTTAATTTTAAAATAATAAAATATTATTTTTTATTTTTTTTATATAAATTTTGCTTTGGTGGTAGGATTGGTGGCTTTGGTGGATTGGTGGCTTGCTATGGTGGCATGGTGGTGCTTTGGTGGCTTGCTATGGTGGCATGGTGGTGCTTTGGTGGCTTGCTATGGTGGCATGGTGGTGCTTTGGTGGCTTGCTTCATGCTCTTGGTGGTTGAATATGGTTCTGGTGTGGTTTTTTATTAAAATAAAAATTTATTAAATGGTGGAAAGGGGGTGATTTTCAGCCAGGTTCTACTCCAGGCTCTGTGCGTGCTCTACTATGGTGGCTTCTCTACATGCTCTTCCTCGTCTTCTACACTGCTCGCCTGGTAAATCTTCAAATTTTTTAAATGAAAAATCGCATGCTATAAAACTGCGCACGCGAAAGACCTCTTCCTTTTTTCACTTTCTTGTTTTATCGTCCTTGTCTTTATTGTACTTTGTTTTTTCAATTTTCTCAATTTTACGAAATTTTAGAAAATTTTAGCTCAACATGTGTGGCATTGCAAAAGAGAATGTGCTTCGGTGGATGTCGAGTTTTTACAGGTTTAACTCCCCAATGGGGATACTGGAGGGGGGGGGGGCCTGGGGAGCCATTGAGTACTGGTTTTTATTGATTTTTCGGTACTAACCTGTTCTGAGTGTTTTTATCAATTTTATTTTTGGCATTCTGTTTAATGACAATTCATCCCATTAATTTTTCCCATTTGAGTCCTACACATACCTACTTTGAGTCACACTGCTCTTCCTAAACAAAGGATATTTTTTGCGTCTAACAATAAAATTTATTTTTTAAAAATTTTAGTTAAAATTTTTTACACAATTTAAATCGTTAATTTTTGCATTCACAACTTACTGATTACAGGCAGATCTGTTGCTTGCTTCTATGATGTTTGATCATTTGCCTGAACAAAAAATAAATAAAAAACGCCTGGAGAATCTTGAACGTTTGAAGAGGAAACAGAAATTGAAAATTTCTAAAAACAAACGAAAGAAGTCTGCACAACTAGCCGCAAGGAAACAAGCAAAAGAAACGGTATTTCAATATTTTTAAAGATATTTAATTAGCTTATTTTAGAGGGAATCGCTTTTTGAAAAACTTCAACTTTATCAATTGGATCAGGAATGTGCGAACCTACTTAATTCTATATCTGCAAAAAGTTCCGCTGATTCAGAAATGTAAGTTTTTATCCATACCTAGTATATTTATAATCCTAATTTAGAGCGAAAGAGCAGTCGTGTTTTCCTAAGAGATTGCGGTGCGTATCTGAAAGACAAATTAAAAATGGAGAGGCAACGCAAAATGACTATATAGAAACTGATGAAAGCAGCTCTGAAGAATCTGAGAATGAACAAACCATTCAACAGGATATAGTTGAGTTATCAACAAGTTCAAAAGATATGGATGAGAAATCTGATGTAATTATTACACAAGGTTTGTCTTATAATGTTTTTGTGAAAATTTAATTATATGGCGTATCAAAATTTTCTAATTTCAGAGAACGCACTTGAGATTGGAATGAACAATGACAAATTACAAACTGCAGAGGAATTTTTACAGAAGGAGCAAAAGAGCAAACTAAATAGAAAACTTTTTTATGAAATCCTTTCTCGTATAAAAGGGACACATATTTTTGTACAACGAGCCGAGTGTATTCAGGAAATGCGTCAGAGGCTTCCCATTATTTGTGAAGAACAACCAATTGTCGAAGCAATAAATGAGAATCCTGTTGTTGTTATTTGTGGAGAAACTGGTTCTGGTAAGACTACGCAAGTGCCACAATTTCTTTATGAAGCTGGATATACATCTAATGGACATCTTATTGGCATAACTGAGCCTAGAAGGATTGCCGCAATTAGCATGGCAAGTCGTGTAGGTGACGAGTTGGGAATGTCTGAAATTTCATCTTATCAAGTATTTCCTTTTTTAATTTCTTACTATTTTACGTTAAAATTTTTGCTAGATTAGATATGAAGGGAATAAAACACATTTGACGAAGATATTGTTCATGACTGACGGGGTTTTACTCAAGGAATTACAAGCAGATTGCACACTTTCTCGTTATTCTGTTATTATCATTGACGAAGCGCATGAGCGTTCAATATACAGCGACGTACTAATTGGTCTCCTTTCTAGAATTTGTATAGCCAGACTTAGAAAGCAATACCCGTTGAAATTGGTAATTATGTCTGCGACACTCAGGTTTTCCCCTTTTTGGTTAAAATATAGTTACTTATTTTACATTCAGGCTCGACGATTTTCTACAAAATAGGTTTTTAGCTTTTTAATTAAATTATTCAATTATTTTAGTACAGATTGTTTCCACATATTCACCCGAAGGTTATAAAAGTTGATTCTCGACAGTTTCCGGTCGCTATATATTTTGAACGCAGGACTCCGGAAAATTATTTAGAAGCAGCTTTTAAGAAGATATGTAAAATCCATGAACAATATCCGCCTGGAGATATACTTGTGTTTTTGAGGTTTTTTTTTAAATTGGTGAATTTAATAATTTTTTTCTTTAGTGGACAACGCGAAGTAAACTATTTAATTAAGCTTCTTATGAGAAGGTTTCCTACAAAAGAACACGGAAACACAAAACCTAAGAGTAGGACGAAAAGGAAGAAGCAGCAAAGAATTCCCGATGAAGTTGTAGACTATGATGAATTTTCCTTTTTTGATATGGACGATGATTGTATGGATTTTGACGAAGTTTCTATGGACGGCGACTCGTCAGATTTATCAGAGAACAAATTCCCTCCCCTGCATTGTTTACCTCTTTATTCAATGCTTCCAAAACACTTGCAAAGAAAAGTTTTTGAAGAGCATTCTAACAGAGATGATAATGCAAGGTTTAGCTTAACGAAAAAATAATCTATTAGAATTCTAGAATGTGTATCATTTCTACAAACGTTGCCGAGACATCACTTACTATTCCAAATATTAGATATGTAGTCGATTCTGGTAAAGAAAAAAGGCGAGATTTTGATCCTATCACGGGTGTATCACGTTTTGTTGTTGATTGTTGTTCAAAAGCTTCTGCTAATCAGCGCTCTGGGCGTGCGGGAAGAGTTATGTCTGGATATGCATTCAGGTTATTTATTAAGCTTATGGTCGTTATTTTTTAAATCCTTTTTAAGACTTTATTCGTCTTCCGTTTTTGAGGATATGCCCAGCTTCTCTACGCCTGAAATTTTGAATAAACCTATTGAACAGCTTGTACTTTTTCTAAAGTCTATGGGCTTTGCCAAACTTACCAATTTTCCATTCCCGACTCCACCAAAGCCTGACCAAATTTCTCATGCAGAAAATAAGTTGATGCGACTGGGTGCAATTACACATAAAAATAAGGCATGTTTTTACTCTGATTTTTGAAATTAATTTTTATAGAATGAGTTGGATCAAATAACTCCTCTTGGTTACACACTGGTTCAATTGCCTTTGGCACCTGCCTTTGCTAAAATGATTGTAATGTCTTTTCGTGAAGGTCTTCTACCTTATGCAATCACTTTAGTATCAGCTTTATCGGTTCGCGAGCCTTTAATTCCTGTATCGATAATCAAAGAAACAACAGTAGAAGATACTCAAAAAAGAATGGAAGAAATTCTCAAGCAGAGGAAACTTTGGTGCTCATTTGGAGAAGCCAGATTATTTGGCGACCTTACTGTCTTACTTAATGTTATTGGTGCTGCTGACTACGAAAAGGTTTTATTTTATTATTAAGTAAGAGGAAAATAATACTAATTCTTTTTCAGGAAAATTGTAAAGCACTTTACACGTTTGGGCTTCGCCCTAAAGCTCTTGATGAAATAAACAAATTACGGAAACAACTTGTTTCAATAATAAACACTTCAAGTTCAATACAAAATAAGCTCAATGATAAATTCAAAATGGAGCCGCCTGAACAAGATCAATTGAGAGAATTAAGGTATTTATAAAATAAGACTTTCCTAAATATTTTTATATTTGAAGAAAAATTATGATTGAATGCTTCCCGGAGAAAATTGCCAAGAAAGTATCTGAAACAAATGCAAAAAAAGGATCATATAAAACGCAGATGCTTGAGGTTTCTTCTAGCATGGGTAGTTTTTATATACTTATACTATTTTAGGAGTTTGTATATCTCGATCCTGGATCTATGCTTTTTAAAGATCAGCCTGATTTTGTGCTATACCAAGAGATTATTCAGATCTCGGAGAGGAAGGTTTTACAAAACATTATTGTTGTGGAGCCTGAATGGATACCTGATTTTGTTATTTTTAATGATTTTTAATTTATATCTTGGTATCTTTTATTTCGAATAGAGCAAAATATTGAATAAAATATTGATTATGATAACATATATAGTTTTTAATTAATGATCATTGGATAATAATCCTATATTTTAAAACAATTACATAAATTAAACCTTCGGATCAAGATCGTTTCTTTTTTATCCGCCATTAGTTGACGCATTAGAGTCTTGGCTGGATCATTTACTATTTCTGGAGTTAGGAAGCCATGGGGTAGCTTATTGTTAGCTAATGAGTTGGTAATTGACTAGAACAAAGTATAAAATCCCAAAGATTACAATATGTATGTTTTTATGAACGAAATGATTAATGAATGCCAAGACTCTATCACTCTGTTGGCTTATAAAAAGATAAAAACGGGGACACGCCCTCCTTGTCGCGGGCCACCTTGTCGCGACCACCTTGTCGCGACCACTTTGTCGCAGGCCACCTTGTCGCAGGCCCACCTTGTCGCAGGCCCACCTTGTCGCAAGGGGTGAAAATTTTTTTGCTGATATGGAGAGTAGGAAAAAGGCATTCTGGGCACGATCGGGGTTTTCTGGAGTAATCTGGTTCGGTTTTACTCTGTCAAAACCTCCGGAAGAATTTACCCGGATAAGAGAAAATAATAAAAGGGAAAAAACACTCAAAAACTTAATCAAAAAATTTTTAAAAAAGCCATTGTCGCGCTTCACTAATTAAATTTGTGACCCTAAGCAGGGCAGTTTGGGTTTGTTTTTCTTGTCAATGTTCTCTAATTTAAACATCTTCGTTCCTTCAGAAACTTCGAAATTGAAAATCGCCAGTCAGAAACTGACGGAAATCAACTAAAAAATTGAAAAAAAAACTTAAAAAACAAGATAAAAATTCCAAACCTTTCTAATTTTCCCATCGTTGTAGCCGTGGCATGAAGTATGGCACATGGCGAGCAAAGTTTGGGCCAACCTTAAAAGAAAAACCAAAGGAAAGCTTGCGACAAAGTGGCCCGCGACAAGGTGGGCCTGCGACAAGATGGCCTGCGACAAAGTGGTCGCGACAAGGTGGTCGCGACAAGGTGGCCCGCGACAAGGTGGGCCGTACCCATAAAAACGGATATACGAGAGAGTTAAGGCGAGAGATACAGAAATGTCATGTTTTTATTTTTAGAATTTGTTGATTAGATTCGCGCATTATTTTTTATCTGATCATTAGGGTTGTCGGTTTCAAACAGAACCGAACAACCGAAGGTTTCGGTTTGGTTAACCAGTTTTCGGTTTGGGTAACCAAAATTCGGTTTCTGTCAACCGAAAGTTTCGATTTCGGTCAAACGAAAGTTTCAGTTTATCGGTTCGGATTTCGGTCAGCCGATGAATCTGGTGAAACCGACAACCCTACTTACTCATCAATGATATCTTAACTTTCTAAATATTTAGGGATTCAGTTATTGTAAAAGGGATACCATCTATATTGAGAAATGTCTTCGTCGAGTGGTTCAGTAAAAGATAATAAAAATGGTGTGGTGCGTGCCGATGCTGGTGGAAGACAAGGAGAGGAGATTGCTAGCAAGTCTTTCATGATACAATCAAAGCGTTTCTATCTCGATTTAAAGCAAAATAATCGCGGACGTTTTGTCAAGTTAGCTGAGGTTTGTAATTAAATTTTGCATAGACCTCTGTCCGTTGTTTGTTATTTAAAAAAGTGTCATCTTTAGTGTGTCTTTGGGTATAAGATTCTGGGTGTGGGCTTCTGAAATACTTATACAATATTTATTCTCCAAGGTTTCGTTAAACGGTCGCAAGAATCGTCTTTTTATGACAATGCTTGTTTGCAAGAATCTCAAGGATATTTTGGACAAATTGGAGAAGGATGGGCGTACTGCTGTCGTACCTAGTTAGTTCTAGTGTTTTTATAATTTTCAAACTTCTTTTAGAAGATGCAACTGAAGGAAAAGACAACACAGGCGGAGTTATCCATACCGAGACTATTATTAATGACAGACGTCGCTATTATATCGATTTGCGTGAAAATCATCGTGGCATATTTCTTCGCGTCACTCAATTCGATATTCAAACTGGCAACAGAAATTCAGTTGCATTGCCACTACAAGGTGTCGGCCAATTTCGTGATGCACTTAAAGAAATCATTGATGAGTTTGGAGAAGGGTATATCGGTTTGTTTTCATAGTTTCTGTCTTCATTAATGATAAATTTTTCAGAAGAAAGTACCGACCTTCCACCGTCACACAACTTCCGAACCGACGGAAAAAACTTTTTCTTCGATCCTGGGCATAACTCTCGAGGAGATTTTTTGAAGATCACGGAGGTTTACTATCATTTTTTAGAATTTTGTCTATTTAATTCTTTTTAGCTTAAACCATCCGTTGGAGTTCGTAACACTATTGCTCTCTCCGTTGGAGCTATTCCACAGTTCACTCAAATTCTGAACAAGCTCCATCAAGACTTCCAAACTCTTCGAACACCAGATGGCGCTGAAAAGGCAACAAAAGAATTGGCAAAAATGGAGATTTGACGAAAGAAAAAATAAAAAGATTTTCAATAAAAAATACTCGTTCAACTGATTTGCCACCACCTCAGTAATAAAAGAAATAAGTGTTTTCATTTTTTGTTTTAAAAATTCCGTTTTTTGCGGTTCATTATTTTTTATTATGATTATTTTTACATATTTATTTTTAAATGCTTCCATCATAAATTGAAAATTACTTTAAAAAATAAGTTATTTAACGAAGAAATGGTTTGTGACCTTTCTACTACCGGAATTAAATCTGCGGATGAACAAGCAACTAATTTAATGAACAGTCAAACAACGTATAGCAACAATAATGCAGAACAATTTGGTGGGAAGAGATGGAATGTTGAAGCACTTTATGAGAGTTGTCGATTAAAAGTTTCAATGACAAACAATGGACAGACTATGAGTAATTTTAAATAATTCTAATTGAGTGATCTGTCTGAGTTTTTGCTTGATCATTTTATCACATCTCCAATTCTTTTAAATTTTCTAGCCGATGCTGAAGTTATTTCGAAGAGGAAGGGCTTAAATGGCCGCTGGAATTTTTATGTTCATTACTTGGATTGTAATCGTCGACTTGATGAATGGGTTGATGAAGATCGTCTTGACCTTAGGTATACAAAATTTTATCATAAGAAATATTGCTTTTTAATAAAAATTAGGACAGTTAGGGTGCCGCAACGCGTACGGAAATCTATTTCTACTGCGTCCTTTACATCATCCCCGTCTATTTCTGATTTGCAACAGATGGATCAACAACAATCGAGTTTCTCTGTGTCTGATGAACAAAGGTTTTTTTTGTTTTTAACAAATACATATTTTTATTTTTTTTAAGCTCGAGAGGTTCAACCCCTGAAAAGCAGCTTGAATTATTTCGGTCTCCTGCTCGATCAATCACAGGAAGCCGCAAACGCAGGCATCATGGTGGTTCTGCTGCTATTCATTATGTAGATGCTAATTCTACTCACATTTCTTCAGAGCACTCGAAACCAAGCGTGAGCAACGGAATTAATTCTTATACTCCTCCGCCAGGTATGTGAATCAATGTTAATTTTGTTTAAGTTATTATTTGTCAGCTCCAAGTTTGCGAGGTTCAATGTCAAAAAAAGGGCACAGTGAGGATGTTCTTACGCGAATACGAAATGTGGAGTTGATAGAACTTGGGCGGAATATAATTCAACCTTGGTATTTTTCTCCATATCCAAAAGAGCTGACAATGCTTCCATGTATCTATTTGTGTGAATTTTGTCTGACATATACAAAAAGCAGAAGTTCGTTAACACGTCACGTTGTAGGTTTACTCTTAAAGTAAACAATTTATCCTTTTTTAAGGCAAAATGTAATCTTTTTCACCCACCTGGCAATGAAATATACAGAAATGGGACCATCTCTTTCTTTGAAATTGATGGCAGAAAGAATAAGGTTGTTGTTTTATTTACAGATTTCACAAAATGTGATCGAATTTTAACTATAGATTTACGCACAAAATCTTTGCCTCCTTGCCAAGTTATTTTTGGACCATAAGACGCTTTATTATGACACTGATCCTTTTCTGTTTTATGTATTGACGGAATATGACCAAAAAGGCTTTCGAATGGTTGGATATTTTTCAAAGGTTTGACAGATAGGAAATTTTCTTTATAGACTTTTTTAAGGAAAAGGAATCAGCTGATGAATACAATGTTGCTTGTATTTTGGTTCTACCTCCTTTTCAAAAGCGTGGCTATGGTCGACTTTTGATTGAATTCAGCTATGAATTATCGAAAATTGATGGAAAAACAGGATCGCCAGGTACATAAATTATTTAAATAAATGTGTGATTATTTTTTAATTGTTTCAGAAAAGCCGCTTTCTGATTTGGGATTTGTATGTTATTTTATATTTTATGTGGTGTGACTAACATTCATATTTCTTTTAGCTTTCTTATCGAAGTTATTGGTTCCAAACAATAATGGAAACTATTTTGAATATTGTAAGAGAACAGGGCGATCCAATACCTTCACAAGGAGAAAATGGTGAGGAAGAGGAGGTAAGCTATTCATTTCAATACGTTAAGCATCTTGAAATTTTAGGATACTCAAGTTTCTGTTTCAATTATGGATTTATGTGAACTGACAAGTATTCGAAAGGAGGACATTTTACAAACACTTGAGGTAAGCGATAATTCTATTTCTGTGCAGTTTTATTTAGTTTTATGAAATCAACAATTATTTCCGAGGAGAATACGTGCTGACTTTAACTTATGAAATGATAGAAGCTTATCAGTAATTTATTTTACCTAAAAGACCCTAAACATTGTTAATATTAAGGAAATCCGTCGAAAAACGGCAGTTAAGAATTGACCCAAAATATATAAGATACGTTCCAAAGGATTGGTCGAAGTACAGACGTCAAATATAAATATTGTTTAACTAAATATTACATGTTTTGTGTAATTTGTATATATTTTGGTGTTATAACCATAAATATTTTTAGCCAATTTTGTTAGTAACTTCCTTGAGCTGCTCATTTGTAAACGCGGTATTCTCCTCGTGTCCCTTATGTGGATTCAATTTTCCAGTCATCTTTAAATATGATACGAAAATAACATTTAGATAATATACCTGGTAATAAATCGCTACAATATCACCCCATTCAACCACAGTATCTAGGTTTAAATCTCGCGTTTTTCGATTTTCGTTTGTCAAAACTGAAAAAATCTTAACATGAATAGGCAGATAGAACCGAACCTCGTTCGGCATCTTCTGTACCGACTTTGTACGTGGGGCTTTGACGTCCCTTTTACATAAAAGAATGTTAAAAGCAAATCAAAGCTAAGTATCACCTGTTGCCCATCCATCGAGAAGGCATCTATATTCTCTTCATAACGAAGATCAAGCTGAGCCTTTTGTGTGCAAAACCGAACTTAATTATATGGAACTTAAAAGTACGAACTTAAAAGTTACGTTTATTCCTGTAGGCAACTTTGAGTACAACATAAAATTTAGTTAGCATATTGATGGGCGAGGGTGTGCCAGAGCGTTTATTCATTTGGCGGATAAGAATTGCTCGACCAAATTTCCATTCTTTGTCTGATTGTGCCTGAATGCGCTGGTACGTATCGGACATCATTGCAATTAGTAAGTTGATCAAAACGATCAATGTTACCATCATGTATATGCCGAAAATTGCTTTCAATACAATTTTGGCAAAATCAGGAACAAGATGTAGAGGTGGCCTTTAATGTGTAAATATTTTTCATAAACAAATAAGAGGAACATGCTATCTGGTTCAACAAGTCCAAAAAGCGAGAAAAATAGCATTTCTAATGTCTGACCCGGCGATGCAAGCCTGGAATTTGATATAAGCCGGAGTTTATAATAAAACGGTCGTCTGCAACTAATACCTCATCAACTCAGCACTGTCTTCATCAACTGGCTGATAGGCTGGCTGAACTGAAAAATAACAAAACGAAGAAATAAAAATAGAACCTGAAAAATCGAGGTAACATGAAGCGTGAAGCCAGCAACAAAAAGCATTAGAATGACCAAAAATCTTGTTAGGTCATACATCAAATCTGATGAAATTATTTTTGTAAAAACCCTCTAAACGTTACCGCGAATAATGATTGCCCAAGGACCGAATAAATGATGAACAGTTAAAAAATCAAGAAACTCTACGAATGCGAAGAGTAATGCAAATGCTAGCAATTGATTCTTCTTTATTTAATTAAATTGTTTTTATCGCAACATTTTAGCTTATAATACCAGATAGAGCATTGTGCGTGAAAAGTGCAATTTTTCATCACTATCCAATTGTGTTAGATAGAAGGCGGGCAGTAAAAAAGCCAAAATATGAACAGCAATGGCAATTGCAGCTAACACAAGTATCAATACCTTTAGACAATATTGTTTTCTACAATTCTCTCTATCATATACCTTCACAATGCCCAGTCCTGAACCTCCACCTATTGTTGAAAGCTCTGAAACTAAATTCCCAGAAAGCCATAATAAGAGCATCCATTCAACGGGGTTAGGTACTACAGAAGTAACCTTAACTTGAGTTAAAATTCGCAGAGTTGGACATATGTACCTCATACATTTTGTGAGTAATATTAAGCACAACAATAGTGAGAAGAATTGTAAAATAAATATGAGAAACGATATGGCAGACAAATTTTATAAAAGGTGCTCGACCGATCCGACTGTCCAACGGCAACGAAAAGTAGAACCACGCAGGAGGGCAGATCAACACAAAGAAAGTAAATGCCAAAGTTTTCCCAAAGGACCAGTCAATGCCGCCCATCCTATAATCTGAATAGCTTCATTATAAAATATGCAATATACCATATTTCCGTCAAATAGCGCTGAACTGAAGCGTAGGAAACAACTTCCTTCTGAACAAAAAATGTCAGCTTTATCTTTCGAAATAATTTAAAAATTCATTGCCTGTTCATTTTCTATCAGTACATCTAATAATGGTCTTCCTCTATGATCTTTTGCCTTAAGCAACAACGCAGCATTATATTTAGCTGCTGAAATGCCAAGTAGCTCAACTGCCAAATTTTCCGCAAAAGTGGCAACGTTACTCTGCAAAGTTGCTTACTTAAATATCCCATTTTTACAATGACTTACTAAATCTTTAGCTCTTTCTTTCTCCTTCTCACTCATTTCACGATAAAGACTAGACAATTTAACTGCTGTATCAATGGGTGCCGGACTTTGAAGAATAAATTCCTGTAACGGTTGATTCTCATTCCCTTTACCACAAACCATAAGATCGAAAATAAACTAATAATTTTAATTTGTAAATTCAGCAAAATTTAAAGAATTTAATACTTTCCTATCTTCCATAAGTTGATGAGTATCATGCTTCTGCTTAAGCAGAAAATGCAAACATTCTATCTATAGATTTTTAATGATAGTTAATAATAAATATATATACGTGATTGTTGGCTGCTGCAAAGCATAAAGGAACTTTTCCATCTTTTGTTTCGGCTTGAGCATCTGCCGAGCTGTTCACAAATAACTTTACAACGTCTAAATGACCAGCCTTTGTAGCATAATGCATTCCTGTCCAGCCATTCTGATAAAATTTCAAAACAATAGATAAAGATTTTAATTAACTTGATCCATGACATTTATATTGGATCCTTGAGCTATAAGCAAGGAGACCATCTCTGAAATACTTAATTCCTCGAAGTTTATAAATAAAATAACCTCTCTTTCCATTAACCGAAGCCAAGTGCAAGGGTGTTCCTCAAAAAACAAATTTTATTTAATTAAAATTATCAAATTTACTTCCTCGCCAATCTTTTGCATGTTGCTGTTGAGTACTGCGTGACAGCAGCATTCCTACTACAGCAATATGACCTTAAAAACTAGTTTTTATGCTACAACTATGACTTCATAAAAACACCTTGTTGTGCTGCCAGATGAAGTGGGATTATGCTCTAAATAAAATGAAGTTAAATGTTGATTATATCAAACCATAGTTGTCGTAGCTGCATCAACCTGAACACCCTGATTTAGCAGCATCCTGACTAGACCTACATCAATTTTATACTAAGTAAAAACTTCAATTCGCTTATTACATACTGTCATGTCCTGCTTGAGCAGCCAGGTGTAATGGAGTGAATCCATACTAAAAATAATACAAAAATGGCGAAAATACCTATTTAAACTATGAAAAATAACCTCTGTAGCAAATTCTTTAACCACGAAGTGATTAAAGGTAGGTGGTTCAGATCTGACACTTGCTTGTATGTGTTTTATCATCTCATTGATAAAATCCGAATGCCCCTTATAGGCTGCAACATGGAAAGCGTTTAGGCCCGTCTATGCTTTAATATTAGAACAATCACGAAAATTTCTACCTTTTTAGAGCAACGTCGCCAATATTTTTTGTCAAAACAAGCCAAAATTGGGACATGCCCATTCCAGGCAGCTAAACTAAGAGGAGTCTGGAAAATTCATTGTAATTTTTTTCATAAAAATTCTATCAAAATTTAACCATGCCGTTAGCATTCTCATCCTCTGGGCTAGCCCCATTCTCAAGGAGTATCTTTACAATACGAGAATGACCCCCTGATGCTGCCATATGCAGAGTAGTTGCTTCTAGTATTTTTGTTTTAGCATGTATAACCATAGCCTTAAAAGCTCATTAAATAAACACTAAAACTGATTTAGACTTTGTCTATCATCATTAACTCCCTGACCTAAAAATTCAAAATACTTTTAATTACTGATTTAGCAATATAACCACTGCAAGACTGCCTTTCATTGCAGCAATATGAGCACAAGTAAATCCACTATGATCAACTGCTGTTAAAACAGCATGATTGTTTTGTTTCATTTTCAGAAATAATTTAACCACGTCCGGATAATCATTCTGACAATATTAAATATAAAAATTTGTAGTAAAAGCACCTCTGCTGCCAAATGTAACGGGGTCTGCCCTTTATCGTCCTTGGCATTGGGATTAGCTCCAAATGCTAAAAGTGTCTGTGCAACGATTAATTGTCCAAATTTGGCAGCAAAATGAAGTGCTGTTTGGTTGTTCAATGTGATGGCTTCCAGACTCGCTCCATGCTCCTTAAAATATAATTTTTTAATAATTATTACTCTACCTGAACAAGCATTGCTACTAATTTTGCATGTCCATACTGTGCAGCTAAATGCAATGGAGCTTCTCCGTTTTTCGCCTTACTTAAAAGTTTGTGTATTGAGACCATATTTTTTTATTAACCTGTTAACGAAGGCCTTGTATTTCAACAACAGTCTTGTCAACTCAATATGACCATTTGCAGCTGCTAAATGTAATGCCTACAAAATTTGTTATTTAATTCTAAACTTGTTAATCGAACCGTACGGCCACATTCGTCGAAGACGTCAATTCTAGCGTGGTGTTGAAGTAGAATACGTGAAACACCGACATGTCCACGAGCGCAAGCTTCAAGTAAGGGCGACCAACCATTCTGACATATCATGGGAAATTATTTAAAATCAAACATAGGCAACTTTGGATTTTTTATTTTGTACAATCTGAACAGATCCAGGCCCGATTTTGTTTACCTATACAGAGAAAAAGAATTTCCGGTTTTTACTTATAATAATACCATAGCCAAAAGAACACCTTCATTCCCTGAGCGAGCGCACATATGCATAGGTGTCTCCAGATTCTAATAAAACGGAGTTAGTGATTTGGGATCTACTCACATTAAGTGTTTGTTTTTCACAATCCCCGCCTGAGTCCACAAGTGTTGAAACAATTTTAGTATCTTCTTCAATAAAATGATTCTGATCTGGCATAATCTGGCTAGCATAATGGACACTGCTCTGTCCGTCCTTTATAAAGAAAAGTTAGATTCACGTGAAATTAACGACCTCTGTCAAAAGGTTTACATATTCTCGAATCTCATGACTATCTTTGCCAATCTTCTCTAATAATAATAATACTACGGGAAGGTGACATTGTTTTGAGGCCAAATGTAGAGGTGTTTCACCTATCTAATGAATTAAAATAATTATTACAAATGTTGTACCTTAGTACAATTTACCTTCGATTTCAATTTAGGATCAGCGCCCTCTGCCAGCAGCAAACGAACCATTTCTTTGTTACCTGTACGCGCGGATATATGTAACGGGGTCATCCCGTCAGATCGACGTACGTTCGGCTGCGCACCGCTCTTTAATATATTTGTAAATAATAAAATAAAATTTATTTTTTACAAATAACAACATTTGTGCACACTCAATATTTCCACTCGGCAAGCCAGCAGCTACATGTAAAGCTGTCTGGAATTTACATATATGTAGTAAATTCGTATAACAATTAACCTCGCCAATCTGTCCTCCTTCAATATGTACATCGGCTCCGAATCCAAGAAGCGTTTCTACAACCGCTGCTTGTCCGGATTGGACGGCTACAGTCAATGCGGTATAATTATCCTTAAAGAATAATGATATCAAAAATTTTTGTTAAGAATTACCCTAGTAGCAATATCCACTCGAGTACCCCTCGCTAACAGCATCTGAATATGTACATATTTAAATAAATAGAAAGGCTAACTTTTACAACATCATTGTACCCAGCAGCCGCTGCTGCATGTAGCCCAAGCGCTCCATTCTTATTGGGCATATACAAAGGTACCCCACGTTCTAAATTGATCCATTAAATTTTTTAAATGAAACCTAACTTAGAAAAGCCAGTGCCGTATCAGCGTGTCCTTAATGTTAGAGGATAATTTTATAGCCAACAATTAAAATAAACCTGCTGCAGAAGCAATATGCAAGAGAGTACTGCCATCACATGTTCTAGCTCTAATTGATGAACTGTTTTAATTATGATAGTTAAGCTATATTTATAAATCACCGACCCAAATTTGTCGATGAGAGTTTCAACAATTTGAGTGTAACCTTTTTCAGCAGCAACATGCAATGGAGTTTTTTCCTCCTTAATTTGATACAATGAGACAAAGATGTGCTACAAGTTTTTAAATTTAAAATCACACATTGTCTGCTATGTTTGCATTTCCGTTTAATTTCCACATCGTTTTAAGCATTTTTTCATCGCCGAGCATAGCTACCTTATTAAGTATTAAAAGTTCCTCGCAAAATCAAATTAAGATACCTCATGAAGAGGTGTTCGACCCTGATTATTCTGTGTATTAACTTCCTCTCCACCTCCATTTTGCACAATAATTCGTACAAATTCATCGCCTAAATCGATGTATAAATCAATGAGATTAATAGTTAATTTTTCAAATAGATTTTAAAACATGAAAAAATTGCCTCTATGTACTGCTAGATGTAGTGGAGTGTTGCCGTCCATGTCTTTCGCACTAATCTGTTTTTTCGGTTCTTTTTGCAACAAAAAGTTCACGGCTGCCATATTTCCAGCACGAATAGCAAAATGTAGAGGAAGATTACCGTTTTTGTCCGATGCAGTTCTGCAGCCAGGATTTACATTGATCAACGTTTTCAGGATAGCAACTGCACTGGCTGAGCGTCTCTCAGATGCAAAATGAATCGGCAACCGGCCTGCCTGTTTAAATTTTTTAGAGAAAATGCCCATTTTGATTAATATAACCCCAGGTCTTGAACTATCTAAATTTTTTTCGAGAAGATAACGCAACATTGCTTCAGTTCCCCACATTGCGCAAACATGCAATGCGCCCAGTCGTTCCTTAAATATATACATAATAATGTAAATCCATGGTTTATTGTTTGACCTTTGTAGTAACATAAATGTCAGCTCCCTGCTCAACAAGCATTTTTAAAACGTCCATCTCTCGGGATTTAATCGCTAATAGAAGAGCCGTATAACTTAAAATTATGAATGTATAAACGCGGACGCAATCTTGACTACCCTTCTGCGTCAGCCAATGTTAGGTCGAAAATTTCTCCGCTTAAAAGTAAATTTTTAACAGTCTCCCATTCACCCTTCTTTGCTGCAAGCAGAAGACCTGTGCTATTGTCCCCGCCATGAATTTGCAAGGATTCTAGCTCAGCGATTTCTCTCATTTCCTCTTCACTAAAATTTTGTTTTCGTTGTCCGAAAACTACATCGTCTTCAAAACCATAGCTTTCTCTAAATTAAAATAACGTTAATTCATTGAGAAAGAAATGAACCGCTTATTTGACAAGCCAATAGCTTCAAGGTTATCATCACTCCCACTAAAAATACCGATTTTAAAATCACCACTTTTTATTTCCTCGTCTTCACTATTCGTTTTATTTTTTGATTTCAGACGTATTCGTTCTAACGATTTTCCTAGAATTCCATAGCGATACTCCTCATCTGAACTATCTACTATTGTGATTCTTCTCCGTTGACCATCAATTATTCTGCTTCCTTCCATTGTTTCTTTTCCTTTAGTTGAAGCATTCGTAAAGGAATGTCTACGCTGTCGATTTTCACGTAAAGCACTAAAAATATGGCATAATAAACCTAACGTATAAGAGATACTTGCTGAGAATTCCATTCCTGTTACGAAGCTCCCACTCTTCTGGACTGTATTTTGCACCATTATCTCGGTGAATCGTGAATGATCCCCTATGATTTGAAGGGATATTAGGTACGGAAACAAGTACAGCTGTTTCGCTGGCTGCCACAATTTCAGGATCAATTGTGCTAACCGTAACGTTAGGCAAATTCTCCATGAGTAATAAATATTATTTCAAAAGTATGACTTTTATAAGCAAATCTTTCGTGTTGATATTGGTGAAAAAATATATTTAGTTAGGTAAGTGAAAATAAAATTTAAGCTAGGTTTTAGTATATTTATGAACAATTTAAATAATGGAAAACCACAAAGTTTAACGCTCGATTTAACGTCCAGTCCTCCTTTCAGAAATTGAAAAAATAAAAGTGTTTGGCACTTTTTAGTAATATTTGAGTTATTATTTTGACTAATAATAGCTGTGCCACATCGAATAAAAACACTATTGTCTCCATCCACCTTCACTTACAAAATGGACATTATTATGGTTTCACCCCTACCACAAACCAATTTTGAGCAGCAATTTTCTTCAGCCAACTTTAAAAAAATGACCAATAATGTAAAAATACCTAAATTACATGCTAATTTTTTTATTTAAAAAGTTACTCCAATCAATTTAAACAATAAGTATATGTATAGCTGATTTGACCGACTTTTCACCCAAAAGAAAGGAATTCTTTCCATTTAGATTGAATATATATCTTTAGTTATGATGATTGGATTTTATTTCATTTATAAATTTGGGTTGTATTATGTGCTCGTGAGAATGCGACATCCTAATAAAAGCGTGCGCTACCTTTCGTTTAATCCTCTGCCTATATATAGCCGGAAGAAAAAGGAGAGAAAATCTCCTTCCAAAAATCGAGCAGACTCATCCACAACAGATAAAATTCTTTCTATCCTCAAATCTCAACCAATCGCTCGCAATTTTTTCTTCATTTGTTATATGCAGTATTTAATTTAATTATTTAATTTTACAATTATTTGTTATTAAATTGTAAAATTTTAGAAATTGTTATAAATGTTACGTTCACTACTTGCTTTTAGCAAGGTGTCCATAACAATTGTAATATTATTTTGTTCATTAGTCATCTCCAGATGTGCAATCCCCCAGAATGTTGACTTCTTTCGGGTTTATACTTTTCATGCACTTGTAAAACTTCGATATTTTAGTTTGATTTGGATGCAAATCGTTCTTTGCGTACACCACGTCAAGAGCCTTCAGCTGGTTTGCAAACTGAGGCTCAAATTCCAGGTTCATCAGTTGCTTCAGCTCCTTTATTCCAGCCGATCAACAATGATTTGCCTTCTCAGGTATTACACAAATCTATTACAATACATTTCAATTTTGTCTTATTTTTAGTTCAAGTTTTCTGAAAAAGACAAGGAAGCTGTCGACAAGGCTACAACGTTCACAAATTCCTTATTAGAAAGACTTGGCCTGGCGAGTAATCAAAAAGCAGATAATCAAAAGGAGCTCCGCAGGCATCCAGCACCTGCATTCTATCAGACAGATGATCTGACTGGGCTGGGTGCCGATTTAGCTTCAAATAGGATTGATTTACAAGTGCGTATCTTTTTTTTTATTGCTGCTATTTTTAATTTAAGGGATTGGCAAGTGGACAAATTCCAGGCTTGGCGCCGGTAATATTAAAATATTGAAATATTCCAGAAACTTTGATTTTCAGATTCCAGTACCAGGGTTTGCTGGTCCACAGGATGCTCCCACCGTTCCTGGTGTGAATACTATTCCTGGTCTAAGCAATTTTAATTACATTGTTGGGCAACTTGTACCTCAAATGATTCCTCCTACTAATACATTATTAGGTTCATTATTTCTACCCATCCCATTACTAATATATTTTTAGGGTCATCCATTTCACGTCTTTTGCCAAAGGATGCAACCAAAAATCTGGCGAAAAATGTATTTAGAGCAGTTCATCCTGCTGCTGAAAATGTTGATGTGGCTCGAATGATGGGTCGCTGGTTCCAGGTCGGTATTTTTATTTTAAATCGTTAATTCAAAAACTACTAAGGTAATTACAAGTCCTCATGTCATTCGTGAAGCATGTACTGTCTCACACTTTGGCGCCCTTACTAACAACACATATTCCGCAACATTTACTATTCTCAAGTTCTACAGAGAGGGAAATTCAAACGGGCCACCAAGATTCTCACTGGGTTATGGTTTTAAAGCTGGGGATACAGGACAATTCTTACTTCATTCAAGTAATTCGCCTGACGTGAGTCATTTTATAAAAAAACAGACATAAACTAACAAAAATATAGTCTCGATAAATACCTTAATTCATAACAGGCTGAACCTTTTTGGGTGATCAAGCTAGGACCATTGAATGAGTATAACCAATATGATTATGCGGTATGTTAACATCAAAGTATAATCACAATTTCAACTTAACATATATTTAAAGGTTGTTTCAAATTGGGTTCGCTATCCTGTTTTCGTGATTGCTCGTGATCCAGAACGATTTCATCAATCCCATATGAAGCAGGTAACGGAAAAATTGAATTTTTTAACCAATTCTACATATATAAACTAGTGTATTATCTATTTTAGGTACTTCAATTCCTAGAAGATAACAATTATATCAATGTTGTTACTAAAGCATTCAACCTGATCTCACCAGTTGACTATTCACAGTTAGTGAAATTATTAAAAAGATGTTTGTAATTTAAAAACAATTTAAACAGATGCCAGTATACTCCAACATTTTCCGGAGCTGGCTGACGAGAAGGCTTAATAATCCTGTTACAATAATTTATTTTTTATATTTTACTTTAAATTTGTACATTCATTCTAAAAATGTATTATAAACGTGCTATCATATATTTGCCAAATCTCGCCTCGAAACCTTTCGATTTCGAGACCTTTCGATGATTTTTTTCGCCTAAAGACGAACGATTAAGAATTATTTGAATCAGTCGAGATTAAAGAGTTATGATCCTGCACTGAATCAGCTGAATGAAAAGCCAGGGCTGAACAAGTTTGTACTCAAATGTTGAGCCTCGTGCTGACATTTGAGTGTCGGTGAAATTTTCAGTGTTTCCGTCATATGTCGTTAATGTTTTACAAGGCATTAAAAATTTCCTTCTAATTTCTAGGGTTTTATACGTTCAACATACTACGACTTTTATGGAACATCCATGTATAAACTTTCGTGACATTGGCATTACTACTTGGTTGACAAAACAGCTCGAAGAATTGAATTTAAGACATCCTACGCCTGTACAAACAAATTGTATTCCTAAAATTCTTGAGGGCTCTGATGTACTCCGTGTCCGGAAATTTGGGGAGTGGACACTTGGGGAGTGGACATTTGGAGAGTAGATAAATGGGGAGTGAGCGGACAATTGGGGAGTGGACATTTGGGGAGTAACCTAACGATAAAAATACAATAGAATATTGAATAGTTTTTATTGCTTTTGTATTTAAAAAAATAAATTAGGAATCTCTCGAGTGAGCTATTATATGTTTTTCCGAATTTTTGACTCTAAAATCCCACCATTGGTATTTGACTATTTCGAGCCCTATATCTCGACTCAATTTTTTAATTAAGCTAATTTTAGTGTCATTCGACTCAGATCGAGAGCTCTTTCGAATGAGCTATTACTTGCATATTCGAATTTTTTACCCCAAAATCGAGCTTACCCCCTCCCCCTATGGCCTTTCAATTTTTCAACCTATAACTCGGTTCAGAATCATTTCCTAAAATTGAGAGCTGGATCTTTTTCCGAAAATTGGAGTTGGAGTTTTTTTCGAAAGTTGTAGTTCGACTCAGCTCGCTGACATATTCGAAAGTTGTAGTTCGACTCAGCTCGCTGACATATTCCACGTCCCAAGCTTTTATCTCTGATGAACTTATATCCATTTTCTAAATACAAAAGCAATAAAAACTATTCAATATTCTATTGTATTTTTATCGTTAGATTACTCCCCAAATGTCCACTCCCCAATTGTCCGCTCACTCCCCATTTATCTACTCTCCAAATGTCCACTCCCCAAGTGTCCACTCCCCAAATCTCCGGGAGCCATGTACTCGGCTGTGCTAAAACTGGTACTGGAAAGACTCTGGCTTTTGTTTTGCCAATATTGCAACAGGTTTTTTAGATTATGCTCAGAAATTACATATAGTTGATGTCGTTGTTTTTCAGCTTTCTTCTGATCCTTTTGGCATTTTTGCATTAATTCTTACACCCACAAGGGAACTAGCTTTTCAAATCGGCGACCAATTTAATGCTTTGGGTAGGCAGTTGAATTTGAAATGCAGCATAATAGTTGGTGGACGGCATCAAATGGCTCAAGCACAGGAATTAGTACGCAGACCACACATTGTTATAGCAACGCCAGGTTTGATCAATAATCAGAAATACATATTTTTATTAATTTTATCTAGGTCGTCTTGCTGATCATTTACAAAGTGACCAGCTTGGAATTGCGCGCCTTTTGAGCACTATCCGTTTTCTTGTCTTGGATGAGGCAGATCGACTTTTAGATCCAGCTTATGCGCTTCAGGTTTTGAATCTCCTTGATACATTTACTTTTTTAGCTTAAAAATATTTTGGAATCGCTGCCCAAAGAGCGTCAGACGCTTCTCTTTAGCGCAACAATCACTGACGCTCTAGATAAGCTTCATCAGGTTTTATCATTATCAACAATATTGACGTTCTTGTTATCTTAAATTTTGTAGCTTTCCATTCGGAAGCCATATTTTTTTGAGGAGAAGGACCAGATACAAACAGTAAAAGGATTGGAGCAGCGTTTTGTTCTTTGTCCACGCACGTAAATTTTTGGCGCTTTTAAATTTTATAAATCAATAATTTAAGATTCATTGATGCTTATTTAGTCTACATAGTCAAAGAGGTTCGATTTAATAAATTATACTAATTGTCAAATAATATTCAGTTTTACACAAGCCGAGAGTCGTCTTCTATCTTAGTATTTGTCAAAACATGTCGTGAGTGTCAAACTCTTGCTCTTATGTTTAAGAAGCTTGGATTCGAGGTGCTAAAAATTAAATTTTAAGATTTATTTTTATCTCGGATTATTAATTTTCATTACCATTTTAGGTCGGTTCTCTGCATTCGGAAGTTCTGCAAAGCCTTAGAATGTCATCTCTAGCTCGTTTTAGATCTGGTCGAATTCGTATTATGATTTGTACGGATGTGGCAGCAAGGGGTTTGGACATTCCTCATGTAAGTTTAACTAAATCTTGTCAAAACTTGGCACTAAATCTTGCCAAAACTTTTGTATTAAACAAGTATTTTTATAGGTCGACTTGGTAATAAACCATAATGTGCCTCGTTGTCCCAAAAGTTATTTGCATAGAGTGGGGCGTTCAGCACGAGCTGGCCGTTTCGGAGCTGCCGTGACATTTGTTACACAACATGATGTGCTTCTTTTGCGGTCGATAGAGGTTATTTGCTTTATTATTTTAATGTCTTATAGTTTCTATTTTTCAGCAAGTTATTGGGGAAAAAATGGAACAAATAGAAGTGCCACATCATGAAGTAACTCTTTATGCAGCCAAAGTTTTGGCCACAAAACGAGAAGCAGAAATTCGTTTGGAAAATCAAGACAACAATAGTGATGAACGGAAAGAGAATTGGCGCAGGAAAGAGTTGATTTTGCAAGGAATGAATGATAAATTAATTGAAAAAGAGATTAGCCGTTGGAAGGATAATCGAAAATCAAAGCCAATATTAAGAAGAAGAAAAAAACAGAAAAAGAAATTGAATAAATGATCCCGGTTTGTTCTTGTTATTTATTTTTATTTTGTTTAACTTATAAATTACCATTAAATTCATACTTTATTGTTCTTTATATGTATGTATAATAGTAGTCTTGCACAATATTTTTGTTTTAATTCACTAGGTCTGATGTATAATTTTTGCAACTAGACATACATATCAGAGCTCAAAAATGAGCAATTTCTTGCCAACTGCGTCATCTGACTTTTATTTTATACGATCAAACGTCGACCTTAACACGGTATTGTTTTTTTCTATTGCTATTAATATGATCCTCAGGTAAAGCCGATGGGGACTGGAGATTTGGTGAGGATATTCAACGATTTTTTGGTTACCTCGACTAATTTGTTGGACTCATTCTGTTCAAAATTTGAGGATAATGTTATTGCTTTGGAGGCTAGAATAGATTCCGTTGAAAGGTATTTACTTCTCTTAGAGCACAAACTGGCTCATGTTTCATTGGATGCAACACAAGACGCTTGTTACGTAGAGACCAAAGATGAAAATAAAAAGTCTGCAAATTTCGATGAATTGCTAGACCTCAATGAAAATCAGAAACTTAACGAGTCATTAAAGATAAAAGAAGATCAGCAACCCGATGAGCCATTAAATAATAACAGAGAAAATGAGACAAAAGCTAAGGATCATCCTGTATTTGGAAAGTACTTTCGAATGTTGAAAATGGTAAATATTTCTAAATTAAAACAATTTTTAAATTTTAATATAGGGGGTTCCCGAGGCTGCTGTAAAACAGAAGATGCAATCGGAAGGAGTAGATCCTGAAATTTTGAGGTTTATTTTTCATTTAAGATTTTTGGGAATTGATGAATTTATATTCTTTCGTTTTAGTGTGCCCGATAAAATTTTCAATACAAATTAGGTTTTGTGATGAACAGTGACTGAAAAAAAAATCTATCATGCATGCATGTTTTCTTTAAATATTTGTATAAAACTATTTTTCCTTTTATAAAATTTTTAGAACTTGTTTTTATACTTATTAGTTTTTTGTTAATTTAATCAAAATGTTATATAATTATTTCAACTTTTTAGCAACAGACTATGGACAACATACAGCTAGCACAGAATTTATCTACAATTTCAGCAGATTTTCCTTTCATTTATCTTCACAATGAAATGGTTAAGTACTTCCAAGAGAGAAATAAAAGTGTAATTAAAGCCAGGGAAAAGTGGATGCAGCAATTGAAGCTCTCAGATGCCTCGGACACTTTTACAGGATCGGATGTCTCAATATTACCAAACCAAATTTTTTCCCATGTAAGTATGTTGTTATTTAAATGTTTGATCCTTATCTTTCTGCCAAAATTTAAGAAAAATGCAGAGACTAGATTGGAAGCTATGGGTTTCCGTGTTGGATTTGTTTTGGCTGAAAAATTTTCCAAAGATATGTCACGGTTTGCCAATGAATTGGATAGGATGAAGTTTATCTGCAAAGAGTTTTGGATCTCAACATTTGGAAAAGGTATGAGCAAAATAAATTTCATAAGAAACAAGAAGCATTTAGGTGTGAACAAACTCAGTACTAACCATCAGGTTTTTCTATTATTTTTTCATGTTAGACTTAAATGCTTTTCTTTTTAGGGCATTTATATCATTCAGGATACTGATTTCTGTACACTTTCACCATTTTCTGACGGAGTTCAATACGTTGCTGACTGCATTCCTTTCATGGCGCTTCCGGTAGGAATTGTTCGTGGTGCTCTCGACAACCTGGGAATATGTGCTACAGTGACAGTACATGTGGAAAAACTTCCTATTGTCAAATTCAATGTGCAAATGATTAAATGAAGTACTTGTTAATATGTTTGCTTTTATAAAAATTTAATTTTTGAAGGTTTTCCCATTTATAAATATAAATTTGTTTTAAAGACATAAATTTAAAAACATAATTTTTCGTCGGTCATTATTTTCGTCGTTTGTCACTATTTTAGTTTGCCATCTAAAATAATTATGATATTAGAACACACGCTATTTTAATTAAATCAGAATAGCTACCTATAAGAATGTTACTTAAAAATATAGAATTTCTAGACCCTTCCACATCGTTAAATAAATGAATTTAACGTGAAAGAAATGTAAATAAACAAATGCTTTACGCGCACTGGCACAAGTTGGAGACCTCTTACAGAGAAGAATTTTAGGATGGTAAACAAATAAAAATTGGCAAGTCGGTGAATAAAGTTGAATTACTTTTACTTCAATTATAATAAATAAATTGATTAATTCAACCCCCTTCACTAGTTGAAGCTTCCCTATACAAATAGTGATTTTTCATAGTTTTGAATGAAGATAAAGGTAAATGGTGAGAATTTGAAATTCAAAACTTTATTTTTAACAAAAAACTAAAATTAAAAATACTCCAGTTTTAAAAATTTATTGTCTTCATATTAAATCTTTAAAAGAAAAGGAATATTAGGACATGCAGCGGAGTAACTCAATAACCAGAGAAAATGGTGGAAGCAATTTGCATGTTGGCATTGTTAACAACGACCCTCGACAAAGGAAATTCTCTATATCAGCGTGTCGACGACATTCTATTGAGCTTAATGAGAACCAATTCATGCTCATTATTATGTTCAGGTACTTCTACTTATATAAGGATGAATTGACGGAATGTCTCATTACAGTAATGCTGAGACAAATGAAAGGATTTCATACAAACAAGATGGTTCGCGTTTTGGCGCTTCGCAACTTACTCTTAAATTTGCGACGAACTCCCTCTACAAAATTTTCGTTAAAGCAAGGCCTCCACAGGATTTTGTGTAAGTAATATCAACTATTTATGTAAATATTACTAACAAAGAACTCTGAACATCGGGGGTAGTGAGCTTAAATTGATTCAAGTTGATGCAGATTTTGGCGAATATGCTGCTGTTTGGGTATATCTTGTACATATGTACAATACATGAATAATTTTATTTATAGAACACTTCCGACAAGACACCAACAAAAAAAGGGACTCGACAGGATATTCAATTCATTCTCGTGGGCGTAAGTTTCGCGAAAAATAAGAAAATACCTTAAATCGTTTTAGGATGGACATAAAACTTTGAACAAAAATATACAAGTAAAGTTCTATCCTCGAAGCGATTCTCACGCTAGCTGGGGTCAGAAGTTGGACCAGATTACTTGGCACTGTGAAGTTGATGAATTTGGAGCGGTGAGTGTAACGGAGGAACAGACTGTTTAAAACGTGAAAACAAATCAATTTTAAATTCACTGTTTATCGTTCAAACAATTATATCAATATTTGCAATGCCTCTTTCGGCAAAAAATCGGTGCCTTATCAATCTTTTTGTATGTTTTCGGTGTTGCTCATGCTTGTCTTTTCCCTCGGCTGAATTAGACGCCCAAATTTCTTTAAGTGTACGCTGCTTTAAAGGGTCATCATCAGTTCCCTGAACGTTCCTAAAATTGTCTACATAAAAATAATTTTCGTAATATCGAACTAACCAAAAGCACTTCACTGCTTTATTTCCAATCAGTTTTTCTATCGTTCGCCAGCTGAAGCGGACTAACGGAGAAAATCCAAAGAGTGAGTCCAAAGTTCTTGAGATGTAACATTTCGTCATTGGATCTATGCAATGTGCAAATTATCTTTCATATCCCATTATATTTTTCTTTACCTGATGGATAACCAGAACCAATTCCTTCTTCCGGGGATGTAAACCCATCCAGAATCCAGTTAGAAACACGTCGGTCACGAGTCACTTTTGCAAAAATTGAAGCAGCACCAACAATTGGGAAGATCGAATCAGCCTTTTTTGAAACAGTTATTTTTATTGAAGGAAAGTGTGACTGTAAAAAATGCTGAAAAGTTTCTTCTTTGACTCCAACCAAGTCAACAAAAATCTATAAAATAAGTGAAACAAATTTATTTTAGACAGAACCTCTTGTATACAAATCCTCTGAAGTGCATGTTGTATTAAACTAATGATACAGTTATGAGATATTTCATTAAGCGATAGGCGCGTCCTAAGTTGCATCTGAGCACTTATTGTCCGGGGATGAACAATGCGTAATGAGTATGTAACAAACTGAAACTTGATGTTAATAAAATGGCGCAAAAAACCTCAGATGCTTCCATTTTGGTAATAATTTTTTCCCTTTGTGATCTACTAAGTATTTTTGAATCATTCACGCCTAGAATGAAGCAATATTAGACTTCAAAATATGGTGAATACCCAAAGATTTAAGATCCTCCATCTTGTCGGCAGGTACAATAGCACAACCATAGACCATCGGTCCAAGAACCTAAATTATAATTACCAAATTTATCAATTTTTTTTTCTACTCCACTGGTCCTCTTCCTGCCTCGTCGATACCTAGAATGCATGGTGCTCCTGTATTGAAATTCGAAAAATTTTCAGCATCAATAGCCTCAAAATCAAGAAAAGCTTCTTTTTCCATTTGGTTCTAGTAATACTAGAGAAATTCCCAAAAATCCAATATTAACGTATAAAGGTACAATTATTAAATCAAAACAAAAATATGTAGGATCAAAAATAACAAAGAGAGAATAAACCATAAATATGACTAACAGCTTTAACAAATTTATTTTATAACCAAACAGAACATCAACAAAAAGTTCGGCTTAAATAATCAAATTAGAACAACGGCTCAGGAAATTCAAAAACCACTTCCTTTCCAGTCAAACGCTTGTAGAGATACGAGAACGTGTCGACCTTATGTTCCACAGTTGTCTGTTGAGCCTTATCCAAATGGACCTTATAATAAACATGTTTAAATGTCTAACATGTAAAAAACCTTTATGATTTGTTTGCCATCCAATTTGACACGAGTCCTTTTACCCACGACTTCAGCAGGAAAAACAACATCCTGAAGAATCGCCTCGTGTACAGCAGTAAGAGTTCTAGAACGAGGACGTTTTTGACCAAGTGGCTTTCGATTCTTGCCACGTTGTGGCTTTTGCAAAATTCGACGCTGAAAAACATGATATTGAAGTATAAAAATGTCTAAGTAACCCTAGACAAACCTTTGCAATGAAGATAATATGATAGCCACTCATTTTCTTCTCCAACTCTCTTACCAACTTTGGATGTATTTTCTGATAATCTCGCAGCTGTGGAACAGGAATCCAAATCAGGATACACTTCTTGTTGCCAAACTCGAATTGCTTAAAATTTAGATCATTGAAAATTGAGAAATTAAAATAACAAACCTGAGCACCAACGAAGTATAATTCACTAAGTTGATTCTTGATTTCACCATTCGTTTGAGAAAGCTCAGTAATTGCAGTTGCAACCTGCTTCTCTAAATCGTCTGGAGCCTTTCCATCGGTTTTAACTAATTTTTCAAAAGTAGCAACCATTTTTATTAACTAAAAAGTGATAATAAATAAATTCAATTTTGGAATAAAAAATTGAAAAAGAAACATTCAAGAATAAGACCGTCTAGACTCAAATCGACTTTCGGTATAAGAGAACGGAACAGGTCACTAGAGTGCCAGGCGACATAGATCTATAAATTTTTTTTAATTGGCCAATCCGGATTCCGGATGTTTTTTCCAATCCAAAAAATTCCAATCCCTCATTAAGAGGTATCTTTTTCCAAACTAATGGATCAAGTCTAATCACTCATTAAAAAGTTACGACTTGATAAGTGCAAGAAATCGTTGTTTTTCACCTTTAGTGAGTTGAGAATTTATAATGGGTAAACAGACCTGATCCATTCAGTTGGGAAAAAGATACTGCTTATCGAGAGCTTTCGAATGATAGGAATCATTCGAATTGGACCAAATTAGCCGATCAAAGGCGCGGCGCTCTAGTGACCTCAAAAAATATCTAGACTCAAATCGACTTGAGGAACGAGACTAAGCTTTTAAAAAGAGTAAATATAGAAAGAGGGGAAACATTTTCGGCCGGCCGAGTATAAAAATTCAAGGGTCACTTTATCTATCCAATGCTCACTTGCTTGTGTTTATCTTGGTATTTTTTCTTTAAATTTTCAGTTTTAGATATTAGATTTTCTTATTACTTAATTTGTTTCTGAAATGAGCGCTTCTTCGCGACGCTTACAAAAGGTTATTCTATAATAAATGAATTTCACTATTAGCTAAAAATTTCAGGAACTGGCTGAAATGAGAAGCAACAGTTCTGGTACTGTTCGTATAGCTGAAGTTGATGAAGCGAATCTTCTGCATTGGGTTCTGCTCCTCTATCCTGTAAGCAATATCACATGGATTTGTTTAGATTATATTTTTAAGGATCGTGAGCCTTACAACCGTGGAGCCTTTCGTGTCACCGTGGACTTTCCAACCGAATATCCTTTCAAGCCTCCACGTGTTACGTTTGTGACTAAGGTTTGCATTTTTATTGATTATGGCAGAGTTTTTTATTATTTCTAATATAATAGATATATCACCCTAATGTTGATGACAAAGGCCAGGTTTGTTTGGGCATCATTCAAGCTGAGAACTGGAAGCCGGCTACACGAACGGAGCAAGGTTTTTAATTTTTGAAAATGGGTTATCTCCAAGTCTAGAGAATAATCTGAAGTAATTTTTGGTAATAGTGTCGTTTCCAGGCCCCATTTTTTCTCCCCAATTTTTTGCCCATGTTTGTACGGAATAATCAAATTTTCTCCTTTCTTTCACCAAATTTGCCTTTCCATATTTTGCCTAAAAACAATCAAAAAGATTAATTTGTGATATTTAAAAAAGTAATAGAGTAATGAGAACAATCATTTTCCCAATTAATAAAAATGGAAGACTGTTGTTGTGAGGCGAAATGAAAGAGGCAGACTACCATCAAAGAAAGATGTATGGATGATTGGGGGCGTTGAGAGAAACACCAAGCTTTTTGATTGTTTTTAGGCAAAATATGGAAAGGCAAATTTGATGAACGAAAGGGGAAAATTTGACCATTCCGTACAAACATAGGGCAAAAAATTGGGGAGAAAAAATGGGGCCTGGAAACGACACTATTACCTAATTTTTATTCGATAGTTATCAATGCGTTGGTTTCGCTTATTGCTGAGCCGGAAATTAATCATCCGCTTAGGGCTGACTTAGCTGAAGAATTCCAAAAGGATAAGAAGAAGTTTCTTAAGAATGCTGGTAACTATTATTTAGTAAACTTTGTTTTTTAATTAAATTTTATTAAGAGGACTACACGAAGAAACATGCTGAAAGGCGTGATTGAGGATGAAGGTGGCTATAATTAGCAAGAAACGTAATGTGTTGATCTTATCTTCATTCATCATCTCTTAAAGTTATATTCGGTTTTCAATATAAATTATTGTTGAGTGGGGGGAACCGCCAATTTATGAATTCTATTGTGAACTAAGATGATCAAAGAACTGGATTAATTAATAAGACTGGGTTCAATTGCGTGGTTGCGTTTGCTTAAATTTCAGCGGTAGCATCTATCCATGCTTAAGGCAATAGTAACCATTCCATGGCTTATATTGTTTTGTATCCAATTTGCGGTTCTCCTAACACTTCCAGTAGTAATGTAAAATACCTATTTATAAAAATTGAGATTCTTGAATGTTGATTGTAAATTATTTAGTATTTTTCGTAGTTGATGCGATTTGTTATAATTCATACAATTATTTTATTGTTTTATTTGTATTTTAGAGCTTAATATTTCCTTAAAAATGCCTGTGCAGGATGAAATTTTTCGAAATATTCATGTAGTTGCCCAGGGTTTGGATGCATTACGAACATGAAGCAATAAAAGACAAGCTGACATATTTGTTAGTGAATTATACTTCGTTGGTGCTCAAGTCTTTAACATCAAGCAGACAATGTAGGATGATAAGGTTTGTTGGTGCTCAAGTGAGCACTTCGTTGGTGCTCAAGTCTTTAACATCAAGCAGACAATGTAGGATGATAAGGTTTGATTTTGAGGGATAAAGTTTGGCTTGGGTGTTTTGAGGGTAAGCTTTAGCGTTTGAAGATTGTATAAGTTGAAAGGATGGATAAGGCTTATCGGGAGACGGGATTGGCTCTAACGGTGGATGGGCTTGGGGCAGGGATGAGATGTCTTGTTGGGGGAGATGGGCTGGGGATGGAGATAGGTGATGGTCGGAACTGGTCTTCCGACTTTTTTTGACCTTTTGTCTCGTTTTTTGAATCTGGCAGGCTCCCCGCTCTTATAAAAGACTTGTATAATTTTTCAAAAAATTTTCAGCTCAAGGATAAAATTAGCGAGGACGATAAGAAGAAGGTTTTGGACAAATGTCAGGAAACGCTCTCTTGGTTATACGCCAACCAGACTGCTGAGAAGGAAGAATTTGAGCATCATCAAAAGGAATTGGAAGCTATTTGTAATACGATCAATTTGAAGCCTTACTGGTTTAACATCAAGCAACCAATGGATGATAAGGTTTGATTTTGAGGGGATTAAAGTTGGGATTGGGTGGCTTTGTGGGGGATAGGAGCAGGTATGCGCTGGGACATCGATTGACTCTTGGGGTGGCGTCGAAGCATTGATTGGCTGTCTTGGTGGGGAATTGACTGTTTTTGGGTAGGTTTGGGAGCGGAAAGGCAGTTTTGTTTGGGAGGGGGGGGGTGTTGGTGGAACGGAACGTGTTGGTTGAAATTTTCTTAATTTCTCCGTCCTACTGGTGACAAAGCAATGATATCACCTCTGGGGATTCGGGTAAATTAAGAATGATATTAGCGGAAGAGGAGTGATATTCAGGTTTAGAAGGATATCGCGGGGATATCGACAGATTAGTTTTCCACCTCATAATAATACTTCTCAAATTTTCATTGTTAATGTAAAGGTATTTTGCAGACGTGTGCTTAACAACAAACACTCCTCGTACAAGCGTGTCAGAAGCATCAACAGCTACACAAGACAATATTTTATTGGAAGAAGTGTTCTTGATGAGCATTGGACTGCAACAAATTGATGATGAATTACAAGGATGAGAGAAGCTAAAAAATGTGGCAAAGATGCTTCCGCCACATTTAAAGGTCCTGAAATTTTTTTAATAGTAATATTTTTCTATGTTTTTGTGTGCTTTTCCGTTTACACGACAATTTTAATTTATAACTCAATTTTTAATGATTTCCAATCCAAAATTACAAAAACTAAGCTTTTCAGAATTAAGCAAAACGTTAAAATTTTAAGTGTAAGTGAAGAACGGAAAAGTACAAATTTTTGCCACTTGTAAAAAAAAGGTTTGGGCCTCTTCTTTACAAGTGGTATTTTTTTCATTTCGCTTTTTTTTGTGGTTAAAAATTGTTTGGGGTTCCTCCTCCCCTCCTCCCCGGGCGTCCTCACTCTCGAATCTATCCAATCTCAAAAACTTAAGACATTTCCCTATCCTCCAAAACTTTCTAAACTAAGATGACCTCGAGTTTATCACTCTTGGAAATTTTAGGGTTTTCTCTAATGCCCCTAAATAATACCGTGAATTCATTTATGTATTGTCAAAGCATTCCAAACTGAACCACCAAAAATTAACATAGGTTCAGGCTTTCATACCTCCGAGTTATATCCAAAGGCACGGGTTCTTATTCAATAGGTGTAGACAGTAGGGCACTTAGACCTTAGATTAGACCTTTGATTTACCCCCCCCCCCCCCCCCTTCCTGCACTTCAACGGTCCGACTACAACTTCAACTGCTCCTGCCAGCCGTCTACAACTTCAACTGCTCCTACTGGCCGTCTACAACTTCAACTGTGCCTGCCACTCGTCTACAACTTCAACTGTGCCTGCTACTCGTCTACAACTTCTCCTGGCCCTACTCTGGTGACCCCTCGGCCCCGACTCGGTACTCTAATGAACCCCCGGGCCCAATATTGTACTCTACTGTCCACACCTATTTTATAAGACCCACCTTTCTTCCCCACATCCAAGTCTGACCCAAATTTACTCCCCAATTCGTCCCAGACAAAACGTCACTCCCCAATTTGTCCTACGGACAAAACGTCACTCCCCAATTCGTCCCAGACAAAACGTCACTCCTCATTTTGTCCCACGGACAAAACGTCACTCCCCAATTCGTCCCACTGACAAAATTTCACTCCCCAATGCGTCCCACTGACAAAATTTCACTCCCCAATTCGTCCCAAAGACAAAATGTCACTTCCAAAAATGGCCCACACTGAAAATCCCGCACTGAACTGACCGACCCCCCTTTTTAAAATAATATCTCTCCATAGGTTCAGGCTTTCATACCTCCGAGTTATATCCAAAGGCACGGGTTCTTATTCAATAGGTGTAGACAGTAGGGCACTTAGACCTTAGATTAGACCTTTGATTTACCCCCCCCCCCCTTCCTGCACTTCAACGGTCCGACTACAACTTCAACTGCTCCTGCCAGCCGTCTACAACTTCAACTGCTCCTACTGGCCGTCTACAACTTCAACTGTGCCTGCCACTCGTCTACAACTTCAACTGTGCCTGCTACTCGTCTACAACTTCTCCTGGCCCTACTCTGGTGACCCCTCGGCCCCGACTCGGTACTCTAATGAACCCCCGGGCCCAATATTGTACTCTACTGTCCACACCTATTTTATAAGACCCACCTTTCTTCCCCACATCCAAGTCTGACCCAAATTTACTCCCCAATTCGTCCCAGACAAAACGTCACTCCCCAATTTGTCCTACGGACAAAACGTCACTCCCCAATTCGTCCCAGACAAAACGTCACTCCTCATTTTGTCCCACGGACAAAACGTCACTCCCCAATTCGTCCCACTGACAAAATTTCACTCCCCAATTCGTCCCACTGACAAAATTTCACTCCCCAATTCGTCCCAAAGACAAAATGTCACTTCCAAAAATGGCCCACACTGAAAATCCCGCACTGAACTGACCGACCCCCCTTTTTAAAATAATATCTCTCCATAGGTTCAGGCTTTCATACCTCCGAGTTATATCCAAAGGCACGGGTTCTTATTCAATAGGTGTAGACAGTAGGGCACTTAGACCTTAGATTAGACCTTTGATTTACCCCCCCCCCCTTCCTGCACTTCAACGGTCCGACTACAACTTCAACTGCTCCTGCCAGCCGTCTACAACTTCAACTGCTCCTACTGGCCGTCTACAACTTCAACTGTGCCTGCCACTCGTCTACAACTTCAACTGTGCCTGCTACTCGTCTACAACTTCTCCTGGCCCTACTCTGGTGACCCCTCGGCCCCGACTCGGTACTCTAATGAACCCCCGGGCCCAATATTGTACTCTACTGTCCACACCTATTTTATAAGACCCACCTTTCTTCCCCACATCCAAGTCTGACCCAAATTTACTCCCCAATTCGTCCCAGACAAAACGTCACTCCCCAATTTGTCCTACGGACAAAACGTCACTCCCCAATTCGTCCCAGACAAAACGTCACTCCTCATTTTGTCCCACGGACAAAACGTCACTCCCCAATTCGTCCCACTGACAAAATTTCACTCCCCAATTCGTCCCACTGACAAAATTTCACTCCCCAATTCGTCCCAAAGACAAAATGTCACTTCCAAAAATGGCCCACACTGAAAATCCCGCACTGAACTGACCGACCCCCCTTTTTAAAATAATATCTCTCCATAGGTTCAGGCTTTCATACCTCCGAGTTATATCCAAAGGCACGGGTTCTTATTCAATAGGTGTAGACAGTAGGGCACTTAGACCTTAGATTAGACCTTTGATTTACCCCCCCCCCTTCCTGCACTTCAACGGTCCGACTACAACTTCAACTGCTCCTGCCAGCCGTCTACAACTTCAACTGCTCCTACTGGCCGTCTACAACTTCAACTGTGCCTGCCACTCGTCTACAACTTCAACTGTGCCTGCTACTCGTCTACAACTTCTCCTGGCCCTACTCTGGTGACCCCTCGGCCCCGACTCGGTACTCTAATGAACCCCCGGGCCCAATATTGTACTCTACTGTCCACACCTATTTTATAAGACCCACCTTTCTTCCCCACATCCAAGTCTGACCCAAATTTACTCCCCAATTCGTCCCAGACAAAACGTCACTCCCCAATTTGTCCTACGGACAAAACGTCACTCCCCAATTCGTCCCAGACAAAACGTCACTCCTCATTTTGTCCCACGGACAAAACGTCACTCCCCAATTCGTCCCACTGACAAAATTTCACTCCCCAATTCGTCCCACTGACAAAATTTCACTCCCCAATTCGTCCAAAGACAAAATGTCACTTCCAAAAATGGCCCACACTGAAAATCCCGCACTGAACTGACCGACCCCCCTTTTTAAAATAATATCTCTCCATAGGTTCAGGCTTTCATACCTCCGAGTTATATCCAAAGGCACGGGTTCTTATTCAATAGGTGTAGACAGTAGGGCACTTAGACCTTAGATTAGACCTTTGATTTACCCCCCCCCCTTCCTGCACTTCAACGGTCCGACTACAACTTCAACTGCTCCTGCCAGCCGTCTACAACTTCAACTGCTCCTACTGGCCGTCTACAACTTCAACTGTGCCTGCCACTCGTCTACAACTTCAACTGTGCCTGCTACTCGTCTACAACTTCTCCTGGCCCTACTCTGGTGACCCCTCGGCCCCGACTCGGTACTCTAATGAACCCCCGGGCCCAATATTGTACTCTACTGTCCACACCTATTTTATAAGACCCACCTTTCTTCCCCACATCCAAGTCTGACCCAAATTTACTCCCCAATTCGTCCCAGACAAAACGTCACTCCCCAATTTGTCCTACGGACAAAACGTCACTCCCCAATTCGTCCCAGACAAAACGTCACTCCTCATTTTGTCCCACGGACAAAACGTCACTCCCCAATTCGTCCCACTGACAAAATTTCACTCCCCAATTCGTCCCACTGACAAAATTTCACTCCCCAATTCGTCCCAAAGACAAAATGTCACTTCCAAAAATGGCCCACACTGAAAATCCCGCACTGAACTGACCGACCCCCCTTTTAAAATAATATCTCTCCATAGGTTCAGGCTTTCATACCTCCGAGTTATATCCAAAGGCACGGGTTCTTATTCAATAGGTGTAGACAGTAGGGCACTTAGACCTTAGATTAGACCTTTGATTTACCCCCCCCCCCTTCCTGCACTTCAACGGTCCGACTACAACTTCAACTGCTCCTGCCAGCCGTCTACAACTTCAACTGCTCCTACTGGCCGTCTACAACTTCAACTGTGCCTGCCACTCGTCTACAACTTCAACTGTGCCTGCTACTCGTCTACAACTTCTCCTGGCCCTACTCTGGTGACCCCTCGCCCCGACTCGGTACTCTAATGAACCCCCGGGCCCAATATTGTACTCTACTGTCCACACCTATTTTATAAGACCCACCTTTCTTCCCCACATCCAAGTCTGACCCAAATTTACTCCCCAATTCGTCCCAGACAAAACGTCACTCCCCAATTTGTCCTACGGACAAAACGTCACTCCCCAATTCGTCCCAGACAAAACGTCACTCCTCATTTTGTCCCACGGACAAAACGTCACTCCCCAATTCGTCCCACTGACAAAATTTCACTCCCCAATTCGTCCCACTGACAAAATTTCACTCCCCAATTCGTCCCAAAAGACAAAAATGTCACTTCCAAAAATGGCCCACACTGAAAATCCCGCACTGAACTGACCGACCCCCCTTTTTAAAATAATATCTCTCCATAGGTTCAGGCTTTCATACCTCCGAGTTATATCCAAAGGCACGGGTTCTTATTCAATAGGTGTAGACAGTAGGGCACTTAGACCTTAGATTAGACCTTTGATTTACCCCCCCCCCCCTTCCTGCACTTCAACGGTCCGACTACAACTTCAACTGCTCCTGCCAGCCGTCTACAACTTCAACTGCTCCTACTGGCCGTCTACAACTTCAACTGTGCCTGCCACTCGTCTACAACTTCAACTGTGCCTGCTACTCGTCTACAACTTCTCCTGGCCCTACTCTGGTGACCCCTCGGCCCCGACTCGGTACTCTAATGAACCCCCGGGCCCAATATTGTACTCTACTGTCCACACCTATTTTATAAGACCCACCTTTCTTCCCCACATCCAAGTCTGACCCAAATTTACTCCCCAATTCGTCCCAGACAAAACGTCACTCCCCAATTTGTCCTACGGACAAAACGTCACTCCCCAATTCGTCCCAGACAAAACGTCACTCCTCATTTTGTCCCACGGACAAAACGTCACTCCCCAATTCGTCCCACTGACAAAATTTCACTCCCCAATTCGTCCCACTGACAAAATTTCACTCCCCAATTCGTCCCAAAGACAAAATGTCACTTCCAAAAATGGCCCACACTGAAAATCCCGCACTGAACTGACCGACCCCCCTTTTTAAAATAATATCTCTCCATAGGTTCAGGCTTTCATACCTCCGAGTTATATCCAAAGGCACGGGTTCT